CTCCATGCCTGCACGCCAGGCAAATCTGGCCACTGGCCACTGGCCACTGGCTCCATCCAGTGGCTCCAGCTGCTGGCTCCAGTGGCCCAAGCATTCAATGTTGGCCGGGTGGCCTGGTTTAGAGTCCCACCCGTACTCCGTAGATAGACGCGGACAGACGCAGAAGAAACTCACTCCCGCTGCAGTGTGCAGGTGCAGACGCCCAGAGAGAATCCGGCCCAATCTTGAGCAGCAAAGAGCAGGGCCCGGCAGCCCCAGGCAGCCCAGGCACACCAGGCAGCCCAGCGGACCACCCACTCGCTTTTGTGTGCTCACGCTTTTGCGCCCTGTCGACCACACCAACTTGGCTTTGCATGTCCGCATCCACCCACCGCACACAGTGCTGGAGCCCACACAGTTTCCTCTTCTTCCCCCCCGGTCGGTCGGCTTTTGCAGGAAGGGAAGGGAAGGGAAGGGAAGAAAAAAAAAAAAAGCTCGCCACACTGCCGTGCCGCGATTTTCTCTTTCTTCACCTCAGCTTCCTCCACCTTCCACGACTCTTCCTTTGCGCGTGTTTCGGACATTGGCTCAGAGTTTCGGTTGTTTTTGCCGGCGCCTAAAAGTAAGTTGATGAAAAAATTGTTGCATTTCGCTCGCCTTTCGCTTCTGTTGCTCTCGGGTCGACAACCGCCAATTGTACGTGTTGCGCGACCGCTTCCGCTCCATCGCATTCGCCACCTTCGCTACCTACCCCTCGTGACGATGACGAAATCGCCAGCCCTCGAAAATGACGAATTCCTTGGCTGCCTACAATGAACGTCTACTGTTTTGGGCAATCTGGTTCTACCATCTCATCACCTTGATCCTCGTTTGTTGTCAGCTCCCGCTTCAGTCCCTGCCGCAACGACTGGCCTCGAGTCGCAACGAACAAAAGCCTGCCTGCTCGTCTGCTTCAGCCACGAGGGTTGGTGCACAGGCTGACAGCGCAGCATATCGGCGTGTGCCTCGCTTTGCCGGCAGGACGCAAATGATTTTGTCACGTGTATTTTGAAAGTCATTGCCAGCGCTTCCAATTGTGAAGCCGCCATCGCATCGCACTCGTCCCTTGTCGACCCATCTCATGTGGCCTCTTTTTGCTAGGGGTCGTTAGGCCCCGGGCCTGGGCGTCTATGATGCATCGACTGTTGTCGGGGCCGAAAGGGAGTCGAAGTCGGGAATGCCAATGCACCTACCATTGTGGGATGTTCTGCAAAGATTGACCTGACGGCCTGACACTTTTCATTATGAAGACATGGCACTTGATTGTCCCAGATCTCGCCGTGGTGCCATCTCGTCTGAAGAGCAGGCTAGTCACGGCGTCTATTTTGTGGTGGTTTCAGACAGTCCTCACGCCTCATCCCTGATTGACACTTTTACCACGAGCATACCAGAACTCCCAGCAGCAAATCAGAAAGACGGAACATTCGGCGTCGCGGCGACCACCCGAGAGCATTCGGCGAAGCTGCGGCCGTGATTTCGTGACTGACAAACACTAATCTTTTGAGCATAGGTTTCTATTGATTTCGAGAGCGTTTCAAGTGTTTTGCCACGATCCCTCGGAATCTTCGGTAGGACGGACGGACGTTTAGTTCACGATCTCTTTACGGATATACCGTTTTGTACCATTGGCACTACAGTCACCGTTAGACGCTGTTCTGCCTCTTTAAACGCTGCTTTTGCATCTTGCGGAACTCTACCAGCATTTTCTTGCAAAATTTTACACGTGGCGTGACGGCGTCTTGAGAGATTCTTGTCTTGACGACTACACCACCTTTCTGAGTCTCGGCAATTGGTCTGGATACCGCTTTTCTCGATTCGTTTTCGGTTCCCGTTTCGATTCGATAAGCCAGCATCATTTGGAGGACCTAGAGCCTTGTAAACTAAAGGTATGCAAAATCCAGCGACCGACTTTTGTGACGAACGGAAAACATTGCGACTACGCCGCATCTGTGAGAGGATACGTTCTGACACAAGATTGTTTACAGATCTTCCGATTTCAGTATCTGCGGATCTTTGCCCGGTTTCGATTCCTTTATCCGTATGCTCGGTGGATGAATTTTTCATTCGAAAAAAAAAAGAACGCAACTAATCAGGACGCGTAGTTCTCGAATGTTGCAGAGCCAATAGCTTCAAAATTTCTTGTGTGTTTCCCCGCTGCATGTGTCCGACACTTCACGGAAAGACCTGTAGTACTAACAAGCACCAGCGACTTCAAATTTACGGTTTCATAACCTTCTCGAGACTTTCCCAGAAACTTCTCATTCATTGGTGGGTCCAAGGCACTACGGTCTGTCCTGCGGAGATTTCGACGCGTCCTCTACGCTAGGAAACCGCATCGCACATGGCGTTGCAACCAGCAGCTAACCAGGTTGATTCTTGCAGATAGCGAAATGTCTTTCCCAAACGGAACTCCTCCTGCCTCTGATATGGCTGCTGTGGCCCCTCCCGCCGGTGGCCCTGAGCAGCCCAAGACCACTCTCTGGTGAGGGAACTCACGTCATTTGTACTGTCTTGATGACATTGGCACTAACTTCGAAACAGGATGGGAGAGCTGGAGCCTTGGATGGACGAGAATTTCATTAAGGGCGTCTTTCTGTCCGCTGCCGGAGAGACTGTCAATGTCAAGGTGATTCGTGACAAGAACTCTGGGTAGGTTTACCATCACTCTTTGGTGTCATGCGGGGTTTTGTTTATTCAATTCTAACAATGACCTCTACAGTAATGCCGGCTACTGTTTTGTTGAGTTCACAACACCCGAAGCTGCTACCAAGGCACTTGGACTTAACGGCACTCCTGTTCCCAATAGCTCTCGCCAGTTCAAGCTTAACTGGGCGTCTGGCGGTGGGCTTGTGGACCGACGGTGAGTACTCCTCGGGAGTTGAGCCCGTTGAGCTCCATTTTTCGCAAGGGTTTACTGACGAAGCCGTGTGTCTTGCAGCGATGATCGCGGGCCCGAGTACAGCATCTTTGTTGGTGACCTTGGCCCCGAGGTCAATGAATATGTCTTGGTCTCCCTCTTCCAGGCGCGCTTCCCCTCATGCAAGTCTGCCAAGATCATGACGGATGCCATGTCGGGCCAGAGCCGAGGCTATGGTTTTGTGCGCTTCTCTGATGAGAATGACCAGCAGCGTGCCTTGGTCGAGATGCAAGGTGTTTACTGCGGTAACAGACCTATGAGAATCTCTACTGCAACTCCCAAGAACCGGTAAGCCCTCGGCGCCCCCACCGGAAGACCCGACGGCGAGATACATGTAGCTAACGGAGGGACTTCAGCGGTAACCACGGATTCGGAGGACCTGGCCACGCTGGCGGCGCTCCCATGATGGGCGGCGTTCCTCAGCAACCCATGTGGGGAGGGATGCAAGGCTTCCCCTACGGCGGCTACAACCCTGCAACCCAGATGAACCAGTTCACCGATCCAAACAACACTACCGTGTTCGTCGGTGGACTCTCTGGCTACGTTACTGAGGACGAGCTCCGATCCTTCTTCCAGGGCTTCGGAGAGATCACCTACGTCAAGATCCCCCCTGGAAAGGGCTGCGGCTTCGTCCAGTTCGTCCATCGCCATGCTGCCGAGATGGCCATCAACCAGATGCAGGGCTACCCGATTGGCAATTCTCGAGTCCGCTTGAGCTGGGGTCGCTCGCAAAATAACTCCGGAGTTGGTACCCCCTACCGTCCTGCCCCCCCTCCTCCCCATTACATGGGCATGCCTAACCACGGACCTGGTCCTTACGGTCCCCAGCACTTTGGTGGTCCTGCTCCCGGCCCTCAGGGACCTGGTGGACCTCCTGGACCCCCAGGACCTGCCGTGCCTCCTCAGGTGAGTGCATAGAGTCATGGGTTTCGGGATGCTCATGCCCATGTTGGCTACATTGCGTAAGCTGACCATGTGACCAGTAAAAGTTGGCAAGTCACGCTTTCACTCGTCTCGACTTGTTGGCGGGCTGGGGATAGGCCAGACCAGAGCAGACTTCTGGGGAGCTTCTTCTTGATGTTCTTCTTTTATTCTCGGCGGCCGTTCTGGAGGCTTTGCCTGGGGAGAGTTGGGGCGTTGGGACTGATTTCTCCTTGTCAGAAACGTTGGTCTTGTCGACGTTGTTTTTTCAAAAATCAAAATCTTTGCTCTGCTCATACTATTATGACACAACGTCCTCGATTTTCTTGAGTCTCACTTACGAATTGGCGTTGGAGATATTAGTCTACCGGAGATATGTCATCAGTCAAATTTATAGTACTTGCTTCCGTGCGTCACTGTTTCTCATATATGTTTCGTCGTCTTGCCCATGCCCTTTGTTCATTGCTGCTCTTGCTTTAAACAGGGGTTTTTGTTTTATGTGGCAATGCATTGTGACATTGATACCTTGCGTGATGACTTTTTTTTCTTGCGTGATGATATATCTAATTTTTTCCTCGTCATGTTTCACTCGTCACCACTGATTGCCCTTTGTAATTTTGTTTTGTTTCGTTTTATTTCATGTTTTATTTGATCTTTTGATTCCCCCCCCATGTCGTGGAAGGGTTCTACCCTCGCCACTCGCTACTTCAGTCCGTCTGTTCCTGCCTCCCTGATCCGAAAACACTGTCTTTACTGAAGCCGTGTTCTCTCAAACGCTTTTGTGCCACGGGGCAATTTTTTATTTTTTTTTTAAATTTTTACCTCTTACATTGCAACGTCTTGAGGGCTTGACGAACTGGAAAAAGAAAGAGTCGCTAGCGGATAGAATGACATGTACGGAAATGTATGCAGAACGGAGACGAGGAAATACAAGTACACGGGCTGATATCTGCCCAATTTGCTGGATTTGGAGCACGCCTTCACATTTGGTAGCGCGCGTTGCCATTGATAGACTGGTAGAGGGGACGCTGAACCTGACCTTGTTTCAGTTCGCGACGACATTTTGCGGGATTCACGTGGTTTTAGGACGTACGTATCTCCGTGGCAACATCGCCTTGGGGCCTTCTCCATGCCGAGCACCAACATGACGGCAGACAGCGGAGCAAGCGAGACGCGTGCCGTGCCAGACGTGGATTTGCTCGCCCGCAAGTACGCTGAAGGGACGGGAAAACGCTTTCGACCCGAAGGGACCGCCCAGTAACGTTATATCGAACTTGCCGAGGCCGAATCCGCCGCGCTTGAAGACCTCGTCCGAGACTCCTGGGTCGACAACGCAACGGCGCGTTGAACGCCCAGCCACCAAACCTCAGCGATGGCGACGAGGATGGCTTTTCCGGGCTCCTGCACGCGGTGCACCAAGTTGAAGCCGGCATCGACCCCGACGACAACCGTCTCGTCGACGCTGCCGGCGGCTCCGGCGGGACGTGGTACTGGACCAGATACACGGGCATCATGGTTGACGTCAAAGGCTGCATTTACATGCCTTTGCTGGAGCAGACGGGACACATACCCAGGCACCGCTTCCCATACGGCCCTGGAATTAGACAGTGAGGACATGCTCGACATTGCGGACAGGTGGGACCTCACCGGCAAGGGCGTCTTCCGCACGAGAGCCCGTACATATGACTGGGTCGAGGAAGAAGAGCGCTGGAAAGTGCTGCTGACACAAGGATCGGGGGACCTGACGAGCAGCCATTGACATGACCGTTACCGCACAGTTTGTCGTCGTCACGGGCGGTTTGCTCAACCAACCCAAGACACCAAAGATTCCTGGCATCGACACCTTCTCGGGCCACATGATAGTTACAAACCGGCCGTTGGAGGTACGATACATCCGGGGTCTCACCCGAGGACTGGGCGCTGTCCGGCCTCCAGGGGAAGAAGGTCGGCATCGTCGGCACCGGAGCCACGGCCATGCAGTGCGTCACTGAGCTGGCACGATGGGCAGACCAGCTATTCGTGTTCCGGCGCACCCCTTCCGGGGTTGATCAACGTAGCCAGAGGCCGATGGCGCCTGAGACGTGGCAGCAGATCAGCCACGAGAAGCATCATGGCCGGCGGCAAGCAGTGCGACCTGGACATAGCCATCTGGAGTACCGGCTACCGGACACCATCCGCGAACTGTGCAGAGCCGAGCTACCGGACACCATCCGCGAACTGTGCAGAGCCGAGCCACAACACCGACACGACCATCGTCGCCCGAGGTAACACCCTCGCTTGCCTCTGGGCGAAGCACGGCCCTCCACGGCATGCTTAGCCCCTGGATGCCCAACATGCTTCTCGCCGGCCCTTCGCAGACGGCCGCCTGCGCAAACTTCATGTATACCATTGACAATCTGGCCCGCCACGGGGCGTACATTGTCGCCGAGGTCCTCCGTCGAGCGAGCGACCGTCGAAGCCACGCCCGAGGCAGCGGAAGCGTGGGCAAGCCGCTTACTCAGCAGGGCCGTCTTTCTGTTGCCCATGGAGATATGCGGACCGAGTATCTTCAATGGCGAAGGCGCCACGAGGAAATGGTCCCGCGAGGAGAAGATCAAGGCGGCCAGGGGCTCTGTCTACCCTCTGGGGATTTGGCATATGTAGAACTTCTGGAGCAATGGAGGGCGGATTAAAAATTGTTTGACGGCGCGATAATTGAGGTTGTACTCGCTCACTAGAAAGGGGGTAGGTGCCTGCTTGACGAGACGACTTGTATGCACGTATAGAGACGATGGTCCTGCTGCAACCACGTTGATCCCGTAGTTCTGAGACACTCGCCGACAATCTGCTTGCGGCATGCAGTACAACAATGTGTGATGGGTGTCCAATCGACTTACACAAACCTGCGTCTCGCCTGACGCTGCGCAATCGCGCCAAGATGCCCGGCTGAGACTCGTGGTGAAGCAGGCTTCGACTTGACAGGGCTTCACACCATGCTGATGAGAAGAGGTCCATTTCGGGCTGACCAGAGCGCAGAGGCCTAGATGTAGAATGACGTGGAGCAGTCGTGTTAGATTCCAGGAGGCGTCAAGGGTAGCCAGCCCGGAAATCTCGTCGTTGGCTGATGAATGTGGCACTTGTGGCCGAGTCACCCCAACTTTGTGACATATTTTTCCTACTATTAGGCGCCGGACGTCACACGTCACAAGACCAATGTTTTGCTTTCACAGGAGCCCGTCAATATCAACCGGGGCTCCCTAGAGTATTGCAACCGGCAAGCACTGGAGCTACATTTGCCACTCATCATTATATCCACGGAGATGCTGCATGACGGCAGTGTTGACCTGGTCAATTTTTACTCATTTCAAGATGCTGTGAATCTTCTCATGACTGCTTAACGGCATAAAGTAAAGGCTCACCCCCCGATCAAAACGCCTGCCCAAAGTCGCAGAAAATATAAGTCTATATGCCACAAATCTTTTTTTTTTGTTTCTTTGTCTTGTCGTCCCGAGGGCATTCGTCGAGCGTGTTGCTCTCGGCCTTTGTGGATTACCAACCACGGGTAGCAAGCTTCTCCTCGGGCTTCATGCTGTCACAGTTGATACCGACCATGGCCTCACCGAGACCGGTGCTAGCCTCAGCGATGACCTTGGCATCCTTGAAGTGAGTGGTGGCTTGAACAATAGCCTTGGCACGCTTGGCTGGGTTGCCGGACTTGAAGATGCCGCTGCCCACAAAGACACCGTCGCAACCGAGCTGCATCATGAGGGCGGCATCAGCAGGGGTAGCAACACCGCCAGCGGCGAAGTTGACAACGGGCAGACGACCGAGCTCAGCAGTCTGGCGAAGAAGTTCGGCATCGACCTCAAGCTCACGAGCCATCTCACGGATGCGGACGATGCCACCCTCGGCGAGGGCAGCCTTGGCCTGAGCGATCTGCTTGTTGACCGTCTTCATGTGGCGAACGGCCTCGACGACATCGCCAGTACCAGCCTCACCCTTGGTCCGGATCATAGCAGCGCCCTCTGCAATGCGGCGCAGAGCTTCGCCCAAGTTGCGGCAGCCACAGACGAAGGGAGCATGGAAATGGCTCTTCTCGACGTGGCTCTCGTCATCAGCGGGGGTAAGAACTTCACTCTCGTCGATGTAGTCGACGCCGAGGGCCTCAAGGACCTGGCACTCGACAAAGTGACCGATGCGGGCCTTGGCCATGACGGGGATGGTGACGGCGGCCTGGATCTCCTTGATGACAGTCGGGTCGGACATGCGGGCAACACCGCCGTCCTTTCGGATGTCGGCGGGGACACGTTCGAGGGCCATGACGGCGCAAGCACCAGCCTCCTCCGCAATACGCGCCTGCTCGGCATTGGTCACGTCCATAATGACGCCGCCCTTGAGCATCTGAGCGAGACCGGCCTTGACGGCGAAGGTGGCCTTGGGAGCAGCGCCATTGGCGACGGCAGTGGTATCATTGGCCATTGTAGTGGTATGTGAGATGGTGTTTTGCTGTCCGTGGAGGGCGTTGGAGGTGGAAAGCAAAAGCCGGGGTATAGAGGAGGATTGTGGAGGAGGAAGAGAAGGAGATGGAAGAAATATCTCGAATGCCGGTTCCGTGGGAGGCGAAAGGAGAAAAAAAAAAGGCCCAAGATGTAATTTGTATTACGATTACGCCCTTTTTCTGCCAATCATGGTGGGGTTACAAGTACCTAGGTAGTAACGTTAGTAGACATATTCATGGAGGGGCGAGGGGCAGCATGCAAGGCCCAAGGGTGCCTACCAAGGTAGGTAGGTAGTCGCGGGAGGTGGGGCGTGGAGAGGCGAGAACCAGTCGAAGCCACCCGTTATTTCGGAATAGAGTGCGAGGGAAAGCACGAAGCAGAACAATGGGGGGCAGGTACCGAAAACAGGGTACGGAGTACCATGTACCCCGTATTGTGCGAGGGCTGGAAGGCGTCTGTCTACTGAGTCGAGGGTGACTCGAGAACTCAGCGTTCGACGGAGCGACAACGGAGCACGGCAGAGCCAGGTCGTCTCACCGGGCGGCTGCTGTCCAGGGCCCCCAGTACTAATTAACCTCGAGCCAGATCGCCAAACCGACGCTCTGAAAATCCGATAGAGACCAGCTGACGCCTAGCAACAAGTGCGAGTGCGAGTGCCTCAAGAGGCGGTCGCGCGGCAATCATCGGGTTCCGGGACCGCTCGATACGACGAATGACTCAGCCCTGCTCTCGACGTGGGGCCGAATTTAGATTAATAAAAGATCATAAAGCAGTGAGCCAGATGGCGACATTCACGGCGTTCACGTGGCAATCTCGTACGTTGAATCTGGCATCTGGGGACGAGTTGGGCAAGACTGCAAAGCATGACGCCTCGTTGAAAGCCGCCCATCCAATTACTTGCAGTAAAATCTTTACCTGTCGACCAACAGCTTGACAAGTCGCCACTGCCCGGGCCCATGGGCGCGCCCTAACCCATGCATCTGCATGTACATACGTACTCCGTAGTTACATGCACATCTCGTAGCGATCGAGGCCAGATGCATGTCGACGGTACGGAGCACTCCGTTCCGAGTACCTCGCCGCTGAACGAGACGAGGCATGGCATCCGCGGGTCTGCTGTGGAACGCGACCCCCATGTGCGTCAACATGGTGCTGGCGGCATGAGACTGCGTTGACGTTGACGTGTTGCAAATGATTTCTACGTCGATCGACCTGGCCTGCTGCCGCCTCCGAAGGCGGACGACACCAGACCCACTGCCCCGTCTCGTCTTGGGACGGTTTGCCGTTAGTCATCTATCAATTTTCTATTTTCTATTTTCTGGATCCAGATGCTCCGTGCCCGTACCGACGTATCCAGCATGTAGGTATCTACCAGGTGATTTAGTCTCAATCCTCGAGTTGTTCTTCTCATTCCAATCTCTCCTTCTATCTTGAACTCAGTCGGTCGCCTTCCCCTTGTACCTTTGCGCCGGAGCCTCTCGTCGCCTCAAGGCGGGAAAAGGCCGTCGCCGCCGCCATGATTCTCATCACCATTGGAGTCCTGGCCCTCCAGGGCGGCTTCGTCGAACACATCAACCTTGTGCGCAGGGCCGCCGAACAACTCAAGATCCATGTCGACGCCATCGAGGTGCGGACCGCGCAAGAACTTGCCCGATGCGACGGCCTCATCATCCCAGGTGGCGAGAGCACCACCATCTCTTTTGTCGCAGCTCAATCCCGTCTGCTTGAGCCTCTAAGACATTACGTAAAGTTGGTTTTGATTTTCTTCTTCTTTTTTGGGTTTCTATTCTTATTATTTACACATCTACCTAAAAGACCCTAATATTGATGTTTTATACCTCTCCCCGAAAATTTTTTTTTTTTAAAAAAAAAACTAATCTGTCTGCAGAGTCCAAAAGAAGCCCGTCTGGGGGACATGTGCAGGTCTCATCCTCCTCTCCGACGAGGCAAACGCCACCAAGAAGGGTGGCCAGGAACTCGTCGGCGGGCTAGGCGTCCGCGTCCACCGCAACCACTTCGGTCGCCAGATCGAAAGCTTCCAGTCCGACTTGGAGTTGCCGTTCCTCGGTGAAGGTGCTGCTCCCTTCCCCGGGGTGTTCATACGCGCCCCCGTCGTGGAGGAGATTCTCAAGGGCTCCGGCCCTGGCGAGGACGTCCAGGTCTTGGCCAAGCTTCCGGGTCGCCTGAACAAGATAAAGGCGGGTGTCTCGCAGGCGAATACCAAGGATGATTCTGGCGATATCATTGCCGTGAAGCAGAGCAATGTGCTGGGAACTAGTTTCCACCCGGAGCTCACGAACGATGTGCGTATTCACGCATGGTGGCTGAAAAGCATCTTGGGACAATAGGTGATTTATTTTACTTCCTCGGCCGTTGTTTCCCGAGGGTTCACCAAAGATATCCATAGCACTTTCTTTTTATACTTGAACATGGCGCATAGACCAGCTAGTACGATTATACATGGCCCTGGGCATCTTCTTTTCTTTCTTTTCTCCCCCCCCATAATCTGGGAGACGCGCTCCTTCTCCACTTGTTCCCCCAAGGCCTGGCAGATGCAAAATATCATGTCGCCGCAACGACCCTGAGAAAGTGGCTACACTCAGGCTCCCCACGGCATTGACATCCATCCCATGTTTCATCAGCGCTTGACGAGTTCAACATCCTATCTTATGGCAGCCTGCATGAGCCGAGTCTTGCCTTGCTTGTCTGGCCATTTGCATCAGCCCCGTGCTCATGCCGTTCGAGTAACATACCTATTTCTGCCTTTTTGCCCATGTCGACTGCATAAACAAGCACCGACTCGCCCGAGATCATCCCGGCTGGGCCTCCATCTCCCCGGTCACGGGTCACGGCAAGATGGGAGCTACCTGTGATGTCGCAGGTGTTGATCTTAATGACGTGCTTGACGAGGAGATTGACGAGCTCGGGGTTGTTTTGCCTGACGGCTTGTACGAGAACGGTTTTTGCTGGAATGATGGGGGTTGGCGCCGTAGTCCAGCGGAAATGGTATACTCCAGACTGTTGCTTCGGACGACGTTGATAAAATATAGCTGATCTACGAGGCTGGCTTCTGTGGCATTGACGTCCATCGTCACTCGAGACGCCTCGGCGCTGCGAGAAGATGCCAGATTATCAAGACGACTACTAGTGCCCGTATGCTCCCTCAGTCTGTTTATGGAAATAAACAAAGTTATCGACCACTGGCAACCCAAGAAGTTTTCACGGCATTTTGGAGGCGACCTGCTCCGCTTCCACTGACGGCATCGCCACTGTAGTCGGACATTTGAGTGCGAAGTGGAAGGAAGGGAACTACTGACGGGGAAGAAGAACGAGAAGAAAGAGAAGTCTCACATGTCCATCAAAAGTTCTACTCAACGAGCCATCAATGATCGCTTGGTTTCACAACGCGAACCTGTACGGCAACCCGTGCTTTTTGCATTCAGACGCTCTTCCATCTCATTTCATATGCTTACCAACACTTGGATAGGCTCTGCCTAAAGCGACTCCATGTGAAAGCACCAGATGAACGGCAACCTTCACCACCATTTCTGGGAGATATCCCGGACCAAGTTGGTGGCGCGGTGCATCCCACCGCCAACTTCGTGTTGAAAAAGCCAATTATCAAAGTAGGTGACATTCAGACCGGCCTTGGCAAAAGCCTTGCTGGTAGCCTCGGCGAATATATCCGTCCCGTTGACAAGTGGCCCCCAAGGGTTTGGGGCCAAGTACTGGCCTTCTCCGATGGCAAGACCGTCGGTGGCTATGGGAAACAAAGATCTAGAAGGCCAGGGAGGACGCGCTGGGTACAAGTTGTTCCCAATCACCCCTGTTTTTGCTGGCCAGTGTTCGGGCTCCGAGATCTCCCCTACTACAGGATGGTTTATCGAAGGTAAAATGTGACTAAGACAGTACAACTTTCTCGGTGATGCTAGGCCGCCGTACGGGTAGAAAAGGGCCGGAACGCGTACGATCTCGTCATCCGTGACCCCAGTCTCGTGTTTCAACACGTCGACATTGTACTGGATCTTGGCTGCGGTCCACTTGGTTATTCCGGGAAGAAAAGGGAGTTGGACAACTTCCTTCACGGTTCTTGAGAAACAAGACTTGAAAGGATCGTCCTTCAAGTGCGGTCGATGCGCCGCTGGAAGCTTACCATGGCCCGCTTCGTTGGCCTCCTTGAGCAAGTTGAAGGCGAGATGGGGGTCGCCCACGACAATTGTCCATCCCCGAGAGTTGTTTGCCGGCACGAACTGCAGGTATTCGGCGATGGCGCCGTAATAGAGCCAGCCGTGATCGAGGAGGAAGGGAAGCTGGGCCTCCTGATGCTGCATAAACGGAAAAATGGCCGCCGCTTTCTGATGAGACGTGTAGGGGCTATATCCCATGACAACTCTGCCCAGAGGAAAGCATCTGCCACCATGGCAATAAGGGGTTACGACCTGAAGGTTCCCCATCTTGTCTGATTCCGAGCTCGAGGACTTCCAATGTTGAGCGGCGCCTGCCGACGCAGATCTGAAGTGCGTGTACACTCTTTGGGCAGCAAGCGCAATGATGCTGCTTTTGATGTAGACGCGCAGGGAAATGGGACCATCGGGTCCGGGCATGCTGATGTATCCGGCCTTGAAATAGTCGTGAGCCCATCCGAAGATGGGGTGCAGCCTGGCGACAGGCTCCTCAAACCCATGCTCGGCCAGAACACTCTGCAAACGCTCGGCAAACGCCTCCTGCTGCGGCCGGTACTCTCCGGTTACGGTGAAGGCCTGCTCGACTTTGTTCAGGGCATGGCCTATCAGGATTGGCGCAACTCGAAGGGCGACTGTGTCATAGACAGACTCGCCGCGGTCAGTCAGGTTGAAGTTGACCGTGACGGTGCCGTTCCAGGCACCAGGTCGACGGACGTCTCGGGAGTCGATTCCCAGCTCCAGACCAGCCCGCAGGTCAGCAGCCTTGAAAGTGTGGCGTTTGTCGACATAAGTCCAGTTACCAGCCATCTTGTGGAAGATGCGGACCTTTTTCGCGGCCCTCTTGTCGCAGACGATGACGACGCCCGTAGCTGAGTCGCTTAGGTCAGGGTTGGGAAGCGTGCGAAGGGGCGCCAGGAACTTGGGATTGCGCAGAACGTTGTCAGATGCGTCGTGACAGCTATCAAGCATCTTCATAAAGGGTGCAACGTTGGGAGCCCCAAGGGTGCATCGGCGGTACGCATCTGGGATGTTGGCCAGGAAGATGGCGCCTCTGTCCTCGGTCCAAGTGGCCTTTCCTTCAACGTCTGACGTCCCGTTTACGTCGACCCTGCCGTCTCGGTTCGTGTCAGCAAGAATAGTAGCACTGAGAGCATGGATACTCGTCGCCAGCAGACCGACGACGACGGCCGCTGCCTTGACGGTGGACGGCATAACGACTGCAAGGTGAGGTGTGAAAGCCTCGAGTTGCAAGCTGCAAGTGACGACTTTGTTGGCCTGCCTACACAAGTACAGAATCGTACGTGCGCATATCTCAAAAGCTTCGCCGGGGTCCGGAAGATGGAGCAAGCCAGCTCATAAGGAGACATCGAACCAGGTGCCTGGTCCCCTTGCGCAAGAGGGTATGCAGTGTGCACCATCACAGCTACCAGACTCGCGCTAGTTAACACGCGAGCGAGATGGAAGACGACCATGTGCCTGAAAAGGCCATGGCTTGTTGCCCGATCTGTTTGAACAGAACTCGTCAAGCCTGGGAGACTCGGAGCGACGTCGATGACCGTCACGGACAACCCAGCCGGGGGATGCACAAGGGGACGTCGAACCAGGCGCCATCATTACAAGTTCTGGGCCGTGACACTAGTTCAGGTTCACGGGAAAGGCTGCTGCTATCGGGTTCGCATGGCCTTTCCTTCAATACATCTAGCTGAACTTACATACGGGGAAGCTTTGGACTAAACCGCGTTTCCAACCAACACACGACGCTAGTCAGGAGAGGCGCGTAAATGGCTACCAGAGGCTCACATATTTACAGTTTATTCCATGTTTCTGCCTTTTCCGGCTTTCCAAAAAGGGGCCAGTCCAGTCCAGTTGGCTCTGAACATTGGTCGAGACTCTACCCAGGGCATACCGACCAAAGATGGCGAGCATCTACGAGGGTACTACCAGAGCGCCCTCTTTGCGCCTTTTCCAGGGAATGACGACCACGACGATTATACTCACATCTCGATCGCGACATCGCGGCATGTGCCCTCCTTTGTCGAGATTTCCAGCGTCAATGTCGACGGAGTGGCGCTGGGAATCGGCAAATGTTCCCTGCCGAAGCAGTAAATGATCTTCCATCCCCCGAGTGTACAAACTGGCCGCTTTTCATACCGACCTTGATGTCGCACGGTCACACAACAGCCATGACTACGATGCGTATGGCACGACGCAGCCCTCCCCAAACAGACAGGCGTCTTTGGTCATCCAGGCTCTGAGACCAAGGACCTTTTCAAATAGCCAGAGGACGTGACAAGTCAAGAAATAGAATATATTGACCCGTCACTTCAAACCCATTACACGAACCAGCCACAAGAAAGAGATTGGTCCAAACTGCTACGCAAAAGGGACACGCGGCCACGACGGAAGCTGGCCCGCGAGCCCGGCCAAGGGGCCCAACGGGCCGCATCGGGCCTTCGACCTTTGTATTTCTTGTACTCCGTATATGTAGAACTCTTGGGCCTAATTGCTTTGGGATTGCTCCTCACTCAAAGCCGATTACTCTGCCGAATGGAGTGTAGCACTCCGAGTCCAGCGTCCCTGCCCTTGTTACCAATTATAAAGCTTTGCTGAACGGCCCTTGTCACAACTTGTCTGGGCGATCCTCGGACATTCGTTGATTCAGATACGACGCCGTTTGACGAAACCTCCCAAGTGTTGTATGGATAACGCTGGTAATGGTAGCGCGGTTGCGCAACAGTTCTCATCCGATTAGCAGTCATGGATGAGCCGTGTCCCAGAGTTGAACTTGGCTTCGGGGATTTGCCCGAACTTTACCCGCGCAACACAACATAAGCTACTTTTCACTCAACTTCTGGCACGGTGGCCATAGATTAGCTGGGAGATCGTCAGACTGAAGTGGAACTTCAATCCTACGGATGCCTATCTGAAGGTCGTGTGTTCGAGTCACACTGGCCACATATTTTTTTTTTAATCCTGCACACATTGCTGTTTTTTTTCTTTTTGCCCGTAGGCGTTGTCCTCCCATCTCCTGATGTGTTTTCAATTCTTCAATATTTCCATGTTCCATCATGCGAATGTCTGTTATTATGGCAAACTACAGGCTAGATTAGATAACCGTCTATTGTCGTCCGGACCCCCGGCCCCCTCGCCCCTTGACCCTTTTTGTCAAGCTTGCGCTGACATCATGATTCATGGGCCAGTCGCTTTGTGCCCGACTCTTTTCGCTCATCCGAAGCCGAAATCCCGTCTCCACCAGACAGGTCTCGCTCTTCCGTCTTCTCACTCCTGGCCGACAACGCCTGGGTTGACCCCCCCACATCCGTAGAGCTGTTGACGTCCGAGGGGCTCTGGAGAGCAAAGTCCCCGGGACTAGCCTCTTCATCCGTCACGCGATTCTCTTCCTTGGCATTGGTGGGCGCGAATTTGCTTCGAAGGCGAATCGGCCTGCCATACTTGTAGAAGATGAATGGAACAACGGCAAGAAGAGTAGCGACCCCGGCCACCAGACTGCCGCCGCCACCGACGCCAAGCGCATGGAACATCTGGCGCGTAAAAAGGGGCGCGGCGGCTCCGCAGGCCGATCTGGCAATCGTGTTGGCGGCAATGGCGGACGCGGCGTACACGAGGTACACGTCGACGAGGTAGTTCAAGTAGGCGACGAAGATGAGCAGCATAAAGGTACTCAGGAGGCTTCCGGCAATGGTCGGCACGATCCAGTGCACGGAGCTAAGGTTGTAGAAGAACAGTCAGTGCTTGCTCAGAATAAGTATTGGACGACCGTGAAGAGGCGAGGAGGGCAAAGACGGGACGGCAGCGTACTTGAACTCAGCTGTCCATGCGAACCAGAACATGGCTGCTGCGAAACCAACACCGCCCACCATGGCCAGAGGGAGGCGGTCCTCGGGCTCCATGTCTTCCGCCTTGGCCTCGCCTTTTTTGGTCTTGTTGGAGCGTCGTCTGGTGTCGAGGAGGACGATGCTGCCGCCCAGGACGGCGCCGACAACTGTGCCAATGAGTGGTAGTTCTCCGACGCCAGAGTTCCATCCACGCCTCTCCTGGAAGACAATCGGGTAGATGCTGAACAGCATGTAAAGAAGCGTGTAGACCACGGCGAGATAGATTGCGCACAGCAACGAGATGGGGTCAAAGAGAATGATCCAGGGCCTCGTAAGCGCGACGCCAAAGACGCTCCTGATGGATCGGTCCTGCATCTCGGCCGGGGCCTTGACCTCTTCGTACCCGGGAATCCGGGCCTTGCGGATTCGCTTTGCCTTGTGAAGAAGAATGGTGGGTGCGTGAGTCTCCGGAATGGTCAGCATGATGAGCCACGTTCCCGCTCCCAGCCAGATGAGCACGTAAAACGCCCAGTGCCAGTCTTTTTTTAGCTCCAGAAAGCCTGCGACGACAGGGCCGAGCGCAGGTCCGATCCATACCATGGTAGAGAAGAGGGCCATGGCATTTGCTCGCTCGAGAGGTCTCCAGATATCGGCCAGCACGCCGGGTGCGTTGCTCAACGGCGCCGAGACAAGGGTGCCCGTGAGGAATCGGCCAGCTAGTAAACTGCCAAAGTTGGGAGCGAATGCGCAGAGGAAGTTGAAGGCGATGTACATGGTGAAAGTGATGTAGAAAACCCATCGTCGACCGTACAGCTCGCTCAACGGCGCGAAGAGCAGCGGTCCGGCACAGTATCCGAGGAGGAAGAGGGTTATTGTGAGGGAGGCCGCCTCTATTGATATGCCAAAATCCTCGGCGATGGAGGGAATACATCCGCTGGGGGCGCTAGAGGCAAACGTAGCGTTCATGACGAGCATGACGGCGCATATCGTGACGGTGACTCGCCGCGCCGTCGACCAGTTTTGGGGATTCTCAATATCATGAGGCTTGAAGGCGAGGAGACCCTGTCCGTCGAGGAAGGGCGGTTCTGCAAGGTCGAGATCCCTCGTCCGGTAGGGTTTGTTGACTGGCCGGGAGAAGATGCGAGTCAGGACTGCCATAACGGCGGTGATGGCGGTTTGCCCCTGCGAAATACTTCCTGCTGCTATATATCGATCTCGTCGGTCGTCCGAAGTCAAGGGGCCCCTTGAGAAAAACGGTCGACCTTTGTGTTTGCTAGATACGATCCAGGAGATGGTGTAACAGTACGACGCAGCGCTCGCTATTTAGCGGCATTCAAACAAGGTCCATCCGCCGAGGGCGACTCTGGATGTACTATACGATGCAGCATGGATCGGCCTTTCATGACCAACACTGGCTCGGCCGAAGGCTGAGGAACGATGACGCAGGGAAGCGGGATGCCCGGCCCAAAATATAACACGAATGCAGAATGTAAACCCCAAAATGGATTACATGTCATAGCAAGTTCCACATCAACGACGCCGTTCTTCCTCGGGAGAACTACGCTATTCTTCACTGTCCCAGGACCTGACACGGCAACTCACGGGCTCCTCGCGTTTGAAAGAGATTGCCACGGACTCGGGGATAAACAAGGTCGTGTAAACCTAACACCGGCTCCGGTGCCATGATTGCGACATTGACCAATGACTAGCGCTGGTCGCTATGTCTGACGTCGAGGGATGAACTGTTAGTCTGCACGCCGTCGGGTTTTCTCTTGGTTCCTGTTCCCACTTTTCGTCAAGTTGTACGGTGAGCAAAGGGCGAAACGGCTTGTCCGCCTCCAGGGGGTCAGGCGTCGATTCTAAGGGATCCAATGAGACTACTCGATCTCAGCATGTGTATAGAAGTCCATCGGCATTGTCAACCATCGGGGTTCGCCGCCAGAACCTCGGGCCGCGCACTTTTACCTCCATTGTCCATGGAATACTAGTCCCGGAATAGTCGGGATGGCAGTCCATCATTGGGCACCACAACGCCTCTTGGGCCAAATGTATGTCGGTGTGCTGGGAGTTGATAAATTGACTATTTTGATGGTCATGTATGTCAAGTCGGCGTTGAATGATAGTTCTCTAAGAGCGGCCGGGTTAGCAAAGTGCACTAGCGGCCCAAGAAGCTCTATGATGAGTACCATAAATGGTAAGCATACGTTATCTGCTGGTTAAAGGACCTTGTAGGCAAGAAACCAAGCGCTCCGTACATGTCGAAAGTCTCGATGGTTTTGGTGTGGGAAAACGGCAGCTGTGCACAAAGCATTGTGAACCGCACCGTGTCCAGGACTCACAGTGCTTAGTCATCAACCACACACGAGCCCTCGGGACGGTCTTGGAGCTCGGCGCTCGCGTCTTCTAACTACATCGTACATGTACTTTTGTCTCGTTCTCGACCATCATCGGAGCGTTCCAGGGACGTTTGGATACCCCGATGGCATATAATCGGCGGCTGGCATCGACATCGAGACGTACTTTATTCTCCCTGGCCAGAAAATCACGCTGGCAATCACCACACAAGTCAGAACCTCGAATTCATCAGCAGGAACTTGTTGATGAGGTGCTTGTCCCGAGCACAGTTCGTCGGCTTTCTACCCAAAAAAGCCTCGACAGGTCTGGATGACTTCCAAGTGACTGGTCCGTAAGGGAAGCACAGGCGCCTTGTGTACGAACCGATGAGGGCCTCCCCGTGGGTTTACAGAGTCGTTTCGTCGATAGCAAGCTTCCTTTGCCCATCGCCAAGGCCCATACCTACTCAAGTTGTGGAATGTGTGGAATATCCTTGGGAGAAAGGAGCTATCCCAGCAGGTGCACGGTGCAAATGGCCAATGGCAATACACGCCAAGTCACACCTATTGCTCGCGACATCAAAAGCCATGTCAGAGCACAACTGCCCTCGACTCTGGCGAGCTCTTGAATAACGCCCAAGGAGGTCGCTTTGTAACTACGCCGCACGTAAATACCTTGCATACTGACCCTGTTCAGGATATACTCGGATGTAATGACTTGATCCCGTCCAGAAGATCAGAAGGCGCAACCCCCGTTCTAGAAGAGAAGGATTGAGAGTCTTTTTCGAAACAGGCCGACTTGGCTCCCCGAGCAAAGCAAGACAGCTCGCGAACGGACGGGCGGAACATACATCTCTCAAACTTGGGGGTTGAACAGCTGCCCATTCACACACGGAAATGCGGCAACTTCCACGGAGGACCCGATCTGAATCTGGCCCTTTGCGTCCAACGTCGTCAATCACAACGCGCTCGCGTGTATTTGTACACGACGAGGGATTAATTCTGAAACATCAAGTATGCAAGTGAGTCTAAGCGCCGAATAGAAGTATTTTTCAAGGCACGAGTCGGCAATACGAAATGGCGCTGAATTTCCCTCTGCGCTGTGGCCAATACGTGAGCCATCTTCAGCAAGAACATTGTTGTGCGGAACGTTTCGGCCCCGAAGCGTCGAACAGGTCCTGGGTCCGGCATCAGCCATGACTGAGCTGGGTGGTGAACGACGGAAACGCTTGGGGATTCTTTGCGAGGTTTTGACGAGCCGCACAGTCGGCATTCACTCATAACGGTCCATTATTGCGAGACTCCTAGGGCTCTTCTCTCCTGTCGTTTCTACAAGGACAATCTCATGGCACACCTCTGTTCAGCGGGCAGCCCATCTCTAGCCTCGTCGTCCAAGACTTGCCTCAGGGCAGCCGTCACTTCGGCGTCCTCTAGTGTGACAAACCCCATTGACTCGTAAAACCTGTTCATTCCACGGGACATGGCGAAAGGTGGTTAATGTCACGGAGGGAAGCTGTTGCTCGGCTGCCCACTTCTTTGCCTGAGCCATGAGGGCCCGGCCGATACCCTTCCCCTGATGGTCCTTGTGTACTGACATTTCCCAGATGTGCAAGTTGCCCTGGAGGACCTCGCCGTTCAAGAAACCAACGGGGGCGGCCTCTTCCAGGGCCGCCGGGCCGGCAGGGCCAACCGCGACCCAAGCGACGCTCTGTGATATCAGGGCGAGGTGGCGCTCTACGGACTGGCCAGAGTCGTCGGCAACCCACGCGAGGTCCTGAGTCTGGAGAAAAGCTTGGCCGGCAGATTGCTCCACGGCGGGAAGTAGAGGTGCGTCGGCGGGCGTGGCAGGGCGGATAGTGAAGGTGTCGGGCGGAGGTCGCGTCATGGGGATCTTGCTCCCGGCGATGCTTCGTGCCGACGGTACCAGACGCAATGGTCTCTTCGTCTCAACCATGGGGTGGATCAAACAACAGAAATTCTGCTACGCATGCCGGGGGTTGCGGTTTGAAGAGGAGGAAGAGTCACGCGGGAAATCCGACCGAGGCAGCCCAATGACGATCAGAGCAATTTGCAATTTGTACCACGCGCTTTGGACTCCGCCGCTGCCAGGCTGCCAGGTGGGTCATCAGATGGCTCACGGACTCGCGAGTCGCGAGTCGGAAGCCACGGTTCGCAAGTCACAAGCCACAAGTCGCGAGTCACAGGCCACGAGTCGCGAGTCACAAGCCGCGAGTCACAAGCCACGAGTCACAAGCCACGAGTCACAAGCCACGAGTCACGAGTCCCGATAAAAGTGGTACCTCGCAAGTAGCTGCTGCCTGGAGTCATTAAATAACAAGAATAAAGAAAGTACTTGGCTGGTCTTATATTGCTTCTCATGCTAGCATCAAGCACTTGCTATAGTCTATTTCATTCATACATGTCTTGTGTTATTAAAGTCGATCTATATTCAGAACCAAGCAGGTATCCGTGTAAGCTTCTGTATAATGTAGTACTATTCAGAACTGTAAACTCAATTTTTCCCCCTTTTCCTCTCATCTACCGGGGCCACCACCCGTCTGCCTACCTTTCCATCTCGCATACTCCCTTGCGGCTGGCTCGTGGTCTGCAAGATGTCGAGGCTGGCTGTTTCACCAGGTCATGCAGCCCGCAGCGAGCGCAGATCGCGGTTCGCATCTTAATCACTGCGGGCAGCTTGTAACGGAACAACGCACAAGGGCTTCTGGCGTTTATAGTGCGTCGCCACGTGGCTAAAATTGATCGACTTGGCGAGATCCGGGTCCCAGGGTCCAGGCAGGCAGGGTTCAACGTCCGGACCCTACCCACACCCAGCCGGCAAGGTCCGGGCCCGGGCTTTCCAAGTGATTCTGATTGATCATGTCCGAGCCTCGCCCGCAAGCTCCATCCCTCTCCTCTCAACGCATCCAGAGGGACGCACTTCCATCGAGGACGGCAAGGACTCGCTTTTGCACAATCACCATCCATCCATGGCTTTCAGGAGACTCTCGCTCCTGGCGGCGGCGGGCTCCGCCTCGGCATTCGTCTCGGCGCCCATCGTCGGCGACCAACTGCCGCTCGCCTGGCCCCTGGACTCGGCCAAGTCGACCCTCAATGGCAAATGCCAACTACCGCCCGTCCTGGACCCGTCCGAGGACGGATTGCCGTCCGCCAACGCCTTGTTCTCCTCCAGGGCGGCCCTGGACCGGCAGGTTCGGAGGCACCAGGCTGTCGTGCGTGTGCCCTCCGTGTGCTACGATGACCTCGGTTCGTTCGACGAGGATGCGCGGTGGAAGCCCTTTCACGAACTGCATCGCGTTCTGGCCGAGACCTATCCTGCCGTGTAAGTAACCTGCCTCGACTTGTTCTGCTTGCTTGTGCGGCGAGCCTCGGTCAAGCTAAGTCCAGCCAACAGGCACGCGGGCGCAACGGTCGAAAAGGTCAACAGCTTTGGCCTGGTCTACACCATCCCGGGATCCAAAGAGCACCTCAAGCCTATCCTGCTCGCCGCCCACCAGGACGTCGTCCCCGTCGCTGACGAAAACACGTGGACGCACCCGCCCTTCTCGGGCCACTGGGACGGCGAGTGGCTCTGGGGCCGCGGCTCCTTGGACGACAAGATGAGTCTGACGGCCATCATGTCCACCATGGAAACGTTGCTGTCGCGTCCCGAGTGGCAGCCCGCCCGCACCATCATCCTTGCCTTTGGCTTCGACGAGGAGTGCTCCGGACACCGCGGTGCCGGCAAGATCGCGGAGCACCTCGGGGCTCGTTATGGCAAAAACGGCATTGCCATGATTCTTGACGAGGGTGACCTGGGCCTCAACAAGATTGGCAACGTCTTGTACGCCCTGCCCGCCGTGTACGAAAAGGGCAACGTCAACATCTGGCTCGAGCTGCGCCTCGTCGGCGGACACAGCTCTGTGCCGCTGCCCCATACCGGCATTGGCATCATCTCCGAGATGGTTGTTGCCCTCGAGGCTCATCCGTACCGGCCCAAGCTGATCAAAGACGGTCCCATCCACCAGCACCTCCTGTGCCAGGCGCAACACTCTCCCGATGCTGCACCCGAGCTCACCCGCCTCCTTGGCAAGGGCGATCTCGACGCCGCGGCCGAGCTCTTGGCCAACGCCAGCCTGGAGACCAGGTACATGATCCAGACATCGCAGGCTGTCGACTTCATCGGCGGCGGGCAAAAGATCAACGCCCTGCCCGAGGTCATCACCCTCGGCGTCAACTATCGCGTTGCGCCTCAGGACAGCATCCCCCTCGTCCAGCACAATGTCGTCAAGCACATCCGTGCCATTGTGTCCAAGTACAACCTCAAGGTCAAGGCCTTTGAAGGCGACACCGAGTACGAGCACTACCTGGCAGAACACGAAGCTGAGCTTGTCCCCGTCGAATCCGCCCAAAACGGCGTCCGTTACGACGGCACTCTAGTCCTGCAGGCCAAGGAGCCAACCAAGCCCAGCCCCATATCCCCCGTTACCGGTGCCATCTGGGACGTCTTTGCCGGCACCATCAGACACACCTTTGCCTTCGACGGCACCGTCGTCCCTGCTGGCGAGGCCATGACGGGGAACACCGACACACGTCATTACGTTGGTGAGTTGGCGCACGCCTCGCAGGAACCGTCTGAGCCGCTGCTGACCATGTAATGCAAACCCGCATAGATCTTACCCCCCATGTGTACAGATGGTCCCCCGTCACCGCCGACTCCATGCACGGCCTGCACACCGTCGACGAACGCATCCGCATGGACACGCACATGGACATGGTCAAGTTCTACTATGACCTCGTGCGCAACTTTGACGCTTCCGAGGCCTGAACGCGTCCCGAGATACGTCCCTGGCCCGCTGTAGATTCTCAACATGTACGTAACCAGACGGTTCCGAGGAGTCAAAGCATTCCTGCAAACCCGTTGGAACCCATCGCTCACATCCTAGGTGTCAAATTTGACGGTATCCGGGCTTCAGTCCCCAGCGGTGTCCTTCCCAAAGGCACTGGCGTTCATATTCCCTCCACTGTAAATCTTCAATGCGGTCAAGGACCTACGAATCCCGACTCGCCCGCTCTGTTCTGTGGCGCCCTTTAAACCCGCGTCCCATTATCGCCTGGTAGATTGACACCTTTGGAAACCAACCCTTACCCCTGCGCTGGGTTCGAACTGGAGGCGTAAGCTGAGCTTGGCTTTTGAGGATGAGAGCCTCGCAGTCAGCAAGCTGGTCGTGTAAGTGACTCAAGACGAGAGAAGTAGCAAATGCCGCAGTCAGTTCGGCGAACGGCTATCCTTGACATAGAAATACCCAACAGGCTATCCCCCCAGTAGTGACAAGACCCGAAGCTTTGGGGGCAGTATTTGTACAATCAAGCCGCCCGCTGGCTTTTTGCCAATGCAAATGTCGGCATCAGAGTGGAGGCTCAGCGTTGGATTTCCCTCCGAAATTGACATGATTAATACATGATAATCCGAGCCACACACTGGGTTGGGAGATGTGACAAGAAGCAAAGTGGCCGTGAAAAAGGGGGGGTTCCAGGTGAGGAACACCCCTTAGGTCCATATGTCCCACGGTATATAACTAGAGGGTTATTGCGGTGGCTACGCGGCTTTTTTTTTGTTTGTTTTGTGTGTGTGTGCGTGACACCATGTCATGTAGCCACTTCATCATTCGATCTCGTCCCTGACAATGGTTTGCATATTCCACAGCCTGGCATATTTGCCCCCGAGCCGCAACAGCTCTCGGTGAGAACCTCTCTCCACAACTTGGCCCTGGTCAATCACCAGAATCAAATCGGCATTGACCACGGTCGACAACCTGTGCGCAATCATGAAGACGGTCCTGCCGGCGCTCAGTGCCGCAATGGCCTGCTGGATAAGGGACTCCGTCTCGGAATCCACTGCACTCGTGGCCTCGTCCAAGACTACAATCCTGGGCTGGCGCAGAATTACTCGCGCTATCGCCAGACGCTGTAGTTCGCCGCCGCTCAGGCGAGCACCGCGCTCACCAAGTCTGGTCTGGTACCCCTCGGGGAACTTCATGATTTGGTGGTGGATACGGGCCGCCTTGCACGCCTCGATGGCGTCTGCTTCAGTTGCTCCCGGCCGAGCGTACAGGATGTTCTCCATGAGCGTCTGGTCAAAGACGGCTGGATCTTGCGGCACGGCGCCCAAGACGTCGCGCAGACTGCCAAGCGTCACATCTCGGATGTCCTGTCCGTCAATGGCGATGGAGCCCTCGGACACATCATAGAATCTATACAGCAGTTTCAAAGTCGTGGACTTGCCGCTTCCAGTCTCGCCAACAAGGGCCACAGACTGTCCGGGCTCCGCCGTAAACGTCATCCCCCGGATAATCGGTCTGTCGGGGCCGTACGAGAAGGACACGTTCTTGAACTCGACCTTGCCGCCCTTGAGCTGAATTTTGTCCGCGCCTTCCTTGTCTCGAACCGACGGCTTCGTCTGAATCAGCTGATAGAGCCACTCGGCGTCGATGACATGCGTGGTCGCTTCTCGGATGTTCCACGCCAGCATCGACATTGGCGACCTGATCGTGTCCCAGTACGACACCAAAAACACAAAACTGCTAAACTTTGCGGTCCCGTTGGCAATTCTCACCGCGACCAGGGAAACAGCTGCGAGCAGACCAGCCTCCATGACGAAACTCTCCAGAAAGCTGACAACGTCCAAGGTATTCAGAAGGGTGCGTTGCGCCCACACCGCTTTCCAGACCGAATTGGCGTACCTATCCTCTTCGTACTTTTGGCGGTTGTGATATGCAACAGTCTGCCAGTTGGTAATGGAGTCATATAAGTTTTCGTTTTCGGCGCGATTGGTCTCATTTACTTGCCGTTCAATCTGTACTGTTCTCGAGTTACCCTTGTACGCAACGTATACATGGATCATGGAGGTCGCGACAATGATGAAGCCCATGGTGGCGTCGAATTCGGCGCTGAGGTAGACAATGGCGATGAAGAAGTCAACAAAGATGGGGAAGGTGTCATAGAAGCTGTTGAGCATGTAGCTGAGATTGCTGCCTTGCTCAATGGCCTTTGCTACCCGGCCAGTGCTCTTTGAAGTATGGTAGTCCATGGAGAGATTCATAACGTGCGAGAACGCCAGGGTTGTGAGCTGTCGATATGCGAATTGGGAGACTCGTTCTCCGGCTCTGGAATGGACCAGCGAGAGAGTAGCTTCTATGGGAAAGTTTAACAGGCCCCAAGTGATGAGCTCCCTCCAAGGAACCTGCCCTAGACATGCATAAGTGTTCTTGTTAGAGCTTGAGATTTCGATTTGAAGATCATCTGCTGTAGCCCCCCCCAGAGAGTGTCAGTACCTGTTCCGCTCATATTGCCAATAGCCTCGGTCAAAATACCATACTGACGAGGAATCATCAACGTAAGTATCCGCTGGAGCACTATGCAAATCCCAAGGGCAACAATCCACATTTGCGTTGGCCTATGCTTGTAGGGCAAGATGATGGGCAGGAAGACTAGAAGGGTCGTCAGGTAGCCTAGCCACCCGCCAGCCTGCTCGAGGCGCTTCTTCTGCAGCATCTTGATTTCCTTGTCGTCCTCATCATCCGAAGCCTCGTCAACATCGATTCCATCATGGTCATGGTTGGCATGTACGGATCCATAGGCCGTTGAAGAGACGGAGCTGTCGTCATCGTCGACAGCGCCTAGCAGGCTGCGGGTTTCTACGTCATTTGTCTTTTCTGTTTTCACATCCTTGTTCAAAAAACTGTAGCAATAAATAGCCGCCAAGAAGAAGATGACGACTCGAACAGCCTGTAGTCCCACGAGCGTTGAGGCCCACGCTCCGCTTGCGCTAAATTCTGATGCTGAGATGGCGACAAGAATGAGGTCAGAAATACCACCGGCGGTCCACGCAATGATGTATGCCGGCCAATGCGGCGTTTCTCCTTCCACAAGGAGAAGACTAATAGCCCCCCATAAAAGGATGGAGGCAAAGGCATAGAGCTACATAATGTTAGACATGAACTCGGAGCATTATAGAAACCAGACGGAGTAGAATCGAAAGCAAGCCAGCTCTACCCACCGTCTCGCTGGGAACAGCAGCGTCAATTTTGACATGTCTTGTCCACGAACACATAGCAGCTTGTACAATCTATAGGAGCATCAGCTTCGATCTAGCTCGTACTGGAACTGCGGCGGCAATAATCACTGACAAACGCCAAGACAACGAGTGGACTCGACAAACGGAGGGGCCATGTACGCCGCGAACTGATTCGATACGTCGCTCTCTTCGAAGACCCTTGTGTAAGCACTCGGACGATGGGCAAGGAAGAAAACAATGCGCCGGTCGCAATTGGACAGGCCACGTGAAGCACGGCAGCCGCCTTAGCAGCATCGCCTCGCAGAGCGTCCATTGTCGATATCTGAGAGAGGATCAAAAACCAAGAATAAACGGGAGAGGATGAGTCGGGACAGCCGACACGACGGCCTGGTATTGGCGGCCACGGATGGAAGGATGGCCCAAACTTTTTCAGCCAAGCCGATCGACACTATCGCGTGGAGATGGTGCGGGAAAGACGAGGGCCAGTGGGCTAGAAATAGTGCGAGCGACAAAACTCCCATAGCTGGCGCAGATACAGCGGTACGTCTGATGCTTGGCCGTGAGTGTTTCCAAGCCGCTTGACTCGGGACAAAATGTCAAAATGTCAAAATATCCAAATGCCACGACGCACCGGCTGACGGCAGAAACTTGCTTGCTGACTTGCCGAGTTGGTGTCAGCTTAATAAAACAGAAAAGTAGCCAGCCAATAGGAGGGGCCCTCTCTCATGCTCACTCTCCTTTTCTCTATGGCTCCTTCTCTCCTTCTGAGTCACCTTTTCCCATACATCTGTCAAAGAGAAAACCCTACGATCAAGGCAAGAAATGGTGGACCAATCTTGTCACACAAACGCGGCGTACCACAGGTCACTTTTTACGATGCATCCCAACGCAGGCCAAAATTCGCGATTCCCTTACTAACCGACACGCCATGACACCAATTTGGACCCTGGGAGCTCCACCTGACACAGTGGGTTCGTCTGCGCTGCACATGTAATAAATACTCCGTGATAGTTCCCCACGGGTCGCTTTGTTAGCTTCTTCTTTTTAAATAAACTTCCTTTAAACTTCATGCCTACAAGTTAAAAATCCGAGTGTGGCTCCACCGCGGGGCACCACTTAGGGTTAGGGTTGGTGGTATATTTCCTGCAAGGCGGACCTCCCTACCCTCGGATCGGCCAAAGTTGACTTGTCAGGCAAAATGACTTCTACATATGCTCAGCGCCTACTGGACTTCATGGGAGAAGCTGACAATAAGTAGTACAAGTACTATATTTATATATAGTATATGTAGATATATATCTGTCTATGCCGGATCGCTCAGCATAAGCAATGCAACCACTCGACTATTCCAAACAGGAAACCTGACACCTGCATATCCCGTCAAGCTGACCATCCGGGTATGCTATTACCAACTCCAGAGAAATACATTATTATAGCCTAATGTTGGTTGTTGCAGCTCCTGAGCCACGCTTCCAGGATATCCAATTGCGCCAGTCGCCAACTGCCCTTTTCATTAAACAATGACAAATTCCGTTTTGCTCCCCGTAGCGGCGAGACCATCTCAGAAAGCGCGTGTAAATATGGTCCTTGTTAGACGCAGTTGTGGGACATATTTTGTGATACGGCCGAGGCCGACTGTCCAAATATATACATGTCTTGGCCTCTGGCACTCGTAGGACAAATCTTCCGTGCATCGATATTAACATATGCAACATTATCTTCAAACTTTATGCCACAGCTCCGGAGCCGCGTCCGCATCGTCTTCGACGGACTCCCTAAAAGCTGAACAGTCCACTCCGTCTCTTCCCCAATGGATACACAATGAGCGCACTCATAAATAAGCCAACGCTTATTCCAATGGCCACTTGAATGACGCTGAATAGGACATTGAATGCCGTCCCGTCCAGGTTTCCAATCGTCTTGGCACTCGAGTCCACCGTAGATGTGCTGTTGCCTGTGAGCTGATTTGCAGATGTGATGCCAGCCAGCAGCGATCCGCCGGCAGCGAGTCCAGAGGGAACCTGTACGAAGATAGCCGGAAGCATTGCTGCCGCTGCAAGACTGTAGCCAACCTTCCGCGGCTGGCACGACTGTTTCTTTTGGGAAGCGCCGCCAGATTCGGGATCTGACATTGGTGGCAGCGACCATGCATCGGCGTCTGGACGGCGCCGCCTCAGGAGTCTTGGCTTGACTCGGTACTCCCACCACTCCACAGCATCCAGCCAAGCATTTTCCATGTGCCTGCCCAGCCTTGAGTACAGGTTTGCCAATATCCCGACTGTGAGGGCGCCCAGCATATTTGAGATCTGGCTATTGCCTTCAAAGTACTTGCTGCAGTAGCTGTTGACGCAGAAACCTGCCAAGGCCATTAATGTCATGACTGGTGTCTGTCTCCACTTGGCCTGGTTGATAATGCAAAGGCACAACGTGAACCCTGGGACGAACAAGAAGTACCAGTTCCGATCAAGGGGATCCTTGCAATGAGTTTCGCTCGTAGCGCTGCTATCCATCATGCCGTATAACGAGGCTCCAATTGTGATTCCATAACCGAGAAAGAGCGTATAAATCATGGCATACACCATTCGAACACTACCAGCGACGATATTGTGGCTCTGGAGCTCCAGGGAGCTGCACAATACCATGTATCCAGGCAGAATCAGAGCAATGCTGCTCTGTGCCAAAGTACTAAAGCAAAACAGCTGACCGTTGTTGATTGATCCAAAGCCCCGAGCGAGGAAAGACGTGATGACCGAGGCAGAAACCTCAAACACGTGGGCGTATAACTCGTTGCTGGGGGCGAAAACAAGCTGAAGTAGGCCAACAATGCATCCCAGGAAGAAAGCGACAGGAAGGTCGATAAATCGGCCTTCGAAGGCGAACGGCGCCACGCAAGCCGATGCAATTCCATACATGGGGACTCTGAACCATGTGTGAAACTTGGGCTCCCTTTCCATTACCTCGTCCAGACGCTGCGTCGCTTCTTCCACACCAAGCTTGTCATGAACGACATCTTTGTAAATGTTGTGCACATCACGTAACTTTCCTAGATCAATGCCTTGTGGCACCCGAACAACCTTGACTTCGGCCGTATGTGTCGTACTATCATCGAAACTAATAATCATGCAGGATGGGATGTAGAGAAATTGTCCCTCAATTTCCAGAACGCGTGATGACATGGTCATATACTCTTCGAGTCGGTGCGTGGGCGCACCGTACAGCATGAGGGCGCGGCATAGTTTGAGGAGATACTTGTGTCGTGATATTATGCCGGCGATATGGACCGTTATTCTGATCTGCTCCTTCTTGGATCTGGGGGGTTTTTCGGCCTTTTCTTTTTTGAACGTCCCTGACCAATGGTCGGAGATCTCGCTGGAACCCGTGGCAGCAAACATCGAAGAAGACTTGACAAGTTCAGTAAGAGAAGTCGTCGAGTTGCGGGCCCGATAATTGGTAAACAAACCACTAGTAAATCTTTGTCGAGATCCTCCAGATGCAGAGGGAGATCTCGGTCCTCCAGCTGCAGAAGAAGGTCTCGAAATCGGAGGTGAGGGGCGAGGCGACATGACAGGAGTTGAAGATGAGAGAGGCGTGAGTTGCCCGCTGGTATTGTTGGACTGGGTTCTTCTATCATCCTGATCAAGCTTCAAGAGCGAAGACAGAATACCGCCTCTGTACTTTGAGGGACGGGGGACATAGTCGCTGCCATAAGTTTGGCGGGACACTGGTGTATTTGTGCCAGACGAATAAATCCCTTCATGGAACAGATTGCTCCTCCCGCCCTTCTGGGTGTGAGACCTGACCAGGGACTCTGCGGCGTCCTGGTCTGCAAGCAAGCGCCGTCGGCGGCTATAGGGAGTGCGATGCCTAGCACGCTCCTTCTCATGGTCATCCTCCAATGTCACAGTGGCATCATCCGAGAAGGCGCTGTGACGATCATCTGAGTCGTGGATTAGGGGCTGGAATGAAGCTTCAACATCCGAGTTTCGCCTTGAACCAGGAGCAGAATAGCTCCCCACCGACACGGCCAAACGATCTGCTCGCTGACGTGCGTCATTCATGGAGCGAAGCTGGCGTTCGGTGACCCGACTCTCCGCTTGGTCTGCCCTCTCGCGTTCCTCCGGAACGTCATAACTTGTATTACGTCTCAGGGCGGGTCTTGGAGCTCGAGGGGTGGCTACAGGCAACAAGCTCAGTTCTTGCCGCCGCCGCCTCTCTTCTTCTTCTTCAGTCAAGACCAAGTTAAGGGCCATTCTCAATTCCACGGCGTCCGGTGCCCCGGGTGGTGTAGAGAACAACCTGGGTGAGCCTGGCTCTGATCCGAGGTCCTTAATCTCGAATGTAGGGATGGGCGTGCCACTTCCATCCCCGCTTGTAGTCCCGCTGCCTCTTCCACTGTTGCCGGCGCAAGTCGAGTCTGCGGCTGTGACAGCATTCATACTGTTGGCGGCCACAGGTGTGCTGCTCGTGGTGCTGGCGCCTCCACTGCCAGCTGGAGAGGCTGGTGATCTCCCCGCCGGACCTCCCTTTCCATAGTCCTGGCTGCTTGAATGCCAGACCACTCGCTTCTTGGTCTTTCGGTTTGGCGAACCGGCAGTTTTCGTGCTCGTGTTGGAGTTGCAGTTGTCGTTGGCGTTGTCGTTGGTGTTGTCAATGGTGGGGTCGGGCGCCATGGTTGGGAACGAAGAATTCTGCATGTGGTTCGCCCTGAGACAGGTCTCAGAACTAGCTCAAAGGAGATATCATGAGAAATGAAAAGCTTTCTCGTGCCACGGATGATGAGAGAAGAGGACACAGAAGGCGAGGAAATCTGGCCATGAAATATGTGCTCTGGAGCAATCCATAGTAGCAATGGCGTTTGAGCAGGCTGGCAGGCCAGGCACGGGTGGAAAAGCAGGCCATAACACCGGGGCCGTGGGACGGACAAATTCAAGGGCCAAGCCGGAAAGGCAAAATCTAGTTTTGTTCATGGATCTGTAGCAACTTGGGCGCGGCAAAGTAACGTCGGGAGGAGAAAAGCGGGTCGATGTGGTCCCAAGAAAAAAGGATAAAAACGGTGGTGGTGAAGGGCTAGCTGCCTGACTAACAAGCCAGGCCAAGTCTGTGGGTCACTGATACGATACAAGTCACGTACTGGGCAGCAGCAGCACGTCGACTGGTTTGTGCGTTGGTGTTTTCGCATCGCGGGCGACGAATTTTGTGGATCGTTTTGGACGGTTGCATGTGGAAGGCAAGCGGCAGGGAGGTGGTTGATCGGACATGCAGACTGCACATGCTCTTTCACATTTGCTCGGTGAGCTACCTGCTACTTGGGTCAGTTCTTGCTCCGGTCAACGGCCCTTCCTGCTTTCATGGTGGAGAGAGAAGACGTGTTGCGTCGTGGCATCGGGAACCTGAGCACCAAGCAAGTATTGGGGTAGTAGATGACTGGAGCTTCAACAGAGGGAGCCCGAGGATTCACATGAATCGGTACCTACCTAGGTACCTAGGTACTTACTTACTTAGGCAGGTACTCCGTACTTGAGTACCCAAGTAAATGCGGCGAGTAGATACGGAGTAGATACGGAGCAGGGACGTTGCCCAACGTGCCGTGCCGGCTTGTCTGGTCCTACTTACTTAATTATGCCTACCTCCCGGGCTGGGGTTCCTACCTCAGGTAGGTACTTTACTTCGTACTTACTCGGGGTACTTGAGAAGAAGCAGGTACGCAAGGCGGACGGAGGTGAGAGGCGGAGGCTCCATTGGAATATTTGGGCGGCAGAGGCGGGGCGGTATCCGTAGTTGCAGGCCATTGCCCGCGACGAAGCTGCTGGTTCCTGGCCGACACCATAACGTGACGTATATATTTGTGGGTTTCTGGAAAAAAGAAGACCATGCCGGCAATTGTACAACCCCGAATCCCTATCGAGAGGCAAAGAGACGAGCCGTTGACGTCTGAGCATCAGAGTTTTAGACTTGCCTCCTTAAGCTGGGGTGGCGGGAGGCTGCAGGTCCACTGCGGGTCCAGGTCCGTTTTGCAAGGCCGCCAGGCGTCGCATCGATCCCGGCCCCCGATAGACACGCAGCGCCCCAGCACCCAGCACTCAGCCCGCAGCACCCTGGAGCGCTGGGCCTTGGCGCACGACCCACCAGGCACGCGGCAAGGCGGCCTGCACGGTCACGGCTCTTCCGGCACATGCAGCCAACAGAGTGACGACGGGACAGCGCAGGGCAGCATCACACACACATTGCAACATGGACACTGCACAACATCACCACATCACACCTGCCATGCATCGCATCGCCCGACAGCCACACTCGTCATGACAACTGCACTGCACCCCAGGCTCTGGTAGCTGACCACCCATGCGACCACTTGCCACCAGCAGTAAGTTGGTGGCACTCCGTAGAATTACTCAAGAAGTAACTTGAGTAAGTACCTAGGTACCTAACGTACTCAAGTAAGTACGTACCACCAAGGCGCACGGCAACGGCCAGCCTTGGTTGACTGTTCATGCACCATGCAACGCCAAGGATTCGGGACAGCATGAATCGATGCGAAATAGTAATACTAGTACGTACGTAGTTACGTTAATATTTAGTACTATGACTACCAGACGATATTACATTGCTCTGGTGGGGTTTGCCAATTCCATAGAATCCACACGGTTCAAAGCTCCCAAAATAGATGACGACTCGTGCGACGTGAGCCTCGTCGTGACGTGCGCTGCTTTCCCCTTTCCTTGTCTTGGGACTTTCTCTCCTTCTCGTTCCCTAGGTATGGCGTCAAGCACAGAATTTTCATGTGTGCTTGCTCAATTGCTTCACGCTGATACGACCGTCTTCAGCCACCGGACAGACATATGCATCCAGACCAGGTTTCCAGGCCCGTCCTTGATGCTACTACGTAGTACATTGGCATAGCGAACCATGATAACGGAGACGTGGAGCCGTTGTGCCGGGTAATATGATCATTGCACCAGAATCCTCCTATTCGTCTCTTCAAGACTTGTGCAATACGTACGAGCAGACGAGTAAGTCACATGCCGAGATCAAGGACGACAGGGTACCGGGGCTGCGGCCAAGTATCGATGGGAAAACGGAGGTACTACGGAGTGCTGCTCCGCATTCTATACAGAGAAAATAAGCGCCCGTGTCGCGCATTCGTCAACGTGGTAATGCCTCGAAGCTACCGCATTGCGCTTGGCAACGCTGGTACGGGCATGAATATGCCTTGTTGTCTGCCGTCCTCGCCCACCTATTCGCAGCCCATGTGGCCTTGAACCATGACTCCCATGAAAAAAATGATGCCAATTTCTGCCTGTCGAACTGACGAGCGCTTGCTATGGGTTGGTGGCGGCATTTCAATGTCCAGCAAGCAAACTTGGAACGTTGGGGGCCGGGCTCCATGGTCCACCTGATGCTTGGAGCAAAACCGTTTCGGTGTCCAAGCACTCCAAAATTAGTGACGTGGAAACAAGCCCCTTTTTTCTGGTATTAGCCTGATGCTGCCAATCTACGGTGGGTATCTCGGCGTCTTCGACGTCTTGGCACCTCTCACATCACCGGCATCCCATGTCGCGGCCTGGACGTTGGGCGTTGCCGATAACTCGTTTTCATTGCGGGAACTCGCCAAAACCGAACGTGCACACATACACATAAAATAGTCCGCGCCTCTCTTGCTTTTCGCTTCTGTGTGCCGAGAAGCTAATGGTCAGGATTAGCATTCAGCTACCCCGTACGGACTCAATTGCCACAGACCTTGCGTTCCGGTTTTCGCTCGACCTTTGACCGACTTCTAGGGCCGGCAAGGCTGATGACAGCCGCCGGTGCGACGTCTGGCGGGATCCCAAGTTGTCTGTAGGCACCTAGTGGTCGTCCAAGGTCGAGATGCGCGGCGGGATTGGGCAGTGGAGGGCGTTTCTGCGACAGAAACGCTCAGAAACGCTCGGGGAAGGAAGGACTTGACGCTCGGGTCATTACTCTGCACAATTTCACAATTTGTTAACTTCCATTTGTGCACTTGTCGCAGATTCGTGCGATTTGTGTCCCGATTGGCTTAGCGCGGTTTGCCTGGTGCCGGTGCCAAGGGCCACTACTAATCGTAACGACAAGACACCAGGCACTTCTTCTCCCCCCCCTTCCCTTCTTCCCCTCATGCCATTCGTGTCGCCGAATATTTTTGCGCCCCGAGAAAAATTTTTTCTTCTCCTAGGGGCAGGTAGTGTCTTATTCCTATCCGCGAGCATTTACCGGAGGGCCAGCCTCTCAGGGACTCGCAGCCTTCCCAGCATGCCACGAGCTTGCCGAGAGTGCCGGCTTATTTGCGCGGTCACGCGACGGTGTCATTCTCGTTCAACTCTTCCTTCTGATATTTACGTGACCAGCGGCCGAGGCATATTCCTTCTTCATTCGAAGTACAATACTCTCTGGGTCGAGGCATCCGACGTCGGATATCTGCGTTGTCCGTCAATGTAACATGATGGCATCCGTAGACAGCAGTGGATGCAACGCAACTCCATCATTCTTCCCTTTGACCGCAACAACGTCTCGAGTTATGTAGCGACGAGACTTTTTGTCATAGACTGCGATTAGATGAGCAAAATACCCTCACTGTTCAAGGACGTTGAGTTTTGGACTCGAAAGACGCTTTTTCTTTCCCAACTGGGCTGCAGCCACAAGACTGCCAGCACACCACGACAGGTCAGGCAAAATGGGGTGTTCAGGCGTCTCTCGCGATACCTCGCTTATTGTGCTGCAAGCCTGATTGAGTTGCGTCCGACCTTGCGGCTTTCAGCCTGTAGTTGACCACCGACCAGCCGATGGTCGAATCCAGTGTTGAGCCCAATAACCCTGACAGGCCGACTGGCTCGTCTTTGTGGCCTCAAAGGCATTACATAAAAGGCAGCGTGTGAAGCGCCCCTCTGAACATGCTGAATCCTAGCAGCACTTGTCTCAAGACTCCTGGTCCTAGTTCATGACCAAGTTGTCGTTGTGGGCATTCCATTCTGCACCTCCCAGGTGGAGTAAGTTGAAAGGCACATGTGAGATGCCAACCACATCGTCAGCTTCATCAAGGAGCCCAATAGCTTTTTCAGTCACTGAAACCATGCCACATGCAGTCAGTCCCCCAGCCATTGGTTACTGCGAGGTCCCAACGCGGCTCATTGTTCATGGCGTACACCGGACGGCATTGCTCAGCTTGCGTAAAGCCCTCCACCAGTTGGGCTTTTGTAACTGCTACCACACGACATCCACGAGGACTTCGAAAGCGATACTGATGTGTGGATTCAGGCTCTCGAGGCCAAGTTTGGCGACAAGGGCAGAGATCGGGAAAACATGTGTGGTTTGGGCTTCTCAGCAGCATTGGCGCCTGGTGCATACCCACAAGGCTCCTCCGTTAGAGTGTTGCCAGAGATGGAGGTTGTGAGGGTTTTGGACAGAGGGTGAGGGTGGTGTTGCGCTTTGTTGTCCAAGGGACAGCAAGGCAGTCAGTCACGCTGGGCTTTATGGGCTATGATAGATCCATGCTGTGGGAAACTCGTCTTGGTGGACAACTCGGAGCTGGCTTTGAAGAACCTCCTCTTGCCAGACCAAGTTATAAAGGTTATGCTTGTAAGAGCAATCATAGAAGCACACCTTTGACCTCGAGCCAACTTGCCGAGGTGCCGAGGCATTCTCCGCAAGCAATGGTGAACAAGTAGAGCCGGCTCTCTTCTCGAATCATACAAACTCGCTCCAGCATAGCGTCCGATATGGCATCGCAGGAACGCCGTCTTGACATACAAGATGATGTTTTGAACCAACAATTGGGACTCATCCCAGTGTTTGGCTAATTTATTACCCTCTTGGGCGAGATTCTGCCATACCTTGCACATCCATTGGCCAGCCTCATGCAAGACACACGTACACAACGCTGGAGCCCTACGCCGAACGGAGATGTTTTGTACGGAAAACGGACGGAGTACCTACCCATGCGGTACATTGAATTCCTTCAGATGGAGTCATGGTCCGTTTCTAAACCAACTGCCCGTCGTCGTCGCCTCGCATGGACGGTCCCAACATCGACAAGCCACCTGTTGACGCACCAATTTCCCAGCCACAGACAATTTGACAAGAGGCAATATATCTTGGCTACGCGGCAACTCTCATGACTCCTCCGACTCCTCCGACTCCTCGATGAGTGCACTAACCTCGCCTCGGTCTGGATTCTTCGCCATCAACCAAGGCCCTTGACCTTGATCGTGTGCCAGGCTTCACTGAAGCATGACTTGACCATTCTGTCGGCGCGTTGGGCGGATAACACTCCAGACCTATAGTCCCGCCACTACTACGCAAAGAACGCCTTGGGGACGATGGAGCAATCCCCTTGCACAAAAAGGGTAAGGGCAACCGCTGGAAGCCAGTCATGAGAGACACGGGTCCTGTGATGGAATGCATCATGTTTCAGGTGACACAACGGGACAAAAAGGCTTGGTGCAAGAGCGCCGGGGGTAGCTAGCCTCTTTTCCTTTCTTCCCGTCGTGAACAAGGCGACATGGTGATGCGTCTTGCTCACAATCATGACGTACAATCAGATTTCTCGGGCGTCCGCTATTCGAGCCTACACTTGAACGCAAATGCAATCCTCGCGTCAAGTTGCAGTTCGATGTAAGAGGGAATGAAGGGAAGAGAAAGACGAGCAAAGGACAAAGAGCTTGCCACACATGTCCACCATACAGCTTTGGCCAGAACAGCCACCGACTTTGGCAGACGAGCCACGATGCCTTCGCCGAGGTCGACTCCCAACAAAAGGTCCATGTCACGATGGCCATGCCACTCCCATTCCCCATCGTACTGAACCCCTGCTGTTATAATCCAAGCCTCAGCATCCCAGAAGATGGCTGGGAAAGCCTCCCTCCCACCGTCCCCATCGCAACACCACGCGTATACTCGCATTGCTCTCAATCGCTCCCGTTGCCCTTATAAAGCAACTTCAGCGGCCCCTTGACCTCGTAGCTGGTTGTATTGTGGTCACTCGTCACGTCACACGGGTCATGGACTCATGGCGCAAGCGTCGTCACTTTGTTCCTCACAGTCGTCATACGTCCCTGGCACACGAGACTCTTCACAGTCGCATTCACGCACGTACAAGTCCTGTTTGTTGCGACCGCGCAGTGCGTGTTGACGCAATCCAAGACAACATTCCAACGGACCTGCCCTGAAGGAGGCGAGATGCCTGCGTGCTCTCCCATCCACGTGTCCGTTTCGCCATCATTTCCACGATCCACCAGACATCACAGATTCACCACGCTCTGTGGGTCGAAGAGGGAATAAAAGAACCTGTAGCATCGCAATACCATTAGCGCATCGGTCCAGGAGCACAGCAATAACCCGAGTCTTGGGCTGAAACCCGTAAAGAGCTTGTACGTCACGCGGGATGGCATGTATGGACGAGATTGAAATGAAGCCGTGATTCACGACGTGAACGGGGGGGGGTATTGTTTGCGCATCAAGCGGTCCGCACAACTCGATCGATCCAAGAGGCCTCGTCACGCATCTCAGGTCTGTGCCATCATCGCCATAGGATCCATCCTCGCCTTATCCTTCCAGCCCGGCTCAGTATGCATCTTGACCCTTTGCGATGACCATGACGACTGTGCCCAACTACTCTCCTGCTCGCCCTTCCCAAAGGAACCATTCTCCCTTCAACGGGGCCCGTCAATGTCGGACGCTCTCCAAACATGTACGTATGTTTGTCTGAGACTGTAACAACCTTACTTCCCCTGTGCTCAGAAACACGAGCTCTGGCATCATAGGCCTTTTTTTCTTTGAACAATACCAGCGGTACTTGCTCCCGGCGAAAGGGGCATTTGAAGTATACTTCGATATCTAGTGTCCGGGTTGCCGGGTTGCTCGGCATGGATACCGTGCGTCGCTCAGCACAAACACATGCAATCCTGAACATCACACCTCTTCCAGGGTTGACTGCTATGTTCCCGGGCGACAAGGTCGGTGTTCATGTTCCAGAAAGAGGAAGACGTGGCTATGCTGCCGCACTCCTCGGTTAGGCCTGAGAACAAGTCGATGGTTTGGACGTGCGCCTTGGCGGAGAACGTGAAGAAGTTGCCGAGAGGAGGTGCCGCCGGTCGCTCCGGCAATGAGAGCACACCGGCCATGGCATCTTTCGTTCTTGGGGAACTCCAGATCTGACAGGCTTGATATACGCCGCACACGACGAACGATACTGGATACCAGTGTTCCCGAGGCACTCCATGTTCATGGGCTTCATCGGATACTGGCCCTCGTCGACAACGACAGTCTTGGTCTGTGACGTCCTTGTTCGCATAGTTCATCCAAAGATGCTGACTCCATTCACTCCGTGTTGCTCTCATCGAGTCCCGCGCTTTATTTGACCACTTGCTCGAAATGCCGGCGGTAGCGTCGTTAGACGGCAGCGCCAGAACGCCCGACCCATGTGCCCTGCCCTGCCCTGCACGACGTGAGCAGTGTTTTTCTCAAAGCCGTCATGATAAGTCTTGGTAGACAGCGTCGTGAAATTGCTCTTTGAGGGCCAAGGCTCTCGGCCCTATTTGATAATGACAAAGGCAACACGTCCAGGTCCCTCGGCAGAACGGATACATCTTCACGGTCCTGACCTTGCGCGCATGGCAAGAACGTCTCTCGGTCGGCTTCGGTGTCCCCGGCGTCAAGTGACTGATGAGCGTACACGTCGTACGTGTACGTCCCGGCAGACAGAGCCTGGCACGGCCCGTACGGAGTCCAGCACGTCGAGTTGGTTGTTGCCCGCCGGGCCCGGCATGCCCGTTGGATCCTGCGACGGTCCACGGATTTCCCTTTCTCGACATCGAGTTCAGTCTTGAAAGATGAGGCGTGGAAGCCCATAGCTCAGTTTGTGCCTTCTTGAGCGAGACACGTTTCTCTGGGTGGCAGACAAACCTCTCCATCTGATCCGCCTCTCGCACTCTTGTCGAGGACGTCTTCCTTGCCCCTTTACGAAAACAACGAAAGCTGAGAGGGGGCTGCTGTTAAGAAGCATGGTTGAAAAAGCAAAGAAGAGAAGAAGATGATGGAATTCAACCATGAAACAAAAGAAGTTACATGGTAAATGGCCCAGGCATAAATTACAGTCGCCATGCCGCCATGCAAGCCAAACACGGATGCGCTGTACTCCCCCTCATGTAATATCTACAGTCGATATGTAAGAGTCTCTAGAAGCTGCTGTTCTTCCTGCGTAAGAAACATGTGTTCCGGCACAATCACTTCTCCTCGTCTAATAACGACTTCCCCAGCATGCTGATGGGCATTCGTAAACCTCACGCTCGTGCCTCCGACCGCATCACTGTCGCTCGACTCGACATTGTTGCCGGCATCTCCAACGGTCGACTTTCTGGAAGTGACCGCCGATGCCGGTGCCGCGAGGCCGTCTTCTGCCTTTTCTTCGTCTACATCGTCTTTGTTCGATTCAGTCGAATGGCGTCTGCGTAGTATGGATCTTCCGGTGCCAAGGTCCTCGGGAGTCCACCAGTACATCGGGAAACGTCTTTCCAGGTTGTTGACCAGCAGCGCTACCCCGAGCATAAGCGCACATCCCAGCAGGACGACGGGGAGCATAAACCATCCGAGGTGGACCAAGGTATCGTCCACAACGGCGAGCAGCGCCGTGGCCCCTGCAGGCGGGTGCACAGTCTTGGTCAAAGCCATCAGAGCGGTTGCGCAGGCGCAGGCAAGAGCTCCGCCAAGCCACTGGATGTCCTTGAAGCTGTCACTCAGCTGGAAAAGTTTACCAATGGCAATCCCAACAAATGTCGAGACCAGCTGTCCCAAGATGGCATTCCGAGGCTGGGCAAGGGGCGATTCGATTGCGTAAAACTCCAGAACCGCAGCCGCGCCCTGTCGTGGTGGTGAAGTTAGAGTCTGCTTCGTTTCGTGCCATGACGTGCGGAATCGGTCCAACAGTCTGGCAGTCCTCTGGTCTGGCACAAGGAAGGGGGCAAAACTGGGACAAGGGCTTACAAAACTGCCCACAATCATGGGGGCGCCTCGTGCCTCGAATGACGGCACTCGCTTCGACACAGCCTGTATCATGAGAATGGCGACAAAGGCGCCAATGAAGGCCCAGAGAATGGGCATAATGTTGCCGGTGCCCTGTGGTTTTGACTTGCGATATCCAAGCCACCTTGCTACGGGGTAGGGCAAGAAACGCCATGGCGGTGACGGCACCAACGGATTAAGAAGTCGATCAATGTCGAAGTTCCACGTCCTGTGAGGCAAAGCCATGGTGTCGGCGTCGTCGTCAGCCCGCGAGCCCCCGACAGGCAACCGGCGAAGTGGAACGTTCGGATAGTGTAGAGCGTCCCCGGAATCCGTCGTGCCCGTCGTTTTGCACGGTAATGGCCAAGACGATGCCACTGGCTATCAAGTCGTATAAGGGGACAGGCCGTGGGAAATACTCGCGGAGAAATAGGTCAGTCTCGCCCGTCCGGACATCGAAAGAAGCTCTCCCGAACGCACCGCGGCCTGCGGTGAGTTCTTTCAATTTCGGCGACAGGAGACATTGAGTAACACAAATCCAAATTGGGCTTAGACACGACACGGGTAAGGCCAAGTACGTACGGGGTTTTCCCCAGGATTCCGTGTCAAAAACCATGTCGTTAGGCCAAGCCACGTCTGCGTCTCGATGAACGCCCTTGGTGAAGCAAGGCAGCGGTCTCCAGTTTTCTGACCAATTAGGAACTCGGAACCCTCGGCGTTGGCTCGGGGAGCGGCATCTTTCTGGAGCTGTCATTTTAGCCCCTTGACCGTGATCCGAGGCCCAAGATGCATATATCCATCCATGTTTGACCAGACGGCGACTTGACACTTTTGGGAAATTGACCTCCCATCACCAGCTGCCTCTCGGAAACGCAAGCGACAGCCCTACGACGTGCGGGTGGGCGCTGATGCTACGCCAGCTCCGATAGAATGGCATCCGCAAACAACTTTGTCGGGTGGACAACCAACCACGTCTGCCAGGTCCAATGTTGTGTCACTCGAATCTTATCACGCCATCGCCCTTTCAGTTCGCCGCACCAGACCTCTTTCGGCATGCCCAGACCTCTCTCGGCATGCGAGGACGATGCTGCTGTTTGTCAAGTTGCGACAATGAGGACGTCTATCAAGCTGAACTGGAGTGGAGGTAGATTCGAGGGTCGAGAGCCTGGCATGCAAGTTCAATATGCTTCATCGGGGCTTTCGTGACTCGGAGGCTGTGCCAAAGTGTGACAATAACACGTAGAGGACTTTGGAGGGAATTAGCAATGTGTCGGAAAAGTTTGGGTACTAAGCTAACTGCTGGACATAGATATTGCCGAAATATCAAGCGGGTTGTTTGGTATCAAGTTTTATAGAATCGGAGAATGGACTTCAGAACAGACTTATACCGGCACCTGTCTGCACCTACCTTCGACGACAACTTCAGCCCAGGAGAATGACAGTACATAGATGTACTTGGATTGAGTTGCTGCAGAGATCACATTGCGCTTGTCGGTCTCTTTTTTGAGCTATTGCTGCCCATGCTCAGCGGACAACAGCATCATCTCAGCTGTCCGATTTGGCCGAGTCACCGGCGTCAGGCAGCGAGATTCCACTCCACGCAGAGTTCAACACAACACCTCGCCACCACAACGGCGTAAGGCTGTTTATGATACGAACTTGAAATAATCTATATCTCTTTTACTCGATCAATTGCTTGCAGAAACTACCAAATAGAATTGTCTTGTTACATCCGCTTCGCGGCTGGTCAGCGTTCCGACTTCTGACAACTCTACAACTTCAACCTCTCACAACCTACCCAAACACCGCCTTCTTCACCCAACTCCCAAGGGCTGAATAGTAACATATATCGGACTCGAGCCTCCGTAGAAATGGCTCAAAATTCCTTGACCCGTTCAGAGGACTTTGCAGTGCGGAACTGGCTCAAGGCTGCCGAGAACTCGCCCAGTGTCGGTTGGCACGTCCAGGCCCAGAGTGTCAGAGAAGTATTTGAAGAAGACGTACCGAAAAGCTCGCCAGTGTTAGCCCGGAAAAGACTCTGCCGGGCGTATCGTGGTTCCCAAGGCGAATCTGCCGATTCAGTCACGAATATGCACCTTCAAGACCTCACACAGCTATCAGCATGCTTCTTTGACATGCACGTTATCCTTGGACGAATCAGCCGCGATCTCGAGCATTTCTCGTCAAGAAAGGTATGAAATACAGCTGATTCTGAAGCCCCCCAAAGCCAAATTTAACATTTCGCACAGGATGAGGCAAGCCAACTTATTCTGGACAACACAGAGCTTCCTGGAAGCGACATCCTGGCGGCACTGAAAGCCACGAACCCAATCTTGCGAACCACCATCACCACCAACACATCGGACATCTCTGACTTCATGGAGATGCTATGTGGCATAATGCAGACTATGGAAGGGAATGATTGCCCTGAAGCGGCAGGGGCTCCTGAGTTCTGGGCTCCAATCTCAGAAGGAGATGCTTGGAATATTGCCTTGCCCAGTGACGATCTCTTCAAAACAGATGCGTTACAAAAACCCTCCACTCCGCCAAGTCAAGGATACACGTTGAAGTACCACGGCGACATCAAGCATGTTGATTCCCCGCGTCTTTACGTATCCCGCCCGTCGAGCGCCCGCAACCCCCGGCCACAGAGTCGCCGCGTAATACTCGACAACCTACCAGGCGACATAACCACATGCCAGGTTCTCCAGAGCATCAAATGCTACGGGGGCGTCATATCCGCATTCCTCGCCGACAGTCTGATCAAAGCGAGCGCCAGGAAAAAGACGGCAGTAATAGAGTTTGTCTACCCCGAGGCAGCCGCAGACGTCGTTTCTCACCTCCACAAGAACAAAGTTGCGTTTCTCGACCGCAGAGGCGATGGACATCAGCCACAGACATACGTGGTTCCCACGCCATCTTACTTTTACGCCGAGCTCAACCGCCGCTTGCTCAGCAGAGGCTGCACCCGCGCCCTGATAATGCCCAACTTCCCAGAAGGGGCTATCTGGCACGTCCTCTGCACCATTGGCACCAGACACATCAGCACAGTCCGACTATCGCAAGGCCATCTATCCATGGAGTTTACGTCCCTTTTCGAGGCGAACAGGGCAGAGAGAGAAATCAGACACGGGAACGCGGCCATCGGGTACGACGCCGCCGAGCAGGGCATGTGCTACATACCCGACTCGTCCCAGGGCAGGATGCAGGACAACTACGACTCCCACGGGGGCGTCATCCCCTTCACCGAGCCCGACGTCCTGCGGACAGCGTGGGATCGGGAGCCGTACAACACACGCCGCGCGCCGCCACCTCACGACACCCCCGGCGGCAAGCTCGCGCTCTCCTCGAAAAGGACGCCGGAGGAAATCCTCGCAGAGTACTTCTGCATCGACCCGTCCGAGGTATGGAGCCATCTCCAGGACCGCAAGTCCTTCAAAGACACGACGGACCGTAGCATTGGGGTCGCCGCCAGACTCACCCGTCACAAGTGGAGTTGGAGCATCACTGCCGAAGACGAACTCAAGCTCAAACTCCTCATGGCCAACACCCTACACGACCCCGACTGGGCAGACAAATGGGACGAGTACTTCAGGGCCAGGGACATGATCAACCTACGGACCTGGGAGGAATACGGCATGTTGGCCAAGCATCGACGAGAGTGTGCCGAGGCGCAGGGTTTGCCAGAGGGCATGGTGCCCACTTGCGACGGCTGCTCTTGGGGGTGTGTGAGTTTGAAGAGCGCGCCTGCTCCGAGGCTGGTTCAGGATTATTTTTCGGGCCCATGTGTGGGTGCAGAGGAAGATTAAAAGACGGGCATGATGAGTTTCTCCTCCATCGACGCGGGCTCAGGCATGTCTTTGCTCGAGATGGCAGCAGCAGGTAGCCGGGTCAGGGAGAAAAGACAAAACCATTACCGCTGGGCCGTCTTCATTCGAGGTCTCTCATGGACTGGGGTGGGCATTTGCTGCGAACGAACGAGAGTGAGGCCTGATGCTCAGGACTCGAGGGGGTTTCTTGCTGTTATGGAATGGACTGACAAGTTCCCATCCACGGGGTTTCAGTCAATACTTGCTACTAATTCACATTTCCTGCCGGGTATGTATGTAATGCTACTAATATCATCATCCCGTTCATATAGAACCGACTCCTTGTTGTGCACGCCGGGTTCCCTTTTTCCTGAAGCACCAACCAAGCGTCTTTCTAGCACCTGTTTCCCTCCCAAATTGACAAATCTAAACGCCGTTTTTGCCCGTTCCCCCATACCCCTGTGACTGTCGGGCCAGCAGTTGAATAAACACCAAACACCAGTGGTAACGTTACCGAGGCTTTCTTTTAAAAATCCCTTCTAGACTCGAATTCGTTCTCAAAGACGAACATGTAATGGTCATAAATCATCCTCGATGAATAAGCCGTCCTTTTCACCGACTCCCTGCGGTGTGTCAACAAGAAGCAGGTCGTTTCCTCGGTCTTCTGCCTGGGCCATGTCGTTGACAGAGCTATATGTGGCAATCCCGTCGCCCCATGCGACGCTTTCCGGCGGTTCTCGTTCCCGGCGAAGCCTGGCTCTACTCTTCTTGTCCAACTTGGTGAAGGTTCGGATTAGTTTCCGTGGAAGATGATGATCCGGTTCCCACGAAGTTTGCTGGTTGGGTGGCCAATCACCCGACCAGCGAACCAAGAAATATCTCACGAGCCCCTGACCTTCGACATTGTAAAATGCCATATCCTCCAACCTTTCAACCTCCCAAGTCGGTTCTCCGTCTTTCTCTGACTGATTGGTAGCGATCGGTGATTCTTTGCGCCTCTTTTTGGCGGATTTGGGTCGTGTCGACTGCTGGGTGGAACTATCAGCTAGTCCGGCGGCTGGCGCGCATGCCGCATGGTCCCCATTTGACTCTCGTGTGTAGGACGATTTCGGAAGGCTTAAACTACCGGTGAGGCCATCGAGGCCGGCAGCACTGGAAGAAGCGGTGCCTTCTACACATGCTACTAAATCAGCGTGGTCAGGAGCCCGTGAGGCGTCGCCTGCCTTGAATATCGGGGTTGTTGCTGGGTTCGGTTCTATGAAGGTGGTCTCATATCCTGGCATCCGGTTTATATACGACGGCAAGGGAACAGGTGTATTAATAATTTCCCTCTTAGGTCTCTGTGCGGCGTCGCTGTCCACCGTGTCATTCATAAATTCAATCTGCATGTCCCCGTTTCCGGCTCTGGCCAAAGGCGCATCCCAAGAGTCTTCACAGCTATCGTCCCCAAATATCTCGCGGGCAAGCTGATTTGTCGGGCTGTTTTCGTTGTCGGAGAGGCCCTCAAAGTCTGCCAGTTTCCGCTTCTGCGGGGTGGACAAGCTCATCGCTCCCATCTTAGGACGAACGACGTTTCCTCTTTCGGTCTCGGACTCGATAGCAGCGGCTGGCTCGATATCGGTGTGGGCTGGGGGACGGGCTTTGTGTTTCTGTTTCAATCCGCCGAGGCCAATCTTCCTCTCCTCTGCCAGTTTAATCCGTTCCTGGTCTAATTCGTCCTCGAGGGTCTCCTCCCAATCTTCCAAGGCTCTGGGCGATACGTAGTCGAGAATATCCATAGCTGGGACCAGCAGGCTCGCGGCGGGAAGATCGTGCCAGCCAACTATATACGTCATTCGCTTTGGCAATGGTTTCCCGTCAACAGCCAGACCGGGCGAAGGCAAGAGGATACGTTCGATGATGTACGCGCTGGATGAGGCGGGCGGCAGCAGCCTCAGCGGTTGTAGCGATGGACCGCATCCTGGTGTGTATTTCGGTCGCGGTCTGATTTCTATGACCAGTGTCGGTTTCGATGTCGGCTCCGGTGACGCTGTCGCTGATTCGGATGACTGAGACTCTTCGTCCGAGCTGCTCAGGACCAGCGCGGATGCCATTTCCGTAGTCTGCAATGCATCATCGGGGTCAATGCGGCGTGCTGGCGCAGAGCCAGGAGGAGGTGCTCGACTAGGCTTCACAGGCTTGGAGGCTTGAATTCGTTTTTTTTTTTGCCGTTTTCCCAAGAGCTGTCACGGATGCCAAGAGGAGAAATCTGAGCTGCGGCGATGTGCACTGTGTTTACGGGTGCCACACGGTGGAGATGGCAGGCGCGTTGCATGCCGGCGTCGCTCGGCAGGGCGTACCCAAGTACCCAAGTACTCGGTACTTAACCGAACATTGATGCACTCAGCCAATGAGGCGGCGTCGGAACTATTGTAGAACAAGGTTACAAGACCTGGAGTGTGGTGGTTACTAGTCAGGCGGAAGCTCCCTAGTCCGTTTAACACGTCAATGCTCTGGTAACTTAAATTGGCAGCCTAGGCAAGAAAAGAATATGAAAAGAAGCCCTGCTCACCCTTTGATGTTCTGTTGTTGGGTTCATCATGGCCAGAGAAGATGCCCTCCCCTGCATGTACTTCGTACTCGGTACTCCGTCGATGTTGCACACGGCACAAGCGGCGCCCTCAGCCGGGCTTCTGCCGCTAGCAAATCGACACGCCGCCTGCTTCCCGATCCAGCGACGGGCATTTTCATCCTCTCCAACGCTCCCCCGATCACGAGTGCCAACAACAGCTTCCCTCCCAAGTTCGACTCTCCAACTCTATCCTCGATTGCCAGACGAACCTCCATCAATGCTTTGACGGGCCACTCGAGGGACGTGCTCCAAATCCCTGCCATGGCTTCGTCTTTCAAGAATCTGGCTCTGCGCCTGCCCAGAGCCACCTCCAGCAAGTCTCATACTGCCGTCCTCCGATGCTGCTCGAAAACTCCCATGTCGACCGCCGCCCCCTTGCAACCAAGTAGCCGTGCAATCTCCTTGACATTACACAGCAGCAGTCTCGCTCGATCTGGATCTTGCAGATCCATGCTCCCACTGGTTCCCCGGGCCCGCGCCACCTCGCCCATGACGATTGCTTCACAAGCTCGATGCTTTGCTAGCGCTTTTCCGTCAGCGACTAGCTCGGGAGCTTCCCCCAGGCCTTCTGCCTCTCCATCCGGGCCCACGTCCTCACTCGACTGGGACTCCTTTTTCAAGTTGCGGCTTCGCCGGCGACGTATCCAGCTGTTCTTCTCCGTCACGACCGGCCTGCTTGGTGGCGCCGGCGGTGCTATTCTGCTGTCCACGGGCATGGCAGAGCCTGTCGTGGTACAAATTCCTCTGGACCCCTTCGTCACTCTGGGGCTGATGACGCTGGCTTGTGCGGCCATGGGGTGGCTCATCGGCCCCAGCATCGGAAACCAGGTGTTTTACCTCATGAACCACCGCCTCAAGGCCCAAATGATGAACAAGGAGACGGAGTTTTTCGCGAGGGTGAAGAAGAACCGAGTGGACCCCTCCAACTCCAGTGCCGGTAATCCAGGTACGTCCAGCTAATTTCTCCTTTGACCATTAGTCTCCAGAAATACAGACCAACGCTCCTGCAGTGCCCGATTTCTACGGCGAAAAGATCCAAAGCGTCTCTGGATACCGACAGTGGCTCAAGGACCAGCGGGCATTCAACAAGAAGAAGACCAGAGCGTTTGTGTAATGAAGTTTCTGCTGTATGCTGGCAACCCGTTCGCTCCAGATGGACTGGGCAGAAGAGAAATATCCGCGTAATAGCTTAAAGAGGTGGTTGTGCCGACTACCTTGATGTACGGAGCGCTGAGACGAGGCGAAAGAGAAATCATGTGCCCCAACTCTCGTTGTAGCAATATAGCATCATCTCATCACGGTGTACATCTACTCATCTACTCTCCCAGCTCTTAATAGCTCGGCTCTCGCTTTCCGTGTATCATTTTGTATTTTTGTATTTTTTTTATATCATGTTTACACGAGGCCATTTACAGAAATGGTAGTGAATCATCAACACTGTCTTTCCAAGACCTCAGTCCCCCCAAAATGTCTCCCACAAAACGATGCCCATTGCGATCCAAACCCAACTCCTTCAATTTTGCAGCCGCAATTTGTGAATCGTTGCCCACCCGACACACAACATATATCGGCACATCGGCAGGCAGATCCGCCGGGATGCCCTCGGGCAGCGTGTCACCACCACGATGACTCGTGAAGCGACCTATAGGAACATTGATAGATCCAGGAATGTGCGACAAGCTGAAGTGCTCCTTGTCCCTCACGTCCACGAGCACATGGGTCGCGCCGCTGGCAGCCAGCCGCTGGTACTCCTGGGCCGTGACGCGCTCCTCCGGCCGCAGCAACCGCACCGGCCTCGTCACACCGCAGAACTGAACGTAGTCCATCGACGACGCCAAGCGCTCCAGAGTCAGCTGCGCGTTCTCGCCGCAGGCAGAGCATTCACTGCGCCTGCCTCTCATACGGACCGACCTGAAGGGCGCACCGTCCGTCACGCCATTGAAGAGCAACATGGTCGGCCGAATCTCTGCCTGGGCAGAATCCGCCGGTCCCCGGCCAGCGCCGCACACGAGCTTAATGGCCTCGAGCGCCTGCAGGACGCCCATGACGCCGACGACGGGGCCGACGATGCCGCCTTCGCCGCAGCCAACGACGCTCTCGGGGGGAGGCGGTCTGGGAAACACGCACCGGTAGCAGGGCCCCCTGCCGGCCGGGCTGTTCAGCACAATGAGCTGCCCCGACGTCTGGAAGGCCGCCGCAGACACCAGCGGCTTCCCGAGGAGCACGCAGACGTCGGATATGAGATAGCGAGACGTCGGGTGGTCGGTGCAGTCGAGGACCAGGTGATACTGCGAAACGATGGCCCCCGCGTTCTGCGGCGTGAGATGCGTCGCGTGAGCCCTGTACGTAACGCTCGGGTTCAACCTGCCCGGGACCGTCAGCGAAACGGGCCAGCCGATGCAAGATTGGTTGCGCGGCGTCGCCGGACGCGGCCTTACTCGCGGAGGAACGTGATTGCGCTCTCGACCTTGGACGTGCCCACGCGGGCGGTCGAATGGGCAATCTGCCTGTGCAGGTTGGACATTTCGACCTCGTCTCCGTCGACGAGGCCGAGGACACCGACCCCCGAGCCGGCGAGGTACGCGGCCGCCGGGCAGCCGAGTCCTCCGGCGCCGACGAGCAAGACCTTTGCGCGCCCGAGTGCCCGTTGACCTGGTCGCACGCACGCGACGCGTCGTCAGCTCTCTCTGCTCCCGGTGGTAGTGCGAGCACAGCTCCCTCGCGGGGCTGACGACGAACCTTGCAGTCCAAAGTTGGGAACAATCATCTGTCGCCCGTAACGCTGGTATTCGTCTTCCTCAAGCGGCCATTTCCAGTTGTTTTCAGAAGCAGCCCTGCCTTGGTGAGCCTGTTTGGTGGCGAGGCACGCCCTCAGACGGGCCAGCTCCGATTCACGCGCTGCAATCTCCTCTCGGAGATGTCGTATTTCGTCCATGGCCCCCACGAGCAAGATGGCTGAATCGCAGACCGTGGCCGCCCTTCGCAATCATAGCAAGAGCATCGAGAGCACGCGAGTCCCAGACTGGATTCCGTCAATTTCAGGGCACGAAGGGGGGGAAAAGCCCCAAACGTTCGAACGTGTTTGTGTTTGCCTCTGCATCTGCCCCTCCATCCTCAACACTTAACGTTACTTGTTGGCTCGCCCCACCAAAAATTTCCATACTTCCAACCTCCGACATCCTCCCAGTTCTGCCGTCAACACCAACCGAACCGCAGAAATCGCAATGGTACGGCCTCCCTCCCTCTGGCATGAGCGCTTGCAAGAACTGACAGTCTCACTCCCCCCTTCCCAGGCGCCTCTCCCCCCTCCCGCCAGCAGCAGGGCGCCATCCGCGCGGGCGCTGCGCATGCAACGCATCACGGGCCAAATCCATCCCCTCCTCCCATCCAAGGTCTTCCGCACAGACGCCCGCGTCTCCGACAACTTCATCAACTCCAAGCGTGACAAGCGCACCATGAAGCACTCCTCGTTCGTGTCGAGAATCACATCCTCCAAAATCAGCAAGAACAAGCGCCGCCGCCCCAAGAACAAGCTCAGGACCACGTTGGAGGGCCTGGCTGACGCGCTGCCAGAGCTAAAGAGCGGCGAGGGAGGCGAGGAGGTTCTTGCAGGCAAGGTGAAGCACAAGAGCTTGACGAGTAAGAAGGGTGCGCTGAAGAGGAAGGAGAGAATCGTCAAGGGCGAGATGGAGAGGTTTGGGGCGAGCATGGCCAAGCTGTCAGCCCTGCAGCCAACAGATGATGCGAGAACGACGACGCAGAGGAGGGTGGATGAGGACGGCCACAAGACGGCGACAAGATCTTTTGCTCATCAAGGCGTTTCGGAACAAACGTCCCGCGCGACACCCACCGCTACATCGGATCGTTGGGCCGCTTTGAGAGGGTATATCTCGGCAACCATGGAGCAGAATCCCGCCTTTTCTGGCCAATGAGATGAACATGGTGCGATATTCCTCGCCTTACGAAATTTTTACGATACCTCACCAGGGGATAGAATGGGAAAGTCAGCCCATGCAAACAAGTTTTGCGTCTTTCTACTGCCCATGTCATTACACCATCTTCTTTCCATTGGAGCCAACGGCGTTGGGGTAGCCAGTCAAATCGCGCTTTTCAAAAACAGGAATAATTGAATATTTGTCGCATTCAATGGCATGACGGTCCACCCTTGTACCACATCTTGCCTGGCTCAGGTCCATCATCAGCCTCAACTCTCTTGGGCCCCAGATGCCATTACATCAAACAATCGTGCTTCGTAGCTGCGTAGGCATTGTTAAAAAGTCACCGCCATGTACTCATGCCAAGTGGCATGATTCTTTCAATCCTTCACAACGCCAGCGCTCTTCCGAGATCTTCATAGCAATACCCATCCAACGCCACAGAACAAAACAAACAGGAAAGAAAAGTAAGCAGTACACAAACAGGACATGCTGAATCGCTATTGCACAAATATGATGCATCAAAATGAATTCAAACGAATGCCAAGAAACTTGCCAGTACTTGTGAGAGTGGCCACCTTGATATTACATGCTCATTCGTCTTGGCCAGCTTGGTGTGGTGGAAGGTGGACGAGAGCTGAAAATCTATTCCAGAGCCGCCTGTAAACGTCTTTTCACCCTTATCGTAAATGAATTAATGCTTTCTTGTTCCATACTCCGAGTTGAAGCCGTGGCCAGGCGATCAGAGACGCAGGAGTTGTCACTGCAGAAGCTGCCGCTTCGTGCTCTATGATCACGCTGGAGTTGGTGGCCACCTGAGATCATCTCATTCAGTGCGGAAGGCTGTGACCCGCTGGCATCATGGAATCGAGCGGCTGTCGAGTTGCTAAGGCTAGTAGTGGTTCCGTCTCCGGGTGAGGAATCGCTGTTGCGTTCATTCCTACGCAGACTTGCTGACCGGGTGTGGTGTTTAAAATGTACATGTCGGCATACCTTGAACCGGATGGAACGTCGTAAAGAGTTATCTTGACTGTCGGTCTCGCTGTCCTCAAGGCTGTCCTTCGTTTGCTGTGATACTTGGCCAAGTGCGCTGCAGGTGCCATGGCGAGCCGAGCTCTATTCAATCCGCGGAGGCGTCTTGTTGGTAAAGGGGCTTGCGCTCCGGCTGTGAGGATTGCGTATTAGCTGATTGCGTCGTGTGCTCTGTCCAAGAGACACTTACGATCGTCTACGTTCTCCCTCCTTGCGAAGGTTCTCAATGATGCGCATCATCTCCTTCCGGCCGCCGTTACTATCGACCATTTTGCCCGCCATGCTCATAGAGACCTTTTCTCGGGCATTGGCACTTAGCAGGCGCTTGACCAGTAAGTGGCGCATCAAGAGACAAACGAAGACGCCGCAATCGCTACCATTCTCTTGTTGAGGTGAGTCCTCAAGATTGATAAAACGCATCGGTCGTCCAACAACCTCGCCCATCCGGCGCGTAGCCAGGTTGGCTTCGGCGAAGTTTGCTCCGCCAAGGGAATCATAATGAAAGGCGATGCCATCTAGTAGTGACACCAGCAGCAGTGACCAATGGCTGCCGCCCTCGGCAACGCTCACGTTGCGATTATCGTTGATTGGGAGGAAGACGTGGGTAACTTTGGAAAAGTCGGGCAGCGCAGAGCGGACATGACGAATATCAGGCTCCTTCATCAGAAGGAAACTCATACTCGGACGCAGCAGCACAATCCTGGCTTGGGGGTAGCGAGGCAAAGTCTCCCGTTCGAGATATTCCTCCCAGAAGGCAATATTGTTATCCGTAAGCCAGTCATTTTTAAGCGACTTGATGTCTTCAACGGTCAACAATACGTCGTAGTAACTCAAGTAGGATTTTTCAGGTGAAAGCTGTCCCGGGACACTTAGTTAGCCAACTTTTTCAGGTAAATGAAGCGAGATGAAGCACGGCATGTAGGACATTGGTTGTCCACCTGGGTGCGTAATGAGTGAGGGCAGGGATGAGAAGAATCGCGGCGTCAAATAAAAGAGGGTAGAGGTGTACTCTCGACGTGTGCGCGCAGCACAACGGCACATTGTCAAAGTACGACGAACGAAGCTTTGGATAAACAAGCGACTCCAGACGGCGGTGAGGCGCGCACGGGTATCCCAGCTGAGCCCAGGCACCGCAGGATGAAACAAGGATAATGAGACTCTCCAACGTACCGAATCGCCAAAGTGGCGGGCCATGCGTTGTCGAAAGGGCATCTTGTTGGTTTTGGTCATGGACTTCGTTTGGGAGCCTGCGCTTCCCTTGCTGCCAGCCTCGACGCAGCCCTCAGACGGAATGGAGAGCGTGGAACTAGATGCGTCGGCGGAGCTGGAGCTGTGGTGATGCCTTGAACGAATAATTGACAAGCCGTGATAGAAGCGGGTGCTTTCAAGAGGGGGAAAAAAACCCCAGAGGCAGACGGGGGTCCTCCTCATGATGACTTGAAAAGCGGGGCAGAGCCACGGTAGGGACTAGCGAACTGGGGCGCCCGGGTGCCGGACTGTTGTTGCCTGTTTGCTGGACAGCAGGAAGGTCCAGTGGTGGGATAGGGAAGGAAGTAGGGAGCAGCAAAGGACTACCTCCCAGGTACCTACTTAAGTACTTATGTAAGTACCGAGTGCCAGATTTGTTACTTACCTTGGTACCTTAAGTACTTTAGTAAGAAGTAATAAGTACTGTAGTTGAGCCATGTGCGTGCATGCAAGTGTCCAGTGCCTGGCAGGTAGGTGTAGCAACTTTAGAAGTTTTACTACCGACGTAGGTCAAGCTAAGCACCTACTTTTGGAGCTACCGAGGTACCTGAGTAAGTTTTGGTATCTCGTGTATGGACGTGAGGCCGCTGACAGCGCGCGGCCCTCGAGCCGAGCCCAGCGAAATAACCGAGAGAGCACCGGTCCCAGGCCTGCGTGCTTCTAGGTCGAACATGGCCCCCAAGTACCTACGGAGTACTGCGTAGTATCTAGCCCTAGTGCCTGTGGTCATAGCGGACTAGGCTAGCGACACCTGTTTGCTCTGCGTCGACGTCAGGAGCCGCTACTGTCACAGTTAACTTCCAAGCTACGGAGTACTTAAAAGTACTTACCTGCTAGGCGCACGTGTGCACTGTCCTCAAGTGCTGTCATAAGGCGTCGTCAATTCAGCGAACTTGCGCGCTGCCCCACCGCCACGTCCCCGTATTCGGCAGGCAGGCAATCTTCTACGGCGACCGGGCCGATCGCAACTGCAAGTAATGAAGAACATGCTGTGTCTCCTACTCATGCTTGCATATAATATCTTCGGTTTTTCGTTATACGAAGACCGGTCTGAGGTTGTTTGACAGGCTTGACTCGACAGCAGATGGCTAGAATCGTACGGAGGCCGCTCCCCCAGACCCCGCACATCTCTCCTCGACATCAACAAAAATACGTAATTCTGTCGCACGAGGCACACGATTCGCTCTAGTATCATTGACATACGTAGCCAAGGTGCCCGCTATCGTGTGACACCCTCCATTCCAATCAAGCAGACTCTTTGGACCTGTTGGCCCTCAGCAGCCGCACCCTAAATACTATAACTTTTCCACACCCTGCATCTGATCATATGTCGTCAAAACTCTTGCTCAACCCTATAGCTCCAATGTCACGGATTCATGAGCGACAGGCGTTTTGCTCTTCGCCATAGTCGCTTGCCATGAGCCGCTCATGCAGAGCCTCTAACGCTGAACCAGCATGTTCGTATAGCGAAGCTCGTTGCAATATCGTCTGTTGCAGACCCTGCAACAATTCACTTCCTTTCCCGCCGTTACTATTAACCAGCTTTACCCCTCTGGAGGCAAGACTGTGAAACCTCCTTGCGTGATTGCTGGCGTCGTCAACTATAACACTGCGTTCTCCAAGGAACCGAGACTGTATCTTTTCTAAGCAACGAGCACCAGCTTGCTTGTATCCATCCTGTACTGCCAGTATCTCCTCGACTTTTGAGTCGACTCGTTTTAAAACTATCTGCTACCAATTAGACACTTGATGGCATAATTTCATGCAACTATGCTGTAGGGAAACGTACATCGACTAATTCATGAAGCTGCTGTCGGCTTCTATCAGGTGCGGGAACAGTCTGAGATTGATGTTCAGTCTTGTTTTTGACGGAACATGTCGTTTGTTTTTTTTTAAAATCAGATAACATGGATGGTAGCAGTTCGGCATGTTCTCTGTGTTTTCTTAAGCTGCGACTTTGCATGCACTCGAATTTCCCCTTGGCAGGATCCCATTCATCAGCCTGTTGCATCAAGATATGGCGATTCTCAGAGGTCTTGTGGCACTTTTGTGCCGCGGATTGTCCATGGATTGCACCGGCAACGTTTTCATTTGAGAAAGTGACGCTTGAATCTTTTGTAGGAGATGCATCAACCCTGTTCTCTTGCTGTTGCCACAGAACAGGGCTGCCCTTTTCACTCACACTGAAGTTTTGACCAACCCGTCTGTTAGTGCCGTTTTTAACTGCTTGCGACTTAGTTAAAAATTGTGGCCGGGAGACTAGAAATTCACCAGATTTGGAAGAGGCACTTGTGATTGTAGTTGTACCAGCATCTGACCTTGCCTTTTTACCGTCATCCGTGAAAACGCACAGACCCCCTTCGCCTTCGGCATCCGTAGGGTGGCAGCCCTTGATATGCAAGTCAAGTAAAGCAAAATTTTGGTTCGCTTCTGCTGCTGTAGTTTCCTGATCTGTTCCCTCCTGGTCGGTTGCAACAATAATAGAGTCACCGACAGTCTCTGTAGACTCGGTAATTTGTACGATTGGGCGTCCTGGACAAGCATGATTCGACTGTCGTGACACAACTTCAATGCCAGTCTTTTCGGACTCGTCTAAGCAAATTTTCTGCGACAGCTCCGGGCTCTTAAGCTGAGACTTTTTTTCTTCCGTGATATTACGAGACAATTTGTCGTTACACCTATCTCGGAAGGGCGGCCGAGGGTCAGGACTGCATGGCCGGCTGGTGTATTGCCTATTTGTATCGTCGTCGACAATCGGGGACTCTGTGCACTCGATGATTGCGCCTTTTGCTTTCTTTTGTAAATTTTTATCGTTTGAAGCCTTGTTTTTGCGCTTTTTGCTGCGCGTTTCCTCTTGATTGATTGCGCTTTGTTCGTCTCTGTGTTGAGGCCTTTTATACAACTTCCTGTATAGTGGCTGCTGCGATACTGATTTGACCTCTTGAGTATCTTCATCGAACTGAAGAGGAGTTTTAGGTCGCTGTTTGCGTCTCTTCCGGGGTTTGGCGTCACAGGACAGAGCGGAAGCGTGCGAGTTGCTCACTCGGTCAACATTAGACCGATTCAGTAGGATAGGTTCTGACAAAATGTCTCCCAACTCCAAGGTCCTGCCCGTCTGGCCGCTTTCTGCCTCAAGATTTGGGCCATTGGGTTGAAATGGAGGGCAGGTCAATGGCACCATTCCGCCAGCAACCTGCAAGGGTGATGCATCTCGATCTGAGTTCTTCTCTGGTCCTATCCTGCTGTCGATAAGTCGAGGAGGGGTGTCTTTGTCCACTAGATCTGGCTCTAGAAGTTGCGTTCCAACAAGATTTACTGCGACCGTTTTGTGAGTCGAGGCAGGCCGTGATGTTGTGACTGATTTTCTGGAGGCATGACTCCTTCCAAATGGAGAGCTGCGATAAGCTGTGGATGCAGTCTCGGAAAAGTCCACATGTTGTGCCAGTTGGCTTTGGTAATGAGCGGTTGGAAAATTTCCTGCGGCTGCTGGCAGAGGGAGGGTATCGGGAAGAGCGTCATGTCCAGATGGAGGACTGGTAAACGGGGCATCATGCCCAATATACCCGAAAACTTGTCCTGATTGCTCCTCTTCCTGAGAGGACATGGATGAGCTCCTGTGTGTCTCAGAATCCTTTTCAGACCAGACAATGTCTCTTCTCCTGGGAGTACTAGGGCTTCTTGGCACCCCATCGAGTTTGGCCAAGTCATTATCGTCAATACCGTCCTCGAACTCATCTGGATCAGCTAACTGACCGGTATAATGACAATCTGTATAACTGGCACGGTTTTCCTGTCTTGTGGGTGGAAAAGGCGACTTCTCATGATGGCTCGTTGGGGTGGTTTCTAATTCTTCTAATTGCACTGACTGCAGCTCTAACTGCTTCCTTGCCTGTTTCTTTGATGCAGACTTTGAGGCAGCCAAGTTCTTATTTCGGGGCATGGTGGCCAGACAATTTCGAGAGCACGCGAGTCACAGCAGAGGCCGTTGGATGTGTCACGTCGCCATAAGTAGAGAAAAGGAAACATACTGCAAGAGAAATTTTGTCATTTTCGTGGGAAGGTTTCTCCGTCTTTTCACGAGTAATAAATTAAGACAGTTGGATGAGGAAGGAGCAATTGCACCGTGTTCGTCGCGAATAGGAAGGAGCTACTGGATATGTCATGGTCGAGAATCGATGAAAGGTCCATTTTGACAGAACACTGATCTTGCGTCCGTTTGTCTTTAGAACTCACCCCATTCAATTCAATTCGCCAGCTTGAATGCCCCACGAAGAACCCGTTAACTGTTTCGAGGGCAGGCGTTGATTTCATTTTCTAGAAAACACATGATCAACCAAAGCTCCACAAGCGGAATTGAATTTATCGGACATTGACAACGCCTTGCCTTTCGCCGTCCATTTGCTTGAGACACAATCCCACAACTGAGCATGCGGCATATTTCTGCTCTCGGGGGGAATCAGAGATGGAATTGAAAAGGCTGGCTATCTTGAACGCCGACATTCCATCTCTTGCTGTCATGATGGAATCCGGACGGTCGGTTCGTCCCTTTGGACTACTGGCACAGATGCGATTGGCTTGACATTTGCGACTGGCCGATCAACCCCAGGAAGTGACGCGGAGTCGGCTACGTAACTCCATTAGCGCTTTTTAAAATGGTTGGGCTGAGCACAAAAGCCCCCTTGGTGCCCATTGTTTCTTTTCCTGCCGCTCTGTAGAACGATGGATCTAGCTACTCCTAACTGCGAACGCCATATGGCACAGACTAGGAGAGTGCGGTCGAAACCTCTATGTTTTTGTTTCCAACCAAGTCTATTGGAAATAGCATCTGAGTCCACAATCATCATGCCGCCTCTAGCCAATGTGCAGTCGGCGGCGTTGGCGGCGTTGGATGAGGTGCGAGTCTCAACCCGAGAACCTGCTCGAGGATCATACCCTTCAATCGTCTCAGTCTCAACAACCTCACCAGAACGCCTTGCGAAAGTTTTCACAGATGACCACCTCATCCCCGACGCGTCGGCAGCTGACACTGTTTTGTATCTGGCATATGGCTCCAATATGTGTGCAAAAACATTTCTCGGTGTCCGAGGCATTCGACCTCTGTCGCAAGTAAATGTAACGGCTCCCAGCGTACGTCTCACATTTGATCTCGCGGGAGTGCCATACGTGGAGCCATGTTTCGCGAACATAGGATTTCGGGATGCGCCATACAAGACGAAGGAAACCGAAGCCGAATTGATTCATCAGGATATGGAATGGAATGGTGGTCTCATCGGTGTGGTATACGAGGTTACTCAGGAGGACTACAGAACAATATTGAGCACAGAGGGCGCAGGCTACAGCTACAAGGAGATCGTCGTTCCCTGCTATCCCATCGCCCCGAAGAACACAGTTCCCAATGAGCCTACCCCTTTTCTCGCAAGGACGTTATATGCAGCTAACAAATTGAACGAATATGATGAGAGAAAGTGGTGGCAACGTGTGTTTGATGGGCGGCAAAGACCAGACCCTAATTATGCTCAGGCTAGCTTGCGTTACCTGAACTTACTCCGGGATGGCGGAAGGGAACACAACCTGCCCACCAGTTATCAGCAATACCTGGCGTCGCTGCACCCGTATATTGCAACAAGATGGACTCAGAAAGTTGGCCGATATTTCTTCATGGCACTGTGGTCTCCGCTGTTGATATTCTTCCTCATGGCCAGATTTTTGTCGGATGAGAGAGGCCAGCTCCCACCTTGGCTTGCGAGTTGTGTATCACTGATGTTCAACATGATGTGGATGTCGTACGACGCTGCTTTCAAGCCCATCTTCGGCGATGGCGAGAGGACCGAGGAGGATGAAAGGAACAAGCTCCTGAGGGATGCGCAAAGTATGGACAACGGGCGCTGGAGTGTGTAACATATCACGCACAACTAAGGACTGATGAAGCTCGGAATATCACGTCATTGTCAAATGCCTGCATATAGTTGATATAGTTTAGATCTTGAATATATAATATTATTTAAAGATGCCAGTTTCATCATCTTTGAGCTTGCTCATGTCTTGCCACGGCCTAGGGGCAGCGTAAAAGTTCCAGCACGGACCCTGTAAGAAGAGCTTTCCGGGCAGGAAACTTTGGCACATGTAATCTGACGTTTTATCCTGAAATATCTCGCCGCGCCTCGGCTCTGGTGCAAGATGGAGGACCGGGGAGCATAGGGGGAGTACGTAAATGAACGAAAGACCAGCAAATCCTCGGCTCGGGCATTTCATAAAACCTGCTGTCATGCAACGGACGCGCAGGGAGGCCATGGGTTTCTCCATTCAACGACTAGGTGTCCCGCGGCAGACAGCGGAACCCTGGGAGAATCCTTTGACACCATTGCGCTGGTATCCGTCATGTGAAGTCCGGTGGCAATTCATCCCAACAAGCCATGGTTCGCACACACAGGGCGGGTCTCTTGCGACTTGTCAGAGCGAACTTGCAATGACTCAGATGTCACTGCCTGGCTACGACTAGATGCGGGTCGCCAGAATTGGTTCCTGGATAACTGACCAGACTATTTGCGCATCGATGTTGCATGTGATGGCACAGTCGGAGTGCTCTCTCTCTTTGCCTCGCATCTCGGGTGACGGCAACTTTCCCCCAACACGAACCAACTGTTGGGCGCTAAGCTCCAAGGGGCAAGCGGTGAAGTGTTGAACTTGCACCTTGCCTATCCTTCAGTTCGATGCCGCGCCGCTGTGCCACCAGAGGGGTTGTTCCGAGCCATGCATCGTGGATGCCGACCAACATTTTCTCTTTGCCCAGCGCTCAGCATAAATTGAAGCGTGGCTCCTTCCTGCTTCCAGATTCCTGCTTTGCCGCGTTTATTGTATGTTGCGACCACGCATTTCGCGGTATTCTGTCCAACTACGTCGCTTGCATTCCTGCACCTCACCTGTCCGTCTCTACTCTGCAACAAACGCCAAAATGATGAGCAATGGGTTTCTTGGTGGTCATGAGAAGAAGCACAAGGTCACTATTGTAGGATCCGGCAATTGGTAGGTGCACGCAGCTGCGTGGCCTTTGGCTTACCCGACGCATACTTTCCTGAAACCGTGAAGTGGCATCTAACCTGTTTCTCTCTCCAAAGGGGCTCTACCATTGCCAAGATTGTTGCCGAGAACGCGAAGCAGCATCATGACGTCTTCGAGGAGGATGTCCAGATGTGGGTGTTTGAGGAAGAGGTCGTCATACCCAGCTGCTCGAAGCACTACGATCCAGCTGTTGGCGACAAGGCCCAGAAACTGACGTCCATTATCAACAAACATCACGAAAATGTCAAGTACCTGCCTGGCATTGCTCTCCCCTCCAACATCATCGCCAATCCCTCACTCGTCGATGCCGTCAGGGACTCCACCATCCTCGTCTTCAACCTACCCCATCAGTTCATCGCCAAGGTCTGCGACCAGCTGCGAGGCCACATCTTACCCTTTGCGCGCGGCATCAGCTGTATCAAGGGCGTCAACGTCACCGACGACGGTGTCAGCCTGTTCAGTGAGTGGATTGGTGACGGCTTGAATATTTACGTCGGCGCCTTGAGTGGAGCCAACATCGCCAGCGAGATTGCTGCCGAGAAGTGGTCAGAGACCACCATCGCCTACGACCCGCCACCGATGGACAATAGCAGAAATCCCTCGCCACGGTCTGGCAGTCCCAACCCTGGCATTACTGTTACCGACCTGCAGGACGTTTCGCACAGAGATTGCAGAGGCCGGACGTCCAAAACCAAGCTTACTGGTGTCCCCGCTGAGTATCCGCCCCTGGATCATGATTGCTTCCGTACTCTATTCCATCGCCCGTACTTCCATGTTCAGATGGTGTCCGATGTTGCCGGTGTATCGCTTGGTGGTGCCTTGAAGAATATTGTTGCTTTGGCAGCTGGTTTTGTTGACGGTAGGGGCTGGGGCGATAACGCCAAGGCTGCGATTATGCGAATTGGCTTGATGGAAATGGTAAAATTCGGAAAGGAATTCTTCGGTGAAACAGTACAGAGCCAAACCTTCACCGAAACCTCTGCTGGTGTGGCCGATTTGATTACATCCTCCTCTGGCGGACGAAACTTTCGTTGCGCCAAAAAGGCCGTTGAGAAGGGCATCACAGTTGATGAAGTGGAACAACAAGACCTGAATGGGCAGAAGCTGCAGGGAACGACTACAGCCTATGAGGTCAACAGCTTTTTAAAAGCTCGTGGTTTGGAGAAGGAATACCCCTTGTTCACAGCGGTCAACGACATTTTGCTCAACGAGAGACAGGTCGATGATATCCCGAACTTGGTGGCACAGGTCACAGATGGTGCGTGAAGAACTATATATATATGTCGTTATTTTGGAGAGAGTACCTGGGACTCGGACAACTAGTCATCTCGCTCGGAAGGAACTGGAGTTATTCCTGTTAGCACATTGTTACGACCAGAGTGGATAAGGGACATTGAACTACATGCACGAAGGAGGCAGGGATTTCACACGGACAGTATTTACGGCGCACCTTGGCACTCTCTTATTTCGAGCATATATTAGTTATTAAGGCTGCATGCAGCCGTGATTCGAGGAGTCGTCATGGTTATGCAAACTGTTGTCATGCCACTTGGTAAGCGTCTAAAGAAAACTCCGAGAAATAGTGCAGCTCGCGCTGGTAACCATGTAAAAGCCGAGGTGCCGTCGAACCAATCTCATGCTGACTGCAAGTGTCGTTTCTCTCAACAGGACCTCGCTGTGCGAAACGCTGATGCAGCCACTCGAGCCAGATCTATGGCGTGGGATATATAACAGACAGATGACCTACGCCATTGACTTCAACGTATTGGAGTTGAGTGTCCGGGTATCTCTCGCACGTCTTGTTGACGTACTTGACTGTCAAGGCTTCAGGCAGGATGCTGTCGGTTGTGCCCTGCAGGCAGCAGGTCCTTTCCTCTTGCAAGGGTAAGGTTTGCCCAAAGACTCGAATAAGACGGCTCCATAAACTCGTCTCTTGATGGGTGTAAATAGGATTGTGGAAGACGGATCCGGTAGCCCAACTGGAGCGTTCGATTCGAGTTGCGCGGCAACACTGATGTCGTTTGCTGCGCATGACTGCAGGTTCAGAGAGCAACCTGGTCATTGGCGAGGGTCAAGTTGGAGTTGAAGGCGTTTGACTGAGGTTGGAGCATCGTGCTACTGGCGCTGGGCGAACACTCTTCTTGGCAACATGTCGAGATACATCATCAGCAAGGCACCTTCTGTCAATTGACCAATTGACAAGTGAGTCAGATAAATGAAAAGCTCGAAAGGTCACGACTAGCCTTTATACCAGCTGATCAATGATGATGCTTCCTTTGAATGCTCATCTTACCCGGGCATGTCGGCTCCGAGACCTCTGTGTATCCTCGCGCGCAAGGTGAGCACTAGACTCTTTTGAGAATTGTTAAGCAAGCAGTTCGACTCATTTGGCAAATGTAGTTACCTCAGATACGGCGTCTGCTGTGTACAGGAAGCAGGCGGGGTTGACGACACGCACAAGTTTACCAGACGGCATACTGGCCGAGTCGAAGCCTGGAGGAACAAGCAGGTTGATGGCGATTCTCAAACCAAATGCGGATCTGGAACCTGTCAATCCGTGAACGAAACAAGGCTACCATGACTCTTTTGATTGCAGACGCGGAGTCGACTCATACGGCAAGCCAAACTTGGAAATACCCTCGTCTAAACTAATAAGTGCAGTGAATTGGTCAGCCGGGCCTGTCCGATCAGAACAGGGGTTTCTTTCGGCGTCTGTTGACAACTTATTAGGCTTATCCGCAAGCAATCGGCCCAGATGAACCAAATAGCAGGCCTCGTCCTTGACATTACCCGGACCCTGTTGAGATGTGTAGTGTGCCATGACATAAACATGGGATAGTCAATTGTGTCAAACCTGGATTTACCGGCAGAGCGCCGTTCGCGATCCTAGTCTCTGTACCAAACTTTGACAAATGTCGGCATCATCAGCAATTGGACCCGTCTCGCGGGAGCGGCAGCCAGGCACGTCACTTTTATGCAGGGGAGACGGCCGGATGAGCACATTTGAACCTGGGCCAAACACGGCGAGTAGTAGCACCTGCAACTCGCAGCCATCCAGTATTGCAGGCTTTTATGATAACAACCAACTTGACTACCAAAGGTGGAGGCCAACGCCCAAGCAAGTCAGTTGTTATCTTGGTACAAGTCGTGTCCCTCTTCACGGGCATCAGTAAGACTGGTGTGAGAGTCTGAGACAGAAACCCACTCACCTTATCTCGAGCTTGAGTCCCCCCCCTTTTGATTCGAAGGATGAATGAGTTTTCCCGTCAGTCCTGTGACGCCTTGGATCAACCAGCCTGGTGAACAAGATGCACACACCGCAGGCAGAGCGAGGCATTTCTGTCGTTGGCCTATTTTGCAGCCTTGGTCCACATCTCGCTGTATCATTACGAGACCTTTCCAGCCATACTCGCCGCCTACGCGTTGGAGACACCTGTGACTGTGAGCCTGTGAGCACGGCCTGAAATCTATAGGCAGCCCATAGCCAATGCCACCGCCTGGATGGGGAGATGCTTGGAGCGCGCTACATGTCGTCGTGGACTCGTGGGTGAGGCTCAGCCCAGCACCCATATCGTGACCTGGGTTTGCACTCCTATATTAGACCGACTCGTGGCTAGGCAGATGATCACCGTTGCTCTTGATGAGCTACTTTCTCACGCACCGTCTGAGGCGGAGCCGCCTTCGAAGACAACGACGCAGCCAGAGACGGACGGCGCAGGCAAGCTTAGATTGCACAGCCAGAGGCTGCGGTCAAGTTCCGATTGCACAGCCAGAGACACATTGGGAAGGCCACGGTAGTAATCCCACCGTGGCGGCGCCGAATGGTTTACCGGCATCTCGTCCGTCTGCAGTGGCGCCAAAGCCAACGCAGGAACTGCCACTCGTGTTCCAAACAATAGCCATGCTCAGTTTCATTTGACGGAGGCGTCTCGGATCAGCCTCGCCAAGCAGGACGTCGCCAATCAGGTCCTCTTCCGCTGGTTTCTCGGGAGGGCGTGACTCTCGGCCGAGTCCCGTCCCTTTGGAGTGTGTAAAGCGGCCGCTCGATCCTTGGCTGAGATCTCAATCTCAGGCCACCCCCCATTAAACCATGGCAGCGGCCCAACTGTTGTCCAACATCTAAACCATGCCATTATATCGCCGGAGCAATTGCGTATGGTGGAGTGTCCATGTGCGTTAAGGCTGTATGTAACCTTCGTGGTGCTGCCGAGCAGTCCCCGGCCCCCAACCGTGGCAACCTGTCTCGGCTTTTAAACTTTGGCTTTCTTGCCAGTTGGAACCGACATTTTCGTCTGAACACAGATTGCCGCTTGCTGTGACAGGCACGGGCGTGTTGACTTGTCCGGCCGTACCTGGACTGTCCCACGCACCCTGAACATCACATCACATCACATCACATCACATGAGATGTTCGGGGTGGAGATGATGACTTGCTCTTTCACTTTTACCCTGATACCATGATGACTCTATACTATCTGTCTTTTGGGGCTTTGTTTGGTGGAGATGGATAGACACGATACCCATGTTGTGCATCTCCTCGCTCAGAACGAGTAGCCGGCAACTGGGCTGCGGCGAAAGCAACAGATATCAGTCGGACCTGGTCGTGGCCGTGACGCATCCCATTTACCGCCGCGGCACTGAGGAGTGAAGACCAAAGTTGTCCGATCAAGGATGTCCGTCGGCGAGGTCCATATCTGCCTGGGGTACCCAGTTTTATAAGGAGCTGCTGATCAGCCGGTTCGCATGTATATCTGGTGGAATGTAACCTGGGACATTTCCGCTGGGCGACTCGATAGATATCTGGGCCAATCCGACTCACGCGAATGTGAGCTGCGAGATGGGCGATAAGAAAGGAGGTTTCGGAGGCATGAGGGAGAGACTCAACTACCGAGGGCCTCCCAACGAGATCCCAAAGGAGAGACATTGTTGGAGCAAAGTTTCATGCCGGACTACACCATCACACAGGAACCTAAACTAAAACCTTGGTTGGCTTGATTCTTTGCCACGCGTCTGGTCCCCTGAGTGCTGAAGATCATTCCCAAACTCCCCCGGCGGCAGATTCGACCCGGGACAGGGTCAGTTGCCGTTCCCTGCTGCTCACTTCGACGGCCAAGCAGGGTGGATTTTTCCCGGGACGGGCTGCCGCTTTTCTCGAGTTGCTGCGCCGAGATCAAGGCCGTCACGACCTATCAAGTCGTGATAATCTACGCGGGCCGGCCTCATCACGTCGCACTGGACGAAGACCAGAGGGCTGCTTGGGGTGTTTCCTTTTCTTGTTTCTTTTTCCTCTTTCTTTTTTCTTTTTCTCGGGCTCTGGGCAAGACCTTTTCCACTGAGCCGTCAGGGCAACCCTCCGGCTTGGCCCTTGTTTCAGCGAAAAACCCGGCCGATCTCATATATCTCGTATTTGCCATGTCCAAGCCGCTCTCATACTCGCCGTGTCCCAAGCCGCCGCAGGGCGCAGTAGCCATCTCGGTACCACAACGCCATGTTGCCAAGCCTCTGCTGGGCCATCGAGGCTCAGACGAGGGAGGCTATTATTATGCCTCCGTCGTGGTAGGGCATATGTACGTGCGTGCGGGCCTGCCAGGGGCCTGGGGTGCGTCCGCCTTGGCTCGACATTGCATTCGTTGCCAAGGATCGCGGTCTTCGGGAACAAGCGCGGCTCCGTATATTGGAACTTTCTTCGGAGCCCTGGTTTGCCTCGTATAGGTGACGGGACTTGTGTTGTATGCTTTGTGCAGGGCGAACATGGCCAAAGGATACAAAATGGACAGCCGCGTCCTTCTCTCGGCACGGCCCATGTTCTCCCATGCCCATGTGAGCCCGGAAACCGAACTCGGCAGCAACCTGTTTTGTTTTTCGCTGAAGCGTTTCCCGTCATGTCTGAGCTTACGGCGGCCGAGAAAGGCCTCCACGACCAGGCAAACCTGCTGCCTCGCCAGAAACTTATCCCTGTTTTATGTGTGCTGGCCGTGCCGTCCCTGATATCCTTCATCGACCAGAATGGAATATCGACTGCCCTGCCTACTATTGCTGCCGACTTGAACGCCAAGGACACCATAGCTTGGGCGGGAATCGCGTCTCTGATAGCAAACACGACCTTCACCATGCTCTACGGCCGACTGTCTGACATTTTTGGCCGCAAAAACGTCTACGTTGCCGCTGTTGCCATGTTGGCCTTTGCGGACTTGATGTGCGGGCTGAGCCAAAACGTGACCACCTTTTACATCTTCCGCGGTGTCGCGGGCATCGGCGGCGGCGGCATCGTCAACCTGAGCATGATCATCGTCTCGGACGTCGTGACTCTGGAGGAGCGAGGCAAGTACCAGGGCATCATCTCCAGCATGGTTGGCCTCGGCAGTGCAACAGGCCCTTTTATTGCGGCTGCCTTTGTGTCCAAGTCGACCTGGCGCGGCTTCTTCTATCTGCTGGCTCCGTTGGGTGCTCTGAGTGGTCTCGTTGCCGTCGTCTTCCTGCCGTCCAAGCCCCCTACCGCTGGCTTCAAGGAGAGCATGAAGAAGGTTGACTGGCTGGGGCTGTTTACCTCTTCTGTTGCCGTCATCTTCCTGCTGATTCCCATCTCCGGAGGTATGTGCTCTGCCATACCGTGTGGTGAGGCCATGCTCCCGTCGCTGACTCCCAGTCTTAGGAGGAGCATACTTCCCCTGGAGCTCGCCCTTGGTCATCAGTTTTCTGGCCATTGGCACGATAGCCCTGGTCGCCTTTGTTGTTATTGAGTGGAAAGTGGCTGCTCTGCCAATGATGCCGAGTGAGTCGTCTCCAAACTGTCCTTCGGTTCATGCCAGCGGCCAACTAACCTTGTCATCGTCGTCGCCGCAGTCTCCATGTTCAGAAACCCCGTCATTGTTGTGATCCTCGCTCAAACCTTTATCCTCGGGCTCGTCTATCAGTCATACGTTTACTTCGTCCCCCTCTATCTACAGAACGCACGGCAGTTCTCCGTCATCGAGTCCGCTCTCACCTTCAGTCCCACCGTCGGCATCCAGAGCCTAGCTGGCATCCTAGCTGGCTATTGGATCGCACGCTACAAGAGATACGGAATCGTCATCAAGTGCGGCTTTGGCCTGTGGTTACTGTTTGTCCTTGCCTCCCTCTTCCCCCCTTCCCCTCGGGGCAGAACTGAAGAAAGAAAGACGCTCTGCTGACGTGGTCCAGCGGCGCTGGTCTCACCCTCATGTACAACCGACAAACTAGTCCGTGGGTGATCGCCGTGCCTCTATTCATCCTGGGTGTTGGCGTGGGCCTCGTTTTGCAGCCAACCCTGATTGCCCTCCAAGCTCATTCCCCGAAATCACGGCGTGCCGTCATCATATCCAACAGAAACTTCAACCGCTGCGCGGGCGGTGCCGTCGGTCTGGCCGTGTCAGCCGCCATCATGCAGGCAGTGCTTCGACGCGCCTTGCCCCGTGAATATGCATCGCTGAGCAGCTCGACCTTTGACGTGCCCGACGTGGCCGGCGGGTTTCCGCCCGGCGTTCTTGACGCCTACATGTCTGCGAGCTACGCCGTCTTCGCTATGCAAGTCCCGCTCGTGGGGATATGTTTTCTGGGGACGTTTTTCATCAAGGACAAGGGCTTGGCTTTTGCCGACGAGCCTGGAGCATCAGAGGATAAGGACAAGGGCGCCTCCGAGAATGATCTTGAAGCTGGGCCGCCATCGTCAAGGTCCAGCGTGATGGAGAGGGCAGCCAGTACCGTCGCCGGCACTGGCCAAGACGCAGAAAAGCCTTGTGAGCCGAGTGTGAAGGTCGCAGGGCCAGACGAGGACACGGCGGATGGAAAAGCAAGTACAAAAGCATAAAGAGCCAGTCGTGGATTTCTTATTATAATAAAGCAAAAGGCCCGTCTCGAATTTCGAGCCACCCTCATCATGATGAGAGGGTGGACTGGACCTATGAACGGCTGGACATTTCCCCCTTGCGGTCACGGCTACGCCACGGGGGACGAGAGCAAGCAAATAAGCTCCATCGGCATAGCATGGACAGTCACGTTGTTCGCGCCGACTCCGGCAGCGGTCATTGTGCATGAATCTTCTCACACTCGTTTGAGCCAAATTGCGAATCTCTCCTAGCTAGGCCCGTTGGATTGCCAATCTTGCGGCGCATACGGGAGGGATGCAAGGACTTGTCGTGGTCTGCTTCCCAAACCACCCTCCGAGTCGTCAGACTCGTCCTATGAGCAACGTTATCACAGTTTCGGCCAAGTAGATAGGCCTCGATGCCTATAAAAGGAGCAAGTGGTTGTCGTGGTTCCGTAGAGTGATTGTGGGGTAATTAATGCGAATTGGTATTGAGATTGCATACTTTACATGGAATCACGTTGTCTACAGCAACAAACGTATTGTAGAGCTGCAGCCTCTTCCGCTTGATATCAAATGAGGAAAACGCGTGAGGCGGACGCCCGACATGGACCTTTCCTTGCCTGGGGATCTATCTAGTAGCTACTAGCGACGCGAATATCGGCCTTTCCTTTGTCCCTCCATTCGTGGGATGATCCCTTATCGAACAGTACTATTCGAAAAGAGCCCCATTGACGGGGAATGACGCGTGCGGCCAAACAACGAGAGCAAAAGACTTTGAGATAGTCGGGACTCGGGACTCGGCAAGATGCCGCTACCCCTGTTTCGGTTGGTCTGGTGAACCGTTTGACCCACTCCGGCTCTGCCCCGGAGAAGTTCGGGAATGGAATTGCCAAATCGGGCAGGTTTGCGTCTCGTGATGACCAGAGTCTATAAAGGCCGTATCTACTTTGAAGTCTTGTGGCGACGAGGATTTTGGTCAGGACAAAAATCCCAAGTCAGATGCTTTCTTCTGGTGGCGTGACACTTTTGTATATGATTGCCGTCAGTTCCAATACCCTGTCGAGGGTAGCTCCAGGCTTGGGATCGCCAACAGCCAAAGCCACGTAACATGGCAAAGCAAATAAACTGAAAAATAAGACCAAAAGTTAAAATAAAAAAAAGAGAAGGATCAAAATACGCCAAGGTCAGCTTGCTGGGTCACCGGCCAAGTATACCACCGCCGCACTCGCATCTGGTGGTGGGGAGCATGCAACAAAGCAATTCTCGTCTGACTCGCAAAAAATTAAAGGTGAATCTACCCCAGCAACGTCAGAGGAATCAAAGTAGACTACAGTGACGAAGAGACTCTCGTTAGTGCCCTAGAAAGCCAACAGGTCTCATTGACCACAGCTTTGAACTGGCGCTACGAGCCTCTCTTTATCTCCAACTTGCTTGCGCCGCGCGGGGTGGGCAATGTAAAACTTGGAGAGTAATTTAACAATAACTCCGATTGAGCTCAAGATACTTGCGGTGCGAAGAAGGAAAAGACAAAGGCCCCAAGTTGTGTTCAACGTGCCTCACGTCATGCTCACACGAGTAACACGACCAGGCAGGTGCCGCCGGATTTGTCGGCGATGGCTCGTCGTCGTGCCATAGATAATAGTGAGTGGGGATGGCATCGATCCTGGTCGGCGGCATCCCGCCCACTCCCACGGGGGAACCAAATACGCAGGTCAGCGCACTACTGGTTCCATCACGATCGAAAAGCTGAGGCGGAATCGGCATTCGCATCTTCGGACACTCGGCGCCGGTCGCCGGCCACCCGAGCAGTCGCCAGTCAGTGGCAGTCACCGCCTCGACTCGGTCGCTCCTTCCCGCTAAAACATTCCCATAAACGCCGGCGTCGTCGCGGCAAACAGCCGCATGCACAGACACTTGCTCAACATTCAACATCCCACGTTTGCACCTTGGTGCCGCCAGGACAAAGTAGCTCGATGGCCTACGTCTTCTCCATCTTCACGGCTGACTGGGTGTGTCGGGCGCCCTGCTGCTCCGTCCATTGACTTTCTCCCGCCGTCGCCGACGTCTCGCAGACCTGTCCCACCAATTGACCGTCCCGGGCTCCGAGTCGTTGCGGTGGTGGTTGACGAGACGGCGAGACCGCGAAACCGAGCGGCGGTCCTCACTGCTCTGCTCGACCACGGAAAACATCTTGGAGCTCCAGTGGATACCTGAAGTGCTCCGACGTCGACGGCGGCTAGTCTCACCCAAGTCCCTTTCAAGCGCGGGGCAGCGAACATCGCTCGCTCCCCTCTTCTCTTCCGCATCATGAGCCCAGGCACCATGACAACCACCCAGGTATATTTGCTGCCTCTCAACGACGACGGGTCTCCCGATGTCGACAGACAGTACATCTACATTGCTCCCCCGTCCAATGGCCCTGTTACTCTCAGGTTTGCGATTGAAGGCACTTCGTCAATTTGCTGCCATGGCAGCCTGTGGGTCAATGTGCCCGACGAGGGCAGCGACTTTCGCCGCGATAGCTTCAGAGAGTTCAAGTGTGTGATTTTACAGAGATGCGGCATGGCCGCATAAGTCAATTGATCTGTATATTAATGCTGATTAGGCTGACACCCGACTTCAATCGCACAATTGAGATATCTGTCCAGATCCACCAACCAGGAGCCTATGCCTTCTACACCACCTACGCAGAGCTCCCGAGGCTCGAACCTCACATCTCCAAAGCGGCCTTGCAAGCATCTCATCAATTGAAAAAAACACCCACCTACTACATAGACGTTGCACCACGCCTGCATCTAGATGGGCGTCCACTTCCGTTGCCCGCCCTGTCGGTATTCTCCGTCATCAGCAAGTTCATGGGCAGGTACCCAACCGACTGGGACAGCCATTTGCGCGGCATCAGCGATCGAGGTTACAACATGATTCATTTTGCGCCTCTCCAAGTCCGAGGATCGTCCAACTCGCCATACAGTTTGTACGATCAGCTCGGCTGGGACCCCGACTGCTTTCCCAACGGCGAGAGTGACGTCGAGAATCTCGTCCAAAGCTTGGAAAAAGACCATTCTTTGCTAAGTTTGACAGACATAGTGCTCAACCATACTGCACACAACACAAAATGGCTCCAGGAGCACCCAGAAGCTGGCTACAGCCTCTCAACAGCCCCATGGCTGGAGTCTGCATACGAGCTCGACTCCAAATTGCTAGAGCTCAGCTCGAACTTGCAATCTCTTGGCCTACCAACGGATCCAGAGTCTCCCAACGATCTACTGTTGATAATGGAGGCCATTAAGAAGGAGGTGATTGCGGAAATTCGTCTGTGGGAATTCTACGTTCTTGACGTGGAACGAGACGCCGAGGCTGCTGTGGATGCATGGGCTGCGACAAAGACGTATGCCTCTCAAGACGCAGAGGGCATTCAAGAAGCAGTCGAAGAGCTAAGAGAATCTGGCCTCGCTCAACGGGCCGCTTTTCTCCGCAAGTTTGGGCTGTTGGGCAAAGATCGCTTGGGTGAACGATTTAGGAGAAGGGTCGATCCCAATATAGCGGCAACTCTACTCGCATTCTCCTTTGGCCGGTATGAAGGCGAGTCGTCGAACTCTGCAGACAAGGCGGCGGCTCGCTCGAAAATGGTAGAGATTCTACATGCAGTGAATGTCCCGCTGTACGAAGAGTACGATGGCGACGTAAAGGAAATCCTTGAACAGCTATACAACCGTATAAAATATGTTCGTCTAGATGAGCACGGCCCCAAACTTGGTCCAATAAACGACGAGAACCCGCTGATTGAAACATACTTTACACGGCTTCCTAGGAATGATACGACTTCAAAGCATGACCCCCGAGATTTGATGGTGGTGAACAATGGCTGGGTATGGGGCGGCAATGCCTTGATAGACAATGCCGGTCCTGATTCGCGGGTATATCTGCGACGAGAAGTCATCGTCTGGGGCGACTGCGTCAAGCTTCGATACGGCTCAAACCCAGACGATAGCCCTTGGCTTTGGAAGCACATGACAGACTATGCTCGTAAATTGGCAACGTATTTTGTTGGTCTGCGCATAGACAATTGTCATTCAACTCCTATACATGTCGCTGAGCACATGCTTGACGAAGCACGCCGCGTGCGACCAGATCTCTACGTCGTTGCTGAACTGTTCAGTGGTTCCGAGGACACCGACTACGTGTTTGTCAAGCGACTCGGACTCAGCTCGCTCATCCGGGAGGCGATGCAAGCGTGGAGCACCGCTGAGCTCAGTCGACTGGTTCATCGTCACGGTGGTCGACCAATTGGCAGTTTTGAGGTTGACGAAACTGCTCCAGGGAGCCCGACGCCGTCATCAGGCTCCGAAAGAAAGCGAGATCTCACTAGAGAAGTCAGGCGGCGAGTCAGGTCTACGCCGGTGCATGCCCTCTTCATGGACTGTACTCATGATAATGAAACGCCGGCCCAGAAACGGGACGCTCGCGATACACTTCCTAATGCGGCCCTTGTCAGCATGTGTTCCAGTGCCACAGGCTCTGTCATGGGATACGATGAAGTGTATCCCAAGCTTGTAGATCTTGTCAACGAAACTCGGTTGTATGCGTCGGAGTCGTCCAGATCCGCCCCCGTCAGAGTAGGTCGTGGAAAGAACGGAATTGGGGGAGTAAAGAAGCTATTGAACCAGATTCATACCCTAATGGGCAAAGATGGCTACGACGAGACGCACATCCACCATGAGGAGGAATACGTTACCGTACACAGGGTTCACCCTGAATCGAGAAAGGGCTATTTTTTGATAGCCCACACCGCATTTCCTGGCTACGGCACTGGAAATGGTGCTCCGAGTCCAGTTCATTTGGCGGGAACCCGAGCTCAGCACTTGGGAAGTTGGACTCTAGAGGTTGATGCCAGCGCAGAAGCCACCGCAAAAGCAGTTCATGACAGCCAATTCCTCGTTGGTCTCCCAAGCCGTGTCATGGATGTCTCTGGCGTCGATATGGACGTGCACGGCGAGGACACCGTTATTACGGTGCGGGAAAAGTTCCCTCCAGGGAGCATCGCACTTTTCGAGACGTGGATTCCTGCCGCGGAGCATTCTGCCGGTCTCGACACCTACGTCACGTCAGGCGCAAAAGCAGCTTGGAGCCAGTTGAATCTCATTGACCTGAACTTTTTAATGTACCGATGCGAGGCTGAAGAGCTTGACTCGAGTGGTGGACGCGACGGTACATACGACATCCCAGGACACGGAAAGCTAGTCTACGCCGGACTACAAGGATGGTGGAGCCTCATGAAGAGAATTATCCGGGAAAATGACCTCGCTCATCCTCTATGTCAAAATTTGCGCCAGGGCAACTGGTCTCTCGACTACATCCTTGGCCGCGTTCAGAGGATGAGTGAGACGGAGGGCAATGAGCAGCTCGCCGGGCCAGCCACGTGGCTCAAAGAACGCTTTGATGCAATCCGAACGATTCCCAGCTTTCTTCTCCCCCGATATTTCGGTTTGGTGCTTCGGACAGCCTACAATGCCAGCCGTGACAGGGCACTAGAGCTCATGGGCGAGAACATCGAGAGGGCGCAGTGGTTCATCCAAAACCTGGCGCTGGTTAGTGTGCAGCAGACGGGATACGTCAAGTCCGCGTCGCTATGGCCTAACAAGGCAGCACCTTGCATTGCCGCAGGACTGCCTCATTTCGCTGTCGGATGGGCGAGATGTTGGGGGCGCGATGTCTTCATTTCCATCCGTGGCTTGTACCTGGGGACCGGCCGGTTCGACGAGGCCAAGGAGCACATCATGGCATTTGCGAGCGTTTTGAAGCACGGCATGATACCCAACCTCCTCAGCAGCGGAGTTACACCACGCTACAACTCCAGAGATTCCATCTGGTTCTTCCTGCAGAGCATCCAAGACTATATCCGATACGCCCCCGAGGGGGCGGGCTTGCTAAAGTCAACGGTCAAGAGACGTTTCTTGCCCTATGACGACACGTGGTTTTCACACGAAGATCCCAGGGCCTACTCGAAAGAAAGCACCATAGAGGACATCGTTCAGGATGCGCTCCAAAGACACGCCTTTGGGATGAAATTCCGGGAGGCAAATGCCGGGCCACAGATTGACGGTCAAATGACAGACCAAGGTTTCAACCAGGACATCCACGTCGACTGGGAGACGGGCATCATCTTCGGCGGCAACCAGTCCAACTGCGGCACCTGGATGGACAAGATGGGAGAAAGCGAGCGCGCCGGCTCCAAGGGCGTGCCCGGGACTCCACGAGACGGCGCTGCCATCGAGATCACCGGTCTACTGTACAGCACGTTGGCGTGGCTGTCCGAGCTTCACGGGCGAGGAGAGTACGCCTACGCGTCAGTCAAAAGCGCAGACGGACGGAGCGTCTCGTGGGGGGACTGGGCGGCACGGATCAAGGCCAATTTCGAGAGGTGCTACTTCGTCCCCGTCTCGTCGACGGACGATGCCGGACACGACGTCAACCCGGCCGTCGTCAACCGCCGCGGCATCTACAAGGACCTCTACAGGTCCGGCAAGGAGTACGAGGACTATCAGCTCCGCGCCAATTTCCCCATCGCCATGGCCGTCGCCCCGTCTCTGTTCGACCCAGACCACGCGATGCACGCGTTATGTCTGGCCGACTCGGTCCTGCGCGGTCCAACCGGCATGGCCACGCTTGACCCGGCGGACCTCAACTACCGCCCGTACTACCACAACAGCGAGGACAGCGACGACTTCGCCACGAGCAAGGGAAGAAACTACCACCAGGGCCCGGAGTGGCTCTGGCCAACAGGCTTCTTCCTCCGCGCCTTGCTCAAGTTTGACTTGATGAGGCGCACGACTCCAGAGGGCAGAACCGAGGCCTTCCAGCAGGTCACGAGACGATTGGCCGGGTGCAAAAGGATGATTGATGAGAGCCCATGGGCTGGCTTGACCGAGTTGACGCAAAAGAACGGGGAGTATTGCCCTGATTCGGTGAGTTTGCGTCGACTTTCAAATGGAAGTACGTACAGATGATGCTAATCAAGTACAGAGTCCCACGCAGGCATGGTCAGCAGGCTGTCTGATTGATTTGTACATGGACGGCAGAGAAGAGCAGCGGAAGCAGTAGCTAAAGTCCTCGACTTGTGTCCCCAAAAGATCTTTTTTACAAACCTTCGTTTGTCGAACCACCTTGGGCATACGAAAATGTCCAGCATTGTCTTACTGGTTACTGTCACAGCGCTATCTCGTACGGTGGCATTGAAATCTAAGGAAATACTGTAGATATAGCTAGCCGCTTTACATGGCCCTGTCCCTCCGAACCCTAGGTAACCCGATCCTGAATCTCAATAGCATAAAGCAGGGCTCGGCCCGTAGGCACTTCTAAAATGCAGTCATGGTCCATGATCCCCTCCAAAACGCCTGTGATCGCCAAAAATACACAAAGAAAGCTCAAATACCCACTAAACATATTAAAAGATGAGAGACTAGAAACGCCCAGATAGACTGAATGACAAAGGACTGGAGGTCAAAGCGTAAGCATTGTCCCATTTGTTACCAGTGCTTTTTGCCCAAGTTGTAAATTCAAAGCATAGAAAGACACGATATTTTTATGGCTCCTGGAGGAGAGCAAAGATCCTTCCGGGGATGACGTTGGCATGGCAAAAAAATAAGGGCGAAATACGGCCGTGTCAACAGTCAGTTAAGAATGATGGGGTTCACCCCAAGGACTTGACAGCCAGTATACTGTATACCCAATGGATCGACGACGACGGGCGTCAGAACGCCAGATATGTTACCATGTTCCGCCAATTCGAGAAAAGCAGAATGCAGCGATGGAGAAATCCAGCTATGCGGAGGGCGTGGGAAACCAGAGCACGCTGGGCTTTGGTAACGGTAATAAACAAGGGCTTTCGTCTATGTGCGCTGAGTGACTGTCCATTTCTTCTTTGGCTTAGTCTTTTCTGCTTTTTCGCCGGCAACTGCTTGCTCGGTATCACGCCCGGCATCGTATGCCACAGGTGCGGCAGTCTCAGCACCAGTAACGGCCGGGCCCCACGATGGACGAGAGGCAGACCCTGAGTGCTTCTGGCCGAGTGAGGTTTGTCGGTCCTTCTTTCGCAGATATCGACGACGCCAGATGCATGCGCCGATCCAAATGCCGGCAATTCCAACGACGAGAATGACAAGCATAATCACCCATTGCCAGTGATTAGAAAGCCTATTTTTTTGGCAAGACGCATTAGCTTCCGTGTTGCTAATGAGCACCGCCATGTCCTCCAACTTACCAGTCTCCACCATTTCCACTGTTGCTGCCGGCAGAATCGCTCCCTGAGCCTGGAGTATTGGTTGCGGCAGCTGGGTTCGTTGCCGCTGTCTGAGGAGTAGTTTTGACTTTTCCATTGCAGAAGCTGGAGAACCAGTTTCCAATCGAACTCAAGCCCTGGGGGTTACCTGGGCAGGCATTCGGGCAGATATTGGCTCCGCCGCCGGTTGAAAATGGTGCAACTCTTGAATCAGCGCAGAAGCAGGATTCATATGTACCTGCATCGGCAGCAGCTACGGCTGGAGGGACACAAGCGCCATTGGCATCCCAGAGAGGGCCGCAGGCCCTGGCACAAGCAGGGAGCTTGTTGATATCGTTGAAGGGAACGATGGCGTACGACAAGCCATTGCCGGCAGGTTGCTGCGCTACAGTGACAATTCGATTAGTGGATAGGGCCTCCACAAACCAAGGAGCATGTTTGAGAGAAATCGTACCCATTCTATTGACAGTGATGGATGTCGTGGAAGTGTCTTTTGTGCGATGCCCGTCTGCGGTTAATACCGAATAGAAGCGCAGACTGTTGGAAGCGGTTGCCTGTGCCGCGCAGGCTCAATTCGAGCCTAATATTCCAACCACAGAAGAACACGGGAGACGATCCGTGTCGCTAGTCCTCGTTGAATGCTGTATCGCTGCGGGGAGTTCTTTCCTCGTGGGAGAAGGTGAGATGAGCCGGACCGTCGCGGTATATAGGCGGTGTCGACGAGACAAAATAATTCGAATGAGGTGTGGGTTTTGTTTCGAGGCGCCAGCTATGCCGTGGTGAAACTGATGAAGCGGAGCCCTTTATTCCTTGCAGTAACCGTGCCAGCCGCCGATGTAACGAGTGAGAGGGTGGACAGGCGAAATGGAGAGATAAGGCTTGGGAGTGCGAATGGACTGACGATACTGGGGGTAAAGGGAAAAAAAATAACGGGATGAAACCGACGCGCCAGCGAGGCTCGTTTGATGGTGTTGAGGTGAAAGGAATGAAAAGCGACGAGCAACGTGGGCAAACATGGAATAACAACAGTGGGCGGGACAGGAGGAGTCGAGTGCCAGGAATCAGGATGAAATAGGAAGGAGAGGTCGGGCGTGGCACCTGCACCTACCTGGAACTGGTACGTTGCTCCGTACTGGCGTCATTTCCACTGGTAGTTTGTGCACGCCCGGGCTCCGGCCTCCAGCAGCCCTCTAGTGCTAGTTGTGACTTATTACTCAATTTTAGCTGGGACAGGGACTTTACTTGCAGCGACCCTCCGCCCGTGAGTGGATTTGGGCAGGTGTCTGATGTACTTACTACTTAGTCATGGCCAATAGGAGTGGCTGGTGCGAAACCTGAGTGGCTGAAAGGCTCACGACGTAGTTACCCCGGTACGTGCAAGCCAGCCCTCACTCTTCTTGGCGTGTGCTTGAAGTTCATATGCACGACTCAAGCGATATCATCACAATTTGGCTCGCTCTCCGTCTACTAAGTACCTGGGTCGGTTTGTGCTCTGGACCTCGCAGCTGAGCGTCAAGTGCATGCTTGCATCAATCTCATGTCCACGGAGAATCCTCATCCGTGCCGGCTGGAAATCAAGCATCTAGATTGCCGTTTGCAGTGGGCATCTTGGCCTAGGCCTCGAGTGGCCAGAGGTTAAGCGAGCGCTTTTTTGCATCCACCATGCGCTCTCATCGAATCATGTCACTCACGGAGTCACGACGCCACCATCTCGGTTGCGCCAAGCACGATCTCCAAATGTCTCTTTGTCATTCACCCGTCATATAAAGCCACTCATTAGTTACGTGTGCCATCAGGCCCAAGCAATGGCTGGTGACGTTGGGCGCTGCCCAAGCGCTCGTGCCGTCGGCTGTGGCGCGTGGGCAATACCAACACACACTCCATAAAAACCCGCGCAGCGATGTCACCCTGGAAAACACGCGAAACGGCCCATCAACTCGAGGATTTGAGTTGTTTATTAGGAACCACCAGGCCCGCGCTCAACAAAGTTGTGCAGCGCATGGGTGCATTCTGGATACGGAGTACGGAGTAACTACCCAGTTGTTTCGATTGTGCAAGAGGACTGGGAAGGCCCTGCCAAAGTTACGGCGACAAGAGGGGCAAGAGCGTCTATTCAACGTCCTCGGCCCTTTTATTTTTATTTTATTTGTTTTATTTATTTTTTCTCGTAGAGGGGGAATTGGGGGGCCGCAGACACTAACGTTACCTACTTACATCTTACAATTTGCTTTTTCTCAAGTGCTCAGCGGCCTGGTCTGGCCCTCAACTCGACGTACTCGGTAACTACTCGGTACTGCTACATTTGGCTTGGCTTTTCACCAAAACGACTGAAAATCGCAGAAAACGGCTGTTTCTCCACGCCGACACGCCATCAGCCCTTACGCGACCAATACGTATCCAATTTCCGAGTCACCAACTACCCCAGTCGCATCATATGCAACCAAAAAGACACGCCGTGCCTGGGGTGTTCACGTCTCTTGGTTATCTCATGTCTGCACAAGTTATCGCGACACTTCCTGCATGGCTATCTCGACCTGTCGCACTTCCAGAACCTATTTCTGGTTGTCATTTGCAGTCCACCAGCTCGGCAACCCCCGGACGGAGTTATCACTCCACGTCGGATCCAGGTTGTAGGTACTCCGTAATCGCTGTCGAGGTGCGTGTGGGTCATGGATTGTGGCTTTACTAGCAACCAGAAGCGGTACAACGACGATGGAGGCGATACTAGTTTGCTGGTTCTCATATGTTGCCGTGGGCGAAGCAGGTTTTGCGCGACTGAGGCTGAAAGCCATGGCAATATCTCACCGATTGCTACCAGTATTCCATTCGTTTTGGCCGATGATAGAGTCAATTGGCTAATCATGATGCTAGTGGCTTGTTTCTGTCGGTTTTGTCCGCGCGGAGAATTTGCTCATCCCGATTCCCAACACACCGCACCCGCTTAAGCCCGCTCATCAATTCGAACCATCGATCACAGATCTCAGCCTAGGCACCGAAACTTCTGTCCATGTACGCTCCAGAGCAATGACTTCGATCGGATCAGTGATATGCCCACCAACTTACGGCTTTCGCTGCCGTGATCTGCAGGCGCTTGGAAACGGGCAACTTTTGTTTCTATGAGAACAGGAACCAGAACCCGTTGCCCATCTCGTACTCGCTGATCAGCACGGAATTTCACGCCAAGAAAAGTTTAAAAGTCTTTAACAGCCAACAAGGGGCATATCTTGGTTGCCTGATGTTACTTATGAATCTAACAAGCAGTTACATAAGCTGCTACAACCACAGCCATGGACCAAGGAAATCTTTTCTTCTTCAGGAAGTGAGATCTATATTTCTAACAAAATCCCACTCGCCGGCTCGTTGAGTAAGCCCAAACATCCCCTCATCAATCGGTGGTGATATCCGGGATCGCATATCCTCGTGAAAAGAGCATCGTCAAGATGCCTTGTCACTGTTGGGAGCCCTGATGGGCAGACAGGTATTTACCACCGGATTGACCATGGTTTGTGAAGATAAGGCCATTGCCGGGTGGAATAGCACCTTTAGGGAACCATGGACCCGGCTCCGATAAAAAACTCTGCATACCATAGGATGTAGTTGCGGACGACGACGGTGACGTCTTTGAATTGTTGGCGACTGCGGCCCCTGATCTAGTGTCAGAACTTCTGTATGCTCTCGACTTTCGTATTTTTTCAGCGAAGCTGGTCTATCTCACCGTTACTTGCCTTCCCCTGCGTCTTGGTATTGTTTGCCGACATGCTGCTTTTTAAAATGTTGGCGATAGGCAATTGTTCTTTGATACGATCTTTCTTTTTATGACTGAGGAGCTTTTGAATGTGACCAATTCATCAAATTCATTTCGAGATTGCAGGCTGAACCAGTTCAATTTATATTGCTTCCCCTTTCAAAGGAAACCGAGACGAGCAATTGTCCAGTATTGGACATGTTTGTAATGTACCACGAGCTCTGGAGTCATTTGAAGACAGCATCTTTGCCGTCTCATGAAGCCTGGAACTTGACAACTTTTGGCGGTTTCATCACTGCGGCGGCAACCTGCATGATCATGACGCTTCGTCACCGCGCAATTGCTTTCTTTATTCTGTGACGTGAATACTTGTGGAACAAAACGTGTTTGTACAATCCTAGACGGACCTTATCCGTAGCCGTCAGCATCCTCTCCTGAGCGTTGCACCAAGGAGTTTACGGATGTGTCCCCGGACTTTGTTCCTTATGGTCGCTTCGGACGGCTCCCCCATTTCATATCTGCTTCTTTCCGACATATCATGTTGCCAGAGAGAAAGCGAATGGTAATCCATATTAACCAGCCACAAGGATGAGCTGGCAATGTAGCTTCCCGAATACAACCGAGTCACTGCCAGTGTCGACTTGTTTCTGGTTGCTGGATATTGGGCAGCTTCCACTTTGTCACGTCGCCTGTTTTCTTCGCGATGGTACCAGCAGTCATGTAAGCTGATGCCATCAATTTCTGCCAGCTCCATACTCAACCGTGACACTGCCGGTAGCACAGTGGCGTTCATTTCGTAACCAGGGAGGGTACAATGCCCTTCGCGAGAGATAGAACTTCACTTAGAGAACTGCTACAGAAGTTTATCAACGCAATGTGATCGAATTGATAAGTCCTCTCGTTTGACCTCCACTACCGGTAAACAGATCGTTGCTGACATACGTTACCTTCGCTCTCAAATCCTCCTACTCTATTCAGCATTCGGGATGTGTTGTACCTGGCCCCTATATATAGAACATTGAAGAATTCCAGATCATTGCATTCCTCCACGATGATAGAATTCCGCACGACAGCTTCAAGGGGGTCGGGTCCCATATCGGGTACGCTACCGGGATTTCTGGCATGCCCGCATATCGTAGTACAAGTATTGAGCACGTTCTTTATAGCGGATATGCGGTCGTTGGCGTGTTTCCTCACATTAGCTCTTATTCTGTACGACATGACCAACAGAAACCACTCGCAGCAAGAGGAAAAGAGCCGATTTACCCAATGTGGCACAATTTTTGGTTGGAGACTCGGGAGACCCGGCAGTCGGCGTCTGTCCAAGCTCTACTCTGTACAGATGAGCTGGTCCCATATCATCAAGTCATACGAAATGCCACAGCGGATAGCCGGAAGGAGAAGGCTCCGGCTCATCGTAACGTATTCCAACTCTGGCCGACAGAAATCCCCCAATGGCAACGACAAACGAAGCTGAACCGCTGTACTCCTGTTCCATTATCATAAGGTAGGCCTTCCAGCAGACAATGTCAAAATATTTGTCAAAACGGGCCAAGTTCTAAATTTACGTCAACCCCCTCCATCATCATTTTCCCTGGCAGGTTGACTTTCCGAAACTCCGACAAGCCTTGCAAAAACGTTCAAGCAGGGTTGCGATTGGAGCCCATCATGTCAACCAAAGCCGTGGCGTAGACTCTCACTGCAGCAGACAGAAAGACAGTCGGAGAAGAGGCACGAAGACGCTTCGCTTCGGATAATTTGTCTCTTCACTCTCGAAAAAAGTAAACTGTGCAACAGTTACTTGACCGTGTCGACGGTTTTACCGGAGGACGTGCCCCTGCGGCTGACGCTCTTTTATCTTTCTCGATGAGAGTGACGTACACCAGAGCCCATTAAAGTCATCCGACACTGTGTAACGGATGAACTTTGTGCTATAGCGATCTTACTATTCATGGCTGCATGACATTTGCTCTCAAGATCCGCCGGCGCAATGCGAATCAGGGGGGAGCGGGTTGATGCTCAGGTGACCACATCCAGCCGGTCTCCCACTTGCTCGTGACACCACAAATGATGGCTATGCAAGGGCGCCTGACAGAGAACCAAGTTGTTTCGACATGACTATATGAGCCTCGAAGCTGAGTGGACGATAGGGGAGACGAATGGTTGGAAAGTTTTGACGAAGGCATCGAGCCGAGAACGCCGCCTCACGAGCCACGACGACAAATCCCGACAAAGTCACAAGATGGTTTGTTATTGCACGGCTTGTATGCCACAAGCAATGGAAAGCAAATGCCTTCAAGAGTTGAGGAGCTTGCCTGAATCAGAACGAGTATCAGATGCTGATATCTGAGTGCCGCGGCGCATGATCTGTTGTCTAATGTTCCTAGTTGCAGCAGCCTCACAAAAATTGTTCAGGACGGAGGCTTTGAGAATTGATTTTTTCGCCGGCAAGGGATGGACAGCGTACACGAATACAAAGTCAACCGCACTACGTGGACGACTTGCGCCCATGGAACTCTGCTTAAGACGGGAACACATGCGATTCACCGGTGGCATATTGTTTACGCCCAGGCCAGGATGATGGGCACCGGTATACAACGGGCACTTGAGTCCGAATAACACTGAAAGAGGGCAGCCCGTACCGCGCTAGATAACGAGTTCGCCATTTGCGTCACAAGACGCCGCCGGTAGCTGGCCAAAAAATGGCGGCCGCGGCGGCAAGGCCGAATGATGGTCTGGCCCTCTCTCTCTCTCTCTCTGTGTGTGTGTAGGCTCCGTATTGACGGGGTGCCTGTATGGCCCAAGCTGGCCAGAGCTACTTTGAAAAAGTCTCAGTTTGCTAGTTGATGCCCTTCCGAGTGTCACCCTGAAAATATGACGGCTCACTTGCGCGGCGCAGGTTGGGGGCCAATGCCCTCGTTTGGTTATACTTGAATACAGCCTGGGACGAGCGGCCGTCACCGACCCCCCCCTCTCTCTCCCCTTTTGCGGTAAGATGTGAGGGCGGTAATATTTCCTCGTGAGATCATGCTGCCACACGTTACATGACACGGTAATTGGTTATGCTTCGCAGGTGCTTCTCATCGCCTCACGGCTTTGCATCGCGAGTATGCCGTGTGGGCTGTGCGGTCTTCGAAAAAGCAAGTTGCGAGCAAAGCATGCCGGCAAACAACTCATTGGCCCAGCAACAATGATTCTGTTTACGACTGCCGGCACCACTTTGGACGTTATTGACAGGGCGGGAAGGAAATGTTTTGCATGATTCCGGAAGAGGCGAAACGTACCCAAAAGTCGGCCTCTTTCCATTTACATCCAAAGACCAGATGGTGTAGGGTAGGCAGCACCAACGGCGGTTGCTCGGCTCGGGGCGGTGACGGTAAAGGCGCCTATTCTGTGGATTTGAAAGGCAACACGACTCAAAGATCATGAGCGTGCTATTGTGACCCAGCTCCCCACTAAAAGAAATCGAGGTACGGAGTAGCTCAGGCAGACATTGGAGTTTCGTCGGTTTGACTCGGCACTAGGTGCTTTGTGCTTTGTGCTTTGTGCCTTGTCCCGGTGGGGCCGTGGCATCACGCAGCCACGCTGGGGTGAAGACTTGCATAAAATTGTCCGTGGCCCGTGCACAAAGCAAGACGTCACAGGACCTGGTTTCCATCGTCGCGGTCCCGTTTCGACACGCAAATTGCTTTGCTCTCGTACGCTGTTACGCACGCCAAAAGCTTCCTGACCTCTTTGCCCATGCGTACTTCTCCCAAGTAGCAGCCGCAGGTGCCTGAGAACACCGACACAACTATGAAGCATGATGGTGCCGGAGAATGACGGCTGCTCTCGGGAGGAAATCATCGCCCCCAGGAGCAAGAACATCAATGACCTCAAGCTGCAGCTCGTCCTGTCCCTTGTCCTAGGAGTCTCGGCTTTTGTTACCTTTTGCGTGCGTGAATCAAGCCCTACAGCTGCGCTGCGTGTGCGAAATACCAACGTGGGAGACACTAATGGTCTGGTCTGGTTGGTCTAGATACTTCGCCCACGATGGCCGTCGCTCTACGCCGCCCACAAGCGGCGTCTCGACCCCAAGGTTCATCTCCCGGCCCTGTCGAACTCGTTTTTTGGATGGATCCCGCAGTTGTACAAAATCAGTGAACATCAGATATTGGCGGCTGCCGGGTTGGATGCATTTGTGGTAGGCTGATGATCATCCCGCCACTTCCCGGTACCAACTTGTGGTTTCTGATCGTCGATAGTTTTTGGCATTTTTCAAAATGGCTATCCGCCTCTTTTCCATCATGGCGTTCTTTGCGATAGTCGTTCTAGAGCCGATTAATATGAGCTTCCGAGGCAACGAAACCTGGCTCAATCCAAACAGGCCAGAGCACGACAGACTCGACCAGTACCTATTTGCTCCATCACGAGCATTGTATGGAAACGGCTTCGACGTGTTCAAAGATGACGACGAAGACAAGAGCAGCGAGAGACCGTACTTGTGGGCATACGTCGTCTTTACATATTTTTTTGTAGCCATTACGCTGTATTCCATCAACTGGGAGACATTTCGCATCATCGACCTCAGACAAAAGTATCTGGGCTCGCAGTCGACAGTAACAGATCGGACATTCCGTCTGACGGGTATACCAATCAAGCACAGGTCTGAAGACAAGCTGAAAGCCCTGATTGACAAGCTTGACATCGGCCTCGTGGACTCCGTCACGCTGTGCAGGAACTGGAAGTATCTCGATGAGTTGGTTCGGCATCGAGACTTGGTGCTGCGCAAGCTGGAAGTTTCCTGGGCCAAATACATTAGAATGCGACATGCGTCAACTCAACATAGCGATGCGACCCAGACGCAGGAATCGGGTGATGACACAGGCGGCCAAGTCTACGGCGTAAATGGCGACGAGGACTCTGCCGAGAATGCCCGGCTCCTTTCCACCCAGCAGGACCAGCCGCATATTTTTGGAGGCGACCGACCTCAGGTGTCCATTCGATACGGTCCACTGCGCCTGCGAAGCCGCAAGGTTGATGCCATCGACTACTACGAGGAGAAGCTGCGCCGACTCGACGAGCAGATCGTCGAAGCCCGCAGGAAGGAATACGAGCCCGTGGACATGGCCCTTGTCACTGTGGATTCGGTCGCATCCTGTCAGATGATTATCCAGGCCAGAATAGATCCTCGGCCTGGTAGGTTTTTGACCAAGCCAACCCCCTCGCCTTCCGACTTGGTATGGAAGAACACCTACGCCTTGCGCGGCCTCCGTCGACTCAAGGCATGGGTCATTACGCTCTTCATCACGGTCCTGACCCTCGTCTGGATATTTCCCACCGCTTTCCTGGCGTCCTTGTTAAGCATATGCACCATTAACCAGTTCTTGTTCAAATTCGCCGCGTGGCTGGGCGACCACACAGTCATCAGGTCATTCATCCAAAACAGCGCACCGACATTGATTGTCTCGTTGCTCAACGTTTCCGTCCCCTATCTCTATGACTGGCTCTCAAACCACCAGGGTATGGTGTCCCAGGGAGACGTGGAGCTGTCTGTCATCTCCAAAAACTTCTTCTTCACCTTCTTCAACACCTTCTTTGTGTTTGCGGTTTCGAGAACCGGATTCGAATTCTTCAACGTGCTGAGACGTTTTCTCAAGGACACGAGCCTGATACCCCGGATCATTGCGCGCGACGTGGAGGATCTTTCACTGTTCTACACCTCCTTCATCATCCTGCAGGGGATCGGCCTCATGCCCTTTCGGATACTGGAAGTCGGAAGCGTCTTTCTCTTTCCAATATCTCGGTGGCTCTCTTCCACGCCCCGGGACTTTGCCGAATTACAGCAGCCTCCCAAGTTTCAGTATGGCTTTTACCTACCGACTGCGCTGCTCGTGTTCAACCTGTGCGTCATCTACAGTGTTTTGCTAAACGGAGAAATAATTCTCATCTTTGGCACAATTTACTTTGCGCTGGGGTACTTTGCATTCAAGTACATGCTGCTGTATGCCATGGATCAACCCCAACATGCTACCGGCGGCGCGTGGCGTATAATCTGCTACCGCATAGTCATCGGTCTTCTGGTTTTTGAGACGGTCATGGTGGGACAAATTGCCTCCTCCAGGGCCTTTGTGCAGTCCGTTGCAGTCTTGCCGCTTCTCCCATTTACGGTCTGGTATAGTTACTACTTTAACCGACGATTTGAGCCTCTGACAAGAGTGATTGCGCTACGAGCGATTCGAGATGGGGGAGAGGAAAGTGGTCAGGACCAGCAAGCGGTGGAGGAAGATGAGGCTTCGGACGATGACGTTCCTCACTTTGAGCGTCAAATCCTGAGAAGAGGAAGTACTCTGGATGAGTTCAAAGAGAGAGGGTTGACCTTTGTGAATCCAAGTCTAGTTACTCCGTGAGTCGCACGCAGGACGGCATCGCATCGAGGATTTTGGACTAACACAGGCCAGGTTACAACTGCCATGGATCTACCGTGATCCCCCCCCGCCACCGGATGATGACGTCACGACGGAGGGTGGTCGTTCGTCCCAGGGCCGTCCTACTTTGATCCTGCCGAACGCAGACAGTTCGTTGGGTATTGGAGAAGACAATGTATGGATAGACAACAACGACACACAACGACGGTGAGTGTTGAAAGGTGTTTGCTGTTTTGTGACTGGTTAGAACTTGGGACATTTGGTCATGTTTCTTTGGGATGGTGGGCTATTCGCGGAAAGGAGCAAATGATGGCATACCGAGGACGAATTGATCAGATAGACGGGTGGAATGGCGGCTTTTCGCGCAACCCGCATTAGTGATACCCATCATTATTGGCCTGGAAAACATTTTGATTTTGCTTCCGCCTCCAAAGTCCTTGGTCGCTGTAGTAAGATCAACCACGAGGAGATGATACGGATGCAAGGGTGAAGGGGTGCAGACCTGGTCGCATGGCGTTTTGAGGAAGGTGCGACTCGACTCCCTTCAGATAAAAACCAGACGCCGAATGCTGCGCGACCTTTTCCTCGTTCACAGCACCACCTCACTTTGCTCATGTCCTAGAAACACCTACCTACTACATGTTCCTAACGTCTCATGCTACCTAAGTACTTGACAGCAGGTTGTCGGCGCCTCTCTGAACGAACAGACCCATCAAGACGTCGTCGCAGATATTTGTCTCACGAGGAGTAGCTGGACACTACTCCGCAAGGGCGTCTCGAAGAGCGTCATCCACAGACGTCCGGTCACTGGATCAGTCTCTTGGCACAATGGCGGATGCGGCCCTCATACCTAGCGATGACCATGACACTGGCATGCGGGCTCCCTCGAGGCAGTCGACTCAAGATGAGAAAGCCCGGGGAGCTGGGTGCGACGGTGATGACGCTGAGGCGAGTGGTATGTTTGCGAGCCTGAATCCACGAGGGGCATCATGTGTTTGCTAATGCCGCTCGTTGGACAGACGATCCTAGCTCAATGAATGTTCCCACAGAGATACTTCAATACATGTATTCGTTTCTTGCGACTGCTGATTTCAACGCTGCCCGTCACACATGCCGGTCCTGGTTTTCTGCGAGCTTGCACCGCACCCTACTTGTGCAGATGCTGAAGCAAGGAGGATGGTGGAGCAGCATGCTGCGCATCATCACGCCGGCGGGCATGGCAGGACTACCTGGGACAAGTCAGGAACGGATAATGGGCAAGTGGATCTCGAGGGAGTGCAATCTTGCCAACCCGAACGGCAACGCATTCACCCAAGTGGGAGAAACGGACTTTCGCCGACTACCGTCTGGACGCCGAACCAGTCAGCTCCACGGAGACATATCATTTACGGTCAGCCTATGCGGGCGGTATTTGATAGCGACTCTCGATCAGCTGGCTTATATATACGAACTGAATCACGTGTGCCAACCCGGGCGCTCGGCTTGGTCTATGCCGTTGAGGCGTAGACAAGGCATGCCTCTGGGCTTTATGCGTCCCGTTGCCAACATCATTTGCCCTCGCCGGATACTGTGCGCCAGCATGGACACCTCATCCGGGAGAGATTCGGTGGCATTCTTGATGGAAGGGCGCGTCGGCATGGTTTGTGGAATCGCCAAAGATCAGTCGCTTACTCCGAGGTTGTCGCCCTTTGCCATTTACGCCGCCGGGCCATCGGATTCAGGCTCCCTGCCCATTTCAAGGGTCAATTCACCAACAACACCAGACAAGCCTTGCATCTGTCATGAAAGGTCACCTCGGGAGCCACCTCTGGTGGACGTTGGGGAGAGATCTGTATATCGAAACATCTGCACAGCTGACGATCCGCCACGGTCGGTTGCAATTTGTCCGCAGCGAGAGTGCGTGGCTTTTGGATGCGCGGCCGGGATCGAGCTACACTAGGTGGATGCTTTGACAGGTCAAGATCTTAGCAGGTGGTTTCCACTGTCGTCTCCAAGCGACTTTTTGTACTTTCTACCCGCGCGAAGGGGGACCGACAACGCCCAAAAGCTTCGCCTGATCAGCTCCGCAGCTGGCCTACTGAGCCCGCTTGATGATGTGATGGATTCGCAGAATGAACACCGCACTACGGTGTTTGGAGAAGAAAGAACAGGTGACGCGCCGCTTTGGAGCACCGGAGCAACAAGACTGGACAGTCGCCAAGCCGCCTTCACAAGGCCTCGTGAACCCAGGAGGCCCATGTGTCTTAGGTCAAGAGCATTTCAAGACGCCCATATACTACTGGACAGCGGAGGTATACGGACTGTATCCGCAAGAAGTGCAGATCATTACCGCGCTGTGCCTCTCAGTGATGGATATCACATCTTGTTCACTGATCCCCGGACGGGTTGCCTTTGCTTGGGAACTGACGCCCCGATTGGATCTGTGACGCGTCTTCTTCGGAAGGTGTGGTTTCGACCTCCGGGAGCAGCTTTGTCCGCCATACCGATACTGTACGCGGCCGCATCAGATACAAGACATGGCGTGCGGGTTGTGGCTACCTTTGCGGCAGCATCGCCGCCGAATACCAGAGATGCCGTCCCCAACAAGCAAGTGGTTGTGTTTTTTACAGTCCCTCCAGACCTGTTTCATGATTTGTCCCACGGCAACGCAGGGCGTCCCTTGACAACGGAAATGTTGAGCGATGAGAGAACACGGAGACAAAGCACTTCGGAGCCTTGGCAGGTCGAGGAAAGTTACGGCGAGGTGGATGTATTCAGCGATGCATTTCGGGACATGCCATCATGTCCCCTCGAAATCTGGGGACAGACGATTACAATACATGAAGACCTGACCGAGATCGCCCTGGACTCCTCGCCAGAGATGGTTGTTTGGGCATTCAGCTCTTCTGGTTGGGCCAAGGCATGGGCGGTTGACTCGGGTAGGTCTGAGCCGCTTACGATGACGGCGATCCAGCAGGACGGCGGCGTGCGCCTGGTTGACAAGGACGGCGACGGGCCGATGGCCCACGGTGAAGGCTCCAGCGTGATGGAAGCACCGCATGTCGCTGGAGGAGTTGATCCCTTTGACGGAACCGTGGGCACGAACTTTGTGGAGCGACGGTCTGCATTTGAGCGAGCGGGTTGGTACACCAGAGCCAGAGGCAGCGACAGGATGAGCGGCACGGCATCGGTAGACTTGATTGAGGGCGTGAACGGCATCGTAAGACTTGACGTGCAATTACGATGAGATGTCGACCTTGGAGAGCAAGGGATTATCAAGCTGTCAGTTTTATGCGAGCAGGAATTTTTGCGGCGTCGAAGCACGGAGTACGGAGACGGGGCGCGGGGCCGTCGAAGCCCCACTGCCGCCGACCGGACGACGGAGTGGCGGGTCTTGGATGGATAAAGCGGGGCACTAAGCTGTAACCTGGTTAACGGTAGACTGTGCTTTATTCACTAGTAAGACTTATACCGGCGCTGTTTGCCAAGGGTTTGCACATGACATACACAGCAATGCGCATGTAGGCGCTGGCTGGCCCGGTTGACTTGTAAGTTGTGGCGTCTGGAGGCGGGGAGACGGCGGACCCACACCGGCCGGCCTGTCGGGATGCGGCTTGTCCGCAATGACCGTTGGGGAAGCCGAGCTCGGACGACGGCTTTGCGCGTACAACGGCGTGTGATGGGGCTTGGTTGGCCAGGCGGCTTGGCGAGGAAGACCGCGGAGAGCGCCGCTGCTGGAAAGCGTGGTTCCTGGCCATGGCTCGCGCAGCTGGCGTGCAAGTCTGTCGGGTTTCCAGAGTGCTGGCCGCAGGAATCTGCGCCGTGGACAGCTCCGCGTCTCTGCTCTACTGGCGACAAGTCGCACGCGGACCGAGCAGCATCTACATCTATCTGCGGCTCGTGGCGGAACGCCTGGGCGTCTCATCTTCTCGGTGTGCCTTCGCGGGGCGGTGGGCGTGCTGTGCTCTGCGATCCCGGACTGCACTGCACGGTCAACGAGCATCACCTGTCGCTTGCCTGTGAGACCCCTAGCCGCGGAGCGTCTGGCAACCCAAGATGGCTTCTTGCTGGTCCGATAGACGGGGATAAAATGTCAGACAAGAGGCCCCAGAATTCACTCTTCATGAAACAAATAACTATTCAAGCTACACATTTCTGACCGGCAGAGACGGCGGCCTGTGCAGCACCAGGCCCTTGGTCAGCAAGTTCCTGCACGTTCCATCCCTGATGAGCTCGTCGACGTTTCGAAACGTGCAGTGGGCAATCTCGGTCAAGGCTTCAACCGTGAAGAAGGCCTGGTGTCCACACACCAGTACGTTATGGAACGTGGTCAGACGCATCAGGACGTCGTCGTCTATGATCTCCCCCGAGTGGTCGTTGTAGAAGAGCGACCCTTCGCCCTCGTACACGTCCAGGGCCAGCCCCCCGAGGCGTCTGCTCTTGAGGGCCTTGATGACCGCTTTCGTGTCGATGAGGCCGCCTCTGGACGTGTTGACCAGCATCGCCCCCTCCTTCATCTTGGCGAGGCTCTCTTGGTTGATGATGTGGCGGGTGGTGTCCGTCAGGGGACAGTGCAGACTGACAATGTCGCACTCCGGAAGCAGCTCGTCCAGGGGCTTGTATCGGCCGACCTGCTCGAAGGCTGGCGACGGGAACGGGTCATAGGCAACGACGTTGCATCCGAAACCCTTCATGATGCGGGCCGTGGCGAGGCCGATCTTGCCTGTTCCCACGAAGCCGACCGTCTTGCCGTGGAGCGTGTGGCCCAGCAGGCCGTCGAGGGCAAAGTTGCCTTCTCGGACGCGGTTGTAGGCCCGGTGCGTGTTGCGGTTCAAGGTCTGGATGAGGGCGACTGCGAACTCGGCGACGGCCTCTGGCGAGTACGACGGCACGTTGGCGACGGCCATGGCGTGTTTCTCGGCGGCCGCTAGGTCCACGTTGTTGAAGCCGGCGCATCGCAGGAGGATCGCCTTGACTCCATGGCCGGCCAGTTGGTCGATGACGGCGGCACCCAGCGAGTCGTTGACGAAGACGCACACGGCGTCGTATCCCTCGGCCAGGGCGACCGTGTCGTCGTTGAGAGATGCCTCGTGGTACACGACCTCGATGTTGGTCTCGTCAGCTTGTCTCGCGGCCCGGGCGGCGTCAAAGTACTTCTTGTCGTACGGCTTGGCGCTAAACAAAGCGAGCTTCATTGTCGAGTATGATGGTTTCCGGCGGCGTCGGTATGCCCACAGGTCCGGCGGCTCGGCCCGGAAGGTGACTTTTTTGGTGATTTTTTGCCCGGCAGGTTTGCGGGGCAGAAATTGACGAGTGAATTGAAGGTGGTGACGAAGAGGAGGAGAGGAGAGGAGAGGAGAGGAGAGGGGGTTGCTGGCTGGCCTGGCCATCTGCATGCACCCACCAGCCTTCAGCCATGGGCGTCCGAGTCTGCGCCGCTCCGTTTGTCATCCGACAAGAGGTCAATGGCAAACGTCGCCAGGCATTGCATCCTTCTGTCCCCCGTCCCCCACCCCAAAGAGCATTGCCGTTCGGAGTAATCCGTCTTGACCGAAGTCTTCGAGTCGTGAATGCCGGCCGTGCTTTCAGCCAGCTGGCATGGCTGCCGCCGGCCGCACCTGCCCTGCCCTGCCCCCTCGACTTCGACTCCTCAACCCAGCAGCTGTGATCGCTTTCGAAAACGTCTCCGGAAAAAACACTGGCGGGGCCTGACGGACGCTTCTCCAAACTTCTGCCCCGAATTGTCCCAAACGCCGGCCCCCGTGCGGATTTACAGCATAGCAGTCTGCGCCGCTGAACAATGGACTCGAAGCCGACGTCCGTATCCGAGGAACGGTTCCAACAGCTCCTCGCTGCGGTTGATGTAAACCTTCCCACCCCTCCCTCCTCTCTGTCGAGCTGGGCTCCATCCAACCTTGCTCTGAACCAGCAATCTGACCCCCGTCGCATCCGCAGCAAACTCAGGCCAGTCTCAGGAGCCACTCCTTCCAAATTGTCAGCCTCCAGAACCAGATCCAGGTCATCCAGAATGCGAGAGTAAAAGAGGCCAAAGAGACGAGGCAGCACATACGCGACAAGGAGGAGCTGCGATCAAAGATCGCGTACCTCAAGGGCATGCTTGCCAAGCTGACTGTGGAGTTCTATTCCGCGCAGGCCGCAGCCGCGGCGGCTTCCACGAGTCCTCTCGAAAGGGAACGCCCACAGGCCATGCATCGCGGGCTCAACCCCCGCGATGACATGTCGTTGAGCGCCTTTTTGCAGCTGTCGTTGGACAAGTCAACCCCCCCGAACCGGGCTGTGGACATCGTGGCGGACCGACTGCTGGAGGAGCAGAGATCACTGCTTGTCAGGGGATTGGTGAGGGCCAGAACCGTGTCTGGTTTGCGTCAGGACTTGTATTTTTGACATTGATCTAGCAGGATTTCGCGCACATGAACCAGTCGTTGAGTACGGAAACAAGGGATCAGTTAAATGAGCTTGACCCCGCGCATTTCTACGACGCTCGAGAGGCCATGACCGATGACGGCCATAAGACCAAGACCGAAGGCGGTGATGACACCTTCTCGCTGGAAGATGGAATGCTGCAAGCCCCGATAGCTGTGGATGCTGCATGAATGGGCGAGGCGGTTTACGGGATTCAGGGCATGCTTGGCGTGGTGAAGCGATTGTTAGACTACAGATCAACCCAGCGTGAAATAAACACTAGTCTCTTTCGCCATGTATATGTCCGAGATGCCGCCGAGTATGCGTATGACCGGGTTCGTGTCCCCGGCCGCGGCCCAGCTGGGAACCCTAGGTAAGTTTTCCATCCCTGAGGATCTATCGAGCGTAGGCCCCCCTGATCGAGTAGTCTTTTTTCGGGCCGTTGACTGTGTATTCTATGCTCCAGTTCTTCAAGTTGACAGCCTCAAACTCAAAATTGTACTGCACATCATAGTAGTCGTCAATACAGACGTGTCCTGCCTTTGCAGACCACCCCTCATCACGACCTTTTTCTGGCTGCAAGAACTCAATCTGGTGAAACAAGTAGTCTGCTCGCTTGGGATCCTCAGGTTTAGTAAACCAAACGCTGAGGGATTCCTCATTGTCGTCGTACCGCCAGATGTATCGTCTGCTTGCTCGGAAGCCGAACCCTTGCTCAGTCTTGAATTCTCCATCTTCGATGTATAAATATTCCAGGCCTGCTCCTTCGTCGCTGACAGTCGACTCCAAGCCCTGCCGGGCACACTGCAGACCATCTGACGTCTTGTCTCTCAGGAGGAACCGGGCCGTGCCGCTGAAATGCCCGCTCGGGTGTGTCGGTAGCCTGCTTGCCAGTTCTCTTTCGAGCTTCCACGTGCCCAGAAGACTTCGGAACACAGCGCGCGGCACAAAGCGGGGCGTCGCAAGGCCATCAATGGCAACTTGTACAGTGTCTTGGCGCATCTTTTCCGCGTCCGTCTTTGCCGAGACGTCATCTGACGGCGAGGGATATCTTGCGGGAGTGAGCATGTCCAAGGGAAGGCTGTTATAAGAGAGCATAGGAATGCCGCTCAGCGACGGATCTACTCTTGGTATTGAAAGTGCTTCGGAAAATTCCTGCATGAGAAAAGGGTAGTCGCCCATGGGGAATTGTGACAGTCGAGGGTCATCTCGTAGATCGAGTGTTCTTTGAATAGAATTGTCAGACTTCAGTTTTAAATTCATGGCCTCGGAGCGAGCATCCATGGGCGTGGACCAGTATTCTGCTAGAAAACGGGCCTGCATTTGCATCACTCCCCAATATGGAGATCTGTAGAAGCCAACGAATCCTAATGCCGACACATTTGGATGGTGTGTTCCGTGGAAGGCCAAGGCAAGTGGCTGCTCCATGTGCTGTGGAGAGTGGTTCAGTATCTTCAAAACATTGGTGGGAAGATAGCTGATGCACGGTGATGGATCGAAACCTGTTGCCAGGACTATGGCCACGACGTCTTTGATTTCCGTTCCATCATCGAGTCTGGCTGTGGACCCTTTGAACGATTCCACCTTTCCATTGGACAGCGATATCAACCCTGATCTCACGAAGTCGCAATACCAGTCGCTGACTGCCAAGTATGGCGGCTGAGCCTTGGCCGCATCATCGACGTGGAGGAGAGGCGAAAAGGTAGACTGGTCCGTTCCCAAGGCGCTGTGGAAAATACCATTGACGGCCTGTGCAGTTTTCACATCAACGTGACCCTGCGTGTTGAACAAGGGGAGCGGTCTATTGTTTCGATTATAAGATGAGAAGTCAAGAGGTAAGAATGGCGCGGCAGCAGCTTTGGGCTTTTGTCCTGGGTTAGCGCGGATCATCAAAGAAGTGCCACCTGGGACGCTAACCTCGGCGGTCGTGTGTAAAGGGAAGACCCATATTGGCCGTTGGATAATGTGACGAATTGAACACTGATCGAGATCGGGCACTGATGGACCACTGGGCGAGTTTGTGGCCGACGAGAGATGTGTCGCAATGGTTCCCGAAACCTCAACACCAGACATCTGACCCCCAACAATGAGAATGTTGCCCTTGGCAGAGCTACGAGTCTGAAGCAGTTGTTTCAAGTCCCTGTATTGGCTGCTGTGAATGACGGGGATCGTTGCTGAAGGCGAGATGGACATGCACTCGGGAACAACAGGTTTGCCGAAATAGCCTGACGCAACGACTAGATAATCGAAATACTGTGTCTGGCCCTGGCCCCTCGACTCGAGTCGTACGTCCCACCCGCTGCCATCACCGTTCGTCTGCTCAGCTCGGACGACTCGCGTGTTAAGACGTAAGGTGAAGTGTGGATGTGAAGTCAAGTACCGGGACACGTAGCGCTCCAAATAGCGGCCAACTTGCCAGGCCCGTGGGAGCTGAGGCGCTCCATCTTCCCAGGCATGGTCGCTGAACTGCATGGTGTGTTTGCTTTGGTTGGCTATCATCAAAGGATGCACCTGACGAGTCGTATCCTCCTTTGAGGTTGGCCACAGCCCGCCAATGCCACCATGAAGGTCGAACACGGTGACGGTGAAGCTATCCTTTGGGGCGTTGCACAGAAGGTTCTTGGCTGCAAGGAGACCAGCCGGTCCAGCACCTATGGGAAGACATTAGCTCTGATTCACACGTGCAGTTGTCTCCATTGGCACTTGCCCACGACGCAAACTGATTTCGGCATCTTTACGCGGGTTGCCCTGAGCATAGGCGAGAGCTGAGTGATGTGGCGGAACGCCGCGTCCCCGGGGCGCGTGCAGTGTCCGCCTCACATTCGGGACATCACCGCCTGTCCCGGATAGGTCTTCTTCTAGACTCTCTGCTGTTGTTGACGCATTGGGGACCTTGGCGCCTCCTGGTCAAGGAATGAAATGGACCAGGGCCAAGGTGCTTGGGTGTTGAGAAGCGGAGGAACAGGACGGATGGATGGATCGAAAATGACAATTACATAATCCAGAGCTCTTGACCTCGGACCCAAGGACTTGCAGGGAGTCACAATGCAAGCATTTGTACCATGGCCTGGCCTGTTGTTATATGTGGCAGCAGTCTGTTCAGACACCCTTTTTTTTTTTTTTAAGAAGATGACATTTCAAACATGACATGAAATCCTGCTGGCCCGGGCAGAGCCCAGACTGTCTGGCACTGCAGAAACGGCGGCGGTGGCGCGGTATAACTAGGTATTTTTATTTTTCTAAAATAATTCCTTGCCCTCTAATTATAAAACATGAAATACCACAGTATACATGAAGCGCGCGACATTATGGATTGATGGTAATTCACGCTCGTCAAATAGAAAGATCGACGCCCAGGGTTAGGGTTGTTCCCCAATGAACAGACTAGCCACCCAGAACACACGCAGTACAAACTCAATAATCAACAGATACCCTGGTTTCTGAGCCAAATAGGAAGCAAAGCCGAGCAGTGCTGCCTTTACCGACCGTTGGAGTCGCCACGGCGTCGGAATTCCATCTTCCCTTCCCTCTCATTGGCACGATTCGACTTGCAGACGCCCGTCATGGAGAAGAAGCGCCTCGCTGCCTCCCTCTCCAGACTCCAGACAACATTGAACATGCCCTCGTCACGCGGTCAGGTTCGGCAGCCCGCACGAGGAAACACTCTAGTCGAGGCCAAGAAAGATGACTAGTCAGACGATTTCACCGGGAAATGGAAGTGCGGACCAATGAGCCGCCAAAACCGTCGCGCTCCAGGCAAGCCGCGTACGTCAATTCTTTGCTTCGTTGCTGACGGCCGCCGACTCCGGCCGCCGAATCTGACGGTGCGAGGCACCGATTGCCCAAGCCAGCTTCGACGTCGAGGTGGTGTCTCTCGAGGTTACTTTCGGGTCGTCGCACCTGATGCCTTCACGAGATCTTCTCTCCATGTTTGCCGTGCCAGCCCCGGCATAGCGCGCAGCTCAAAGCCCGACTATTGATGCACGCAGAGGGCTTATGCATGGTTTCGCACGACTTTTCCTGGCTTGTGCAAAGTCCAGAACTGCTATAGACCCGGCTATAGAAGCCTCGAATGCAACGTCGGTAGAGCTGAGCGCTGCATGGGTGAAAGCGTTTTGTGTTTTGCGCACCATCAACCTCCGCGGTGACGTGTATATAGGAGATGGAACTCGCCGGACAATTCAGTCCTTTTTTTAACGTCAAGCTTCAAGTTTTTAGGACCTGGCCCTTGTACATCGAGCCTGGTCAAACTCTTCTCCTTCTTTCCATATTCGTCACCGCAGAATCACATTCCAACTCCTTCACTTGACAGCCCTCAAGATGAAGGTGCAAATTGTCATGGCTGCCGCCTCACTCCTTGGCTTGGGACTTTCAAGCCCTACAAAAGACACGCCGTTCTCTTCCAATTTAGACAAACGCTGCAATGGGTCGGGTTCATTCTGCAACAATGGTGTTCCTTGTTGCAACGGGCTATATTGCAGCAGTTCGAGCATCTGTCGTGGCTGCAACGGCTCGGGTTCCTTTTGTAACAACGGTGTTCCTTGCTGCAACGGTCTCTATTGCAGCAGTTCGAGCATTTGCCGGGGCTGCAACGGATCGGGCTCCTTCTGCAATAATGGCGTTCCCTGTTGCAACGGCCTCTATTGCAACAGTTCGAGCATCTGTCGCGGCTGCAACGGATCGGGCTCCTTCTGCAATAATGGCGTTCCTTGCTGCAGCGGCCTCTATTGCAGTAGTTCGAGCATCTGTCGGGGGTGTAATGGGTCGGGCTCGTTTTGCAATAATGGGGTTCCTTGCTGCAGCGGCCTATACTGCAGCAGTTCGAGTATTTGCCGGGGCTGCAACGGAGCAGGTTCGTTTTGCAACAATGGCGTACCATGCTGCAACGGTCTCTCTTGCAGCAGTTCGGGAATTTGCAGATAGACCTCAATATGGATGATACGGCGATGATCTTTGGTGACCAGTTGGAGTTCTCTGAAGTTCAGCATCACCAGAGACTTTGTATGGCTCGTCCCAGAGCCGAAAGAGTATGAATACACGGCGATGAAATACGCAATCATCCAGTGAGATGGTAGGATTTTTGAGTTGATCAAAAGGCGCATTCTCAAGAGATGGGTCTGTAACCTTTGTACAGCGAGATCAAATGCGAAGGGTGATGATGATGACGACGATGATGACGCTGCTGCTGAATTTAGAAGAAGCCCATACCAGATCGAATGAAATGAACATGACCAAGTAAAACCAACAAGATACGCGTCGTCTGTAAAAAGATGTAGATCCGGAAAGGACGTCTGTGCCGCCTTGGAATCAGATTTGTGTGATGCATCTCGCTCGCATACATGATGTGCTGTGACTTTGAACATGCAACCCGTTGACCTGTCAATAGTACCACAGATAAGAACGATCGCTGATAAATGACTGATATTGAAGCAGAGGGAGCTGACTCTCGAGCTTTTGCAGGATAAGTAGAGTCTCGGCTCCGAGCCAGGTTGCCTTGTGCCGGGCCATGGTCAAATTCCAAACTCCGTCTGACGCGCAGCCACGCGCCAGCACCGAGAGCTGACGATTCTTTGCAGCAGCCATACGCTCCGTCTCCTCCCCTTCCTCGGCCAACGACCCTCAGTCCGATATCCCCTCCTCCTGCTCCTCCTGCAGTCTCCTCCTATTAGCATCGACCCACCAGCCGTCAATCTCACTTCCGCCCTTCCATTGCCCCTGCTCGTCCAGCTCCTTCCAGGGCTTGGGACTTAGGATATAATGCACATTCTTGACCTCGGCATCCCTCCAGATCGCACCGTGTACATCCGGGCTCCTCATTGTCTTGAGCGCATTGTATACGTACGGCAGTGGAACCCACCGACCCCTATACAAATCCGCCAGCAGGTCCTGGTCCGGGAAAGTATACGTTTCCCCATGGGCATCCATGTGCTGCAAAATCTGTTGGAATAATTTCGCGGATGGATTTATAACCAACAGCCCGCTATTCAGGTCCCCCAAGCTCCGCGCCGGGTCTGCGCCTTCCACCTGGGCCTGGTCGGGATTGGCATGCTGATGTGTGAAGGCGCAGTTGTCGCGGATCCAAGTAGATGGGTAGTGAGGCTTTTTGAGCGGATTGCAGACACAGGCGTGGCCGGATGCGAATACGCGCTTGCTTGACTCGGAGCCGGACTCGCTCAGGGAGACGGGGTCGAGGGCCAGGTCCATCAGCTCGTCCATGTTTCTGAGAGGGAGCATGTCCGAGTCGAGCTGGACTACGCGCGAGAACTGCGTGAGAGAGAAGGCGACGAGTTTTGTCCAGCAGTCGTTGAAGCGCGCATCCTCGAGGTACTTTTTGCCGGATTTGGGCGCGATGTAGTGGACGGGCAGGCTTGGGATCCCGCGATGGGAAAGGGCGGCCAGACACGAGGAGGGAACGGAGGACGTGTAGAGAGCAACGAGGGGATATGCGGATCGGACGGCGCGGAGGGAGTGGTTGAGGGTTAAGAGGCCGGGGAGATAGGCCTCGTTGGTGATGAGCGTGACCCAGGCTATGTATGTATGGGACGTTAGCAGGTCTGCACGCGTGTGGCATTGCGAGGGAAGCCACACCTTTGTCTGAGTTGACGGCGGGAGACGCGGCCATTGCGAAGGATGCAATGATGCGACGCGGTGCGAGGAGGTGACGCCACGTTTGCCGAGGATGGAGGGTGGACGTCGGGACTGCGAGAGCATCGACGTTGTGGGATGGAGACATGACATGGACATGGAGTCACGGACATGGGGCTGGCGCTAGCGTGCGAGTGGGAGCGATGGCGGATTGCAATCAACGTGAATTAATCTACAAGATAGTTTCAAGCGTCGTACTGGATGCGAGCAAATTCTTTTACCACAACAACAAACCGTCATACATAGTCATCAACAGGAGTCAACCGCCTCTGCCCAGCAACATGCAGCGCCGCGGCTCAACGGACGACGTGCCGAGCATGCCGTCATCGCCGGTAATGAGATGAGGGGGCATCGGATGGCTTGAGATGGCTTGATTTGGAGTGTCCCGCGAGAGGCCGCTCCCGGTCTGTCCTCCACGTTACCACTTGATATTTAATGGCACGCCTTGGAAGAACTAAATTCTCTCATCCTGTCGTCTTCAACCGCCCGGCCTCGGCATCACCGCGTGCCCATTAGCAAAGTAATTACATGCTGGCCAGACCGACCTGCAGCCAGCCATCCAGGACACGGCGCCGAATACATCTTGACACTTGACCACCGTCATCGAGGCCAAACCGCAAACAATGGCCGCCTCTCACCACGTCCTGCTCATCGGCGGCCACGGCAAGGTTGCCCAGCTGCTGACGCCGCTGCTGCTCAAGCGGTCGTGGACCGTAACCAGCATGATCCGCACCGACGAGCAGGCCCCTGCCATCGAGAAGCTCGGCAGCGGCTTGCCCGGCAAGCTCAACGTCCTGGTCCGCAGTGTGGCCGAAGTCTCTACCCAAGAACGGGCCGCGACCATCCTGAACGACGTGAAGCCCGACTACGTTGCTTGGAGTGCCGGTACGCGCCGCCAGACCCCCCAAAGGCTTTGCGCGTCATCGCCAAGACAGCGACTGACTTCAAGCAGGCGCCGGCGGCAAAGGCGGTCCCGAAATGGCACGTCGTCGACACCCCTGCCAAGCCTTGGATGCTTGAACCCGCTAATGCCCTCTTTCTCGACAGACCCTCAAGGTAGATCGAGACGCGGCCGTCAACTTTGTCCGCGCAGCCGCCGACATCCCCTCCATTGAACGATTCCTCCTCGTCTCCTACGCGGGATCTCGGCGTGCGGGCGCCCCGTGGTGGCCCCAGGGCGAGTGGGACGACTACAACGAGAGTGTCAACCACGGCTCGCTCGCGACTTATTACAAGGCAAAGATTGCCGCCGACGAGGTACTCTATGAGACGTCCAAGAAGAGCTCTACTCTTGTTGGCATCTGCCTTCGGCCCGCTACGCTTACCGACGAGCCTGCTGGCAAGGTTGAGCTCGGCAAGACCGCCCACGTAAAGGGCCATGCGAGCAGGGCTAGCGTCGCGGCTGTCGCGGATGCCTTGCTCGCCGTTGACGCTGTCAAAAATGCCTGGCTTGATCTCCAGGACGGCACTGAAGATGTCGACGCCGCTGTCAAGAGGTGCGTCGAGGATGGTGTAGATGCGGCTGAGGGCGAGGAAATCTTTGGCTCCAAAATGTGATTATTTGATTAACTAAAAGGGGCTACCAATTATATCTAACCACAGGCCCGGAGATGGACGAAATGCAACATTCTGACCGACATCCTCCGCTTGGCTTGTACTTTTTTTCGAGGCTTCCCGTCAAAAGTGTCTTCAGCCGTATTGTCCTCCCCCCGGCCCCTTCTCGTCAAACACATGCCGTCGTCTGTCGTCCTTGTCCTGCGCTGGAACTGGATGGCGATGGACTCGCACGGCGCTTCCAATCCTCGAGTTGGATCATGTCTCCAACACAGCTGCCGCATCCGCAGCACTTAATCCCCTGGCATCGAGGCTCGTTGAATGCGTCGCAAGTTTCCACTGATGAGATGCCCAACCTGCTTTCCAGTCGTGTGCCCCGGGGGTACTCACCTACGCTTCCATAACCGAATTTTGCTTTGACTGCCTTCGTCTCGGCCTGGACCTCTGACCAACTGGTCGTGAAGAAGATGATGGCGTTCCAGACACCCTGAAGCGGCAGCACGCAACCGCTGGCAATGCTAAGAGTATAGCTGACTTGCCCTCCGTTTTTTAGGCTGTAAAGTCGGTTGATGGAGCTGGGGATCCATGTAATCAGCACGGAAAGTCCAAAAATGAAGCTCGTCCTTAGATATGCCATCTTTACAGAATCCAAACGCTTGAGCTTCATCGACGCTGTGGACGTCAACGCCCCGAATTTGCTGGCCAGAGAGGTGCTGTTAGTATGTCGCTTCCCAGCCGAACAAGTCGTCTCAAACTGCTGCGTAGGCACAACCCTCTCGCTGTCCGAGTCGTTTGGGGGATCCAGCCATGATCCGCCGCAAATCCGGGACGGAGTTCTGTGCACCGCTGCCGGCAGGGCGGGGATATCATCGTCCGCGAAACCGGAGAAGTTGGTGGTGACCTGGACCTCTGTGACTGCGACTCCGTAGCAGCCAGTCTGTCTCGCGGGGTTCTACTGAAAGTCAGGGCGCCATCTCTCCCCTCTCGCTCTGTTCACGACTGACGCGGCGCATTCTTACCTCTTCCCCGGAACTTCCGTTGTCGCTGTCCGTCAGGGATGCGCTGCGGAAATTGCCAGCCGGGTGCTGGAACGTCACGTTCCGCAGCTGGTTCCTGCTGCGAAAGACGTGATATCCCACGGCGATGTAGATGAGGATAGAGAGAAGGATACAGATCCAAATGGGTATGTAGTATGCGTAAAGACGAACAGTGCTCCACTGAGGCCTGATCCAACACCACAACTTGGAGCTCCGTCAGGCTAGCTCTTGAAAAAGGATATGTCCGGGGGGGGGGGTGAGTTTGACTACTCACGGCTGCGTCGCCAAAGATCGGGCCTCGCTCCTGGTCGCGGATGGAGACGAGCACGACGGCCGGCAGCATTGGCCCGCCGAAACAAACCACGCAGTATGCCCATGTGTATTTTTGGAAATTTTTCGGGCTGGCGTTGTTAAAGAAGACCAGGAAGACGTTTAACGCCATGGCGAACGACCACCAGGGGTCGGCTTGCATGAACCTGCGATCCTCATCATCAACACTTCTGTTGGAGAAATAACACGCTCGTCGGGTTCTCTCCGTACCATTCGAATATGAAGCCTTGGGCCTGACATAGCGTCGATTCTTCACCCATCCGGAGCCCGTCGTATCCGATCATGGAGGCCACGCTCGCGCCGGCGTTTGCAACGGAAGCAAATACAAGGAACGTATTGGGCGTGGTGCGGAGCTTCTTGAAGGCCACGAACGAGACGACGGTGAGGAGGATAGCGGCCATGGAAAGACCTGCACCCGTGCGCTCGATGGTGATGAGGGTGTTGATATGGTCGGTGCTAAGGGTCGATCCGTCGTCGCTGCTCTCCATGGTGAAGGGGGAGGTTGCTGGATCGGGGAAGTAATAATGGCGAAGAAAGGTTTAGACTACAAGTCACGTATGAAGGTTGCAATGGCAGAAAGAACCATGGGACGGGAACGAACACCAGGACTCGGCGTGCTTTTGCCTTGATTGCGTCGGCATGGCAGTCTTGTCTGGTGGGTTTGAGTGTCGGCTGGTCGAGGTGGTTTGCCAGCTGGCGGGAGTATGGACTCATGGCCGATGGCAGTTGGTAGACAAACAGGCCCTGTGAACCGGGAACTTATAAAGCTGCTTGGGTTAAGTGCCTAGTTTGGAGAGCCGTGGGTTCGATGAATGCTGAACGGGCAAACGGCGGTTTGCCGGAGGAAGAGTGGTCAACCCAAACGGCTGCCTACTCACATCGTGACATGTCGCACGCTACACGGGCGGTTGTTTTCATATATGAAGCATCGTTCTAACCAGCTCAACTCGCATCACGCCCATTATTTCCCACCCACATAGATGCATAAAGCATTGGCGTACACATGGCGATTGATGGATATCTCGTGCAGAACCCCGAGCCCGTGGCCCGGCCGAGCCGTCGTCGAGTCAATGCCTCGGCGCCGGTCCGTCTCGGCCGACCTCGACCACCCTACTCTGCTGCGGCAGCACATTGCACAACCCGAGTCCTATGACCTGCGCAGAATTCCGCTTGCTTCTTCGTTCCAGTCAATGTAGATCATATGCTCGACGCCGCGACTTGCACGGTGAACCGCGCAGCCGGCCCGCACCCGCGCCCCGCAAGCCAAAACCGCACCCCCACGTCGATTCATCTCCTCGATGATGAGCCATTCCTACATTTCCCCATTTCCCCCGGACCGGACGCATTCGCCCGTTGTCAGGCAGTCCAGACTCAAGACCATCATCAACAACCACCTCTGCAGGCCCCCCTCTAGACCGGGTGCTCAGCCCGCCGCTCAACCTCCGCCCTCCAAACACACCACCAAACCTCTTCCCGCACGCCCTTTCGCACTTCACCTCGATCCCGTGGTGCGCCGACCTCCTCCTGAGCGAGAACAGCCCCCACGGAATCGGCCCCGCCATCCCCTTCATCCCGCAATGCTTCAACCCCATGTCCCGGGAGCACGACCAGTTCGTCGGCGCAACGCTCGCCTGCCCAAGGGGACTCAGGCACGTGCTGTGCCTTTTCCGCCCCGACGACGAGACGCATCTGCGGGATCCCACGCGCCCAATCGCGCGTGTGGACACGCTGTTCGCCGTGGGCGACGGATTGAGCGGCTACCGCGACATCGTCCACGGCGGCATGACCATGACCATGGCAGACGAAAGCATGGGCACCGTCAACGAGATCAACACCGCGCTGGGCAAGTACGGGCTCGTCCACAAGCTGAGCAGCTTGACGGCCTCCCTGGAGATCAAGTTCTTGCGGCCCGTGCCCGCCCCGGGCGTGGTGTGGGTGACGTCCTGGACGGAGAGCATCCAAGGGCGGAAGACCAAGGTGAGGTGCGAGGTCAAGGATGGGCAGGCCGCCGTTCTGGCTACAGCCGCCAGCACGTGGGTGGCCCTCCAGCCCAGTTTGTAGTTCAACGTGCCGGAGCGCACATGTCGGCGGCTTGTACATCATGGCAGGCAAGCGGAAGCGATGTTGGCATTGACTTTGTCGCCGGGCCCGGCGAGGGACCGTACGACGGAAGCCGGCATACAGCAAAAAAAAATATTGGTATCGAAGTATGTGCGAGTATAGAGAGTACTAGGCCAAGGGGCCAAACCCATTCGCTGGCAGACACTGCTCAAGACTTTGAATATTGCAAATACGTCGCGACGCCAAAAACCACCAAACCTTCCCACGCCGTCTCCCTCTCCTTCTCCTTCTCTCTCTCCTTCTCCTTCTCCTTCTCTCTCTCTCTCTCTCTCTCTCTCTTTGCCCTCGTTAGCGGGCTTGGACCCATTCAGAGCGTCTTTTATCGTGCGAGGGTTCTCGACTGCGGCCAGCAGAGCTTCTCGCTTGCTCTTCTTGCCCGATTCCCAGGTTTCGTCGCGGTCATCCAGCTCGCTCTCTGCCGAGCTGATGCTGCTCCGACTCCTGTTCAAGACGACATTGACCATGCGGCCCTCCTGTTTCTTGGCGCTGCGCTGAGCCTCCTTCAGTTTCTGGAGCTCCTCTTCCTCCCAGTGCATGGTGACGACGCCCAAGTTGGGGAAGTTCCTCTCAAAAAATTCTTTGAGTTTGGGTAAAATCGACTTGTCGGGTCGGTAGGTCCCGGAATCGTTGTCGATGAAAAGCTGGTAGTACGCCGGGTTGGGGGGTGGCGATTCATCGGGCGGGCCGCCGGGGATGTGATTACTTGGATGCGTCTTCTCCGCCGGTTCGGGGTCATCCGACGCAACGGGTCGTTCGAGTCGCCGGATGAAAAATTCCCCAGAGCAGGCAATATACGTCTGCACGTTGGAGTGCATGGTGTGCTTGCTCAAAAGATCAATCCCAAACTCCTTCCCCGTCTCGGTAAACTTGAACAGCCCGTCCAACGTGAGTACGTAGGTGAAGGTTCGGCCGCCCTCGTCAAAGTGGGCGAGTCTGAGAAAAGCAAGCGTCGCTGCTTCGGAGCACGGCTCGAATGAGCCCCATTCCGTCGTCTGGTCGTAGTTGTACACGCGGTTATGTTGCTTGTGCAGCGCCATGTTGAGGATTTTGCCACGGATGCCTTTTGATGAGAACATGGAACCTATGATGGGCCTGAACTCGACATAGCGATGGTACAATTCGGGTGGTACGGGGCCCTGCAATTGCATTTCATTTGCCTGGAAGCTGCAGACTTGGTCAGCATCACAAGGAGTTTTGTCCACGAATGCGAATGGGGGCATGTTCGGCTTACTCATATTTCTGGCTCCGCTCTTTACCGTTTTGGCCCGAGTTGTCGACCTGGCTCGATCGTCCCCCGTCCTGATCGTGTTCCTCATTCTCGTTCACTTTAGTGCCCGCTATCCTCCCAATCATGGGACTGAAGTGTTTCGTCCACCTTGTAGGCCCGATGGTACACATTTGTGCAAACGGTGGATCTGATTTACCGATGACTTCAATGCTGACGCAAAGTTTTGGGGTGAGATGAACGTCAGAACGGAAGAAGCACGCTATTGCCTTGACAATAAGAGCCCGCTTGCTCATGACGCGGATTTTGGCAGCGTACTCCCTGCCTGGCGGCGGAATCCCTTCCCATTGCTCAAATACCCGAGGTTCGTGAATTGTCACGTTTCCCAGGCGATCGTCATGGTCAGCGAAGTCCTCGTCGTAGAGGCGGCACTTGAGGGTGAAGCCTGACGGGGGTACGTTTGCGACAACCCACTCTTCGTTCCATTGTGGCTCTGTAGTCTTCCTGAGGGTGCGAGTGCGGTGGACGAGGTCGGGGTCCTCCTTATGTCTCTTGGGATTAGACGCCGTGAGCGTGGCCGTGAGAAACGGGTCAGAGGATGCAGTGCTCAAGTCAGCGGCTGGTAAGTTGGTAGCGTAGCGAAAGGTAAATCGAACGGTGTAGCCTTGAGGCGCGTCCGGCAGTGGTGATGCGTCAAACCCCCCCGGTGGTTTCTTGCCCTTGATGGCCCTTTTCAGACCAGCGCTGGTTGATTTCAGTGGCTTGGGTTTCCGCCAGGTTCCGACTTCTGGCGATTGAGGATTCTCGGTATTGGAAGCGTCCCGGCCCGCGTTGTCGTTGGGGTTGTCGTTGGCTTGGTCATTATCGTGGTTGGTTCCATCGGATGCGTTGGGTAGATTTTCGGCATCCATTTCGGGCTTGGTCTGGTTCACGCTGGGTGGATTTACCGTTTCCGGTTTCGTGTGCCCAGAATTGATGACACCGTCGACATTTTTCGCATTGTCGACGCCGTCGGTTGTGACGGGTAGGTTTTGAGCAATTGCGGCCATTTCGTTGCGTCGGACTTTTGGCTGGGAAGCCAAGATTCTCTCCACGAGAAAATGTTGTCGAGCTTAACAATGCGCGTTTGTGATGTGGCGCGTTGATACAGCAGGGTTAAAAGTAAGAGCATGCGGTCGTGGGCTGCCTTGCGTTTATATCAGATCATGTCTGTCCTATTTCTGTCTTTGAATCTCGGGCCGCAAGGGAGACGGTTTTTGGAATGTGAGAGCTCCCGGTTCAGGACAACGGGCTAGGGGCCAGCACAAGGGTTTCAGGCGACGGGTTAGGACACAAAGAACATTCGATACTGGAGTTGGAGGATCAGTGTTAGAGTCGAGAGCAAAGCGGAAACGAAGGCGTCGTAACAAAGCCAACTGCAACAAAGCGCAACCTGCCTCGCTATCGTCCCGTACGCCTTTGCCTGGCTTACGGAGGACACACCAGATCTAACAACCAACTGCACAGTCGGTCGTTGATCGCGGCGTCTCACGCAAAGCGGCGGCGTCAAGTTTGTGACGTCAAGCCGCACTTTGCAGGTGCCGAGCTTCCGGAATCAGCACGCCAAACGGGGTTCACCCAGGACTGAGAGCCACATTGCCCAATCGAAGAATTGAACCGACATTGTGAAGAGGCTGGGTGGGTGGGTGTGGGTGGCAGATTATCAACTTTGACAAGGGACCCGCCGACGCTAAAAGATCTGGGGGATGTGTAAGTCATAAGTTCCGGAGTAACGTTACGGAGTCCGTGGAAGTACGCAGTGGGATCCCCAGGTCATTCAATTACCCGTCACTGCATCATACCGAGTATTGCATGTGCAACCGTGCGGCATATCAGCCTGGCCTCAAGGTAAGTTGCTCACCAGCTACTCTGTAACGAGGCGAAACACCATCCACGAGGTAGAGCGCTCACACCCTACAAGTACATCTTGTCAAAACCAACCACCTTCCACTGGCCGGTGTTCGTATCCAGCGTCAAATTGGTATGCTTGACCTGGCCGCCTCTTAGCGCACCAGACTCGACCTTGCCGCCCGCAATCGGACGCTCCAGGTGGTTGCCGCCCGCCACGATGCTGAAGTTGGCCAGGGGAAGATCCCAGCCATTGCGGGTCGCCACGGTAGGGCAGCCTGATAAGTTCCCAACAATAAATGAAATCATGCGTCAGTTTCCCCTTGTTGGCTCTCCATCATCTCATCAGTCCTGAAAACTTACCGTAGTATTGGGCGGTCGCCCTGTCAGGCGTAATCGTCAACTCAAAGTATCCACGGTAATAGCCCTCCTGCCAGCCAAGCTCGTCGTTGCGCTTCACCAAGCCTCGCGCCTTGTCACCAGCAACGGGCTCGATAGGTCCCCCCTGACCACTGGAGCTGACGGCCGTGCCGGCGAATTCTACGCCAATGGCTCCGTGTCCGGTGGCTTTGTCGTAGGGCTTGTTTCCGAGCCAGACGAGGTCAGAGACCTAGCGTCATCGTCAGCTTCACCTCCACCTCCACCTGTCCTGCCCGCGTCATTGTTGGCCACATACCCAGTTCTGGTGCGTGTCTCCCGCCAGGAAGATATTGTTATCAATCTCGTTGTCGTACATGTGCTGCAGGGTTCTGTTGCGGTTGGCAATATAGCCCTGCTACGCCGTCAGCCGTCATCGTCACCAAGTAACCTGCAAGAGCACTGCAGACTCGACTTACGTCCCAAGCATCGCCGTTGAGACCCCAATTATCATTCTCCAGGATGCGCGAGAAAACAATCTGGTTACCAATAATACGCCATGTGGCACCTCGCTCCTTGGATTGGCTGAGAGATCGATAGAACCAGCTTTCTTGGCGGGCTCCCATCAAGGAGCGGCTAGCGTCATCTGCAATTTCACTGATGTAGTGTGAGTTCCAGTCTAAAGTTGTCAGTATGTTTATACATTGCCAGCTGGGGGCCTTTTCAGCTTACTTACAAACGTCAGTGATACTCCGGTCATAGTTTCGGGTGTCGAGGATTATAAGATCCATCAACTTTCCCATCTGGAAGGATCGCCAGACACGCAGCCCGTCGTCCAGGTCGGTTTGTCTGCATAGCATCAGTCTCTCCCAATATTTCGTCAACAGAATCTCTGGCAGGAGAAAAAAAGCTCACCGGATTGGCATCCACTCAAAATATGCACGAACAGCATGAGCCTTGCGCGTATCAACAGTCACCTTGGTGCCAGACTTGAGGAATGAGTCTTCAGTATTGTTGAGACCACTGAAGCCGTCCCTGTAGCCGTTATCCGCAAACTCTGTGTCTGGAATCAGTCTGCAACCTCTCGTACCGCGCCAACCGGTTGAACTGACCGTGGTCATCCCACGTAGTAATCCACGGGAAGTTCTGAGACAAGAGTTGCAAATCGGGATCGCTTCGATACTGTTGTTTTGTGAGTAACTAATACATGAGAAGGACCCTGGCAAGACAAACCAGTCCGTGGCGAGTCCTATAGTCGCCGAGAGTCCAGATGGTTCCAGAGGGTTTGGTAGCACGCTCACCACCCCTTCCGGTTTCATAAAAGTAATCACCGAGGTGGAGAACATAGTCGTGCTTATCCTTTCTCGCAGCGTTCCCATATGCGTTGAAGTAGCCATTGGCTATTGACACCGTCAGCCTTTCATCACTCATCTCAAGTTCAAGGCCGTGAAGGCCATGGGCCATCACCCACGAAAGTTGCTGCAAGAAAACACAGCAAAGCTCAACCTGGAAACCGCATCTTCCTTGGCAGGCGAAGTCTTAGTACGGCCAACAGGGCTCTTGTTAGAAGACCCGCAAATGTTGAACTGATAAAAATACTTTGTTAGGGGCTCGAGTCCCTTGGCTTCGACCTGCATTCCAAAAATCACAATCAGCACTTCTTTCCGGTCACGAGATTAAAGAGAACTGTCCTACCTTGACGGTATAATCAATGTCCGAAGTTGTGTAGGCCCTGCCGGTGGCCACAACCGTCTGGTTGGTGTTATTCGCATAGTTACTTTGAAATACCTTCCACTCAACGCAGATGGGGTTAGGATCGGCCTTGATATACTTTTGCGTCTCATGGTCCCAGAGAGGAGCAGTACCGTCGACCGTCACCTCGCTCTTGTCAGACTCATTTCTGGGAGCAACGCGAGTCCAGAGGATGACACTCCCGGGCCACGGGTCACCAGAGGCAATACCATGAGTGAAGTGAAGCTGCGACGGCTGATAGGCTACGTTGTCGCGCTTCCATGACCGACGCTCAATGAGTTCAACGTCAATGCCGAGGCGTTCATGACGCCTGGAGGGGCTGTCGTAGTTAAGATTCCCGTCGAAGCTGGCAATAGCCATACCAGCCAGGAAGCCGGTAGTGCGAAGCAAGAATTGGGGCCTCATTTTCTCCTCATTTTCTCCCCTTTGTGTCTGTAAGTCTTGGAGTCTGAGATACCCTTGGATCCCCTCTTCGGTGGCCGCCTCTTTTACCATGAGGAGCTGTAGGGTCACATCTGATCCAACTCCTCGTCTTCACCCACGGTCAAGCGAGAAAATTTTTCATCTCGATTATTTTGCGCATTCTCCCCGCATCCCCTCCGACTGCAAAGGCGGTAGCGTCCAACAGAATTGCCTGGATACATGCACGTTTTGCGCGTGTTTTTCACGGCTTCACAAGTGGCACACGCGACCTCGGATCACCGCCCACCCGGACGGAAACAGGAAAGAGAGTCCGGGCTACGGAGTACAAGTGTAGGATGTTGGAGCGAGGGTCGGGTTTGCGGGCCGTTGCAACACGGCATGTTATGGCGGGTTCAAGAAATGATCAGCAGGGACATCGCCAACGTGCACGCCGCGTCATCGCCAATTGGCCAAGAATTTCAAAGTCAGGGCTACCACTTAGCTCTTGGCAACTTGGTCATCTACTCGACGAGGCCCGTTTTAGTGTCTTCCGGCTTTCCTTCCCTTTCCTTTCCTCTCCTCGCCTCGAGACTACCAGCATTTGCGGGCAAGACAAGCCCCCGGCGTCGTATTTTCAGGAAAACTGTAGTTGAAAGGTAATGTTTGTTGTTCATCATGGGATATCCACCTCGCCATCCATAGTTCACTCAATCCCATTGGCCTGGCAAGGTCCGTATGGGTTCGTCGACAAAATATAGGCACGCGGGCCCGGCAGCACGCCGCGTGGGCTGTTCTCGTGCGGTCAAGAGAGCAGACACAGATCCATCATCCGAGCACGTGGCCTTAGCTGCACCAGATTGCGTGTCGAGACTTGAGCGCATGAGCGAATCGGGCGCAGCCGCAGACAAGGCCATGGGTCGCAGAGCTGTTGTCACGTTCAAAAATGGACGTGGCCCACGTCACACCTTTTGTGTGTGGTAGTCGACCACCTTATATGCTATGCGACAGCTGTACGGGTGAGGGTTTCCAGCAGTAAATGACCTCAGACGGTCAATGTCCGCTCTCCAATACTACTCTCAAGTCACATCTCGTTTATGACCTATTTTCGTGTGGGTGTTCTACGGCGTCATCCAGGCGTTGTCTAGGCAATCTTGGCCTGGACTGCCGCTTTTGTAGAGGCCACAAGAGTCATATGGCTGGCCCAGATGCTTGGTTCATGCAGACGCGCAGCCACTTGGATCGCAGTCGTGAATCTTGTTTCAGAGGCCAAATGAGTCTACTGGTGAGCTTTCCAGCACAATCAGCACTGGATGGAACAGTTTGCAACTTCTCGATCTCGTACGGTAGAAGCTGTTCCAAATTAGCTATTCAGAGCCTCGATACTATAGTTATATCTACATTTTAGTCAACCGTGGTGACTGCCGGGACCCATCGCCAGCCCTCAGTCACCTCCGTCGTCAACACCTTCGATAATCGTGGTGATCCACATGAGGGGAGTCCAGCCACTGTTTGCAACGCCAACATACATGATCTGCAACCTTTCGACTATACTCTTGATTCAACTTCAAGCGAGCTCCTTAGATATTGCACAATGGTGGGGGAGCGTGGTGCGGCCTGTGTATCTGATCTGACGCTGGTCTTAATTCGTTTGTTGCTCTGCTGTGTGCTCTCGGTGCTTCTCCTATCCAACAGTGGTGATTCTTTTCCTCCGACATGTCTTTTGCATCGAGTCGGCGTTAAAAATAGGCCCCCTTCTTTTTTTCCCCTGCCACAACTGGCTGTACGAGGCCACTCATGGTCATGACGTCGGGTTGGTGTAATTGTCCGCTTCGCAGGGACTGTTTTTGGCGACGTGATGTCGCCAAGCTTTCCTAAGCCGGGTGTTAGACCAACTACCAGGCTTTCCACAAAACCTCTCGAGTTTAAAGTTGCCGGCCTTCGGGCAAGAACCGATATGGGATGTAGATTCTGCGGAGCCCCCTGGGCAAGTTGATACCTCTTGCTGGAGATCTGTTTGACTGGGCCGTACTGTACAGCATGCTTTAGCAAGTCTCGCTTCTCCAAATCGCTACAAAGTGGGTTCATGAAAATATCGCCAGAGAACTGAGTTGGATCACCCAAACCCATAATGCGTTCGAGCAGCGCCTGTGCAGCCGTGTCACTGCCAGGCTTGAGATCGTCTTCCACGCGAAAGTTGGGATAGATGGCACCCTGGCGCAGAATATACCGTTGACGTGCTCTTACTAGGGCCGTTATGAGGTTTCTGGTATACATGGGCCCAATGCGGACATTCGAGTTCTTTTCACCCATACTGGTTACCGATTTCCAGAATCGCAATGGGTCAAGGGCGTCCAGCATGTGCCACTGCCGGCCGCACGCTACCAGGGTTCTGAGGATGTAGTTGATTACGTCCGAAGTGATATTGTTCCCGGAATCATCTGGGCACAGCTCCTGCAGCAGGGCTTTGTCATTGTGTTTGCTCCCCAGAATCGTGTCGCTGGCAGCGAAATAGAAGCCATGGAGCCTTGTCCGAATACGATCCTCTATTTCCATCCGCAGCGACGAGGGGTTCCGATCATGGTCCCGAAACGGATCATCCATTATCCTGTTCTAGAAAAAGGCATCAGATGTTGTAGTGTGCAGATGGAAATTCCAGAGTGTCCATGTTTAATCTGTACCTGAGATCGTGGAAGCACTGTACAGAACAACTCGAAGCAAGTCGCAGGAACAGACGTAACACAAAGGCTATCAGCTATGAGGAGAAATCAATGGTGATTTGATCGTACCGTGAGGATCAATATTTGTAAGGGATGAAGCACGACCATTTGCCTGCACGGTAAACAAATATATATGTCACCAACGGGGACTGGCAGCTGGTCGGCACCTGCCTTCTGATCTGCCGGCCGTCCGTCACAACTTGCAAGTGTCAATACGTTGGAATGAGCCGAGTTTGCTCAGCTGGGTCTGAGAATCATTGTTTCGTCCATTCTACGGCAAATACCTACCCAGGTACTGGTGGAGGCGTATAGTCGTCAGCAGCCTTTCCAGAATCTGCATTCAATAACAGGCGCTACAGTTTTTCGGAACAAACAGCACGATGGGAGTATTCAGATTGAAGCAGATGCAAAGTTGGACCAAAGTTCAGGGGTTTACCCTCAAGGACATCGTCACCAACCGAAGTAGGTACACCGGGTAAGGATGTCATCCCCGGAGCGACGAAAAGACTTTTAACTCGGTACATATGCCATCGAGGCTTGATATCCGACCTGGTATGACGCTCTTTGCCGGCGCAATGTCGTTTGTTTTATTCAAAAGGTTAACGGGTCCAGACCACGGAACGCTCCACGGTAGGGCAGGAAGGGTGCGCGAGTCGAGTCACGGTGAGTGTGCGTCCAAGTGGGGCGCGGCTGAAGCGGAAAGACTGTAGAGTGTCTAAAGAGTCAAGACTCCAAACCGGAGGTCTCCTTCTCCCCTCTTCCGGCACAACACGTCGCACCATCACATAGTCGTGGAGACGGGACCTACGACCCAACGGACCTGGCATCTGGTCACATACAGGTCTTGGTTTTGCCCGGTCATGCGCCGGCCGAGAGACGACGCCGAAGATGACGAGATCCCGCTGCATCACAAAAGGGCCTTTGGCTCTGGGTTGAAGCGCAAGGAGGTCGCATTTGTCCGGGCTACGGAATCAGACGACGGCACAGCAGCCGTCCCCGAGCCTCGAGCGGTGTCTGCTATCGGCGACTTGTATGCGAGCATAGTCTTGGGACAGGGGCAAGTCAAGTCTGTTTCTGCTCTGGCTTCTGCAGCGGCCACGGCGACGGCCAGTCACCAACCCCAGCCAGCCTCGAGCAACCGAGACGAAGCCGAAATATGCCCAACTTGTTCTCTTCCCATCACTTCGTGGTCGAAGGAGCATGAAGCATCATTGGCTCATCAAGTAAGCATGCCTCACTCACATCCGCCGTCAGCGCTGGACAGATCACGCATGGACTTGCGAGCCCTCAAGTCCCAAGGGTGGGACCCGGATGCGAGACGTGGTTTGGGCCTCGAAGGCGAGGGAGTGCGATATCCCATCAAGACAAAGGCAAAGGACGATAGGCTGGGCATTGGTGCGGCGGAAGTCCCCGAAAGCCAGAAACAGGAGCCCAAAGAGCCACTGCGCCGCAAGTTGACAAGCAAGGAAGTGAAGCAGGCTATGGCAAAGGAGAAACAAAAGAAGGAGCGGCTCCAGGCAGAATTTTATGGCAGTGTGGACGTGGAGAGCTATCTGCGACGAAAGATGGACGAGTAGCGGATAAGTTGAACAAGGAATGTCATGGCCAGGTACGTGAGGTGTGCGAAGCTACGTGTCAACATATGTACTCCGTTTTACGCTCCCTCGCTCATGGACGGCTACTATGAAAGCGTTCTCGATGAATGAAGAGACCAGATGGAGAAATAGGCTAGGCCGTTTGTACATTTTCCATCTAGGGAATACATTTCTTTCAGATGATCTCACCCCCCCGGCGCCTCAGATCTAGATGGCGCATCCACCTGGCCTCTGGAGCAACTTTGCTTACTCCGTAGGAGTGAGTGGATCGCCGCCGTGACGTCGAGGCCTCGCCAAGTCCACTGAGTTATTGATGTTACCAAGCCTGAGGACAGGCTGAGGGTGTTCGTTGTTGGCCTCGGTGGACGACTTATTGACCAGACCAGTTGCCAGCCTCAGGCGAGGTCACGGAGTCGCGGGTGCCACCAGCGGCATGCAAAAGTAGGTACGGAGTTGGCAGCAATGAAGCATGCGGCGTGCGGGCGGCTGCATGTGCACATGTGAGCAGCTCAACATTGGTCCGAGTTTCCGGTGAGTCTCAGGGAGGCTCAATCCAAGTCTAGTTAGCAAGTTACCTCTCGGCACTTGATCGGTACCTGTTTGCGCCAGCCGGCAAAGTACCCACGTACTGTCAGGCAGCTTATTACCGTGGTGCCCCATGGGCCCTGGCCCGCGTTCCAGACCCCGCCAAAGTACTTCTGCAGGCAGCCCAGGTGCCTTCCTAGGTCGGTAGACCTTGACCAAGACGCCAACCCCACCGTCGCCGTCGCCGTCCGCCGTCCCCGTCACCGGTCACCAGAAACCCAAGCTACCTCAGCCTTCATCCCTTCACCCTTGTATTTCGCATACGGACCGGCGTCACAACCGCTCGCAAGCTTTGGTTCAACGTAGCTGTGAGCCTACATCGACGTTCCTTGCAGCTCGAGTACACCCACAACCGCCTGAGCCGTCGGCCGACGAGAGCAGACGACCTCTCCCGCTGCCCACCATGGGGTTCTCTGCGACCCAGGAGCATCACGATGGTATGGACATGGAGCCCTTTGTACCGAAGCTGTTGGCCTCGATTTCCCACTGACCGTCATGCTGCAGTCATACTGCAAGAGATACGGAGTCGAACCCAAGGAGACGTAAGCAGCAGAATCCGCCGTCCCCTTTCTTACTCGACACGAAGAGCCTAGGCGCGCTAATGTCACTGTCACGCCCGCCGATCCAAACAGTGGAAATGTCTCATTGTCGACGAGGCCTCGGAGAAACTCGTATACAACTCCGTCAAAGAAGATGATATCCTCAGCAGCTCTGTAGCTAGTCAGTTTAGCCAGTCTCCGACTCGTCAACCGGTGCACCCGCCAGTTAACCTTGCCGAGCAGCCATTGAACGGATCGAGGAGCGACGAGAGCCGAACCCTGACATGGAGGCCATCTACATCCTTACTCCGGAGCCGCACATCGTCGACTGTCTCCTTGCCGACTTTGACGGAAGGCGATATGGACGAGCATACTTAATATGGACAAGCTTGCTGGATCCCAAGCTGACACGTAAGATTAACGACTTTCCCGGCGTCGCAAGCCTCATGGTACAGCCGCAACAGCAAAGACCAGGGTCAAGACCAGTAGCAAACCCGAGAACTCTCCTTGTCGACTTTTATCCTCGAGAATCCCACCTCATTACCTTCAAAGATCCCTGGAGCTTCCCAGTTCTTTACCACCCCGCTTGCAACAACTTGATTCCAAAACACATGCGAGTGCTGGCGCAAAGGGTATAGATTTCTTCCATGTTCCTTACTTCATCCATGATCACAATTGCTGACGTTGGTAGATTGCCGGTGTCTGCATTACTTTGGGAGAATACCCCAAGGTCCGATACTATCGACCGACCGCCGCCTTTCACGAAGCCTCAGTTCTTTGCTCCCACTTGGCAAGATTTGTGCAGGAAGAGCTAGACGTCTATGCCGAGTGGCACAAAAACGAATATCCGCCCCCGTCGAACCGGCCACCCTCCACGCTCATAATTACCGATCGATCAATGGACCTTATGGCACCATTGTTGCACGAATTTACCTACCAAGCCATGGCGCACGACCTGCTACCCATCAAAGACGGTGACAAGGTCATGTTTCGCACCACAATCAACGCTGGCACGCCGGACGAGGAACAGAAGGACGTGGAGCTTTGCGATGATGACAAGATTTGGGTCGACAATCGACACCGACATATGAAAGATACCATTGACAAGCTCATGGGTGATTTCCAAAAGTTCATCGACGAGAACCCGCATTTCACTAAAAAGTCTGACAATGGTGATGCTCCAAGTCTCAACACCATCCGCGACATGCTTGCAGGCCTGCCGCAGTTCAAAGAAATGAAATCCGCGTATTCATTACATCTCACCATGGCACAGGAATGCATGAACGCATTCCAGAACTACAAACTTCCAGACCTGGCGTCTGCCGAGCAAACAATGTCGACAGGCCTAGATGAGGACTACAGGAAGCCCAAGAACATCCTTGAAACGGTCGTGGGGCTGTTGGATGATGAGGCAATACAGCCAGCCGATCGCCTGCGGCTGATTGTAATATACGTCCTCTACAGAGGCGGTATCATCACAGAGGACGTCAAGAAACTGCTCCTTCACGCGTCCTTACCGCCCCAGGACGGCGAAGTCATTGCCAACCTGGAGCTCCTTGGAGGCAAAACATCACACAACCTCAAGGAGCCGCGACAGCGGCCTCCGCCCTTATTTCCCAAGGACCCCAAGGCCTTTCAACCAAACGAAGACTATGCTCTTTCTCGATTCGAACCCGTCCTCAAGTCCCTGCTTGACGAGCTCACCAAGGGAACGTTGGACCAAACCACGTTCCCGTACGTCAAACCACCCTCGGACCCAAACGAGGACCTTCTTGCAGCGCAAGGCGGGTCCCTCCGTGCCGGACGACCAAACTGGGCCGCGGCAGGCCGGCGGCCGCCCGAGAACCGCCAAAGAATCATCGTCTTCATGGCCGGCGGTGCCACGTACTCGGAGAGTCGCGTCTGCTACGAGGTCGGCCGCGACAAGAGCCGCGACATTGTCCTCGCCACGTCGCACATGCTGACCCCCAAGCTCTTCACCCGTCAGGTCGCCGACCTGAGCCGCGACAAGCGCCAGCTCGACATCCCCATGGAACGACCGAAACCCCGTGCCCCAGCTCACTTGTTCGAACGTCCACCGCCGCCGAGCCAGCAGTTCCCCCCCGGTGCCGGTCCTAGAATGGCCGGCATTCCGGGACGAGCACCCCCGCCATCTGGCGGCATTCCCGGCCGCCCAGTTGGCCCCCCCGGGGGAGCACCCACACCGCCCGTGCCGCCGGCGCCGCCCGTCGGCTCCATGTCCAACCTCCGTCTGGACGCGAACGGTTCTCCTCCCGCCAAGAAGGACGGAAAGCTACCCAAGGAGAAGAAGAAGAGAAACTTCCTAGGCATGAAGAAGTAGGATTCTTTGCGGGGGAGAAGATGCGAGCGCGGAACTGGCTCTCACGAGGGGAGCAGCTGAGGCAAATGCGATTGTACAATGACACCTGTTGAACAGATGTGTTACTAGTGCGGAGTAGTGCTTGCACGGGACCGCTTGTGTTGGTGCGCGTAGAAGATGATAGGATAATAATTACAGTCATGAAGTGGCCAAGAATGATACCTGCCTATATATATGTATATACACACACACACACGCACGCACCAACACAGCTAGACGCACTCATTGACTGGTCAGCGGGCGGCAACACCAGAAACAGCACGACTCATTCACCCGGGCCGTCGCAGAGCCCATTCACGTTCCGCAGGCAACGACGCGAGTGTGCCCGAATCTGCAATTCACGGCTGCCTACGACACGCCCAACTACCGAGCCCCCTGATGAATGCGCGCCGGCGCCCCGTCCTATCCCCTCCCGTTGACTTTGCCATTGCCATTGCCGTTGCCATGACCGTGCCGACGCACACATGCCCCCTGCCTGCCTGAGCAATGAGCCAGTCGGCGGATTTACAAAACGCCCCTCCTTTGCCGCCTTTTTCTTCTTGCACACAGTCATATAGGCTGAACGTTTGTTTCCTTAAAGAGATGATCCTCCAAGGCAATTGTTCCGAGGGGAGCCAACTCTCGCCCTGAGAAGACGCAAAAGTGGGACGACTGAAGCCCCTCCCCCTAAAAGAAAAGAAAAATCACAAAAAAACGGGGGATATAAATTTGCCGGCGAGCCCTCATGTGGCAGGCCGCCTACTAAACGCTACCATTAGGACTATTGTTTGCAATCATGTAGTCTGGGCCTGCCTTGCGATTCGTCGCCAAATAAACAACCTTGGGCTTGAAACACACACGTTGTGAAAAAAAGTGCAAAAGCTCCAGGTGTAGCGTGGGAGGCCGCAGAACCGAAACTGAGCATCGAGCTCGCGTGCAGTGGTCTACGGCCGGCCATAGGCGGCGCCTCTGCCGTTGTTGCTTGCAGAGGGCGGCATTCCTCGAGTTTCGAATGGAGGGCCACCGAATCCCTCGGGTCCGGGAGGAGGTCCATTGAAGCCGCCCAGTCCAGGAGGTAGGAAGCCATGGGGCGGCGGTCCGCTGAAGAACCCTGGAGGTGGAGGAGGCATGTTTCGGGGAGGCATCGCGCCCATAGCCTCTGGCGGCGGAGGAGGCATTGCCCCAGGAGGAAAGTTGGGCGGGAACATCGGCGGCATAGGCATGTTGCGATTCGGGCCGCCGGGACCGAGACCACCCGCAAGCCCAGGGGGTGGGAGCATCGGGCCTCTCTGTTGAGGAGGTGGTATTTGTCCTGTACTGGCCATCCAGTTTGGTGGCATCTGATCCAGCCCGGGTGGTGGCGGTCTCTGCAGGATCTGGGTTGGCTGGGTGTGTCGTGCCTCCCGCTCAAGGGTGTGGAACGACTCGCCCATGGGAAAGCCTGGAGGCGGCTGTGGACGCATGACCCTTTCATTGTTTCGGTTCTCACGCCCGGGGAACTCCTGTTCTCGCTCGTTGAACGGAGGCAACGATGAATGCTTTTGAAGTTGAGGTTGGGGTTGGGAGTGATTGCGCCCCTGATCAGGTCGATGAGTCTCTGGTGCCATTCTCATCAAATTCATCAAGAACTCGGTATTGCTATTGTTGCGAGCGGCGTTGGCCTCGGCTCGATTGTTAGACCCTTGGCTGGAGACACGCTGATGGTGCCCACCAACATCTTGAAGAAGCTGCTCCGGTCGAGCAGACTGCTGCTGTGGACAAGGGGCGAGAATTTCCTGGTGAGGCTGTTGGGATGCTGGGCGACCCAAAGACGCAGACGCATCTCTGACACCGCCCGCATACTGGTGAAGAGGTTCCGGAGAGCTTGTGGAGTTTTTGTTATCCGAAGGATTGCTCTGGGGAGGAGCAGCAAACGGGGAAGGGCCAGGCGGAGTAGCGCTCACAGATTGCTTTTGCAGCTTTGCGAGTAAAGATTGAAAGGCCTGCCGCTCTTCATCTGGAGCACCAGGAGATGCCACTCCATGGCCGGCTACAGAGCCAAGAAGCGCAGCAAGTGTACTGGGAGGAGCCGGGGCTGATCCAGACGCAGAACCTGGTCCGTTTACAGGAGGCCCTGTCAGTGGCGTGGAAGCTTCTGTTCGAGGTCGCGAGTCTCCCTGGGGTTGCGAGAAGAATGAAGTAAATCGAGAGGACTTCCCGCCGGTTTTCGCTTTGGAGGATGCCGCGTCTTTGGGTTCGCTTGGCGACGTCACGTCTGTGCCGGCGCTTGTCCCACCAAACGCCAGGAAGAACTTGTCCGGCCCGGTCTCCACAGGAGCTACAGGCAGGGAGGGTTTAGGCGGCTCAGCAGGAAGAGGATCCGATGCTTTGGCACTGGACGACGATCCGCTCTTAGTTTTCTTCATCTGTTCCATCCACTTCTGGAAGTCCTGCTGCGTGTGCGCCTCTCGGGCGTCGGCTGGCTCGTCAAGCCATTCAGGTTCGCGTTCGTTTCGCTGATCTCGGTCCCGACCCCAGCGACGGTCATTGTTTCGGCCCGCACTGCGGTCATCTGAGGGCTCGGCATCGCGGTCTCTGTCCCTCCAACTCTTGGTTCGGTCTCGATCTCGCTTCTCCGGCACAGGAGGTGCGTCGTTGCTTTCTATAGTTCGCCAATTGTCGGTCTTGTTTCTGTTGAGCCCATTTCGAGGTGGCCGACCCTCGGTATCTGGAGCGTCCTTGTCTCTGCTGAAGGCGTCAAAGGCCCGACCAAGACGTTCTCGGGTGTTGTCACGATCATCCCTGTTGCTGGCGGTGTTGGCGTCTCTTGTGGGACGTCGGTCTTCGCGGAAGTTGCCGCCCATCTTGCCATGAAATCGCTCAGCGCCTTCGGTACCGAAGCTCTTGCGAGGTTTGACCATGTTCCATCCATCGCTATCCTGGTCGGTATCGCCACGACGTCTCGCGGGGTTGGTGCGGCCGTCACGAAAACGATCTCCATCGTTGTCGCCTCGGTTTCGAAAAGCTATACGGCCTGGAGAATCGGAATCTCTGGCGGTCTTGTCGTTATTTTCCGCAGGCTTGTTTCCTCGAGCGGAGGAGAAGGCCATGCGAGGGGGGCCAAAGACGATGTCATCCGGGTCTTTACAAGGGTTCGAACCCCAATCGTCAGCACATTGAAACGACAAGGGGGATTTCGACTGGAGGGCACGGACTTGCACTGTTGCGGGCGACTTGACGATCCAAGCCCGGCCGTCTGTTGGTCTGATCAAGGAGAGATAAATCGCTGGTTCTATTAGGTCTGTCGTTGTTTGGTTTTGCGGTTTGTCGTTGTAGCTGTTCGAGCGTTTGACTAGAGTGGTAATCGGTTAGCAAAGGGGTCCATGGCGACAATGGCTCCCGGCAAGACTCTTGACTAATATTCATGGAGCGACTCTCCGACTCACCCCATCCACTCCTCTGCGGGAGGGAGATTGGTTGGTCTGGTACATAGCGGTGAGTCTCGCAGGTGCAGCAGAAAATCTGCTGAGTATCGAATGGCCATATCAGGGGGGTAGAGCTGTGATGCCCATCTGCCGAACGGCCACCTTGCGCCGCAGAGGTTCGAGGACGAGAATTTCAGCGGTGACGGGGTTTGACTTTGATAGTGCGGTGGCACAGGACGCGGGCCGCTACAGAGGACGAGACGGAAAAAAGCCCACGGCGTATGAACAGAGAAAGCGACGTGGAGCTATCCGGATTGACGGTGTAATCGACGCAAAGGGAGTAGTAAGTCAAGAAGCCAAGAGGCCGCGTAGTCGAAGCTGTCGAGGCAGTCGGATCAGACCAGGGGTGCGATGCGGTGGAGTTGGGATCAATGTTGGGCGAAGGGAGGCGGGAAATGGAATCTTGTCAACCAAGGTGCGACGGAGGTACGGGCTGCAGATTTCGGGGATATCGATGGAAAGAATATCTATGATTCAGGAATAGTAAGCGGGAGGCAGAGCAGAGTTTGGAGAAGACGATTGGGAAAGGAGGGGGATGATTGTGCGACGGAGCGGAATGAGGACTCAGGAGCTTCGGTGGATTCGCAGTGGAAGAAAATGCGAACGATGCCTGAAAGTTCTGAAGTAACAGGAGACTGGAGGTGGGGAGTGGCGAGTGGTCAGCCGAGTCAAGTGTGGCTGGTGCGCTTTGGCCCAGACTCCAGTGCCCAATGCCCAGCGCCGAGTTGGGCTGGCTGGTGCACGGCAATAATTCGTTGGCAGCGCTTATCCAGGTGGCTACTTTAACCAACCACCTGGGCGCAACCAAGTACCGAGCACCTGGCAGGCGCGGAGTACCTTGGCAGCCATATAAACCTGGTGAGGAAGTAGGTCGCTAAGAGGGCGCAGCCAAAAGATACCTGTAGTGCGCAGGCCCCCGACTGCGAGCCAGGCGTTATGGCGAGCAGCGCTGAGTCCGAGTCACAGCTCAATCTCAATCGGCCGAAGATGCATGGCTCTCCCTGTGCCCCCTTCTCTCTCTCTCGCCCTCTCTCTAAGCGCTCAGACTGGCCCGTGGTAGGTTGGCAGAAACATAAAACCGGCTTCAATGTACTGAGACCTTGTATATCAAAGCCCTGTATTAGATGATAACTACAAATTGCAACATTGGGGTCAAAACTACCAAAGGCAACAATGACGAATCCACGCATCCAATCCTCCCTCCGATCTTTCAAATCTTCGCCGCGACAGCAGGGACCTCTTCATCCAACTTCATAATATGGGGCAGTGGCCCGGCAGGCGTAATCGACAGCGGGTTAATCTGCGTGTGACTCCGCGTGTAGTGCCACTTGATATGGTCAAACTGCGTGGTATCTTTGAACGCAGCATGGTTCCAATACAGGTTGCGCATCCATTTGTTCAGAGCGGGATACCCTGAGCGAATATCGCGAATGTTGCACTTGAAATGCTGGACATAGACGGGATCGAAGCGGACCAGGGTGACATAGAGTCTGATGTCCGTCTCTGTGATATTCTTTCCGAAATAGTACGGTCCGTCTTTCTGTTCGCGCAAGTGCTTCTCAGCCTTGTCGAGCGCTTCGAACAAAGCAATGACGTTGCGCTCATAGGCTTCGGATGTGGTGGCGAAACCAGACTTGTACACGCCGTTATTGATGAGGTCGTAATGCCAGGTGTTGGCTTCTTCGATTTGCGAGCGCAGGCTCTCGGGATACAGCGCCACAGCGCGATACTTTTCCTCAATGAGATGATCAAACTGTGGAAAGACGGTCAGTCAGTGCCTGTATGACGTGGCCTGTTCGGGGCAAGCCCCCGTCATCGGCATAGCAGTAACGAACCTCAGAACCGAACATGCGCAAAATCTCGGAGCTCTCGTTGCTCACAATCCTTTTGGTCTTCTTGTCATACAACACTGGGACGGTGAACCGTCCCGAATAGTCTGGAGAAGACTCAAAATACACCTGGCGCAAATGTGTAAAATCTTCATGGCCGTCAATGGGATCAGGAATCACATTCTCGCCGGGTTCCTTCTCATCCTTGGTTACAAAACGCCATCCCTCCTGGCCCAGGTGCCAATGCACCACGGAGTAGGAGATGATGTCCTCGAGACCCTTGAGCTTTCGAGCGGCAAGTGTACGACAAGCCTATATTCATCATGAGCCGCCGCTAATACACACGACCAGAGGCAACGAGTGACAAAGGAAAAAGAAACGTACCCAAGGGCATGCGTAGCTGACGTACAAATGATATCTTCCCTTCTCAGGAGGAAACTTTGCACCAGATTCCCTAGAGATCCAGTCTCTGAACGAGCTGACCTGGCGTTTGAATTCACCAGACTTATCGTTGCGATGGACCCAATCAGTAATCTTGGCGGACGAAGTCTGTAAGCCGCATGTTAGTGATGATTGCTTGCCAAAGAGGGCAAAGGCAACGAGGTACGAAGGAAGAACGACTTGACAACTTTCAGACTTACCATTCTGGCTTGAGCCTGCGATGAGGGCTCGGAATTATATATATGATGAGAGTTTGAAGCGGGCAAAATGCGAGAGATTGAAGCTGGCAAAAAGTGATGACAGAATGCGGGGCTGCGGCTTATGTGCACAGCAGCTCTAGCTCTGGGGGGACCAAGGTGAGGAGGGGTGCTGCAGTTGACGAATTCTCCTCGATAGTTGCGTCGAATACGAGGTCTTGTCAGTAAGCCGGTGACTTGGGAGCTTGTCTTCATCTGATGCAGCTCAACAGAAAATCCCAGGCCGCAACTTTGGCGACAAGTTGCAGTTATATGGAGTGGAGAGCTAAGAGGTGTCTCGTGTGTATACCTAGCGAGTACCTACACAGGTTGCAACAGGGAGCAACGAGCTAGGTTCTAATAAGTACCTAGGCACCTACCTGGGTGCTCGGTAAGTAACCTTTTACCTTAAGTACCTAGGTAGCTGTCTGATTCAGCTGATTACGGATGTTTTGCAACCCCGCTCATCAATAATTGCCAATGATGACGTAAAATACGTAGGTACCCATGGCCTCGACAGAATTGGCCTAGTGCCTTGCTTGACTTGTCAGTCACAACTGGCCTGTTCGTCCCCCCTCGCAAACGTGAAGCAGCAGTCAAGAGACGTGTCGCTCTGGTAAAAAACAGCGTGCAAGCAAGCCGTCGGCGGGCACTTTGAGGGCCAGGAGACATTCCTAACACCGATGATGCAGTTGCATCATTTGTCATCATATCTCACTCCCCCAATATGAGCCTTGAGCTAACGCGAAAGGAGAGATTATTCATCTATGGGTAGTAGGATTTATCAACCAATTAAAAAAAAATACAATTTCTTTCATAGCCGCGCAGCCATGAGTTCTAGTTCATATTTTTTATTTATCGCACCCTGACCTTGATGTAAGGAACCTCTGCATCCTCCTCATCCATGTCCTCAGCCACCATTTCGAAGATAACCTCCTTCTGGTGTTCAGGTATTCGCTTCTTTGAAATGTTCTCCACGAGTTGGCTGAGCTTCCAGCCCATGCGTTCCTTCATCTTCGCTGGGGCATGGAAACTGGCATAGAGCAGACTAACTCCGGAGCTAAGCATGACAATTGTCAGGCCCTTTGCCTTGAAATGATCCAAGAGCTCCTGCAAAGTCACGTCACCAATCTCGAATCGATCCCAGATCTTGTCCAGGGTCACTTTGCCCTCTGGTCCCTTGTACACGACCTTGGGGCTGGCAATGGGCTCACTGAAGCCAAAGAATGGCAGAGCAAGGTTAATAAATCCGTTTTTGTACTGCTCGATATCCTTCTTGCCGTCAACGACCTTGTATAGCTCCATGGCTACCAGCCCAGTCACAAGTGCAGTGGTCGTAGCGATGGCCGGGATGATCTTTCCGGCGATGAATTTCGTTTTGTGCCGATCAGCTGGCTCGATCTTGTAGTTCTCGGCGCGCAGGTTGCTGCATGCTGTGATGAAGTCGATATGGTGATTGGAATCGTCGTCCTTTTCAAATTCGACTGGCTGCAGCTGGAAACCAGACAGCGTGCTTGGCGGAGGAATGCTAGAAATAATCTTCTGAAGCTCGTCCTCATCTTCGTTTCCATCAGCATTGGGGTCCTGGTGGAAGGTCAGTCCGGATGCCCGAATCGAAGTAAGACTATGAGAATTGGGGGGGAGGGTGGCTTACTGGTTCCTTATCATCTGCCTGGATTTTGACATTAGCGTCGGGGGTGAAGTCAGGAACAATCGCATTTTCCAGTTCACGCAGGTAGATGGACTCGTCGATTCCGAGCGTCTTGATGTTGAAGTTGAAGGCATGAAGATTGGCAGCAGCAACCACGAACCCGAAATGAGTCGGGTTGTTTGGATCAAACTTGAGGGCGTCGGGTGCGCGCTTTGGGCCAGACCAAAACGGTGTTCCGCTCGAAGTTTCAGAGTCCTTGGGGAAGTTGTACAGTAATTGCTGGATCTTGTTGTTAAACTCGGTCTCGAACTGCATTCTTGCCCATGCAATACAATCTTCAAAGGTACGGGGTCGTTCTGTGGTGAGGTAATTACGGATAATTTCCAGTGTCTCTTTCTGATTACCACCCTGTTTGAGGGTGGTCTCCATGAAGTTGGGTTGTGTCAGGTACAAGTTGACCGTTTGAGGTGCTTTGACGAAGCATTTTTCAAACATGTACTCCTTGGCCCAAGCGATAGAGTGCTCGATTCTGTTGGGAAAGCTTCGAATAGTGCACATGGGGAATTCCTTCTCAGGTGGATCTTGGGACGAAGAATAGGACTCGGTAATATGAGGCAGAACAACCTGAGTATTTCCCTTGGTTCCAAGTGTGCCGCTCTCAAGGAGGGGCTTGCGGAAAAACACACAGCGTCGGTCAACGTACGTCCTGGCCTCGACATTGTCCAGCGCGTTCGTAACACCATCCAGTCCATTCCAGAAAGTCTCACTGAAAGTGCCCTCCGTGTCGGGGCCGACCCGGTCCTTGAAGGTCACAATGTGACCAACAAGGTCTGGATTCATTCGCTGCACAGCTTTGGCGGCGCAGTCGCTCTTCATGTTGCCGACGTCATTGGCACGGAATAGAAACTGGCGGTTCAAATTGCTCCTTTCAATGGAATCCATATCAGTAACAAAAATCTTACCTTTAGGTCCAGTACCTAGGCCCATCATCGCCCAGTTCTTAAGCATTTCACAACCGATGGCGCCAGCCCCAACAAGGAACTGGGTCAAGTTTGCAATCTTCTCCTGGTATTCTCTACCAAACACCGCGATTTGGCCATCGTATCGAGAACCGAGTGGTCTGCAAAGTTCGGGGCTGCGCTTTGTCGACGTGGGAAGTGACTCAAGAGAATCAAAGTACATCCACTGTTTGATGGGTTGAAACTTGCCAGACACGGCCTTGAGGACTTCCTGCGCAGCAATACCTCCAAAAAAAGCAGCCATAGGACTCAAGTCGCCTTGTGCCTGATAACTAAGCTCCTTCAGTAACTTCTCATCTAGTTCAACTTCCAAGTTCTCTTCCTTCACAAATAGCTTTGCAGCGCCAAGAAGAACTGCAGCATCTTCATCATCCATTGGTTTTGGAAGGCGGCCCTTTGAAAGTTGGAAGGCGTGAAGAGCTTGGAAGCCGACGTGAAGCTGCTGAGGTCGGTCAAATTTGGCATAGTCCGACACGACGAACTCGGGCTCTTTGAGAGATGCGGTGAAATCTTTGAAGACGATCGGCTCCGGCATTTTGACTTGCTGGTACATGCCGCCCCGTTTATACTGGCCAAAACCGGTCACGTCGCCGATCGAGAATGTGTAAGGCCCCTTCACGGTGATCTTTCGAGGCTCCGCGCCATTCAAACCTTCCATTCCTTCAATCTCGGAAAATGTAACATAGTCACCATCTTCCAAACCATGTCGGGTTTCATCTAATGCCGACACAAGGCCCTCCTCGTCGATTCCAGCAACGATACCACTCAAGGGTGTCTCCCCGGTCGGATCAGTCACCGTGAAGTTCTCGCCAAAATCGCAGAAAATCGAACCGAACAATCCGAAAGTGTCTGCCACTACGACGTAGATACCCTTGGAGTGGCAATAATTGCCAATGCTCTTTTGAGACTGGAGAGGGGTGTTGGTCAGGACGACGACCTGGTAGTCGTCGAACTGAGAGAGGTCGGCATCCAGGCTACTGTCCAATTAGCAAAAACTCTTTGTAAAGCGCTAAAAACATGAATTTACAAACCCAGATGATTTGTGTATCTTCACGGGAGTGTAAGCATTGAGTTCGGCTACTCGCGGCGCGGTCGCATCGTGCCTGGGGATGCCAACGTCTGCTGGGGTAAGGAAGAACTGGGCAGACAGGTCGGACATGTGAACAGGTGCAGGGTCGTATAGCGTCAGGCTCTTCACACCTGCGAGAGCGATATTCTTGGCAATCTCGACACCGAGACCCTTCAGACCAATGACAAGGACATTCGAGGCACCCATACGCTTCATGGCCTCGTGGCCGAGGACGTAGAGCTGTCGACTGTAAAGGGATTCATCGATTTCGGGTTGGCCAACAACCGATTCGTCTACCTGCATCCTGGTCGCGTGATCGACCTCGAGAAGTTTGGTGCCCTAGGCCACAGCAGTTAGCATGCTGAGCAGCCTCATCAACTGCAGAATGATTCCGGCGGTAGCAGTAGGGGTCATGGCATTGGCCGGAGCTCGGTTGGGAGAGCTCATCAAGCCAGGCGAAGAGCACGGCCCGACGACATGATGAAGTTCTTACCATCATAATCCTCTTAATGTTGGGTGGAGACTCCTCGTTGGAGAGCTTTCGCTTCCCCAGCAGGTCTGGGCTAGCGGAGAGCGGAATGGTGAAGACAGATACTCAGCACCCTAGGGTCGAGCTCAACCCACCAAGATGCAGAATCTGAAGTAAGGAAGACGAAGGCGGGGACACAACGCCTTGATTCAAGACTTCGTGGTCAAGCGATGCCACCAAGTCTCAGCTTCGCGGGCGGATTGGCAATTTGGTCAGGGAGGTGGGAGAGGACAGCTTCGCCGGATTGCTGCTGACTGGTGCGAAGCAAGTCCACGTCGGGCGGGATGATGAGGGAAGTACTGACGCCGAGGACTCGAGTCCGCCAGACATATGGCTGACAAAGGAGGGGTCGGTCGGTTTGTGCGACGGACTGAGGGGCAACGTTAAGCAACTAGATACCTAGGTACTTGGCACTTAAGTCGGTACAGAGTGCCTACTTAAGAGTACTTAGGTGCCTCATAATAAATGCCTTTATACTAAGGTACCGACCCGGAAGGGGAATTTCCTGGCTGATCTCCACATTATCGCCTCCTCACAGTCGGTTAACTTCCAACGTGAAGATGTTTGCTGCTATGAATTGCCTATGTCTCTTTTCTACTATGGCTGTTTTCCCATGAGGTTCACTGCCTCGCATGACTGACAGCTGCTCGCAATCTCTTCTTGTCCTCAGTTTACATGCATTTGCCATCTCTAGTTGGAACAAAATCATGCAACTGCATAAGTGTAAGCATTCCCCTTTTGCTATCATCATACACTGTGGGCACGCGCACGTCATTCTCGTGTTCAACGTCTGCTCCCTTGACGCCTTATCCGTTCTCGTAGCCGAGCTTTCTGCATGTGCTCTTCAGCCATAGCAATTCTCCACGAGCAGATGCCTGAAAACTCGCATGTACGACACTTGAAGGCTTCTTCTATATCGACGCCACTCGCTTTTCGTTCTCCCTGCCACCATGCCATATATCGTTCAAGATACCCATCCAGGGCCTGACTGGAGACAGGAAAATCGTGAACGTCTATTTCTTCCCCATCGTCGCGGTGGATGTACTGGAGCCGGAGCATCAGGCCCAAAGATTTCTGCCCCTCTGGAAATGTGAGCTCCACTTCCTTTTCCACGAGCAGTAGTAGTTCTCGGAGTGTCTGGTACTTTAATAGCGGCCCGGGGCCACGGCTCTTCGCGTCCTGGGTCACATGTTCGTGACAACAGGATACGTTCCGTGATGGCATATCATGGAAGATCTCACCATAGAGGCCTCCCACCTGAGCAATAAAACCATCAGAGAACGTTTCATCAGGGTCGAGTCCGTAACGTCGAAACAACTTGACAAAGTCAAGCCTTCCAGCAGCGATGTCTGATAGAAATCGATGGTAGAGCCATAATTGTATCTTTGCAGGTCGCAGCAAGGCCTTTGACACAGGAGATCGATTCCCTCTCGTCTTAACATCGGTGAGGTACACCTTGGGCGGCGGAAGCGCATCAGTGGGTGTTCCATTGGATGTTAAATAACTATTTAAAGGAATTTGATTCGGAGCGGGAATTGACTTTCCCGTGAGGTCGTTTTCAAATTCTGCATTTGGATTTTCGTGGGTCAGTTCGTCGATCACTCCGATCACGAAGTTGCCGTTGACCATTCCCCAAACCTCCAACTCCCGGGTTATACCTGTTTCACGCAAGGTCCTCAGACCTTGAATGAAGTTCCACATTCTCAGTGCGAAGCCATCCTCTTTTGTCGAGACGTCGATCTGGATTGCGGTGTGTACTTCATCCTGAAGCTTCCTGTGGATTATCGAGCCTCCTTTCATGGCAGGGGTCAACGTCCGTCGACCGCCAGGGAGCCTTGTGAGCGTATACCAGTATTGCAGTTCGCACCAGGCTCCAGCTGTAAGGTCGGTAACACTCAATGGCTTCCGGGGATATGAACGGAACATTTGAAGAGGAGAGCAATCATCCTCAAACTCCTCAGATTCCGCACCCCTTTCATCCAGCGTCTTACAAGCATTATGTCCATTGTCAGAAATTCCAGCTAATTCCCGACTTACTAATCGCTTTGCAGTCAGTCAGTCAGTCAGTCAGGGTCAGTCTCCAATGTCATAGAGCTGGTGACGCACAGTCGGGATAGGTGACATCCGCGTCGAGCGACTCGACGCGGTTCGGTTGCATGACTGAAAAAGACGTGGACATGCCACTGCCCTCAGCGGCCGTAAGGTTCTCATGGTGGATGATATTCGCGCGACCAGGGAGTATGTATACATTGGAACTGTCGTCGGGTTCAGTGCGGCGTAGGGGATGGGCAGAGCCCTCTGCGGCTTGGCTGTATTTTGCACAAAGTCTCATGAGAAGCAACTCCTCCTCTGGAGAAATGTCAGAGCCGTAGTCACTTTCAATATCCAGATCTCTTGGGGCAGCCATGTCATCTTTGAGAAGGGGGCATGATGGCCGCCTGCGTGAAAAAATGGCGGAAGGCGCAGCCAGGAGGTACACGCGGAGGGGAGTTTCCGGTCAGTTCAAATTTGCCACGCGATCGAGACACGCTATCACGTGCAAAGCGATGTGTCCGTGACTTCAGCCCACTAACTTACTTGACGCAAACTACCAGCTTTAGAACTTTAGTAAGCTCCTGGTACCTACGTAAGTACTTAGACTCAAATACTTAAGTAAAAAACTACAGCGTTTCCGCATGAGAGGTATCATCAAAGATGCCGGGCTGCTCCCGTGGTGAACAATTTTCATCGCCTGTGGGACTTTACCCGACATTAGCACTCAGGCTTCGTTGTTAGTAATCACTAAGTAAGTACGGAGTACAGTACGGCTTTGTGAGCGCTCTACCAGTACAGAGTGGACTAGACTGGCCAGGCCAGAGTGCATAAGTACGGAGCGCCAGCTGAAAATGCCTACCCGCTCTCGATGGTTATTTCTCTGCTTCTGTGCTTGGCGCACGTCGGATTGGTCGCATGTGAAGCAAGCATGATGATTTGACCAAGGTACCTAAGTACTCACCCCTGTACGGAGTACGCAAGTTTGATGTTCATTCGCACCTGCGAACTTGGGCAGGTACATTGGCCGCTGCGCCAAGAGTCAAGAGATAGAGGTGCCTTATGAAGCTAGGCTTCTTATTGGCTACACGCCCTTGTCCGCGACTTCGTACACCTCTGATCGAGCTTCGACGATCGCGTCAGGGTTGATCCGCTGCCATTCCCGACTTCATCGATTGCGCCTCTGTGAGCCTGCCATATCAGCCGCAGCAAATGGGCTGAAACGAATCTGCTGCGTCAGCGTCCAGCTCGCTCGAGTGACCACTGACCACCAGACCGTCCGAGGGTTCGAGCCGGCCGTTCATCGCCGACAAGGGCTGGCTGGCGCCTTTGAAGGCAGCAGCCGGCTACATCTCAAACTGTTTCTTCCAACTAGAAAATAAAGATGCAAACCCGAGTCGATCGTGACAGCAGACAGAGCGATAACCAAGATGCGCAACCTACCTCGCCAGCAGGAAAACAGCCCAAAGTCTCCTTCTTGTCATCGCCGACGGAAATACACCTAGATATTTCTAGGCGTTTAATTTACCCGGACGCCCCATCCTTGAAGCATGCCAGCAGATACTTCTATAGCATTGTCGATACTGGCATCATGTTGAAGATTGAGTGGCTCTTCTCGCGGCGGAAATTGCCCTTGGAATGTCCCAACGACAGGGGATGCGATCTGGGGAGCGACTTGCGTTTTTGCAGAGGAAGCGTGGCGTATGTTCCCGTTGGGTTTAGATCCTATCCTTTAGATCGCGAGCGTTGATGTGTGTGTTGCACAGGCTACTGATGAAGCGACGCCGCGAGCACATTGAATGTGACTCTCGTCCTGGAATTTGATGCATCATATACGGCACACCTACCTGTTCGCATCGCGAAAGTAGTCGAAATCTGTGGCGGTCTAGGCTGAAGACCAAATTCACCACTGAACTTTGGTGGATTCTCGTTGCCTATTTCCATTGCCAGGGGTGGGATGCTGGTCTCAGACAACGTTTGACAAAGAGGGGCGTCAGCGTTGACTGCATGCATGCCTTGCCACTCTCTGGTTGATATTCCCTTATATCACATCTTATGGTCATGACATGTTCATCGGGCCAGGTACGAGAGCGGTACGGGCAGAAGCGGTATTCATTACGTATACTCATAGCTACTTGTCAGCAGATTTATTTGCTGTTTATTCTTCACTTCTATTTTTTGCTTGGAAACGGAAACATACTGTGAGGTCCAAGGGCGTCAAGTGTGTAACACGCCGTACTTGTGCTACCACATCAGTAGCCAAAGAACACAAGCCACGTCCTCGGGGACTGATGTATATTTTGCCAATCATTTTACTACGTACTCGAAAGTGAGCGCTGAACACCAGGGCCTGCCTATTTGCAACACAGTACTCCGTATCAGCAATGCTTCATTGGGTCAACTGACCACAGCCTCTGACATCCTGATCTGAGTAACAAACCTGTGATATATCTTGCCTTGGTGTCACGATGCAACCAAAACCTGTTGAACCGAGAAGCAAGCCGATTGCAACGCTCAATGCAGGGGAACCAGTAGTGCTTTTACCTGGCACTCCGTCGAGGTCCACGATTTGGGCACATGTCAATCCCAAATTACCGAAGCAGGTCTCATCAAGGCGAGGAGACCTCGGGGCTCCAGAAGCTGACAAGCCTACTATGTATGTCGGGCCATGTCTCGATGCCGGAAGGATTGCTCCGGCGTTGGGTGGCAGAAAAGTTCTGATTCGTGGCTGGTAATATCAGAAGCAGGGATTGCCCAACGCGTTAGCACATTCTATCGCCATCATCATCATCTGCCACTATCGGTCCCCTCTCGGACTCGACAGCCATCTCTCCCAGCGAAGCGAGGGGCAAGCGAGCAGTGGGCTACAATCTCTTAGCAAGGGCTCTGGACGAAACGCACCGACGCCACTTTTAGGGATGACCTCACCCGGCTACTCCGTACTCACGCTCTGTCGAATTCAGGTCTGGGCACCTACTATGCAGAGTATAGATCCGCCGCTGGGGAACAAGACTTGACTCAGCGTCATACCCAACCCTACGATCCCAAACATATCATGTAGACGGTGGTGCTGGGTCAAAGCATGATTTGTCGCAGATGACAGACTGAGCAGAGAAGTTACACAATGCTATTCCCGGCCCAGAACTCAAGGTGCTGGACAGACTGTGGATATTATTGCCTGGACGGCGTGGACCGACCAATGGACATACCGAGAGCTCGATAGGATTCTTGATCAGTCACGACTCATAAGTGACTGGCGCAGCATTGCTGGTCGGCGTGCGGGATAATGTGCGGCACGGATGGAGCAAGGAATTCGATATCACGACTTCGGCTGTTGACTAGGTAGTGGCGTTTGGGATGTGCAGAACAGCAGAATGCAGTCAACTACGGTATAACGTTATATTGTCAGATTGTCAGTGGCAACATGTCTCGGTCGGGGCCTCTTCGTCCTGCTCTCGAGTCTCCGCGCTCCGTGATACGCACAATCCATCTCTCCAGGTTCCTGCCCGCCAGCTTCCCCGGCCTCCGAGACAAAGGTCCCCTGATTCTCCATGGCTTGGCCAAATGCCTACTCAAGTGTGTGGCATGCCGTGCCGTGCGACAGTTGAACGGCCCTGCCACCCCTTGGCAGACGTACGCACCCCTCCATCCACTCCGTCAAAAGAACACCACGCACCATGAACATGTGGGTGTCGCCGATTCCCGCAAGCCTTTCTTTGTGATTCCGTCGAATGCCAATGCAGTGTTGCCTGCCCCGGCAATCCCTCTACTCACCGTCCTTTTCTGGTTGGAAGGAGACAACATCATTCGGATCCAGCCTTCAGGTTGACATCAGAAACCCAAGCTCCGTGACGGTCCGACTTTGACTTTGTACGAGCATCAAAGGTTTAGAGACGCCGTCTTCTCTTCTCTTCTTTTCTTTTACTTGAATTTGAAATCTCACACACGAACCTGGGAAGTCACCCCGGCAGCAATGGCAGTGTCCCATACAGAGCTGTATAAGCTATCCGCCACGCAGGCAGCCGAGCGGATACGTACGAACCAGCTCTCCGCACTGGACTATGTCAAGGCGCTCCTTGAACGAGTACGTGACCGTGACCCGCAGGTCGGAGCCTGGGTATTCCTTGACGAGAATGCCGTCCTGGACCAGGCGAAGAAGCTGGACGAGCTACCTGCGGAGAGGAGAGGGCCGTTGCATGGTCTCGCAGTCGGCATCAAGGACATTTTTCTCACCCGAGGTACTTGTCTGACGACGTCTCCGGACTCGAGGGCGCGATTTACATGCTGACTCTAGACTCAGACATGCCAACCAGGTACTATTCGCGTCTACATGCCCAAGATGGAAACGCCGCTGCCGACTCGGCTTGCGTTGGCCTTCTACGCTCAGCGGGAGCCATCATTTTTGGAAAGACGGCGACCACGGAGTTTGCATCCATGACAGAGGGCGGTCGATGCGCCAACCCGCACAATGCTAAGCGTACGCCCGGTGGTTCCTCGTCAGGATCAGCGGCCGCCGTGGCAGACTTCCAGGCACCGCTGTCACTCGGCAGTCAGACCGGGGGGAGCATCGTGCAACCGGCGTCGTACAACGGCGTTTATGGTTTCAAAGTAACGTTATACGCACCCTCCTTTCGCCTACAGGTGCTGCTGCCATCCTTCTCTGTCCTCCACTAACACAGAGCAGGCGACTTGGAGTACCATTTCCACCGAGGGAATGTGCAGAGTCTCAGTCTCAGCAGACACACCAGGGTTTTATGCCCGAAACGTCGACGATCTTGAGCTACTAGCACACTTGTTCCGCTTGGACTCACTACTTGCCGAGCCCGCGCCGCCCCTCTCGGTCAACGATGCGAGAATTGCCTTCATCAAGACTCATGTTTGGCCGAATGCCGAACCTGGGACCTGGGCGGCATGGAATCTAGCCCAGACATTACTGGCGGAGAACGGGGCTACGATCGAACATGTTGAACTGCCCGATAGTTTCGAGAATTGCCTCGAATGGAGAAAGACTGTTGTTACGGAGGAGACAAGGGCTGCGTTTTTGCCAAGTGTGTCAAACCTGCCGGGACCTGTCAGGACTTGGGAAACTCGGGCTACCTACTCCAAAGCTCTTGGCTGCAAGTGCTGACAAGCTCTGTGTAGGATACCTTGAAGACAAGACCAAGTTACACGTGGACATCGTCGCCCTTGTGGAGTCCCCAAATTCCTGCAGCCGAAAGAGACTCCTCGAGGCTCTCGACGGCATCTCTCGCCTGCGCAGAGACTGGGATCAAATTGCAAGCCAGTACGACATTATAATCACACCGAGCGCAATCGATGAAGCGCCAGAGGGCCTTGAGTGCACCGGTACCGCGGCATGTCTCCTTCCAGCCCCCTCTTGCATACAGATATCATGTGTGTATCATATATGTAGCTAACATGATTAGGTCTTCTGCGAGATGTGGACTATTCTCCACGCACCGGCCATGAATGTCCCTGGTTTCTTCGGCAGATGTGGCCTCCCCATCGGCCTACAGGTCGTCGGTGCGCGGTACAACGACATGCAGGTTTTGCGAGGCGGGAAGCTTGTTGGGCAAGTGTTCAATCGGCGATGGCGGCTCTGAACGCCATGCACGACATGTTATGTACATGACTTCAGCTGGTAGTTGCAGGATCGCAACGCTACACGGTTCCCCTGCTGCCCCAAGCGGTTGGTTCAGAGCTCATGATGAACTCGATCTTTTTTGCATTCACAATGTTTGCGTGTTTCAAAAGCGGCTCGTGAACCGACTTGCCGTCCACCTTTACGCCCTTGATATAGGCTTTGCCTTGGGTACCTGCGCCCGGCGCAGATATGACAAGAGTATGGCCGTCTGTCCCCGACGTTGTAGGGAGTCGAATCTCGACTTTGTCGAAGAAGGGGGTCCCTATGACATACTCGTCGGTCGCAGGATTCAGGGGATAGAATCCCAGAGCCGAAAAGACGTACCACGCGCTCATTTGCCCCAGATCCTCATTCCCACAGAGTCCCGCAGCGGTGTTGTTGTATTCCGTCCACGCAATGTCGCGGACTTTGTCAGCAGAGTCCATGGGGTATCCAATGGCCGAATACAAATACGGCACATGGTGAGAGGGCTCGTTGCTGTGCATGTTGCGGCCCTCGGAGAAGTGCTGGTCCAGCCTGGCCTTCATGCCCTCCTTGCCGCCCCTGAACAGGGACGCCAAACCGCCCGCGTCGTGCATGACATCAAACGTATACACCCACTTGTCGCCTTCTGTCCAGCCCCAGTCGTCCCTTGCAAAAGTCCCGTTGGCGTTGCGCGTCTGCATGAATTGCGTCTGATTGTTCCAGATGTTGACGTAGTTGCGGCTTCGAGCCACGAGTTCCTCTGCGGAAGCATGGTCGCCCGCGTGGGTGGCCACGACGGCGGCAGCAAAATCATCAAAGGCATAGTCAAGAGTGCGGCTGGCCGCCTCGGCCCATCTGTCGTTGTCGACCCAGCCGTGTTGGAGGTAGCTCGTGAGGCCGGCCCTGGCTTCGTGCGGCGTGTTGGGCTCCCTCTCGAAATACAAGAGCTCGGTGTCTCGCTCCGGCGGGACGTAGGCGTCCGTGTGGACGGCCTTCCAGGCTTTCTGGATGTCGAAGTCGTTGAAGCCGCGGGCGAGAGCGTTTGCGATGACGGCATCCGCGTTGGTGGCAATCATGGTGTTTGTCTCAACCATGTTTGCCCATATCGGTAGGCGGCCGGACCAGTCGAAGATGCGGAGGAGCGAGCGCATCATGGAGTTCACGCGCTCCGGAGCCAAGAGCGTGAGGAGGGCATGCTCCGCCCTGTACGTGTCCCAGATGGACCACGACTGATAGTACGAATCGTTGTCTCCGTGTACGCTGTCAGTATAGCCGCTGTAGAAGCACCGCCTGCTCGGGTCCGTGTGGCCCATGGGCTCCGAGTAGTCGTTGGGGTACTGGAGCGCATGGAACAGCGCCGTGTAGAAGATTGCTTGCTGGTCGTGCTCCAAGTCCGTCTTGTTGGCGCCGTCTATCGTGATCCGGCCCAGCTTCTCCAGCCAGGCTTGCTTGGTCTGCTCCACCGTCGACTCCAAGGGACGCCCGTCGGGAATCTCGACGTCGAGGTTCCTGCGCGCTTGCTCGACGCTGACGAAGGATACTGCCGTTCGGACTTCGACCCTCTGCTGCGCCTTGTCAAACACGACATATGCGCCGACATCCTTGCCCCGAAGCCCCTTGACTCCCCTTTCCGTCTTGCTCCCCTGGGAAGTGCCGTAAGACTCGAACGGCGCCGAGAATCGGGAAACGAAGAATGCGCTGAAGTTCTTGGGCTGGTAGGGCCCGATGGCATATTCTTGCCTCTGCGTGTTGCTCCCTGAAACTTCGCGCCTCTGGGGGTCGATTTCCACATGGCCAGTCCAGTTGAGGCGCGTAGCCTGCACAGCTACATATGGCTGAGGGCGGAATTTCGAGCCCGACCTGTGTTGGAAGTCGAACCGGATGTGCCCGACGTGAGATGTCGCAGACATGGCTACTTTGATGGAGTGCTCGTACTCGCCGAGCTCCGCATGGGACGAATCTGAACCAGACTCATCGGCGGCGGCGCCCCCCTCAGACGCATCAGACCGTCTCGTAGAAGCTCGCTTCCTCGCCCGTCCATTGGAGCCCTCCCTCACGCTGTCTGGGACGGTGCCGCCGCCGCCAGGACACGGAGGACAGGCGTCGCCGTACTCCTCGTGAGCCCACTGCTCTGTCAGATTGTAGTTGAAGTCCCCCACGGAGTCGGCGTCCAGCAGGACCTGATAGACGTACGGAGTGCTCGTCTCGTCAGACTTTCGAAACGAAAGCCCCCGTTTATGGAACTGCGTGCGAACACCACCGACGGCACGCAGCAGTCCCGGAGCCAGCGCCATCTGGCCTTGCTCGCCCATCCAGATTGCCGGCTGGTGGGTTGCCTGGAAGCCATGCACGCGCCTGTCGAGATCCGAGTACGGCACTTGCGAGATGTAGTTCTCGCGTGTCTGGGGCGTCCATCTTGTCATGCCGAAGGGGGGACACACGCTGGGAATCATGCCTCCGTTGCTGTCGGGCACGAAGCCACGCGTGCCGATGAGGGGATTGACGAATTTCAAGACGCCCGCTCCGTCGTGAAAGGACGCCGACTCCGTGTCCATGTTTGCGCTGGCCGCGGCCATGGACGAGGCCGCCAGTGCCGCTGCCCGGCACATGCTGTTGGGAGACGGCATTCGGATATGGCGAGGCGAGTGGCCTGTTCGCAAACGCAAACCATGTATGTGGAAAAAAGACGTTTCATTCGTGTCTTGTGACTCTTGTCCCACCAACCGACCCCCTCCCGCCAAATGGTGATGTGATGATCGTTTTTTTCCCCGCCTCCCCGGCTGGCTCCTCGGCCGACTTCGGCATGGACCGTAATTCTACGACCGAGATATCCAGCTCGTGCCGATCGACGGCTTTGAACGGGCAACGAAGAGCTGATTGGAATACCATCCGACGTTTTGGGGCTCCAAGACACTCCACGCACACAGTGTTGCTGTGTGACGTGTCGGCGTCGATGTCCAGATACGAGCATTTGGCGCAGTCTTGTCGATTCGCATGACATACTTCTCGTGTGCAAAGCGGACCTTCATGGCTATGGTCATCGTTGTTTGCCTCCATTCCGCGGCTGAACGGCATAGGCAAGCGGGCTATCCCATAAACCCTTGAAATGATCCCAGCCGCGTCAGGACCCGCGCCAGTCACCAGTGCGGCACAATCTGGTCTGTGATCTTGTACCTTCGAATTCGGCTTCTTGAAGCATGGTTCTATTCTACATGGACAAATATGGCTCATGATAGGTGGTGAGCTGAAAGACGGCAGGCACACAAGGGGCCATCACAGAGAAGCAATGTCTCTTCTGTCACGTCTTGCTTGGGCAAGCCACCCGCCTGTGCCTCTCTAGACCGGTCACTCATTGATGCGTTTCCTCCCCTGTTTTTGGCATCTCAGCCTTTCAGCTGGCTCTTCATTTCGCTCTTGATTCTCGTGATGGTGCCGGCGCCACCATACACCATGCCCGTGTACACCATGGCTACGCTCGCGCCGGCATTCAGCATCTTCAGGGCCTGCTCGCCGTTGGTGACGCCACCGGTGGCAAAGACAATCTTCTGGTCACCCGAGTCTGCGGGCTGTGCGTCAAGCATCCTTCGGTACCGGCCGACCAGGTCCAACGTGCGGTCGAACATGGCTGGGCCGGAATAGCCACCCGTCTCCATCAACGCCCTGCGTTCGTCGTTGGTGAGCTTGACTCCCGGGGGGACCAGGCCAGTGCGCCTATTGGTGGTGTTTCCAACAATGACGCCGTCGACACCGCTCCTCCGCACGGCCTCGACAATACCCTCCACTTGCGTGTCGCCGTCTTCGTCGGGCGACACCTTGACCATGACCTTGGGCCGCGACTTTCTGTCCGTCTTGGCGGCCTCGTCCACGACGGCCGAGAGGAGCCTCGTCAGGGGCTCGGCGGCCTGCAGGTCCCGAAGACCGGGGGTGTTGGGACTGCTTACGTTGACGACCAAAACGTCTGCGTAGCGAGCTAGTCTTCGGACGCAGTATACATAATCATCGGCGACGGCCTTTTCGTCCCGCCCGTCCGTCTCCTTGTTCTTGGCAATCTGGACGGCGAGGAGTTTGCCCGGTTGCAAACTGCCCGGGGGCACGGCGGCGGCCCCATCCAGCACCTCCCGCTCCGTGACACCCAGCGACCGTGCAAATCGCCGAAGACGGTCTCGCAGCCGTCTGGCCACGTCGTCGGCGCCTCGAGAATTCAACCCGTAGCGATTCACCATGCCGTCGGTGGCGGGGATCCTGAAGACACGAGGCTTGGGGTTGCCCGTCTGGGGAAGCGGCGTGATGCCTCCAATCTCGACGACGCCGGCGCCCAGGGCGAAGAGGACATCTGGGATCTCGCCGTCCTTGTCTAGGCCGGCGGAAATTCCGATGGGATTGCTCAACTGGACATCGAATACAGATGTTGAGAGTTCGGGGATGCGCAGCGAGTTCCCTCGCTCGCGCGGATGAAGCCCGAGTCGATACAGAGTCTTCAATGCCAAGGTACCCGCGTGATGTGCCTCTTCGGCGTCGGCGAACAAGGCTCGCAGCGCGGGCGGGACAAGGTATCTGTGAGGGAATGCTCGCGTGTCGGTCGCGTAGAGGTATCCGACGCAGAGAGCGGCCGCAAGAGCGCCTCCGTACAGAACGGCTCGTGCGCGTCCAGCTTGGACGGATGCGCTGGTCGAGGAAGAGGCCCGTCGCCGTGATGCGGGCATGGAGATGCGGAAAGATTCGGCGCGGAGGTGGGAGGCTGGGCCGGAGCGGATGGCTCTTGCGGCTAGACGCGGGCGAGCAGCTGACGACGACATGATGTGACGAGGCTCGAGGCCGCAAGAGCCTCTCAATTGATTGACGTCGGTACCGTCTGGGCGAGACGTGGCGAGAAGAGGAATATTGACAGATCCGGTTTCGTGGGCATTGGTCTGATCCCTGAGCGAAGCGATTTCGTAGCAGGGCACTGGGGGCCCGGGGGCCCGGGGGGGGCACTAGGCAGCGGTCTGGTGCTATGGCCGCACAAGTATTGGCTGGATCAAGTACGTAGGTTTCGCAAGTTGCTGGGCTTGCAGGCCATCCATGGGACGTCGTCGTCTTTTCTGGTGCCAAGTGATTGTGTGTACCTACCTCTTACTTAAGTACCTAGGTACGTACTTTAGGTATCCGAGGTACCTCCCAGTCGCCGTGAGAGCACTCCATACCCAAGTGCCCAGGTAGCTACGTATGTATCTTGAAACCTTGATTGCACAAGCCCAGCAGGAATTTCGCATCTTGTGCGGCCGGAAAGGGTGAAAATTCGCGTACCAACATGCTGCGCTGCAGTGTAATGTTGCAGATGCAGAGGATCAGAAGCGTAACAAGTACCTACTGAGTACTCACCTTAAGAAGTAGCCAAGGCACTCCTCCGGACTCTGGAAAATAAACGAACTTGACAGCGCTTGAGCGCCAGTCCCTTTCGACTCGAGCGCTGGTTCCGTACTCGGGTACATTCGCGGGTCGACTTTCCGTCGCGGGCTCAACCTGAGCAGCCAGTCGGGTCTGGTAATCGTGCCCGCCCCACTTTATGTGGTTCGGCTAGCAAAAGCCCTCACCACCAAAGGTGGTGCTCGACAGCAAGGCGGGCCGGACACCAAGGCGGGCCAATTTTCAACCTAATAACGCTATTAACCTCTTCGCCTATAATGTACACCCTTCTCGTCCCAAATTTCTAGTAGATCTAGTACAGAATCCAGACGCCATTTACGTGCCTTTTTAGCTGCTTCAAAAAACGTCCTCTTGGCGTGGTTGTGGCGCCTTTTGTCGGCATGCTCTTTATGCTTGCTGTTCGCCTGATGAACTCGAGAAAGGTCTTTGCAAAGGCGTGATTGGAAGGAGAAACGGCGAATGGTTGACGCGACAGGTATGCATTTGTTGGCGGTGACGGGAGGGGAGCCATATGAAGAGGTGCATTATCTGTTGACTGTTTTTCTAGACCGGGAAATAAAAATAGGACATGTATAGAAAACCAGATATTACAGCCCTTTTTAAAAAAAAAATCAAAAAAATCAAAGGTCGTCACTCATTCATTGGAAGCTTCAACGAAAAAAAAAACCCCGGATGTAATTACGCAGCTCATTAAAGATCCACCTGATCAATCGCCGGCCACCATTGAGACCAGGCCCCCTGCTCGTCGAGGTTATTGCTGACTTCCGCGAAAAGCTGGTTCAACAAGGTATTAGTGTCGAGCTCGTGCTCGTGCTCGTGCTCGTGCTCGTGCCCTTGAACCGGCCAAGTCGCCTGCGCCGAGGGCCGCTCCGCGCCCCGAATCTCCCGAGTATGCGCGTCGGATCTATCCACGACACGGAACTCGTGGACAGACTGGTGTAGAGTATCAAAGTCTGCTCGTGTGCGCCCCTGGTATCGTGTCCGGTCCTCGGTTGCTCGCTCGTAGAGCACGGATGCATGGTGTATCGTTTTGATCTTGCGCGTGCCGCCCTCTCAATGTTAGCGCAACGGTGGCCACGGTCGTGTCATGCTTGCGGGCGGCTTACCCATCCGTCGGCGATTTTCCAGACAAGTCGAAACTTTTCCAGGTAGTCGAGACACATTTTGAGACAGTCGCTTGCTCGCGGGCTGCGGCCCAGGTTCATTCGGGGGTATTTCGCCACGTAGAGGTTGAGGTAGCCGGCTGAGAATGCGCAGAACCCGGCAAAGGGCGTCATGAGATGCACGCCACACTCGGAGGCCTCGTGTAGAATGGCGGCGATGTGCTCTGCCGCGCCGAAGAGGAGTCGGGAGCTGTCGTCCCACCAGCCCTCGGGGGCGGGCGCCCCCAGCATGGGCTGGTCGACTGGACCCCGTGGCTCCGACTCCGGGGTCGGCAGGAAGGGGAAGTACTCGCGGTGAAGCATGAGGGTGCTGACAAGGCGTAAGCAGGGGCGGCGGCGGCAAGTTGGGAGCCCCGTCGACCGCTACCGCTGTGGGAAGGGGATTCTTACCTCACGTAGTACAGGAGATTGAGGTAGACGAACGTCTCGCCGAAGCCGAGCGTCATGTGGACGGCCACCGAGTTGCTGGGGTAATGGAGCTTCCTACCTACTCCGTACTTGTCTGCTCTGTCTGGTGCTCCAGCAGGCAGGAGGGATGCAGTCCGACTTCCACCAGTTGATTGACACCAGTCTCGACTTGACTCCATCAATTATTAATGACTCCTCCGTATTTCCGACGTACCATTCCGGCCTCCCAACTCCTCAACTACCTGGCTCTTGAGTCTTGAGCCTCCGTGCTTGCGTTTGCTGGCCCGTCACTGTCACTGTCGAAATCAGAGGCATATCTAGCCACTTGTTCGCCGTATGTCTCGTGCTGGCGTCCAATGGAATCATATGATGACTCCCTTGCCGACTCGTTGAGCGTGCCCTCGTATGGACCTCGAAACGCCCGGGGTGGACGATACCGAGACCGTCGACACAAGCATGTTCAGCCAGTATACTCTAGGCTTGCGATCTGGCGGGTCGCATCGTGGTGTCAAGGTGAGCCACAAAAAGTCGAGGTATGGCTGTAAGCGATGCCGGACAAGACGCGTCAAGGTAAGTTTTGCCTCGTGAAAATTTTTTTCTTTTTTTTATTTCCCCCTTGAATCAAATTCTTGTGCAGCACGCCGTGCCCGTTGTCAAGGCAAGGAAGGGCTTGCTCGTGCATGGTTTTCTCTCCGTCTGCCCGTCTCTCCGTCTCCCCGTCTCTTTCTACCCAAGCACGTAGTTGTTTTCATTCACCACAAGCTGACCGTCACTCTCTCCCTCTGTAGTGCAATGAGCAGAAACCAGTCTGTGATAATTGCAAGCGGCATCGGTCAGAGTGCATCTATGATCGCGTGCCGCCCCTGACCACACCAGTTATTTCTCCTGCTCCTTTTCGCCCCGAGTCCGCGGAGGCTCGCGTTGCCGCCGCCATTGCCCGCAATATCGAGAACTCACATCTATCTGATCCTCCAGAATCACGAGAGCGCCGCATTCTGGAAACAAGGTTAATGTATCAATATGCAACTTCGACCGGCGCCACCATTGCCATTGACGACAAGGCCAAGGGGCTGTATGTGAACATGGTCCCAAGGCTGGCCCTCACCTCGGACGCTTTGTTGTATTGCATGTACTCGCTTGCTGCTTTGCATTGCAAGGTTGTTGGTGACCTCATGGGTCTCGTCAGTCGTGACGCTCATCGAAAGTACCTCTCCATGGGTCTGCGCGAGCATAACCTAGCCATTACCAACATAAACCCAGAGACCGCGGACGCAATATGTTTGACCTCGACTCTCCTCCGATGCTGCTCCTTCATCTTGCTACAGGATCGCGCGCGCCAGCCATATACCCCGCCAGTCGAGTGGTTGATGATGAATGCGAGTACAAAGGCCATAGTGGCCACAGCATTTGACCTGCCCGGAGGCAAGGAAAAGTCTGTCGCCGCCATGATGGTCGGTTTCTCACCTCTCGTATCCAACGAGCAAATGCGATTTGATCCGGCTCAGAGACGTGGATTAGAATTATTACTACGAAGAGACGACATTCGCGATGCGACGGAGCCTTGGGACCCCGAGTCCCAAGATGCGTTTGAATCTACACTTAGCTATTTGGGCGGGGCGATTGAAACGGCACGAGCTGGGGATAGACACGACGGCCTCCGACGGCTCATTATATTTCCCATGTTAGTAAAGGGAAGGTTTATAGAATTGGTTCAGGAAGGGCAACCTCGCGCAACCGTCTTTCTGGCGTATTATTTTGCTCTTTTGGCTCTACATAAGGACAGATGGTGGATCGGAGAAGCAGGGGCTCATGAAGTACGAGAAATGGCGGCCCATTTCACTGGCCATTGGCGAGCACTGTTGAATTGGCCGTTAAGAGTTGTCGAAACGGGCGAGATCCCTCCACTTGGCTGAGACGATCAGCGGTGTCCCGCGTACTCCATGCCGAGCCAAGGGTTTCCTGCTGGCCGAACAGCTCTATTTCTTAATTTGCACGAGGTTGGGCAAACGCCGCTGGCGGCGCAAAGATTGTCAGCGGGTCACAGCTGGCTAAAGGCTGGCGGTTATGATCATGCCTTTGGCTCTCTGTCTGATGCCACGACCATAAACTCGCATCCACATGGTTCGATGAGATGCGAACCAAATCTCTATTCCAAGTGAACGGAATTTGCCAAGAACTTTTGCATCAGGACAACGTAATTCGAGAATTCTTCGCACGCAATCCGCATCCAAGGAGCTCATATTACGCCGGCGAACGCCACACACAAAAGGGGTTTTGGCTCCTATGCCGTCTATGCATGTCGGAGAAGGCGGAAGATACTACCTTGACAGCCCTGAGCCTCAAGGGCTCAGCTGCGATCCTCCCGACCCTCCCGATTGGTACGATCGATAGATATGTCCGCGTCGTTCCTGCTGGCGTTGTTCCACTTACCAGGGGTCCCGCGGGGGGTTTTGTATGAAAAATGACCTCGTGAACAACGGAAACGCGTGACGAAGCGGCAGGAACTGCAAACCACACAATCGTCGACGATAAATCGCTCATAGAGATTCGAGTTGATGAATTATAGGCTGGTAATGCTGTTACAACATGTTATCGCCTCTGTGATCGTGCCGCGTTCAGCTGAGTACCTATATAAGGCTGTTTGTTCGGTTGTCTTTTTTTACAGGTCAAGTCGGCAACGCAAAGCACCAGTAAAACAAGACACATTTCCCTCATCTCCTACAAAAACAAACCAGGTTTCCCTTCCCTTCATTATGGCTTTTGAAAACATTCTCCCGCCACCCAGATTCAACCTCACGCCAGAGGAAATGTCCGGCAAAGCAGCCTACATCTTGGAACTGGCCGAAACTGCTGTTCGCGAGAGTACTTCTTCCATTGAGCCTGGAGAAGCAATCTTTGCGAATGTCATCATCCCCGTCGGTCAAGTCGAGAACCAACGCTACGAAATGCGGGCAATTGCATATTCTCGATTCCGTATTCCCCTCGGCAGACATCAGAACGGCGGCCGCAAAAGCACCCAAGAGTGCCCAGGAAGCCTGGGAATTCATCTACGACACCAAAGAGTTGTTCCTCTTGATCAATGCTGTCATCCACCAAAAACCCGCGGATCTTGACGAAAAATCAACTCGGCTCCTGGCAGATCTACATAGCGAGTGTATCGAAAATGGCCTCAGCTTTCCAGAGGCTGACATGAAACGCTATTCAGAGATCAGACACCGCAGATGCGGACTACGCTCTTTGTTTGTGGCGAATCTCGCTACCGACCCTGGCGTTGTCTTCAAATCCGACGCTGAACTGGCGGGCTTGTCGAAGAGTAAGCTTGAGAGTTTTGAAGCGGACGAGCAGGGCAGACGGAAAATTCTTCGTCACAGGACGAATGCTAATGTTATCATGCGGCAGTGCACCAATAAACAAACCCGGAAGGATATCTGGGCCGCCAAGGAATGTATATATCCCAACTACGCAAAATACTTGAGAGAAGGGGTTCTCCTGCCGGACGAAGGAGCCCGTTTGTTGGGATTCTCTTCGTACAACAACCAGCTTGTGCGTTAACGAATGATGAAATCCCTCAAGGTAGTTATGGATCTCCTCAAGACCATGGGGACGAAGCTGAATCCCTTGGTGAAGGTAGAAATGGATGCTTTGCGGGCGTTACATGGCGATGGTGAGCCAATGCGCTTCCGGGACCTTGCTTGCTACGATTCGCAGATGTGGAAGGGCAGGAATGTGAATAGTGAGCTCGTGGCGGAGTATTTCCCCGCCGTCTTTGTGCTGGGCAGGATGCTGGAGATTTTTGAAAAAATATTGCATTTGAAGATTGTGGAGGTTTCAAATACAAAAGACGACAAGGTGTGGCATCCAGATGTCGTGGTGTACAAAGTGAGGGAGCTGGGAGGAGTGTTTGCCGGTCATCTATACATGGATTTGTATCCGAGAGAGGGTAAGTATAATGGCTCTGCGGACTTTAACATTCGGCCGGTAAGTGGTAACTTTGCAATTATTGGCATTGAGTCGCCGTGTTATTCTAAGACGTTATTTGCAGAGCTATATCGACCGAGAGGGAAAATACATCCTTAGTGCTACTGCGCTGATCTGCAATGTAACGCTTCCGACGAAAGACACTCCTGCGTTGCTGCACCACTCCGACTTCGTAACTATATTTCACGAACTGGGTCACGGTACCTCTCCCTTCAGATAAAAAAACGGAAACAAGGTTTTGAAAGCTAGAGCAAAAGTAGGAATGCATGATTGAATGGGCCGCACCAGATATGCCAAGTACCACGAGTGGCGTGGCCGACGGGAATTTTGCGAAGCGCCGAGCCAGCTTCTAGAATTCTTCTGCTGTCTCCTCGAGACCCTGAAGCACATGAGCTGCCATTATTCGTATCTTCCGGAAGAATACAGGCAGCGCTGGCAACGGATGAGTCCCTGCACGATCACGCAACCGGAGAAGCAGATCCCGAGTGAAATGGTGTTGGCGTTGACTGAGGCCAAGAATGTCAAGAGTGCAATATGGGCCGCGAGACAGGTCGGACTGAGCGTCCTCGACCCGGAGGTCCTCTATTACAGAGGCAACCGGGCTGCAGGGTGCAGACGATGGAGCGAGGTTGGGCAACGGGTATTCCACCACGGCTCATTTCATTTGGGGGCAGGAAGCGGATTATTACTCCTACATTTCGTACGTCACCGCTCTGTGATACTTGACGTGTCGTGTTTTCTAGGTTTCGCAATGAACGCTGCTGACTTTTATTTTAGGACCCGTATCCCCGCAGAAGATGTGGAAGACGTGCTTCCGAGATAAGAACGAATCCAGAAGCCGGGCTTCGGTATCGTCAAGTGGTGTTGGACAAAGGTGGCAGTGTGGATGAAACGAGGATGGTGACTGCATTTCTAGGTCGTGAGCCTAACTCGGATGCTTATTTGGGGGACATTGGAGCAAAATGCTCTGGAGACTGCTGGACTCTCCCAACTGGGTATCAATCGTCTCGTTGTGGCGTTCAGACAGCGTACTTGTGTTTGGTCATCGTTGGCAGACACAGGTTTTGGAGGGTGTAACAAATGGCGATTAGCATTCTGCCTATTTATTGTACGCATGCTCACGTCCAAAAATATCAACCAATGACGGGACCCGAGGGCCAGTGCTACCCATGCAGGTAAGACGGGCCGCGACGAGTTTGTCTCACTGGTGGCGCAGTTGCTGCTGCGCGACAAAGTTATGCGCCATGTTTCCATAACAGGCTCAAGGGAATCAAGTGCGACGGTAACTTACCAGACGCCCGTTGGAGGTCGCGGATGCCGAGTGCTGCAAGATTTCGATCAAAGTTGCTCCATCAAGCCGTCTTTAAAACCCGTTTCTCGTTTCATGACGTTGCTGGGGCAAGAAAGGCGCAGAAAAGTGGGTTGACGTCGATTGACCCATTGATCTGATGTGTAACTGTCACATGTTCCATGTCATGTGAGTGTCACGTGACAACACATATCCATTAGCTCGATTAGCTCAATTAGCTTCACACGTGTGAATGAGTTGAATTGTGGTGAATTACTCGGGGCGCAGGAATTCTTTGCTCGGGGCGCAGGATCCCCACCGCGCCCCACTTTTTATGCGGCAAGCCCCGCTGCCATGCCCTGTAGTACATTCTCGGTACAAAGGTATGGCAGCTTTACTCAACTCTAAAAAGCTTCATTGAAAATCGACGGATTTTTCAATAACGCTGCAGCCGTACGAATTTTTCAATAGGCAGCAGCGTTTTTCCTCCTTTAACAACATCGCAATGCCTGACGAAGGCCCTCACAGCCCCTCAAATCCGCCCTTAAATTCGCCGCCCTTAAATTCGCCGCCCTTGCCGGGCTATGGCAGCTTTAATGACCTCTACAATGCCGTGCAAGGAATTAACGCCGCTGGAAGCAGCTGCGGCCGTCATTGCATCAATCGAATTATAATATAAATAACAGGCAGAGGGGACTAATTAGAAGATAGAGCTCTCTATGGAGTAGAGATTAAGCAATTTATTCCCTTAACGCTATTGCAGCCGATTAATGTGACTTAAAAATCCGGCCTAATAGTGCATACATTAAGCGAAAACACTAGAAATCGCGTTTTAAGCGATTTAGAGCCAGCTGGCGCGGCGCTGTTGAGAAATTCGTATATTCGTATAAATTACACAAGCACCTAAGAGCATTTTGCTGCCATACATTTGTACTAAGAATGTACCGTAGCGCATGGCAGCAGGTCCGCTAGACTAAAATCGGGGCGTGGTGGGGAATTCTGCGCACCGAGCAAAAATTCCTGCGCCCGCCGAGCAATTCACATTCACACACCATCACAGTAACCACGCCGACTGGGGCAGAAGTGAATAAGTCAGGAAACTGTGGAGACATATCACGTGATCAGAGCTAGCAATTGCTTGCGACCACCAGCCTCAGAATCCACGACTTTTTGCTTCTACAGAGGCGCTCGATTCTTTAATCCCTCCGCGATCCCCCGTCTTGGTCAAGTGCTTATCCGGCGTTTGTGGCCTGTGAAACTGACGATCAAAGCTTTCTCTTCTGCCCCAAATCAAAGGGGCACATACCTTGGCCCTCTACATGATGGCGATGCCACTCCTTCGGCACCAGTCATCTCTCGAAGGATTCATCAATTTCTCGTCTAGCACTCCCTTACAAGATATCGAGCGACTTCAAGCAAAGACTCTGTTCTATAAGATCGTCGTGTATTACGAGAACCAAACAAATATTACAACAAATCGTCCATATAACCGACCGAAGCTCGTGCGCTTGACATACGAATATGCGATTACAGAAGCCTCCCGAGACAATGTTCTGCGCTCCTTTTTTGACTCGATCGGCTTGTCAATGTCAGGAGATGTTGACTTATCGTGCAAAGAAACAGAAGCAAATGTTTGGTATAGCCTCAAGGGGTTTGCTGATTTTCTAATCGATAACTTCTTCTTACCTCGTGAGTCCAGTTGCCTTAGATTACTATCTTTTACACTAAATTGTTTTTAGTGAAGGCATCTAGCAGAGGAACTCCTCAGCCCTCACCCACGTATCGCTCAGCTGTTCAACGGACGAGAACTGGAGAGCGATCTTACATAGGGACATCAGGCCGATTGAAAACCCTTCGCGGCGACTGTCTCGTGCGCGACAGGCATCGATGCGTAATCTCAGGCAACTTTGACACAACACACGCCGTGAAACTCATGCAGGAATGCGGTGGCGATGCTGTTGACGACCAAGGTAGCCCACTCTTAGGGGAGACTTTTGAGGCCCTTGAAGTCGCTCATATTTTGCCACATTCTTTGACGCAGCGTAACCCAGGCTCGGAACTTGTATGTTTCCTCCCTACATGCAAGATTCATTTTGTTAACTGGTGCAGGATAAATCCCGAATAGCGACACTTGAGATTCTTAATATGTTCGACAGCGACGTGGCCTATCTGATTGAAGGCCCGGAGATCGACCGACCACGTAATGCCCTTTCGCTCACGCACAATCTCCATTTGTTTTTCGGCGAATTCAAGATATTTTTTGAACCAGTAGAGGATTTGGCGAATACTTATAAGATCGATACATTTCTTCCATACTTGATACTAAATGGATTGCTACCCAAAACGCGCACTCTCTTTATTACTGAACAGCATACAATCGATCCTCCATCTCCACGCCTCCTTGCGATCCACCGAGCTATCGCCCATATTCTTCATCTTTCAGCAGCGGGGCTCTACATTGAGAGAATTCTTCAGGATGCAGAGGATGAGATTGTACGAGCAGATGGGTCAACCGCCCTCGACAAATTGGTGCAGCTACGACTGGCTGGATGGGTGTGAGGCGGGCGTAGATGTCGAGCTACCTTGAACCACTGCTTAAAATATTTATTATGTTTGCATCACGATGACGATTAAAAGTTTTGAGAGCAACCGTAGATGTTTGGTGCATAGGCAATAGCGAGTCAGATGTCAGGTTCTAGTTCTATAGTCATTCCTGCAAATAAGACCGACGACCTAAGATCTTTGGTGGGGCCGAGAAGTCTCCGCTAGGCATTGTGCATTGCTCGCGTGCCATCACGTACAACTCATTTCAGCCAAAAGCTCCGTGGCTGTTGTGACGCCACATCGAACGTGAGGGGGCGAAGTTGTTAAACGTTGGTCGCATGCGGCGCAAGCATGAGGCGTGGGGGATATGATCGGCCGCCAAGGTCAAGAGCTGAGGCGACGCTCATGCTGTAACCATATGTCCCTTGTGCTCGATTTTGTCCCTTTGCTTTCTCATCTGGTGTGGTGTGGTTCCGTCCTTCCTTGACACCTGATGCCTAACGTTTCATGTCTGGAGGTCATCACTCGGAGATTGGATCCGAGAAGCAGCAAACAAGGTTTGCAACAGCAAGATCGAGGCCCACAGCGGCCGCCATGAGGCAGAGCATAACGAAGTTTCACCAGCGGCTAGTGAGGGTGCATGTTGGCAGGGTCGGTAGTACAATTACGGACAAGATTTGAAGGCAGAGGGGAGCGCAGAGACGGCGAGGAGACAAGAAAGACATGTATGTTGTGCTCGGGTGGCCTCGAATGTGCCCCGTGCTTGGGTTGGGCGTTGGAGGTTGGAGGAGCCTCAGAGATCGGATGGGTTGTGACTTCCATGTAGGTCAGCTCCAGAGACCTCAGACGGCAACCTGCACCGGAGGTTCCTGCCCCCCACCGTCTTCTAATAACAACAAAAGTACGGAGCACCCAGCCAACCTTTTACCCCATAAATTTAATAGTCTCTGTCCAACCTTGCTCAACTCAACGTTGCTTCAACGCGAGGCTCGCGCATTTTCTCGGCCGTTGAGCTTTGTTTTTCTCCTTTTGTCCTTCCATTGCATCTTGGCCCTTGCCCTTCGAGACTCAACAAACAGACTCCCCAGTCCGATCTCGCACATGCATGCGTATCAGTCCTCGGTCGACCACTGCCGACGGCGAGCTTCCTCTCCGTCCAAACCTTGACTGCGCCCGGTGCCAGTTGAGCGAGTCCGGCTTCGGTACAGCGCCGTGAACGCTTCCATTCTTCCACCCTCAGGTCCCTCAGGACGGACGAGCATCTAAGCAAGGCCTCTTCTTCTTTGGCCAGTCCTAACTATCCTTGCTTCTGCAATCCAGATGCGGCGAAGCTTCCCGAAGCAAGACTGAACAATGGACTTCGAGCTCATTGCTCGAAACCTAAATGCAACATCGAGTGAATCGGCGCCATCAGGCCGGCCTGCCTCCTTCAAAATCATAGGGGTCTCGCTGGCTGTTGGCTCTGGTCTGTTTATCGGGACGTCCTTCGTGCTGAAGAAGGTTGGACTTCTCAGGGCCAACGAAAAGTACAATGAGGTTGCTGGCGAGGGCTACGGATACCTCAAAAACGCTTTTTGGTGGAGCGGCATGCTGCTCATGATTGTCGGCGAGATCTTGAACTTTGTCGCCTATGCATTCACGGATGCGATTCTCGTCACGCCCCTGGGAGCCTTATCCGTTGTCATTACCACGGTTCTCTCCGCCATCTTTCTCAAAGAACGACTCAGTCTGGTTGGTAAGGTTGCGTGCTTTCTGTGTATCGTTGGCTCCGTCACCATCCTCCTGAATGGCCCTCGTGAATCTTCGGTCGGCAATATTCAGCAGATGCAACAATATTTCGTCACCCCCGTCTTCCTGACCTATGCCGGCGTAATTCTCGCAGGCTCCCTCCTGACTGCAGTTTTTGCCGGCCCCAGGTGGGGTAAGAAGAATATGATGGTGTACATTTCCATCTGCAGTTGGATTGGCGGTTTGAGCGTCGTGTCCACTCAAGGCCTGGGCGCCGGCATTATAGCATGGATCGGTGGTCAACCACAGTATAAAGAGCCATTTCTATGGATCCTGCTGGCCTTTGTCATTGGCACGCTACTGACGGAAATCATCTTCTTAAATGTGAGTCTTGGACCCCGGTTTGGGGGCTCAGTTGGACAATCATGTCATTCACGTCAACACTGCACCTCGGCTGCTAACCAACTTTGACTGTACCTTAGAAAGCGCTCAACCTCTTCAACGCGGCCCTTGTCACACCTACATATTACGTCTACTTTACCAGTACCACCATCATCACTTCTGTCGTCTTGTTCCGAGGTTTCAAGGGCACTCCACTGCAAATTGCCACTGTTGTCATGGGCTTTCTCACGATTTGCTCGGGCGTGGTCCTGTTGCAGTTGTCCAAGTCAGCCAAGGATGTTCCCGACGCTGCCGTCTTCAAAGCCGACCTTGATCAAATTCACACCATCGCCGAACAAGAGCAACCCGAGACCGAGCCCAAGGCCGATGCTATTCGTGGTACGGCCGCCATCGTCCGTAGAATATCTAACATGCGCTTAAAGATGGAGGCCGACGAATTGAAGAGGCTCCACGAAGAGAAGATGGCAGAGAGTATGGCCACTATTAGTGAGGATGGCGCATCGATGTACGAGTGGGACGGTCTGAGAAGGAGGAGAACCCTGGCGGCAAGCACGCGAGCACGCGCCGCAACATCACCTCAATCTCCTTCTTCACCTGGCTTCCGGCCCACAAGTCCTCATCCTCCGCTGGGCATGTCGCGCTTCCCAACGGACGAGGAACTTGAGCAGACGGAGCAAGGCATCACATTCTCTAGCATTGCTGGCACCATTCGAGGCCGGCCTCGGACCAGTGCCACACTACCAACTTACCACGACCAATATCCCGACAAAGCCAAAGCCAGAAGTCCACTTCATCCCATTCCACTAACGCATATACAAATGCCGACACAGAAGCCTGACGACGAAGCTGGGGCCTATTATGGGAGAACTCGCGAGCATGTCTTCAGCAATCAGGACACTGCGTATCACGGCGTCGCGGATGGCAATGTTCAGGACATGCCACCAATACCGCCGCCACACTCTGCCCGGCGGCAGTTTTCATTCAATCGGGTTTTCAAGCGAAACGCAGGACCTACGGAAGAGGAAAGAGAAGGCCTGGTCAAAGAGGGGGGTACTCAAGATAAGCCTTCGTTTATCTAGGCGTTTTTGTATTAGACGGAACAGCATAGAAGGATATCCTATTATGAGTACATGAGTATCATTCATGAGTAAGTCAATACGATGTACATGTAACTTTGAGTGCCCGCGAGGACAAGTGGTGTAGCTTTTCCATGAAAGACTTGAAACCAACGCATAATTCACACAGTAACAAGATGTAACTACCAACGACCACACGCTTTGTTGTGCGAGGTGCCATGTCATCCCACAAGACATCAATCAGTAGATAGATACTCGACGGATGAATGGACAAAGTCTCGTCACGATCCTGATTCGCTCCTTTGCGCTCCTTTGCGCCTATTGCTCGATAGCTTGCTCCGCCGCATCTTTAAACGCCGCCAATGCAATCTGAGGGTAGCATGTACGATGAAAACAAAATTGAATACAAAAGAAGTGTAAAAGATGCCGAGAGATGTCCGGCTCTGGGATTCTGTTTTCCCCTTTTCCCTCCTTTCTTTTTCTTTGTAAAGAACACGAAGGGGAAGTCCCATGCCCCATGGGCCATCACCAGTCCACAGCCCAGCCGTTCTCCTGGATGAAATCTTCGCATGCTTGGCGTAGAGCAAGGTTTGGTCTGAGTTCTGAGGGGACAAGCGGCTCCCGTGTCAGGGGATCAGTGGGCTGGCGTCGGAGATGTTCCATGATGGCTGAGCGTTCGTACGACTTTCCCGTTTTTGTCTTTTTTTTTTGGTTTATCAGTCAGCGTCTTGTTTTTCCTGGTAGACGGTGTGCCGTGAGGGCAGATCAACGGCGAATCTGCACGGAGGGCTGGGGGTGAGGAGACAAATGAAAAGGCGGAGGGGAACAAAACTCACCATAACGGGATCGACCATGATGCCAAAGCTGATGTCGTCGATAACCCACTCGGGGACCTCTCTTTTCCTGTCGGGCTGGGTCCTCGCGCGCTCGAAAACACTTCTCACCTGCTGCATCCGCTGCTCGTTGTCCTCCCGGATCAGGCCCTTCTCGAACTCGCCTATGGAGGGGTCGGCAAGCATCTCGTCGGCATCCTTGGCCAACAGGTCCAGGACGGTGGCTTCCAGAACGTGGGCTTCCTTGGGTCGCAGCCTCTCCCTGTGCTCCCACCGCTCCTTCTTGCACCTGAGCACAGTGGCGGTGATTTGCGTGAGGGACTTGTCGTTGGTCTTGGAGCATATTTCGTGGGCGCGGAGGGCATGGACGAGGGCCGACTCGTAGTCCTTGGTGTGGAGGAAGGCCTGCGAGAGGTAGTAGTGCGCCTTCATTGAGTCGGGGGCGATGGAGAGGCACGTTTGGCAGTCGGCGATGACAGATTCCCAGAGGGAGAGCCTGAGGCGCGACATGGCGCGGTTGGTGTAGAGGGTTGGGTTTTGGGGGTCGGCGATGATGCTGGAGGCAAGGTCATGTCAGCTGAGCCCGTGGTTTTCTGTTGTTGGCGTTTTTTGAGTGCTTTTGCGAAAGGGGTAGGGCATAAACCATCACGTACGCTTTCGAGTACAGGCCCTCTGCGGCCAGGTAGTCCCCGCTCTGGAAGTAGCGGTTGCCTTGCTCCTTGAGCTCGAGCGATTTTGCCATTGTAGTCTACTTTGTGGTTCGTTCGGGATGCTTGCGCAGTGGTGGTGGTTGGGTGGTGAAGCCCCTTGGGCCAGGTCGATCTGAGCGGGATTCGCAACTATTTTGGTCTGCGATTACTTGAATGAATGAATTATTTTTGTTTATGTTCAAGGTGCCTGGGAGCGTGGAATTGAGCCGTCACTTGAAAAGAAGCCAAGGATGTTTTGAATATCGAACGCAAGAAAAGAAGAAGGGGCAACGGCCAGCGACGCCCGATAAAGCGATGCAACGAGCCGACAGGTAGGTCGAGATGGGCTGGGCTGAAACGGCAAGATTTATTATTTAAGGCTTCAACGTTCCTTTCGTAGGCCGCACGAGGGGCTGAAGTGGCGTGGTGCACGTAGCGCGGCCAGTAGCAAGCACATCTCGGTTCAGCAAGGTGAGGGAGAATCATAAAGATGTCAAAAGCAACTTTCTCAAGTGGTGGGTTGGATTTGTAAGGCCGATTCAGGTTTCTGCTGGCTCTGGGCCCTGGAATATTCTGGAATCTGGAATGGTTCAAGGAGGGGCGGCAACAGAGGTGTCGGCTTGTATTTTTTAGTCATCGACAGCGCACAGTACTGGGTACAAGCACCCAGGTACCTACTTAGGTACATTTATCGCCGCGATCTACCTTCTCATCCAGGTACCTAGGTACATGAGCAACGATTCCACGGACGTGGTTGTGCGCACCGGGCAGACGGTGCTCGAGCAAAGAGGTTTGGGACGGCCGACGGTGCACGCTTGTTGATAGATCAGGTACCTTGGATCTAGGAAGGCACGGATTACGTACGTACAAACGAAGCAGCAGTCTTGTTGAGTCGTTGGGTCGTGACTCGTGATGCTCAACACCAAACACCAAACACCAAACCCAGAGACTCGTCACCAACGCCGCCATTCACGATCCAAAGAATGGCCTTGAAGACGCACTTGCCACGCCAACGACTCTTGCAGCAAAAAGTCGGACGCTAATTTTCATGTCCAAAACATCAGGGACACACACGTGCTCCCCTCGTTGCTCGCAGCTCACGGCTTCCTCGCCGCCATCCATTCCACCATCTTGTCAATGGCCTCCTTGCCGTCGTGATGAGGCAGAACCACGGGCCACACATGCATCATGCCCGGGCCCTCGACCAGCGTCACATGGCGCCCGGCAGCCGCCGCCTTTTCCGCAAACCGCTTCGTGTCCGGCGTGAGAAGATCCTCCCCCGCGGCAAACAGCATCATGGGCGGCATCCCATCCACGTCTCCAAACAACGGTCTCAACCGCGCATCGTCCGTCGGCCACTCTCCCCTCACCAGCTCGCCCACCTCGATGCAGCCCACGACATCCAGCCACGGGTCTCTCTTGGACAGCTCGTGCGCCTCCGTGTTGGTAAAGGTAGCATCCACCACGGGCGTGATGGCAACCAGGCCCGCGGCCAGCCGCGTGCCGGCCCTGATGGCCTCCTGCGCGAGCACGAGCGCCATGCACCCGCCCGCCGAGTCGCCTACTACCAAGAAGGGCGAGCCGTCCCGCGAGGCCGCCATCTCGTCGTGTATGGGCTGCAGCATGCCGTACATGTCCTTGAGCTTCTTTTCCGGCCCGAGCGGGTAGATGGGCACCGTGACGCTGGCCTGCAGTCGCTCCGCCAGCAGCGCGATCAAGGTCCAGTGCGGCCTTTGGATCTCGAACATGAAGGAGCCGCCGTGGAGATAGAGGATCCGGGCCGCGTTGGGCGTTTCTGACTTGGGCGCGACCTCAAACACCGGGTAGCCGTTTGCCTGCCGCTCCTCGACCATGAACTTGGTGCTCAGGTGTTGCGGCGGCCGGTAGTCGGGCGCATGCTTGCGGGCTTTGGCGATGCGCTTGTGAAGGGCTTCGGCGGACGTGAAGTCGCCCTTGCACCAGAGCCACAGGTACCACGAGAGGAGACGCGCTCTCCAGCTTGCCATTTTGCGTCTCCTTGAGCGGGAGCCCGGGTGATTTTGTCGTGGTGAGTCAGAGACGGGAGTCGGGGTCTTTCGAGTCTCGTCGCATGTTCAGACGGATGTTGGCCTGGGTGGACCTCGGCTGCTGGCCGTCCGAGGGCGACGCCTGTGGGTTTTAACGGTTTGCTGTCTGGACTCTGGATCCTTCTGGCCCCTGCAACCAGCATCTCGGATTTATGAGCTACCATGTTAGGTGTCCATGTGGGTGACCATCCCTCCGTGGCTGGCCTGGCCTCGGGCGCTGCCAGACTCACTCGACTAGGTCTCGCCAATGGAATGGAAACTGCCACTTCAGCATTCGCCGCTTACCCCTGACCCGCAGACATGTTTTATGCCGCTGCCAATTGTTCCACGGGGGCTACACGGCATCATGCTTCTCAAGACCGCGTTCGGATGAAGCAAAAAATTTCCTCGACGTCAATCAATGGGAGAATATAGTATCGTCCGTCACCACGACACAACAGAGTATATGACGCAGACATAAGAGCGAAATTTTATTGCTCCAGACATCATGTTCTGTCCCTCTAATGGCGTCTAGTGATGAAGCAAGCCCTCCTTTGTATCACCACTTCCTTGTCAGTAGAGCTGAATCTCATGTGGAAATTGTCCAGACCCCAAGGCCAAAGTATCATTCCGAGTCACCTAGCCTAAAACGGATTTATTCCCCGTCCACATCTTTCAAATCAGTCCCAACACCTTGGCGTCTGCCACAGCAGTGCCCCCAAATGCGAATGTGCCATCTGCGCCCCGTCCCTTCTCAAGAGTCCAGCCGCGGCCACGAAAGCCCAGCTGCCCGGCCAGTTTTTCAGAGTGTAGGCATGTTTCAAGAGACGTTGATACACGGTAAAGGGTGGTGCGTGTGTGTGGGGGGTTTTTGGGAACGGTAGATGTTGTGGTTGGGTAGTCGTCAAAGGTCTTGATGGCATGGGGGCACAAGAGGTTCTCTACCCGTCCAACTAATTGATACCGCCCGCGTCCAACCTTTGGTCTGGATCCTCCTGTGAGACCAAGTCTCGTCTAGTCGGCAAGGTCGACACGGGTATGAGGGCCAAGGCGAACAAGGCTGCGGCAAACAAAAACGGCATTCCTGTCCAAAAGCTGCCCAGCTCCAAACCCCATCGGAAGGTAGTTACCTGCTAGCATGGGTTGGCCTATAAACAAGCCACTCTGGACCATGACTTCAATGACAGTGTACAGGACACCCAGATGAGCTGGATCCACGAGGCTCGTTGCCAAGCTCCTCACGGGGATGGCAAATACGTCTCCAACAGATATGCACACCAACCCTGCCACCATTGATATGGCCGACGTTGCTTGAAACACAACAAGGCTGCCGAGAACAAGTGAGAACTCGCTGACTTGGGCGATGCGCTTGTCTTTCTGCATGACAGAGAGGTGGAAGGAGGCGGATTCGATGAGGTTGAGGATGGTCGGTGGACGGATAATGCGGCCGTGGCATCGGGACTGAGGAGGGGACTGGTTTCCGAGGCCTGCGCGCCAGGCATGTTGCTTACTTGGTGTCGTTGGAAGCCGCTCATGACATGTCAAAGACGAGTGAGATACTGGTGTATGCCGTCGGTGGTCTCAAGACGCCTGGACTATTCTGTGCGAAATCGTCACGACCTGCCCAAAAGGGCAGCAGCCTCGCAGGTGCCCCAGATTTCTATGGATGCGGGATTTGGGACATATTTCGGGTAGATGTACGCTCTTCTGAGCATTCGCAAGGTCCTCCAGACATTTGCCCCAAGTACTAGTGCTGCTATGCTCGTCGGGATTGGTGAACCAATATCACATCGCCAATGCCAGGACAGCGTAAGTACGAGACGAGAAAGGTGTCGAGCATCTGTTACGCACATGATCCTGTCTCCAGCGGCCTCATTAAGGGCAACTTTTTTAGCTCGAGCCATCTGCCACGTGGGATGATTCCGTCTGTCAGCTTTGCGGAGCTTACGCCTTGGTCACGCTGCGTAGTTCTCTCCGGGGTTTCTAACGGCGTCCTTGTGTATGAAGCGACGTGCTTTGAAACTGACTTGGTCAATACATTGACAGCATCTCGATGTCAAGATGGCGTGGTATGGCGTGGCATGTCACGGACGCTAGATTGTGTGGAATGTTGTGCTTCTGCCCTGCCAGTCACCCCGGAACTTTCCAAGTCTGGAGAAGGCACGAGCCCGAACCCGCCCGTCGTGAGTCGTGACTGCCTGGATGAAGCCTACAGACCCCGCCATTAGTCACCTGCACCGACGAGCCCCAGACGCAGCCAGTCACAGCGCCCGCATTTCCATTGTCCAGCCCACCGCGCAAATCCTGCCCCGGCTTTTGCCGAGGGCCGCTGGGCCGCCGTACTGAGTCAACGCTCCAATCATCCACCGCTCCGGTTGCCCGGCTGAGCCGCTGACTAGTTACTTCTTCACGTCGTCCATGTCGGTGCTCCGTAATCGCGATCCTGTATCCTCGTGCATCTTGTGCCTCTCAAAGACCGACGAAGCCATTTCTTTCCATCCAGAATAGTGCTTGACACGAAGCCCTCTACTCCGTACGCAGTGCGACCTAGCCGACTCGCTTTGTGCGACGTCTTCCCCCAACGACCGGCCGACCGATCTACCTTGAGGCTTGAGGGACACAGTCCACATCCCCGCTGGCGAACTTTCCGCCCAGAGAAAGGAAGGCTCCTTGAATCGACGAGAAACGACCGCGTGCGACGTCACTCGCCGAGGCGACAGGCCAGCTGACTTTGACTTCTCCTGTCAACGTCAACGCGGGAAATTGACAGCCGAGCCTCATCTCGCCCCTACCTTCATCCTCCGCTCCCTCCCCCGCCGCACCGTCGATCGAAGCAAACCAAGAAAACGTCGCCTCGCCTGCCAGCCATGCCGTCACAGCGCCCCTACTTCCTCTCCTCCTTCATCGCCGCCTTCCGCCAACAACGCCCAACTCTCCAGGCCAACCCGCAGCCCAACAAACACAGCAACCAAACCGCCGCCGTCGGCTCCTCCACCCCGTCATCGGCAATCGCCACCAGCGCTGCCGCCGCCGCCGCAGCAGCATCGTCCGCCCAGGCAAACAGTCGCTCCCCGCCTCCTAGCGTAGCCATCCACTCTCCCCGCGGCGACGCAGCTTCCATTCCTATTCCGAACCCATCTGCCTCGGGTCGTCGCCGAGGCAGCGACAGCAGTAGCGAGGGCTTCAGAGATGCAATAGGCGCAGAACGGTGGTATATCGGCGGGAGGACGGCAGGCGGCGAAGAGAAATTCTTCAAGCTGGGCGTAGTGAGGAGGGTGAGAAGTAATGACGGGCTGAGTCTGGATCGTCTGAGTTTATGAGATTTTGAGCGCAAGGAATCGAGGGCAAACAGACGGCTTCGCAGTTCCGTCCATGCAGGACCGATACTGTTGCTTGAGATAGGACCTTCCTCGATGTCTTGAGATGCTGGCATGAATGAGACTGGATTGGACCATGGAGTTGGAATCATGGGCGGCGTTTACAGGGCTACCGTTTTTTTAAAAAAAAAGGACGAGAGAAAATGACGTGGCAGACAGAATATGCTGCATTGCACCAAATGGATGGTGTCTGCATTCATCTTTCACCCTTCATTTGGAAGCATTAATACTGTCTATGAAATGTACACAACTGTATCATATCTCACTGGCGTTTTCTCGCGGAACGCAGTGAGTATTTTCTTTGGCTACCACATGAACCGTTGTAATCTGCCATCATGGAGAATCTTTCCTTGTTCATCTCTCCATATGTATGGCTTCATGAGGAATAGATATCCCGTGGCCACGTTTATCGCCACAAACCACAGGGTCTCGACAACGAGTCGCAAGTCAAAACGTCGCAATATTGCCCCGGTTTTTCTCACAATCGACGGGGGAGTCACTCTCTCAAATAGGGAATTGGCATGTGCATGATCATGGATCCTCCAAGCTGGTACCAATAGGCGCCACATCACCCACGGAAGGATAAAGTAGCGAGGCTCAACAAGCGGTGCTGTCATGAGGGAAAGTGCGGTTGTAAGCAGAAATATGAGGCCTGTCGAAGTTGAAGTCGGCTCAGCCGAGACCAGGATTGGGTCATTCTTCAGAGCACTTTTCAGTTCATCGTCGGTCGATATCGAGGAGCTCGACACTTGGCTCATGTCCTGGGGATGTTCTGCACATTTTTGTGTCTTCTTCGTCCCCCGTGCAATCCACCGGGGGGAGTTCGTGTAGGGAGCAGGTTCGTTCATGTTGTACCTGGCAGAGCACAGCTCGCGGTTGCTCGACAAGATCGAATCCGGACAGCCTGTCAATGTGCCCCAAACCATCCATCTGCTGATCGTGTATGGAAGAATGAGCATAAACCTGATCAGGCGGCCGCGGCGGATAGTGTATCGGAAGATGTAGAACATGTAGTGTCTGTTGTCGGCAAGCGTGAATGGATGGATTATAGTGTTGAATTTGACAATTGCTGCGGGTGCAGCAAAGGTGAAAAGAATATAAATTATCCAAGGAATGAATTTGGAGTTGAATATGAAATTGGCCCGCTTCAAAGGAGGTGAAGGTGACCCAAGGCTGGGGGAGTCGGCGACGGCTGGAGAGACAGTGTCTCGGGCATCCGTTGCCTTGGCCTTACCTAATTCCTTCGACTTGACAGAATTCGAAGACCCTAAGAGTTTAGACATCTTTGAGGGCCGGCCTGAACGGGCCCTTTGGCTATTCTGTGAAGGTGAATGAAGCACATTTCTTGCGATGCGGAGAAGAGAAATTGCTTGCGGCAAGAAAAGAGGGACGGAAAAGAAGGCAAAGAACGGCCATACATAGAGTAGCTGGGCAAGGTGAATGGTGGCAACATGATTCGACTTGTCACCTTTGCGAGGTTAGGAACAGTGACACGGTGCTCGTCTGCATCATCGTGACAACTCACCCAGGACAACACTGCCATTCCATACCACAAAGCCAGCGAATGCAGCGAGTATTGATACATATGGCCATATTTGGCGAGTGACTCGAAAGGGATTACAGAGCGCTGCAATGCCAAGACTAATCGCTGTGAAGAGCAGATCTAATGCAAGAGAGATCAGCACCCTGATTTGACAGCCCGAACATAGCAAAGCTCTTACCATCTGGCCTAGCCAGATTCAGAGGCGGGTCATGAACATCGCCAATGGAGTATCTCCAAGCATAAAACTTGGCTTGCTCCGTTAATGTAGTCACCAAAGGCTGCTCTACACCTTGCGGCCGCAGTGTCTTGATGGCATGGACAGCCTCCAAGCCCCCCATCCACACCACAGTCCAGAAGACATTTGTCTGCCTCATAGATAGAGCCAAAAGGCCCAGAAAAATGGTGGTCAAATCACTCACACAAGAGCTTCGATCTCGTCCGACACGCTTGAGGTGGTTTAAATAGCCACCAACAACGACAGCTGTCGAAATGACATCAGTGTAGTAAAGTCCTGAAAAGAAGAACAGCAGTGGAAATAGCGCAATGTTGAAAGCCGTGTGTACAGCATAGGGTGAGATGGTCTCGAGACTCGTTGACGAACGTGCCTCGCATAGTCGTGATTCAATTTCATGTCGGCACAACAGCGTCAAGGAGGCGAGAATGATCAGGCCTAACACGTTTGTAACTCGCAAGCTACTAGCATCGCAGCTGAACATACCAGGAATCCCCACAGCCGCAAAAATCCTCTGTAGAACGATGGAAAATAAGTACCTGATGCGAGTATTAGTCTGTTGATGGAGCGTATGAGGAAACCAAGCTATACGGACAGTCCTGGCGGAGTCGTGATTTTGTCATCCCAATCAAGGAACTTGCCCTCGCAGTACTTTTGAGCTTGCGGGATATGAAATACTTCATCCTAGAGGCCCGTTAGTCTGCTGACTGGTTGGAAGCAAGAAGGGGGAAAAAACCTTACCAAGTACGGTTCTGATACCGTCTCAGAAACTATGGCGAACCACGCTCCGCTCAGCAGAGCCAGCAGGCAAAACAGCAGAAAAAATCTCCCCCTATGTCTAGTTTCGGGAGCAAATAAAAGCAATGGTGGAATAAAAAGTGTCAACGTCGCCAGGGGGGGCACCCAGTGTCTGGTTGCTTCAATGTCTTCGGCCATGTTGGTGGACGAGGCGACCGTTCAGAGTCTAGAGTGGACTGAGCAACGCGGAGGAGAGTTGACGATGGGTGCTAACAAGCTTATACGGCTTGCTAAGCAGGAAGATTCTGGGCGTTCAAAGAGAATTCCCCCATACTACTCCATTCTCAAGATTTGTTGACGGCGCCGTGCTCTAATAGTAGCCGGATGGTTTCGACATACTTGGCAAGACGGTATCCTTTTCCACACCGTTTCATCTGCACTATTCGCACTGTGTTATACTGTGCAGCGGTCATTTATTCAAGCATCCAAGACCATGCTCCTTGCCAACATGCCCAATTCGAACAGTTAGATTGAAGGGGACATCACAGAAATAATGGTGGACTTATATCTCTCCAAGATTCATTGTTAAACTTCATAACCGGCATAGAGTAGCAGATATAAAGTCCGCCGGGATAAAACATCTCGTAAGCGATCTTCGCACCGCGCGAAAGGAGGCAAATGGTAAATATATGGAGCGACTTGAAGCAGAGTAACGGGCTCAAAATAGTTCTATTATGTCTTATACAAAGGGAAGAAACCTTTTTCGCGCACAGGCCTCTGATAATCTACAATCCGTGCTCCACCAATGCATTTTAAAAGGGCTGCAATTGCGTTAATAATGCCGTCTTGCTTCGATTGCTAGGCGAGCGACTCACGTTATCCTGGGGATGGATTTCTGGCTGAGTGAAGTAGCGGCCGAGGAAGGGGATTTTCTACGGAACGACATTAGCAGACAAAATACTGCAACAATCCCGTGTAGTGACATACCTGGAGAATGTCCCTCTGGACACGAGGGATGCCGGAAACGTAGAGCAGCAGACCGACAGCGGCAGCACCACCAAAGGAGGCAGATCTCACGCTACTATCTCTATTGTTAGTTTCATGCTCGGCCAAACCTCCCATTGATTGTGGAAGCGTCAAAAGCGCCTCAGTATTCCACTCAAAGTTGATTTTGCGGCGGGCATGTGCGCCCAGGTCAAACGGTAGTCTCTCATGCCAGTAGGAACTTCCTTTTCCAATACTGCTATGCCGTACCGGACCCAGGCTCACTCCAAGTGCCATGCAAACCCCTCAATCTGCCACATTCTTCGACGAGCTCGGAGAACAAGGCCCAACTCACGTTCGGAGGAGAGTAGTCCGGTTCCATCCACTGATGTTAGGCTGGAACTTGTACCTGTTGCTCAATGTTAGATCTTCCATTCTTACTTTGGGCAAATCTTGCCCTACGCCAAGCAGCGCGGCTCGTTTCCGCAGGCATTTCGGTTCTTCGGTCGAAATTGAGGTCTTTGGACACACTCGGTACGTACTTGGGGCCGTAGGCGCTCTTGAATTCCGCAGCGCGGATAGGAGTCTGCAAGATTCTGTCAGTCAACACTCTATCTCGGCGCCATACCCTTCATGTAGTACGGCAATTGCTGGTCCGGATGGGCATCAACAGTGAGTGTTCTTACAGGATAAGCCATCTTGACTGGGGTGGTGACAGTCGAAGCCTTTCGATTTGATTCAATTGTCTTTACGGAGTACGAAGTAACGACTTCAAGGCCGATGCCCGCGGAAAAGGCCGGATGGTGGCCTGAGGCCCACCATCAAACCTCTGTGACAGATGTCCAATCAAATGCCTTCCCCTTTGACCCACCGTAGCTAGTACTTCCAAGCCAGGCGTCACTCTCCAGACTTGAGCATTACTCTCTTATGGATAGTGGAATGTGATGCTGCTAGCATGCCGAGAAAGCCCTGGCAAACATGGACCAATACATCGACAGTCGCTTTGAGAGACTCGAAAAGGCGCTGTCAAATCTAATTGACTCCGTCACAAAATACCACCCGTCCACACTTCAAGCCGAGGAGCTCAAAACCGCCGACAACGAACTTACCAAGGGCCTCGAAGAAGGTAAACAAAAAAGACCCGGAGCATGCTCCCTCACATACAAGCCGGATGTCCTGACTGAATCTAGTTCAAATCCATCAAAACAACTATATCCGTATTCAAAAGCTTCGCCAGTCCTCTGCGGCACTGGACGCCCAAATACGCGAGACCTTGACCAGCCTCGCCAACACCCACAAAGACGTTGTTACGACACGCACGACAACTTATCCCTCCGAGCCAAACTATCCCATCGCGTACGAAGAGCTCCTTCGCTACGCACGAAGAATCAGCAAAACCACCCTCCCGCCAGCAGCGACCATTGAGGGTGCGCCGGCATTGGCAGAGACGCAGTCGCCGAATCCCGAGTCTCACGCACAGGCTTCTCTGACCCCGTCTGCGCGAACGCCTTCACAATCGCAAAGTCCTGCCGTGAATGGAACGCCACAACTGGCTGCGGACCAGGCAACACAGCAACCAGCGAATATAAACACGAGTTTACCTGAAGGAATGAGCCAGTATCTCAACCCTCTGTCTGGACAGCTCTTCTTCCCCTGGCCGTTGGAGGACAAGATTCGCTCCGGCTCCTTGGCTTCTTACCAGGTTCTCGTCGAGCAGGGGATTGATCCAAAGGGATACGACCCTGCAACAGAAGAGGAGAGGAAGCTCAAGGAAGAAGAGGAGCGCAAGGCCAAGGAGGAGCTGGAGAAGGCGGAGCGTGAGGCACGCGAAAAACAGCTCCGCGAGGAACGAGAGAAGGCTCGTGCTGAGAGAGAGAGGCAACGAGAAAAGGAACAAGCAGAATGGAGGCGGGCGAGTATTGTCGGTGGGCAGCCTGATGGGCCTGGGCTGTCCAGACCAGGCACGGGTTTCGGGGAGAAGAAGCAATTTCAGTTCACGAATCTGGATCTGGATGACGACGACGACGAATGATTGGCCCACAGTACATTAGATCTTCACCACATCAATAACGATACGCAGCTGTAACATAAGGTCTAGAACTTGCGGAAATAAACGCTCAAGGTCCATGTCAAATTAGTTTCTCTATCAGCAAAGTCGCTTTCCCAAACATGACAGAAACCCATCAGCGCTGTGCTCTAGTAGACCGGTCTGATGACAGACCATGCCGGACTAGACGCGATAATCATACATATATACACTCCCTCATGATCAGATCTGCGAGCCACCACGTTCACGGCAATTCCGCCAGCCTGTGGTCCATCACAACTTGGTTTAGAAGCAAGTAAATGAGTCAATCGCCTCAGTCTATCTTGATTGACGAGTAAATCCGTTTCACAAACCACCAGCTGGAAAAGTAACCAATGGAGCCTAAATATTTTTTATGTTAGCCGCGACTACAACCTTCAACATCAAGATGCAGAAAACTGACCAGCGAGAATGAAGAATAGGAAAGAAATAAGAGCACTATAGCCTATGTACAGGACTATACCGGCCAGGCCGCTGAGCTTTACTTTGGTGATGAGGTAGAGCAGGCAATTTAGAAAAATGTAACCACCGCTCATGCCAGCAGCCAGGAAAGATCGCCACTGCCAATGGTAGTTCTCGGCACAGAGCAGGAAGTACGTCATAAGAATAGTGACGGCGGCGCAAACAACTACCATAAGGCCGTAGCAGAGGAAGAGGAAGCCAAACATGTAGTAGATTCGGCTGAACCAGATGGAGCTCATGATAAAGTAAAGCTCGACAAAGATGGCGCCAAAGGGGAGTAAACCGACGATCAGCATGCTGGGAATAGGCCGTAGGTATGTCGTAACTGGCGGGATCTGACGAGGAATCTGGTTGACGCGAACAGGTGCCTGGATCTGGGGGCTTCGAAAACCCAGCCAGGATCCAGCCACGGAGAGAGGGATCGAGATGACAAACCAGATCCCGAGAATGACAAGCATGGTGGTGAATGGCACAGCGCCAGAGGACTGTTTGGCCCAGAGGAAAAGATCCAAGAGGAAGAAGGCGGCAAAGACAATACCAGGGACGAGCACTGGCGTCAAGCCAATGTTCAGCTTCCACTGCTCGCCCTGCATTGCCTTGTAGGTTCTTGCCGAGGTATAACCCCCGACAAATCCGAGGAGAGTGTACAGGATGATCATGATGGTACCAAGGGAGCCACGGTTGGAAGGAGACAGGAAGCCCAGAAGAGCAAAGGCAATGGTGCAGCCGGTCATAACGAAAAGCTGCGCACCGCTGCCCAGCAAAATGGACAACAAGAGCGGGTGGGAGGGGGTCCGGAAAACATCGCCGTGAACCAACTTCCAGCCAGAGTCTTCTTGAACGCCATCCTCCATTGCCGAAGTTCCGCCGAGGTCGTCCAAGCTGATGGCATCGAGGCGATTATAGCGGGCAATATCCTTTTTCAGTGTGCGCGCCAGGACTGACATGACCGTCAGTACCAGTATTATAACGATTACGGCGGTATCGATGAGCCAGAACCAGTGAATCTTGGGGTCGAACACGTGGAGATACTTGTCCCATCGAGTTGCCCAGGCCGTGTCCGACTTCTTCCAATACACACTGTAACTGAAATAGACATCTTGGTTCGTGTCGCCTTCTTCAAAGACGAGCTTGGGGTGGTTCTCCGCGCAGTCAGGCTCGCCGACATAAGCAAGGGAAGACGGTTGGACGACGACGCCAACCACACGGAGTTGATTTGGGTCCCCATTCACCTCGTGATACTCGATCCAAATTTCGTAGTGGTTGTTGAAGGCAAGTTTCTCTTCATCGTTTTCATTGTCTGTGAATAGGTAGTCGCCGATGGAAAAGCCGGGACTGTAGAAGGTGGTGCCGGTGAGTTCATCTTGAATCTTCTGGCCTGCCGGCAGGCCATCTACCAGCCAATTCAAGCTATACCCCTGATAAATTCTGTCGTTGATAAATTCTCGCATTTTTCGCGGATTGGAAACCTTGCACAGAGGCTTGCAAGTCTCATTTCTGAGCATGCGCAAGTCAAAGGGCGACGTCATGATCCTGTCACCAAACAAGATGCTCCCCAAGCTCTCGGATACATATTTCGGGCCCCCATGCGGTTGGCAGAACTGGAAAGCAGGATGGTAGTAGTCGTACGAGACAATAGAGTGTAGTCGGTAGTCCTGCATCGCAGCCACAGGCGAGATCTTGTTGACAAACAGGGGCACCTGGTCGTCGGGCTTATACGAGGTTGGCGCAACACCAGGCAAGTAGAAGGCGGACGTCAACGACGGCGCTACGAGCGCTGCAGCTAAAAGCGCCTGCCGCGCGGTGTCTTGGATATGCATTCTGGGCAATGTTTTACGGCATGCCAAGGTAGATGGATGCCTGTAGTTCGACCGATGGCCCGCGGCCTCGTTTTGCTGCGGAGGAAAGATAAGAAGCGCTCAGCTCGGGACTGTCAGATCCGTAATTAGCAAGTCGAGAATAGCAATCGACACCTCTCCCCGACATGCATCAGCAGTGTGCCAAGCTTCTGGCCAGCACGGTAGCACGGAAAGCAGAGTCCCAAACCACGGAAATGCGAAGAAGACCCAAAGTTCGAGATGCGAGCTTTTGTGGGAAGAAGTGGGAATCTGGCAACAAGCAAGTCGAGGATGTCGCCCAAAGCAGCTTAGTCAGGAGCCGGAGCCTGCGGCTCGCACAAGTGAGACAAGGCGAAAGCCAGCAGCAGCACCCAGGATTCCAGACCCACGAGCTGCCCCACTAAAAAGTTTCGCGGCTCAACTCTTCAACTCGTCGGACTTCTGGATCCCAGGTCCTGGCCCAAGGCTCAACTCGACATCGGAAGTTTTCTTCAATCAACTTCATTAAATCCGCCGCACCTTCAAAGCACCGGCGTGATGGCTGCTTCGACTACCCTGCCGGCGCTGCTGGCTTCTTTGACTCAGTCATTGTCATTGACGCAAGAGGCGACTCCGAAAATTGCCGCCATCCATCACCCCAGGGATGGTATTTCGCTGCTCGACGTAAAGAACGAGTTGCTCCTCTCATACCTGCAAAATCTCGTTTTCCTAATCCTCCTCAAACTCCGCAATCTGAAATCCGAATCCCAAAGCAGCACCCAGCTGGACGAGCCGGTTCGAGCCAAACTTGTCGAGTTGCGCCTGTACCTCGAGAAGGGCGCCAGGCCACTCGAGGAAAAGTTAAAGTTCTCCATCGAACGCTTCCTGCGAACGGCGCAAGACGCCCAGCGACAGGAAAGAGAAAAAGAACAACAATCCAAAGCCAAGGACAAAAGTAATGCAGATGACGACGGGTCTGCGTCCGGCTCCGCATCCAACTACAGCCAAGAGTCTGACCCGGACAGCGAACCAGATGATCGGCCACAAGCTCGGAAAGGCAACATGGGGCCAGCGCCCAACATTGCAGCCATGGTCGATGAGATTCCCACTAGCCGTGGCGGACGGGAGGAAGGACCACCGGGCGTCTACCGTCCGCCGAGGCGAGACCGCGTTCTCATGGAATCGTCACGGCCTCACGAAAAGACTCAACGCAGAGCTCACAAGTCACACACAATGGAAGAGTTCGTCAATGATGAACTCGCCACTGCTCCCGTGGCCGAGCCCAGCATCGGCACAACTATCGTCCAGGGCGGTCGGAAGATGAAAACTGCCTCAGAGCGCAAGGAAGAGGACGAGCGTCGCGAATACGAAGAAACAAACTTCACCCGTCTTCCCAAGGAGAGCAAGAAGGAACGCGCCAAGAAGGCCCGCGCAGCCGGTCGCAGCGGTCGCATGCAGTTTGGTGGCGAGGAGTGGCACAGCTTGGGTGAGGGCGTTGATCGGATCGACCGCTTGACCAAACGCAAGGGGCCTCCTGGTGGCGGAGTACGTGAGATGCTCGAGAAGAGCAGGAAGCGTGGTTTCGATACGTCGGATGGCCCAAGGGGGAGTGGTCGCAGCGCGGAGATGGGTGAGCGGTTTCAGAAGAAGGCCAGGATGCTGCAGGCTGGTCGGAGAGATAGAGGCAAGAACAGGTAGACTGACCCAAAGGAGCATAATTTGGAAGTCCTTCGCGACATCCAATGCCTTAATACATTGTGCCTTGGCAATACGCCACACGTCTTCCGCAAAACATCTTCTCTGCAAGTCTCAAACCTGTATATATAGAGGCAAATCCACAAGCCAAGCCCGCAACGCTTCTCCGCCAGATGTTTCTCATTGTTCGCCATTGACAGATTTCCCATGTGCCTATGGTTTGGCATATGATGCGAATCACCTCCCAGTCATACTTTCCTGTCGTCTCTCTTTCCTCGGGTGACTAGTCGGGATTTTCGATATTCCAGGATGGATTGCGCTAGAAGCGTCTCGGTAAAATTGCCGTTTCTGGAGGTGATACCCGTAAGTCTCATCTGGTTTGGAGTGCAAGCACGCCTGACCGGATCAAAACAAGGCCTGAAAGTGATGGCACGGTGTATCCAGAAGCGTGTGGCCAAATTCAATGTTGTTTTCAAGGTATTTCGATGCGTGTCTCGGCGGACGGGCTGTGTAAGCTGCTAATGCGTGCAACTTCCCAGTTCCGCCATTGTTGCCTCACAAGACATGATTCAAAGGTCTTCAACCTTACCAACGGCTTACCTCATGGATCACCACGATATTGTCGGAGCGATTGAGCAAGATCTAGACAAGCGGCTGCGGAACGGACAGATCCGACTGCATAGATGACTGGAGTAAACGTAAGCTGGAAATCTACGGGACGGTTGCGACAAAAAAGAGCAGAGAAAGGAAAGGAAATCATATGGATCCTTTTCTCTATCGCCTCGCTGCAAATAGTTATATTTTTTACATGATACGCTGTGGTGATGTTCATTGCTTCCAATGCCGTAGGACATGATAAACACCTTGTTCTGGCAGCTAATTTGGTCTTTCTTATAGTTCCCAAGTTTTAAGAGGTAGGTATCTTGCCGTCTCCCCGTTTCCTTTTAACGGTCCCATTGGGTTCATTGCCGAGGAAATTCAAAACTCGTCTTTTCACCACGCAAGTACCGTATCGAACCGTATCGAGGCGTAGAACAAGCCCCTTCAAGTCTCTGGACAGCTGTGCGAGAAGCGAGTACCACGATCCTTGGCCTTTGAGGGTCATTTTGCGAAGACTGACTTCTTTTAAGGTGTACCGGTGGCGAGAAAGAAACCTGTATAAATCTTGCTCTCGTATTGCAAACATAGAACATTCTAGGACCTGTATATGCGGCATAAACAACTCGCTGGACAGCTCTCGAACTGCCACATGGTCGCCGAAACAGGCAAAGTCAATGCTGCAACGCAAAAGCCGCGGAAACGTGTTGACGAGCTTGACGATACTCCCCCCCCACCAGGTATTTGCGCAAGGGAGTCCCTCCAGGCGTAGTGACGTGATGTGGGCCAGCTGGAGCCCCAACTCCTGGGAAACAATTGTTGTGGTCTCCAAGTTGGCTTGACGCTCAGAGAGGGCAGTGAATATCTCTACCCTAACGCTTTGCGGAACATCGTATTTAAAACTGGTTCCTACTTCTGTAATTACCCCCGGATTTCTGGAAACTGCAAGCAGTAGAGCATTCCAAAGTCTCAAGCTGAATACGGGGTTACCGTGAGGAAAGTCCATCATCAAAGGTGTTCCGCTCTGCTGGGCTAGCTCTTTCGCTCCCCAACCTGCACGATCTGTAAGAACAATACGAGCGCAATTTGGAAGGCCGTTCAAGGCTTTTGATAGATATTTGGCGACGACTCCAGTGTCCAGGAGCTGGTACTGGCTGGCACAGCGTTTGTGATGCTGAGGCGTCGTGTGGTTGGGCAGCTGCGACAAGAATGCTTCGCACAAATCGTCGATGACGGCTAAAGTCTGCATCTTACATATCGTCTCAAGAAAATTCGATTTACCACCTCTCAAATATGTGAAAGCATCAACGTAATTTGGCAAGCGCATGGTGCTGACTTCGACTTCGCGCACTGACGAAGCAAGACGAGGATTATGTGTAATTTCGTAAAGATGCCGCAAGCTCTCGATCGATATGACCACACCACGCTTCCGAAAGTATCTGCGCCCGAATATACTCAGAGTTCCAGCACGCAATCTTTGGCAGCTGAGGCGGACGTTGCAAAGGGTTTCGAGCGGTAGATGAGTGGCGAGACAGTCGAGGACAGCCTGAGGAGCGTCGTCCAAGAGCACCATGATGGCGAGCTGCAGGAATGTATGGCCTATGACAAAGAGAAATTAACGCAGTTTGAAGAAAAAAACGAGGGAGACGTGTCTGGCGACAGAACGCACCGACATTGTGATTAGGGGAAGGAGAGTGTGTCGTTCCACGGATACAAATTATTCTCATACATCAACCCTAACCCTCGGAAGGTGCGGCCAACCTCCATCGCTTCGTACAGCGCAGGTAGAGTCGTCGAACGGATTGCGTTTGGCATTTCCTGAGTTTGTCTTAGTTGGAAGACCTCTGACCAAGTAACCCAAGCGCGACATGCCCAGTAAGAATGCCGCAATCAATGGCTAGAATTGAGCAGGTGGAGGAGTAAAAGAGAATCAAAACGTGGTCATCGCCAAGCCAGTCACCAGCTGTGATAAGATAAGAGCTTTGCCGGCGCTACAATTTTCCACACCCCACTCACGTTTTGCATCGGAGTCGGAGTCGCAGCTTTCACACCTTTTGGAACCGCCCCATTTCGTTCGGAGCAGACGACATCTCCCCTGCCGAGAGCAATATTTCTACACGACCAACAAAAGACTACCGGATAGCCACTCAACATGAGCAAGTTCGACGAGATGGACGTGGACAATGATGCCGAAGACGACGATCCCATAACCGCCAGCTACCCCGTCTTCCTGAACCCTGCCCTCCCCCTCGGGCGCCGCCTCCTCATCCTGCAGCAGCCCAACCGTACAGATGACACGCCGCGGCCGCCGCCCACCGAACTCCGTCTGAAGGCGCACTCGGGCATGGTCGAGGTCGACGTGCCTCTGGACAACACGACCGCCTACGACCGTGAGAAGGGTTTGAAATGGGGCCGCGTTCTTCAGTCATCCATGGCGTCAAAGAACGGCGGCAGTCACGGTCTAGCAGGTGGATTTGGCTTCGGCGCAGTACCGCAAAGAGGCAAGAAGAAAGGCGAGTCGGACGACGACGAGTACATGGACTGGAACGAGGCCGTTCGCCAGGACATGGTGTTGAGGACCCAGACCCTGGGAGGACAGTACCCTGACACGGACGAAGTCCAGTACATGGTTGGGGTATTCCAAGGCAGTGTGTCGCTACTCAGTTTTAGTTCCAACTCAACCTGCCCGCTAACGCGTACTGCTAGAAAACCTCCATCTCACGCCCGTCTCTTCCCTCGTTCATCTCAGACCGCAGCTCCACCACCTCGACGCAGCCACTCAACAAGAACGCAGCGCCTCCGCCTCTGCGTCCAAGGAAGCAGCAGGATCTTCGTCAACCGCCGCGCGCGCCATTCACATGACAATCAAGAACACCGCCGATGGCGACGCAGTCACAACAGAAACCATGGCAGATAGGTTACGCTTCGTGCAGACCGAAAACTGGCGAAAGATGAGGTATACGGACGAGAATGAAGAGGCCGCATGGGAAGTATACAACGAGAGTCTGTTTCTGTACCCCAAGGCTGGGGGCAGCAAGGCCGCCGGCGAGAGTGAGACGAAAGAGAAAGAACCAGCGGAAACAGGTATGGAGGAATTGGCGCCCAAGCTCGGGGCCAAGTGGAACACCAAGCAAATGTTGGAGGCTGTCAGTGGTATTCAGAAACCTGATGCGAAACCAGAGCCGGAGATCAAGCCTGAACCAAAGGGTAAGCAAGCGGTCGGAGATCGAGGGACACCCAAAGGGAAACCACGGGGTGGTGCAGCTCCCGCTGCTACGAAAAGGACCAGTAGAGCAAGGGCACCATCGAAAACAGCAATCACTATTGACTAAGGATTGCTTTATGGACTGTCGATAATGAAGGCGAGTCATGTGCATGGACACGGCGCAAGGTGTTTACGATGTTGGTCTCATGTATACTTCAGGGATATAGAAATGTTTGTCTTCGCATGGATAATTCAAAGCTTGATTAACGCATGCCAGGAACGCTGCCACTCCAACCCTTCCCCATGCTCGTGATGTTGGAGGCAGCCTGAGTCTGCGCCCCTGACACGCCATGCCAAAATTACCATAATTATCATCCCCCATTTCGTATTGTACAAAATGATTTTGGTGAGCAAAAGAAAAGGAATCGATAGAAGGCAAAAATAGTCAACATAGTCGCAAGCCACCTATGTAAAAATGGTCGTCTCCCAGCCCCTTCCATCCTATCAATCCTCCTGGTACACTCACGGTAATGCTCCCACGAATCGGCACGGCATCTTCTTCTTACATGGCACAATCGCTTCACATCGTAAAGATTCCCAAAAACAAAAGCCAGCCCAAATTTGCCCGATGGAACTCCCCGGCAGAATGACAAAGCAGTGAATATATGCAAATATAGGTGTTGCCCCCGCTTTTCGTTCTTCATTTTTTCCGAAGATGCATTGTTAGTCGCATGATAGCATGTTGGATCTTATTGCAGTAACTCTACATCCAAGCCAATGGATCGCATGAAGAGGTTGACACTGCCAAGTCGCTCCGCAGCCATGGTAGGCGGTAGAGTCTTGGACATGGACACGGTGTCCAGGACGCGGTCTTTTACGGCGAGCACAAGTCGTGTCTGCTGATCTTGGGTGGCACTAACACCCATAGCCGCAAGCAATTGCCAGACATAAACATCGATTCCGGCATTAACGCTGCCGGGGAATATGTGTGGTAGCGAAGGCTCTAACTTGCTGAACAAAATTTCGAATGTTTGGTCCCTGTCAAGGAGTTAGTACGGCATGTCAGCAGTGACAACAATGTAAGCGTCTTACCATTTCTCCCACTGCTCAGGATTTCCAGCACCCGTCTGCTTCAAAAGCACGGCACGGCTGAGAATCAACGTAAGCATCGAGACACCGATTCTCGTTCTGGCAATGAGATCCACATTTAGCTTCGTAGCGATGAGGTGCAGGACACCATCGACGATATCCAAGCCGGTTTCATTAAAGTATTGCATCAATGAAGGCATGACAGTTGAGATGAACAGTTCAATATTCTCGCGCATGCGGGAGTTGAGGTCTGTTTCGCCACTTGTGATGACGGCACCTTGGACGACATCAAGTTGGTCGAGGTGATAAATGATCATAGTCAATATCGTCGTTCGCTGCTCGAAAGTGAGGTGGGGGAAGATGCGAGGAACCGCCTTCTTTCCCTTGGCGCACGACAAGAAAGCGATGAAGGGATGGGGGACCGTAGCACCAATCGGCTCGTGCACCTTCAACTCCGTCCAAAGCTTTGCATTATAGGCGTCCAACGTCGTAGTCCATTGCTGATGCTGTTCTTCCAGCTCTACTTCAGGGGTGTGGCCCATTGGCGGAGGGACAAGCCGAATGTGGTCTTCAATTTTCATCAAGATGTCATAGACCTTCTCGACATTCCGCAGAATCCGCTTGCGATCAAGTACAGTCTCCTGGTGGGGAGACTTCTTACCGTTGCTTGGACGAAGAGTCTCACTCTCAGCGCGCTTGATGTTGAGCAGCGGCTTTGGGGTCTTGGCATTGCTGAAAGAAATCTTGCCTAAACTACCGGCAATAACGAGCTGGGGGTTTTTAGGTTTGTTCTTTGCGGCTTCAACAGCTCGTTGAACCTGTTGCTCCATCCGCTGGATGTGATTCTCGGCGGGTCTACCATGACGGCGCATTCCGCCATGACGACTTCCAGTCTGGAATAGATAGGTCTGCGCAAAGTTGCTCAAAGGTTGGCTCGGGTTCTGCCGTTGGCCGGCGCGAATATGGCTGTAGACTTGGTAGTAAAAGTCTTCGGAAATAAAAGAATCGGAGCCTTCCACGGGGTTTCCAGTAGCGGAGACAAGTTGTTGCAACTGAATTCGGGTGATGAAGTTCTTATCCTGGGGTGTCATAAGTCCGTTATCTTTGGATAAAAGCCAGATCTTGTGGTTTCGTTTGGCACGCTTAGTTTCTTGATCCAGAAACGCAACCTTCTCGCCCTCGGACATTTGCAAGATCTGGGGATGAGCCTGCAGTTGCGCCAAGCCAGGAATGGAGCCCTGCGAACGATGGCCACGAGGACCAGGCGGTGCGGCCTCTCCAGAGAGACGGTTGGGATTCTGTAAAATCTGCGTGGGCTGCACGGGCGGTGCCTGCTGACGGGACTGTAGTTGAGGTGGCGTAGGCAACTGCTCTGATGGCCTGGTCTGCATGCTCTGAGGGCGTTGCAATATTGTGACCGGCGGTCCGTGGACGGGATGACCCTGCTGTTGTTGGTGCTGCGCAGCCTGTTGGCTCGTAGTATATTCCGCGGCCTGACCTTGCTGATAGATGGCAGGGTCAGACAGGGTAATCTGCGGCTGAGTCTGTTTCGGTACCTGGGCTCTCATAGAAGCCTCGACTTCTTCGAGGCTCAATACTTTTCGGCTGGCTGAAGCGGATGGCGGCTGGGCAGCGGACTGCGAGGTTTTTGCCGTGGACTTAGCTGGCCCGATTCCCCAAATACTCTGGTCAACATGCAGATCTGGGAGGGGTTCTGCCTCCTTATACTTTTCATATCCACTTCGGACAGGTTTTTGTGTTGACTGGGTTGGATAGTACGAGCTTGTCTGCGAGGAGCTGGGCTGTGGCTGCGGCTGGGGGGCTGTTGCTCTGGAAGCAGGCTGTTGGCGATTGAATCGAAGATGTTCCTCCTCAATAGCATCGGCAACTTTGGCAGTCTGTCCGAAAAAGTCAAAGTCCTTTCCAACGTTGCCTGCGACAGCAGACTCGCCACCAAATGTATCATCATTGAAGACATCATCAGTTTCATCGAGTTGATCTCCAAGCCCATCGTATGTGTCCTCAAAGTCAAGCGCATCATCCTGGTCGCCACGTCCTGAAAGACCAGCAAAAGGGTCGTGAGCTTGCGAAAAACCCGGAGCGGCTGTGTTGTGGCCACGGGGCCCGGTGTCAAAACCGAAGAATGACATTTTGTATGAATGATATCGAACCACAAAGGCGGGGAAAATCAACGGATGGAAGGACTGCTCACGAGTGTTAGTAAAAATTTGAGATGAACATCACAGAAGCTCTGCGTTCTCAAGCTGGTGAACATGACCTCGGCCTGCACGAGCTGTTCAGATCGCTTGTCAGGCTTCACAACACCGCCTATTTAGCCTGCTTGCGCTGATTTTGTCGTATAGTGCGCCTAGTCACGACGCCGAACGCTTGCAACAAATTGGCCATGACGGGGATGACAACAGTATGCATAGCTCGAAATGTAGATGGGAGCTTACCACTAGAATGACACAAAGTTCGCGAGGGTTTCCAAGTCGCACAAATCTATCATGGTGTCTTCCAGGGCGGAATCGACGTAATCAGAATCGGAGCACGTAGCTCAAGCGCCGGCGGGGACGGGACAGCGTCGACTGTAGCCCTGAGATTGCTGGCAAGCTTCAAAGGGTCGCAGCTAGAGCCAGCGCCGGCAGCAGAAAGAAAGCGCCGAGACAAGCTGTGTGGTGAAGCTTGCGAGGAGATGAGTGAGAGAGAAGGCGAAGAGAGGGAGGACCCGCGCTTCCACAACTCCCCACTACGGCTCCGAAAGCAGCAGCCCGTCGTCGGGGCCAAGTCACGTGCGGAAGCGGGTCTGCTTGTTCACGTCGGTGATCATCACCATCACCATCACATCTCCATCACCATCATTGAGTAGTCATCATCATTGTCGTCATCATGGGATACTACATATACCACGTTCAAGTCGGCTTGAAGATTGTCTGCGCCAACGATTTTACTTCGAGAGATGCACAACTTAGGCCGGACGTAATCTGAGGCCTTGACTCTGACGCATAGAGCAAACTATCTCCAGTGCTGCAATAGATCGAGCTCTTGTGATCGCGTCTGACCCTGTCTAGATTACATGGACGGTGACTGAAGCTTGAATTTCTTGGAATTGCCCAGCATCCGCGCCTTCCACGCCGCCAATCTACGTTGGCTGGTCAAGCAAACGCGGTTAGCCCTCTATCGTCTGTGCATCAAACCAGCACAATCGTGTGGCAACATATATAACCTCTCTGAGACAAATGTGATGTGGAAGCTTTGCGCTGGCAACATTTGCGTGGCAATGGAATTAGTCCCATGAAAAGCGACTGGCAATTTTTCAGGGACTAAGCGATAATCGTCTTTCACACCACCTCGACGGTGGTGAGTCAATCCAGACTGGGAGTGGAAGTCTTCCATTAATAGTCTTGCATTATAGGGCGTGTCATACAATACAACACAGATTATAAATCCTGCAACACGCAGTTCAAGAGGCCGGCTACATATACGATAAACACGATACAAAAAAAAGTCTGTCGACAACGACAATGACAACTAGGCCGCGTTATCCTGATAGTATGCCTGAGCCCCTGTTTGAGTCTTGCTCTCATGATAAGTTCGCTCCGCCAGAGCCGCGACAGCTCTTTCTTTGACAGCGTCGGTTGCAAAGACAATGTCGATTTCCTCCAACGTCTTGCCGCTCGTCTTCACCCGTGTCAGCAAGGTCCGTCTTGTTCGTTTTCGCATTAAAAAGCTCACCTCGGGACACATAAAATACACAAATGCTATAGCCAACGCGCAGGAGAAAATCTGCCAAATCCATATTCTCCAGCCGACGCTCGCAATAGCATACCCACCGCCAAAAACTGTGACAAAGGAGAATACCCATTCTCCGAATGCACCTGCGGCACCGCCGACGTGTCGGTAGTTGAGTGGCGCAATCTAGAGTTATTTCATCTCAGTAAAAAATCGCTTCAAGATTAATCGGCCATCTCGGAGGGGAAAAGAGGCGGCCCATACTGACCTCGGATGCATACAGCCAAGGAATACCAATCCAGCCGTACCCGAAGGAACACATGAACAGAATGACTGCTGCTACTCCTGTCCACTGCGTTACCAGTGTTCGATTTGGTACCGCAATCATGACAACAAAGATGAGCATGAAAACTGTGCAGGCTATCGCGGTTGTCAAAAGAATGGTCCTGCGTCCAAAGCGTTCAATGGTGCTCGGCAGCACATATGTTCCAAAGGCATAAATGGTCATCATGACTGCAGCTAAGAGCTGTGAGAGGAAGCTTGACAAGCCAACTTGAGAAAAGATGAGAGTGCTATAGTAGACCATCATGTTGATTCCTAAGACACATCAGAACCTTGTCCACGTTACAGACGGCGCATCTCAAGTCTGGACTATACAAACCCATCATCTGCTTGAGCGACAGGATTAGAAAGGCGATGCGAATACGCCGCCCAACACGAAGCTCACTGGTATCCCAAACAAGAAGAGAGAGGTCGAACTTGGTCACTTCTTGTGTTTCGAGCCGGATGGAGGCCTGGATCTCTTCTTTTTGCGCCTGGACCTTGGGATGGTTGAGTGGCAAAGCGTGGAGTCGTGAGAGAACATTGTCGCCCTGCTCGTCTCGACCTGTAGAGTAGTACCAGCGAGGGGTATCTGGAAGCATCAACATGCCAAGTAACGATATAATGGCAAAAATTGCCTGTAGTCCAATCGGGAATCGCTAGACACGAGCCATTAGCTAACACGTCTCCCAGGAGAACGCCAAGCTTATTACCCAGGACAGCTGGTTGTCCATTCGCGTAAATCCAAAGGCCACCCAGTACGCCAGAGCGATACCTGATATGAGAACTGCGCATTGTATCGCTATTTCCGGGCCGCGTTGTTTCGGATTGATGCTCATTTCGGCCTTGGAGTGTGCAAATCAGTATGATATCAGTATGACATGACGCCAGAACGGTTGACGTTGGCTTACCATGTACGTTGGCACGGTGCAAGAGATGAACTTGGACAAGGGTCAGAGCAGTCAGACATCGTCAAGTCGCGAGCGAAGAGTTTCATGGCATACTCCAAGGCCAAATCCCTGAGACGAATCAGTGGCGCACTTCTTGGAGGACATGCTGAGAGGACGGATGCTCACCCCAATAACACGCCCTACAATGATTTGCGATACCGACCAAGTAGATGCTTGCAGCGCGGGACCGATGATGGCACAGACGTTGCCGATGATGATGCAATATCGACGCCCAAATACGTTGCCGACAGCCATGACAGTCAGCGAACCAACCGCCGCGGCCAGAGTGTATGAGGCGGCAACCATGGGGATGACATATGTGCTTGTCGGATACTACGAGAGGAAACGATCAGAACCCTGGATATGGCGACAATGCTACACGTATCAAATCAACAAGGTTGGACAAACTTGGAGGGCCCGTAGATACGCATCTGTATGTTGAACTCCCCCAAGAACTCCCGAGTCGTATCCAAACATACAAAAGGCCTAAACATGCGTGTGTGGTTGATCAGCCTTGGGTTTCCTTGCATGTAGCCCTCCACGAGTACCGCGTCACGCAGAACGACATGTACCACTGCGGGATTGTGCTTACAATGGCAGAAGAAGCGCTCATCATGCGATACAGTGTCGGGCCCTCGATTGACTCGAGCCCGGCCATGTTTGCTTGCCGAAGTTGTGTCTTGTGCGTCCCGGAAAACTATTGCGTCAACGTGAACACGGAGAGACATGTCGCGAGAGAGACTCATATCCATCGAGCGCGGTCCAGCATGAAGGAGTTTATAGCCACGGGATGACACGCCTCATCTGATCTCCCCGTGGTGATTCAGACTCATCCACGTCAAGCCACGCAGTTTCCCCACGGGGGCGGCTTGAGGCCAAGCCATGCGAGATCCAAAAGCCAATCCGTATCGAGGTGTTAACCAAATCGAGTATTCGAGACGACCTGCCGGGAAATGTCTAGTAGACGTCTTTCGAGTTTCGGATTTGTAAGCCATTTCTTTGATTCCAAAGCTGCCCAATTGCCACCGGTTTCAAATTGAGACTTGGGCCGGCACACTTTGCAGGGGGCACCCTTTTCTTCAACAACTTCCGGACGTCGTCTTCGGTTTCTATCTTCCCTCGCCATCATTTTCCAACTACAACACGGCAAAGCAAGACAACTCACGATGCCCCAGACAAAGATCCTAGTCCTCGGCGCCACGGGCTACATGTGAGAAACCCTTCATCTCGTGGCCAACAAACAAGCATATGAGAGAACCACAAGGAAAGACAGCGACAGCAGAAACTGACAAATGCACAGTGGTGGCAGCGTCCTCACCGAGATGCAAAAATCCAAAAATGCCTCCGATTACTCCATCTCGGCGCTTGTCAGGAAAGCCGAGCAGGCCGCTGGGCTCAGGAACCTTGCCGTTAGCCCCATTGTCTTCGAGGGCCTTGACGACTTGCTTCTTGTCAAACAGGCAGCAAGCCAAAACGACATTGTCATCAATGCAGCCTCGGCCAGCCACGACAAGGCCGCCGTGGCCATCATCCAGGGGCTGGCCGAGAGGAAACGAGCCACGGGGCAGGCAGTCAGCTACATCCATACCTCGGGGACTTCCATCCTCTCCGATCGTCCAGTCTCCGGAAAGGAAGTCGATCTCTCTGTCTACTCAGATAAAGATACCGATATATACAAGTACGAGACGGCGCGCGTTCATTACAGCCAACGTGCCACGGACATAGCCGTGGTTGAAGCCGGAGAGCAGCTCGGCGTCCCAACTTATATCGTCGTTCCGCCAACCATCTACGGTGAAGGAAGCGGCCCCTTCTCCACCATATCCCAGCAGGTTCCGAATCTCGTGCGAGAGGCCATGAGGCGGAAGCAGGCCGTTGTCATCGGAGCCGGGAGCGGCATCTGGAACCACGTCCACATCCTCGACCTTGCCCCCCTGTACACGCTTATTCTCCAAGGAATCCTGTCGAATGAGCAGGAGATCCCCCACGGCAGAAAGGGCTTCTTCTTTGCGGAAACTGGCGAGCATACCTGGTTGGAAGTCTCTCAGGGCATTGCAAACGCTTGCTTTGCCCGGGATCTGTGCAGCACGACCGAGGTCAAGTCGATTGGGCTTGCGGAGGCGGCTTCCATTATCGGCGGCAGTGAGGAGCTTGTTGAGATTGTACTGGCCAGCAAGTAGGTTGCTCTCCTGATTTACTCCCAGCCTTTCTCCATCGCGTAAATCGGCATTTGCTAACCTGGCGACGTAGCTCCAGGTCTCGTGCTGATTTGGGTAGGGAGCTCGGATGGAAACCTGCCAGGGACAATGCAGACTTCCGCGAGCATTTTGACCAAGTAGTGGAAGCCGTGGCTGCCCAGGGGCCTCTTGTTACGCTCGCTGCCTTGGTTGGCATCTAGGCGGAAGGAAGCGGTGCAATTATAACTGGCAGTATGGTTCCTATTCTCAAAACAGTTCCGTTGACCATATTGCTCCAAAGCATGCCAGGCACAGAAAATGAATAGCTGCGTAACTTTGGGGTCTTATCTTGGGTCTTTTGTCGGTCTGCAGAGCGCATGTGGCAGAACATGTCAAACTCTTGATCCAAGTTTCGACAACACTTGCACAAGTTCAGATGTCCTCCTCTAATTGCACTCTGCAAGGCACTGCGCGACTACGTACTACCAGGGGAATCATGCCGAGTGTACTGTTCAAAAGTAGCTGTAGATGCGAGCTCCGAAACACGACATTCGGGATGAGGCTCGCACGCTTGTCGTGAGACGGGCTCAGGCTCTGCAATGGGCATTGTCTCGGCCGCCACGGCTCTGTAACAAGTTTAGAAGACTTGACGGGCCAAATTGGAGCATGGATCAAAGGCATCGCTAGCTGGCTTCGTCACTGCGTTTGATCGCTGCTTCGGATCGATGTCCGTGTTTGGAAACAATCAAGACCGAGACTCGTATTTGCCTTTGCGCAGAACTCAGCCACCACCATGTCGGACTGTACGTACCTTGGTGCTCCACGAGACAAAGTTAACAATAGATGTCATCTCATCAACAGGCGTGGTTACAGGCGCCCAATTGCACCCTGTATTGAACAAGCCTGCCTGCCGGGCGACTAGTTGTCGTTTATCTGGGGGCGTCCCCTACCGCGTCACCAATTTGGGAAGCCTAGGAGAAGTGACGGGCAAAATGCTGGATCGAGTATCTGGACCGAGCGAGTCTACCAGTCGTTGGTCTGGTCCTGTAGGCAACTATCCTCGGAGGGCAATATGCGCCGGGATGGTGGTAATCATGACACGCCGAGTCTCAACTGTAAGGTGTGTTGAGTTTTACCTTTCCGCAAGTTTGCCGAGTCCCTCAGCAGGACCACTGCCAGATTGCGAGCTGCAAGATATGGAGGTGCAAATTGCCCCAGGGCGATATTTATAGCCCATCTACCGCAATAGCAGGCATTGCAACGTGCTGGGGTTGCTCCATCCATCAGCAACTTTCTGTATTGTTCTTGGCTCGAGTTATTTCTTTGCTTGTCAGGCATGACGGTCATCATCATTGGTGCTGGCCCATCCGGCATTGCCTTGGGGCATACTTTGAAGCACAAGTTGGGGGTGGATGACTTCACGGTAGGAAGTCATGAGAAACGAGAATCCTCAGAAGCTCAAGTCTTACAGACGTCTTAGATCTACGAAAAGTCGGACGGCCCCGGGGGCGTCTGGCGATCAAATACATATCCAGGCGTGTGAGTAGTGCGGCTCGACATCTTGCCCCTGACATGGCCCATCCTGATCGTACACCAGCGGCTGCGACGTCCCAACGGTACTGTACTCGTTCTCGTTTAATCAAAATCCAAACTGGTCCAAAGAATTGTCTGGAGGCCCTGAGATCTTGGAGTGTAACGTACAGCCTCTCCGCCGTGGTCAGACGACAAGGCTAACATTGCAAGCGGTGACAACTAGACATGGAGGCGACTGTGGACAAGTTTGGCCTTCGCCACCACATGCATTTTCGAGTTGAGTGCGTCTCGGCGTCGTGGAACGAAGACGGATTCTGGGACGTCCGACTCCGCGATCTCATGACGGGCACGGAATACGCGAGGACGGCCAGCATTCTTGTGTCGGCGGTGGGCGGCATCTCACGGCCTCGGGACGTCAAGTTTCCCGGTATGGATACGTTCCAAGGCGAAATGTTCCACACGGCACGCTGGAACCACAAGTATGACTACCGAGGGAAGAGAATGGCCGTCATAGGCAACGGGTGCAGCGCTGCGCAGGTAGTCCCCGAGGTTGCCAGGCAAGTCGCGCATGTCACGCAGTACGCGCGAAGCCCGCAGTGGTATCACGAACGGCCCAACAGGAGGTTTACGTGCTTCGAGAGGTGGTGCTTCAGGCACGTCCCGCTCCTGGGGCGAATCCTGAGGCTTCGACTGTTCCTCGCGAGTGACAACATGGTGACGACGTACGGACCGGGAGAGACGGCCACACGTCTGCGGCTGAGAGCAGAAGCTCACGCGAGGGATTATATCGTGTCCACGGCGCCCCAGAAGTACCACCATCTGCTCGTCCCGGAATTTCCCTTGGGTATGTTGAGGCCGTTTGTCCGTCGAGACTCCAGTCCTTCCCCCCCTGACCGGTCTGCAGGCTGCAAGCGCCGTATTTTCGATCCCGGCTACCTCGAGAGCCTTCATCTCCCCAACGTCGAGCTTGTGCCTCACGGCATAGAGGCCATTGACCAGACGGGCATCGTCAGCACCGACGGCGTCAAGATCGAGTTCGATGTCATTGTCCTCGCAACTGGTTTCGACATCCAGCGCTTTCTCGCGCCCATGGAGGTTTACGGAAGAGGCGGCCGCAGTCTTTCGCAACAGTGGCAGGAGAGCCGGGGAGCCCAGGCATACATGGGGACCTATGTCAACGGGTTCCCAAACTTTGCAATTCTGTACGTTGCGTCGTCATGATCACGACGCATGTCCAAGAACGACGACATGACCTGCTAACTGTCTCGCCAGCTTTGGTCCCAACACCTTCCCTGCCCACAACTCGGTCCTCTTCGCGTCCGAAGTCCAAGTGGCTTTCATCGCCAAAACATTGCTTGCTCCCGTGCTTGACCGCCAGCTGTCGACCGTCGAGGTCAAGAGGACGGCGGAGGACCAGTGGGTGAGCCGCGTCCACTCGCGACTGCGAGGAGGCGTGTTCGAGGCCGGCTGCTCCAACTGGTACATCAACAGCCACGGACGCAACTCGGCCTCGTGGCCCGGCTACGCGGCCGACTTTTGGAAAGAGTCGTTGAAGCCGCAGCGGGGAGTGTTTCTCAAGACTCGTCAATCGCCGTGGTGGATGTGGTACCGCGCGAAACGTTGGATGCGGACCACAAGCTGGACCGCGTACGGTATCCTGGGACTGCTGATGCTATGGATGATGGGGGGCCAGCGGTCCGGTCTGGGGATTCAGTCCAGTCCACGTCTTGGTGTGTAGGAGCATGGTTTTGGTGGCTCGTGGGGTCCGCGATGAAGGCTGTTGTCGCCAAAGGTCGCGTTTTTTGTTTTCTTCAGAGACGTCTACTGTAGTTGCTAATTGTATGGCGTCTTGGCCAGATGAGCCGGCATTGCAGGTGACAAGGGAGCAACTTTTATCAAAGCCGCGACAAGGGCTCACGACGCACTTTGTTGGTCCTTGGTTTCCCACGAGGCCTGGATGACTCAAGCTTTAGAGTCAGCACTGTTGTTCATGCAGTGAGCCCTTATGCCGTAGGTTCTCGTCATCGTAGCCCTCGTGGTGTAACGGCGTGGCGAAATACCCGTCGATGAGACATTGGTCAAATTCTGTCTCGATACCCAATTACTCACCGCTGTAGCCGCGTAATCACGGAGCTCATCGACACAGAAGTCAACCCTACTCATTGCATGTGCAGGAAGAATGGACAGTTCCGAGCCTGGCAGCATCTTCTTGAATCCTCGGGGCGTCTTGGTAGCAAAATCAAATCACCCAAGACACCATGCTTAACAAGCAATCTTTACAACGGAATCATTTTGGTGTACCACGTTGCGAGGTCTCGGTCACGTACCCTGTAGTATCAACTTGGCATGGGTTCCGTGGAGTGAAGCATATAATATAACTATACTTAGTCTACTAGAGTCAGTACAACTGCAGTAGACTGGATTTGAAACAACACCGGGTAGGGTTAGGGTTGCGTACGGGATACCACGGGACTAACTACATTTGGCCGCGGCCATTCAGGGCATTTGCATCCTCGTATTCATAAAACTATTGCGGCCACAGTGACGACGCCTTGAACGTGACGAGAGCAAAGATAATTCCACACTTGTACACTCCTGCGGCTCATCAGCTACATGGCCAAACTGCATATAAAACTTAACCGTGGGAGAGGCCATCACCAACTACTCCTATGAGGACCAGAACGGGATGGTATGTTTGGCGCAGCCCTCTGGACTCTTTCCGCGGTCTGGACTCTGGACTAACTCAACTGTGCGTCAGTTTGACCTGTCGAGAGCGGCACGTCAAATGTTTGTCCATCCCCGCCGTCTACATGAATATCTTGCCTTTGTACTGTACTGAGCACTCACAATAGGCGATGAGGCCAAGCCCATATGTGACCGATGTCGTCGGGGCGGGCGCGAATGCGTCCTCGCGGACCCTGCCGTGAACTTTCGCAACATGTTTTCTGCTCTCTACGACTCCAAGAGCCCCAGCAGCGGCCGCACTAACTCCAGAGAGTCGCGGGGGAAGCATGTCTCAGTCAGGCATTTCAGCTTCGGCAAGGATTCCGGCCTTGCCTCGTCCCGTCATCGGTGCGGCCAGCATGGAGCAAGCCCTATTCGTGCCGCGACCGACTCACCAACCTGCCAGATGCACGCGTTGCAGACATCAAGCCGTTCTGGGGAGTTGCAGATTCGTTCCCCCATCCAGGACGACTTTGCTGTCCAGGAGAGCTCCAGGACCACGTCACAGTGCCATAGTTTTGAGCCATGTCTCTCTATCCCCCGTCTGCTCTTGCCGGATCAGGATTCTCTGGGAATGGCGTCTGATCTCTCTTCCATCAGCAGTGAAAACCTTGGCAGTGTGAATACGCCCGTCACCCCGGCCCTGTCGAGCCAGGCCGGGCTGTCTGGTAACAATGGAACGTTGCGGAGCTTCCGACACGCAGAGCTCTTGCGGTTCTACAGGGAACACTGGGCTTCAGGGGTAAGCGTCTATGTTCTCTCCAATGTTGCCGTTGCCAACATGGCATGCTCAATCTTACATCGACCTCAGTTAGATTCACAAGATGACGGCCGTCATTTCACGATACATGTGCCACAACTGGCCTTGAACACTCCGATTCTTCTCAACGCCATCTTTGCTGTTACCTCTCTCCATCAGAGCAGGCTCTTGGGGTCTTCGCCATCGGTTGCTGAACAATACCACGGGAAATGCGTCAAGCTCCTCCTCCACATGCTCGAGCATGAACATGCGCCAATGGACGATGTCCTGCTCGCCACGACTGTGATTCTCCGAGTGTATGAGCAAATGAACGGTACGCCTCTTGTCTCCAAGATGAAGATTGTGCCGCAAAAAGCACTCTGAATATATACTCACCCGGGATCATCAGGCTCCTTTGGGGATAACGAATGCCATCTACTTGGTGCGTCCGCGATAGCAGCCACCCAATCATCTGCCAGCGGGTCTCTTTGGAAAGCCGCATTCTGGATCTATCTTCGGCAGGACATATACATGGCAATTCTAGACCACCGGCCGGTCAGGATCGACCTCTCCAGATGCTGGCTCTGGAGGGAACCCCAGCCGAGAAACGATGCCCAGTGGAGCCAGCTGATCATGCTCATCGTCGCCGAGATTACCAGATTCTGCTTCTCCCAGCCGACAGCGAGACGCGCCGAGAAATGGCAGGAGCTTCGGGAACAGGTCGACGAATGGCGCCGCCTTCGGCCCCAATCGTTTCATCCGTACTATTTTGCCGAGCGAAATGTGGAAATGGGTCGATATTTCCCGGAGATCTGGCTCTCCGAGCAATGGCATGGTGCGTGACGTGATGCCCGATGGCCATTGGCGACCATGCTGCTATCCTAACTGCTTTGCTTTTCCAGTCACGGCAAACATATACTACGAGATTGGCCAGTCGCTGCTTCTAATATATGACCCAGAGCCGGTAATCGGGATCGCCGCGCGTCGGCATCACAACATTGTTCAGGTAGCGACGCCCCCAAAACACGCACAACGCCGGCCGTCTGCTTACATTGCCTCTTCACAGGCCCGTATGGTGGACCGCGCGCGCAGAATCTGCGGCATATGCCTTTCGAATCCCACCCCAGAGACGCGGCGGACATGCTGCTACGCTATTCACCTGTGTTGCCCGTACATATCCAACCAAAAAGAGCAAAGGCTCGTCGTCCAAATTCTAAAAGATACCGAGGCCAAATTGGCCTGGCCAACCGAGTCCATTGTACAAGCCTTGAAGGAAGAATGGGAACCAATCTCCCAACTTGAAGATAAAAACAGGGGCTTTATTGATACCTGAGTAGGAAGGAGAAAAGAAAATACCACATGTTCCTGACGGCGGAAGAGGTACAGCCACCACTGACACAGAATCTTGCATGAGCCGACACAGAACCTTTCTTGTCAAAGTTCAATCTTCGCAGCCCTGGGTGGAATCATCACAAGAGCCGCCGATCCGCCCACGACCAATGTCTACAGTGTGTTTGGTCCATTAAGACATCAAACGCCGAGCGAACATCGGTCACGCATAATACACCGCCGACTCACGCTCGAGAGGAGAGGCCGGAACGGGGAAACCAGCCACGAGGGCGCCAGAACACTGCGCCATGGAATAGATCATCAGCCACGAATCCCAAACTAGAACCAAAACCGGGCAGCCGCGTATTCCTGTTTCGCGGCTCCTTCAAGTGGCGTTGAGCTGATTTATCCGCGCACCAGCACACACGAAGACATGTTGTCAAGACGGGGTTTTACATAACCATCAAGGTATCTACTACTTTTCATCCTCAATCTAGCCAGATACCTACCTGGGTATTTGTAGGAGGTGCCGAGTTCACTTACTGAAAACGTTATTTTCGGTCTTTCTCCGCCCGCGAGCCTAGAGAATAGCTCTGTATGATAATGCAAACACCCCCCAAGGGTGTTGGGCGTGGACTTGGAATGCCGGAGGGGCAGTCGCCACTGTCACCAAAAAAGGGGCGTGGCCACGCCACACTATTTTACCATCTTACTCCGGAGTCCATATATCCTATGTCTATGCGACAGCCACGACGGACCTTCCGGCAGACGCCAAACGCATAGCCAGGCCGCCCACGTCCAAAACGGGAAATCGAATCGGGGCGTTGAAAGAAGCATGGCGGCCCTCCTCTTTCCGGCCGGATATCAGAACCACGGCCGAAGCATGTGTCTCGGTTTCACGTCTTCCAACAGGGCGGGTTGTCAACGGGAATAAAACCGGTGGTTTATAATGACTCCAGCAGGTCCGTTGACTGAAATCTTTACTCGTCAATGGTCATGGTCGTGCCCCCCTCGCCGAAGTGAGTTGTCATCGAGTTTCGCCCATGCGTCTGTTTGGATGAAACGATCCACGCAAACATGCCGATTCAAGTAGACGTGCTCAGCGCATTGGCGGGAGCAATCAATGGCGCGGTACCTCCCCGCCGGAAAGGGGAACAACTTACCAAAGACGACCGGGCAGTCCTTGCGGTTCGCAACCTCGTGTACGATGTGACTATGCAAAACGGCGGCGGTCACGGCGGCTCTGCCGTGGGAATGGCTGCCATTGGGGTGGCGCTTTGGAAGTACGTGATGCGGTACAATCCCAACGACGCCGAGTGGTTTGATCGTGACCGGTTTGTCTTGTCAAATGGTACGTGTGCCGCACGCGGCAGAGAGGCAGCTCGCTCGGCATCCGCTGACCTGGGGAGCCTCGTAGGACATGCCAGCATCTTCTTGTACGTCATGAACTATCTCGTGGGATACGAGGCCTGGACGTTGGAGGAGCTCAGGGGCTACGGATCGGCCAAGCTGGACGGATCGACGACTCTCTGCCACGCGCACCCCGAGATTGAGTGTCCGGCAGTTGAAGTCACCACAGGGCCCTTGGGCCAGGGGGTCGCAAACGCTGTAGGACTGGCCATTGCGTCCAAGAACTTGGCCGCAAACTTTAACCGGCCCGGCATCGAGCTCGTCAAGTCCCGCATTTACTGCATGACCGGGGACGGATGCTTGATGGAGGGAGTGGCTCTGGAAGGTTGGTCAGAGTTCGTGTTTTGTCTCTCGTCTCTGTTATCACGCCTCTCGGGTCGGGATGCTAATGGCCTTCGCACCTCTGTAGCAATCTCCCTGGCTGGAAATCTACAGCTGGACAACCTGGTGCTGGTGTACGACAACAACCAGGTAACCTGCGACGGTCCGCTTCACTGGATCAATGTCGAGGACACCAACGCCAAGATGCGGGCCTCGGGGTGGCACGTTATCGACGTTGATGGTGGCACTTACGATGTCCAAGCTATCGTAGCCGCGTTGCGCCTTGCACGAGCCAGCCACGGGAAGCCGGTGTTTCTGAACGTCCGCACCGTCATCGGGGCAGACACTGCCATGGCAGGGACGGCAAAAGCCCATCACGGACCTTTTGATAAGTCGAGCATTGAGAGATCAAAAGCCCTGGCCGGCCTTTCACCCCAGTCGTCGCATCAAATTCCGCAGTCATGCCTGGATTTCTTCCGAGAGCGCAAGGCATACGGCGCAGCTTTGCAGCAGGAATGGGAGGCAAAGCTTATCGAGTACATGTCCAAATATCCAGAGGACGCAAAGCTTTTCTTGGGCCGGATGAATGGCTACTTTGGTGACTGGAAAACGATGCTAGAGAATCTTGACAGCAAAAAGTTCAAGGGGAAAGCGACTCGTGAGTCGAATGGAGAGATAGTCCAGGCTCTATGGAACGCGAACCCTGCAATGTGTGGCGGCGGAGCAGATCTGGTCAACTCGAACAAGTTCAAGTACTCTGAAAACGACGTGTTTCACCCAACAAACGTGAGTTCGGCCGTCTGCAAGATGTGTCGGCGACAGTCCTTGACGCCTTGACAGACTTTCAGGGGCAGTCATATCCGCAACGGAATCCGAGAGCACGCCATGGCAGCGGTTGCGAACGGTCTCGCGGCGTACAACCCGGGGACATTCCTGCCGGTTACCACGACATTTCTCATGTTCTATCTATATGTGAGCAACACCTACTTCTACTGACGTGTGAGTTGTCGCTGACCTCACTGGTGTCGCTCACAGGCCGCTCCAGGCGTCCGCATGGGAGCCCTGAGCCACTTGCAGGTTTTGCACATTGCGACGCATGATTCCTTCCAAGAAGGTCAAAATGGACCGACTCATCAGCCAGTTGAGATAGATTCCCTTTTCAGAGCCATGCCAGGCTTGACTTATATCCGTCCGTGTGACGCGTAAGTACAGGCCCTGCATTCCCTCAGCCGCAACAGGCACGCGCAACAGCCATTTGACATGCAGACAGTGAAGAAGTGATGGGTGCGTATCTATACGCCCTCGAACAGCGCAAGTCACCATCCATGATTTCCGTGGCTCGGGATCCGACGGGGCATGTGCCATGCACGAGTCGCCTGGGAGTGAGCAAAGGCGCATATGTGATAAAGGAACAGAGCAGTGCGGCGGTGACCATGGTCAGCTGCGGCTCGCAGTTGCACATTGTCGTCGCCACGGCAGAAAAGCTTGAGCGACAGGGAATCTCGACCAGAATTGTGTCGGCGCCCTCTCTGGACATCTTTGAGAGGCAACCGCCAGCATACCGTCAAGCGGTGTTCCCGGTGGACGGATCACCCATAGTGAGCGTGGAGGAATATGTTGCTTTGGTCTGGGCGCGATACGTGACGGCCAGCATTGGGATGACGGGCTTCGGCTACTCTGCGTCGAGCGAGAGTAACTACCAACGGTTCGGGCTGGACACGGATGCCATTGTAGCCAAAGTGGCAGAGTACCTGGGCATGTTGGAGGGCAGTGATGCAAGGGGCGCTGGTTGGCGACATTTATGAGTTGATGATGGTTGGGGATGCCTGCCCCGCACTGCGGGACCTTGAAAGTGGGGGACCAGTGCTAAATACGGAATAATAAGTACGGAGTAGTGTTGATTATTAATTTAAATTTGGGGGCGGCACCTGCCTTTTTGCCGCCGCCATCAATATCCACCAAGCCTTGAAATCATGCTCGAGTACTCCGTACTCCGTAAGTAGGTTTAGAGTAACGTAACGAGCCCTCCGAATGTGTGTATGCCGACTGCGCCGAACACGTGCCTGCCTGTACAGAGTGAATGCGTGTCCAGGTCAACTCGATTGGTGGTGAGAAAGTTCCGCACTATGTAAGTTGCTCCGTACTCCGTACCTCCGTCACATCACATGGGTGCTCCTTCCCTTCCTCCACTCAGCCAGTCCAAACACCCCGCACGGTTGCGCTCAGCCGTCGGGAATGCCCGATGTCGTTCGCTCGTTCGTTCACGTCTTGTCCTTGGCAATCATGCACTGTGCAGCTCCCCTGCGCTTTCGCCCCCCCACGTCTCAACACTGAATACAGTACTGGATGTTTCAAACACCCGCCTTACTGGCCGAGCCACGCCTTGCCACGGCATTTCTTGCTCCTCTTCATCATCACCTTTCCTTCGTCCATCTTGGACACGGGCAGGTTTCTCGCATGCCGTTCTCCTTTGCCTACAGCTAGTCCGTCTGTTTCTTTTTTTTTTTTTTTTTTTTTTTCTTCCGAGTCGGCCACGGCGCTACACTACTTTTCTCTGCCCCGTAAAAGGACCGGCCCTTGACTCCTTCGCCCCATTCGAACCGTCTACTCCGTACGATACGAAGATTTCTCTCCTACAACCTTTTCGGGTCGCGGCAATCTCGAGACTCTATTTTGTGCCGCTGGTATCTGATCTGGTCGAGCCTGGAATCAGTCACGGACGCCCGTGGAAAATCGTTCGTCATGGTGACCGGCAATGCGCGCTATTTGCGCTACATCGTCATCGCCTTTTTCGTATGTTTATTGCCATCCTCTTTCCTCATCCTCACCATTCACCCTGCACCTCTGGGATAAGTTGCGCTAACGCTGTTTTGTCTTGTTAGACACTTGCCGTGCTCTATTTCGTTTCCAACTCAAAGTATGAAGCAGTGACCATTCCAACCCGTTTGGATCCCACAGGCACCAAGAATCAGCCTGTCAAATCGGAGGAACCCGGATACAAGCCCCAACAGCCCATCAAGAAGCCCAAGCCTTCTGACGAGACGGCTCCCGCCCCCAAGAAACCGATAGGGGACAACGCACAATCTCCGCTGGCTTTGACCCCAGAGGATCCAAACTGGGATGCTGAACTGGTTTCGCCCGCCCCTGGTCTTCGCATGAACGCCACCTTTGTTACCTTGGCTCGCAACAGCGATGTGTGGGATATTGCCCGCTCGATCCGCCAGGTTGAGGACAGATTCAACCGCCGATACAACTACGACTGGGTGTTTCTCAACGACAAGCCCTTTGACGACAATTTCAAAAAGGTCACGACGTCCCTGGTGTCCGGCAAGACGCACTATGGTGAGATAGCCGCGGAGCATTGGTCTTTCCCCCCGTGGATCGACCAGGAAAAGGCCAAGAAAGTGCGCGAGGACATGGCTGAGCGCAAGATCATCTATGGCGACTCCATAAGCTACCGTCACATGTGCCGATTCGAATCCGGCTTCTTCTTCCGACAACCCCTCATGATGAACTATGATTATTATTGGCGTGTGGAGCCATCTGTCGAACTGCATTGCGATGTTCACTACGACCCGTTCCGCGTCATGCATGAAGGTGGCAAGAAGTATAGCTTCGTTCTCAGCCTGTACGAATACGCAGAGACCATCACGACCCTTTGGGACAGCACCAAGAAGTTTATGAAGAACCACCCCGAGCATATTGCTGCGGACAACGCAATGGGTTTTCTCAGCGACGATGACGGTCAAACGTACAACAACTGCCATTTCTGGTCCAACTTTGAGGTCGGCAACTTGAACTGGCTCCGAAGCAAGGCCTACACCGACTTTTTCGACTCTATTGACCGGGATGGTGGGTTCTTCTACGAGAGATGGGGCGATGCTCCCGTTCACTCCATCGCAGCCGGCATCTTGTTGAACAAGACGGAGATTCATTTCTTCAACGACATTGCCTACTGGCACGTTCCTTTCACCCATTGCCCTACTGGCGAGAGGACGCGATTGGCTTTACGATGTCACTGTAATCCAAGTGACAACTTTGACTGGAAGGGCTACTCTTGTACGTTTTACGGTTTGGATATACCCTTGAGTACATGTTCGCTGACCAGCTACCCAGGCACTTCGCGATTCTTCGACGTGACTGGCAAGACCAAGCCTCAGGGTTGGGAGAGTGAAAAGGATTGAAATGATTTGTGACAAAGAAAAAAGAAGTTCCTACACTTGTTGGGTAACGGACGCGTAGTCTGTACTATACATGAAGAACAAGAAGGGTATGGGAGGGAGCTTTGGCATAGATAGACAAAGGTCTGTCGCCAATCGTCTACTTTTCTCGCCGCGAGGGGTAGGTTGTTGAGGGCTTTGTCAAGGCAGAAACGGAATGAACAGGTGTCTGATTAGTTTTTAACGGGCAAACGCTGGGCAACAGAGTTTTACTTACGTACACTTACGCTGCTCAAGTTGAAGAAGGGTTAGTCTATTTGTGAAGGATGTCTTTTATGCTGTCTAGAATGTGATTTTACATGATACGTATTCGTAATTTAGTGTACAATAGGCCATGCGGCGGCCATAGGCCATCGCGCCTCGCTGGCTTCGAGTTCGAGTTCGCCTTGAGCCGTGAAAGGTCTAGCGACCCTTTCCACCCGGGGAGATGGCAGCATTACCACACGTGAAGCCAACAATTCCGTCCGTGGCTTCCGGATGCTGTGACTTGACTAACCGACAGTGGCTTTCTTGGGCTTCTTGGTGCCATACTTGCTTCGGCTCGTTGTTCGATTCGCTACACCGCCCTACTGAGCAATTAGCCTGGCCCATGCTCACGAGGCGCTGCGTCCAAAAAAAAAATGAATGAATGAAACAAGCTCTGGTCCACCGTCACGCGCAGCTCCCAGGTCCCCGACTTACCAGGTCCAATGCCCCCCGCACCAGATGATAGCGGACACCGGGACAATCCTGGGCCCTGCCCCCCCTCACGAGAACCACACTGTGCTGCTGGATGTTGTGCCCCTCGCCGGGGATGTACGCCGTCACGACGGCCCCCGACGACAGCTTCACACGGGCCGTCTTCCTCTCGCCCGAGTTGGGCTTCTTGGGCCTCACGACGCCCACGCGCAGGCACACGCCCTTGAGGGCGGGGCAGCGGGCGTTGGACAGGGCCGGCGACACGGCGTGACGGGCGCGCTTGCCTTTCCGGATGCCCCGGAGGACCTGGTTCAGTGTCGCGCCGCGGGCGGGCGTGGTCGACAAGGTTGCCGAGGGCGCGGGGGCAACGGCGACGGCGACGGGGCGGAAGACGGGTGCGAGTCGAGTCGGGCTGAGCAGCGGCGCCGCGGCGGCCGACGTCAGCGGGCGCCGGGTCGCCAGGGAGAAGAGCTGACGGACGACTGAGCCGGCCATGTTGGCTTGCGGGTTGCGTGCGTGGTTGGCTGCGTACGGGTGGGAGGGAGGGAGTCCTGGCGACGCTGGCCGATGGAGTTTTCGGGGCTCGGAATCTCCTGCTGGTCACGTGATTGGCGGGGTTTACGGGTCCGGTTCGTGGTGGCTGCCAGCTACCCTGGACTGATTGATGGTCTGGCACGATCGATCGGATCTCGCAAGATGGATAAATTAAGTTTATGCTCTTGGGCGTACGTATTGGAAATCACACCGTCGTGCCAGGAACACGATTTCTGCCCCACGGCGTGCTCCGCACACGGGCGTCGTCGTTCTTGTCTTGGTTCGTCTTGGCCGCGTCAGATGAATAAAATTCAAGTCCCCGCCAGCGGCCAGCCTCCAGCCCATCACATGCCCCATCGTCCAGACCAGTTGCCTCGTGGCTATCCTCGGCTGATCGGCTGAGCGGCCGTCGGCTTACCGCTCGTTCTTGGTGCTGCCGCTCAGTCGGGCTGGTCGCGGGTTAGGGTTGGCGTTCAATTTGGCACCGCGGCTCGCCCGCCGTTGCCGTCATCCTCCTCCGCACATTCGCCCTCGGCCCTCCCTCTCCTTTTCTCCCGCCCCCTCCTCTTTCGGATTGTCGTGATCCTCACCTTCCAATTCACAATGTCGTCCTTCTCGCGGGTCCTGCGCCCCGCCGTCCGGGGCTCAAGGGGTCTTGCTCACACAGTCTGTGGTACATCCAACCGCGTGGCTTCTCGTCCAGCTCCCGCCCTCAGCATCGTCAACTCGTAAGCAGCGCCTCGGACTCCTCCACCACCCCCGCCAAACACAAGCTGACCAAGGACAAAAGAAGAAGCAGCGCGCGCCCCCTCTCCAGCACGTCTGCGCTCCGCTCCGAAACCATCGACATCACCGACATCCCCCCCACGCCCATCAGCCACCTCTCCGAGGTCGAGGCCGCCATGGCCGAGTCGGTCGGCAAGTTCGCCAGCGAGGTGATCCTCCCCAGGGCGCGCGACATGGACGAGGCCGAGGACATGGACGCCGGCATAGTGCGGCAGCTGTTCGAGCAGGGCCTCATGGGCGTCGAGATCCCCGAGCAGTACGGCGGCGCCGGCATGAACTTCACCGCCGCCATCGTCGGCATCGAAGAGCTCGCCCGCGCCGACCCCAGCGTCAGCGTCCTCGTCGACGTGCACAACACGCTCTGCAACACGGCCGTCGTCAAGTACGGCTCCGAGGCCCTCAAGAAGAAGTGGCTGCCCAGGCTGGCCACGGACACCGTCGCCTCCTTCTGCCTGTCGGAGCCCGTCTCGGGCTCCGACGCCTTCGCCCTGGCCACCCGCGCCGAGGAGACGGCCGACGGCTTCAGGCTCAACGGCAGCAAGATGTGGATCACAAACTCCAAGGAGGCCGGCTTCTTCATCGTCTTTGCCAACCTCGACCCCGGCAAGGGCTACCGCGGCATCTCCGCCTTCGTCGTCGAGAAGGGCGCCCCCGGCTTCTCCATTGCCAAGAAGGAGAAGAAGCTCGGCATCCGCGCCAGCAGCACCTGCGTCCTCAACTTTGACGACGTCGTCGTCCCCAAGGAGAACCTCCTCGGCCAGCGCGGCCAGGGCTACAAGTACGCCATCAGCCTCCTCAACGAGGGCCGCATCGGCATCGCCGCCCAGATGACCGGCCTCGCCCTCGGCGCCTTCGAAAACGCCGTCAGGTACGTCTGGAACGACCGCAGGCAGTTCGGCTCCCTGGTCGGCGAGTTCCAGGGCATGCAGCACCAGATCGCCCAGTCCTACACCGAAATCGCCGCCGCCCGCGCCCTCGTCTACAACGCCTCCCGCAAGAAGGAGGCCGGCGAGGACTTTGTCAAGGACGCCGCCATGGCCAAGCTGTACGCTTCCCAGGTCGCCGGCCGCGTGTCCGGCCTGGCTGTCGAGTGGATGGGCGGCATGGGCTTCGTGCGCGAGGGCCTGGCCGAGAAGTTCTGGCGCGACAGCAAGATCGGTGCCATCTACGAGGGCACCAGCAACATCCAGTTGAACACCATTGCCAAGTTGCTGCAAAAAGAGTACACCAACTAGGCGAAAAGAAAGAAAAGAAACATCTAAACCTGTACAGACATGTATACGTGTAGTAGGAATGATGCTTGAAGAATATAGTGGCGGCACATTACTTATTTGTAGCATACCATCGTGTGGGACAAGGGGAGGGAAGAGGTGTCAATAAATACTGCCCAGCACTGCTTGACGTGAAATATTGTCATCTACGAGTAGCCAGAAAATCACCACAACGGGAGCACCAATGCCTTGAGTTTGCGAGCATCCTCCGCGTTAGAAGGCCTCTCTATTAGTAGTTTTTCGCCATCAGTAGTGCTGCCGTCATCTCCCTGCTAAGCCGCTTCTTGAAAGAAAAAGGATATTTTGTTAACCTTTTGATCATCCATACCGTCCTCCTGTTACTGCTGCTGCTGCGGCTAAAGAAAAGAAAAGAAGAAAGAAAAAAAAAAAGCAAAAGAGGACAAAACAGAAAAAATATAACATCCACGCGGCTTCAACACGGACGGGATTTAGCGAGTGACATTCAAACGTGGCCCTCCTTCATTTGACTGCCAAAAACTCTCCTTCGCATCCTTCACCCGTTGCGTTGCGTCTGCAGCGCCGCGACCGACTCCCACGCAACTTACTGTCTCGCCAAGTGTATGTTGAAACTCCTCAAAATGCACACACCATTCACGCACCAAATCCGCACACAGTCGCATCATGTTCGTATATCCAGGTAGGTAATCGATTCGTTTTCCTCATTCAAAGTCTGCAGTGTACGAGAATCCGCGGAATTCCTCTTGCATGGCCTGAGAAAGTACTAGTCGACGAGTCAGCATTTCAACAAGAATTCGAGGAGCAATGCCTTCACGGCCAACTTACCAGACTGCACAGGCGTAAGTACAGGGGTCACACTGGTGAACTCAGAGTCAAAGTTGCTCGTGTCTGTTGCGCTCTTAATCGTCGGCTTGAAGGGGGGTGCAACTCGCTTGTGGTATATATCGTCCCAGTTGATGTTTCGGAAGAACGGTTGGCTCATCACCTCCTGAGCATCCGTGGGTCCGCTTCCAAGTCTTTGCTCCGGTTCGCGGGTGAGCAGTTTCTGCAAGATTGAGACGGAGTCTCTAGGCATGTGAATTGGGTACAACGGCTCATCGGCAATAATAGCATCGTAAATCTCGTCCTCGTCCTCGCCTCGGAAAGGAGACTGTTGCAAGAGCATCTGGTAGATAAGGACACCAAAGGCCCACCAGTCAACTGCCCGGCCATACTTTTTGTCCATGAGAATCTACTGATCGTTAGTAACCTGCTCCACGACACCGGGGCAGCCATCCTTTACGTACCTCTGGGGCCATGAATTCCGGAGTACCGCAGAAAGTGCTGGTACTCTTGCCATACCACATGTCCTCTTTGCAAAGACCATAATCGGCAACCTTGATATGGCCGTCGAGGGTCAACATGATATTGTCCAGTTTGAGATCACGATAAATGACCCCGTTTTCGTGGAAATACTTCAGCGCCAGGCACACCTCAGCAGCGTAGAACCTGCGCAGGTGCGTGTCAGAATCTTCTTCACAAAGGACCGCATCTCATCAACTTACTGAGCGCGCTTAGTTCCAAACTGTCCTCGCTGGATATGAAGCATCAAGTCACCACCGCTAACGTATTCCATGACAAAGTATACCCGAGTTTCTGTTTGGAAACAGGCGTGCAAATTGGTAAGGAAGGGATGCCTTTCTTTATTTGCAATCAGGAAAACCCGCTTTTCGGAACGAATACTCTCGACCTCGTCGTTTTCGATGATAAATTCCTTCTTGAGAACCTTGATAGCATATAATCGTCGCGAGCGCTTCGTTTCTGCCAACATGACCTTGCCGAAATTACCTTTACCCAAGACTGCAAGGAAATTGAAGTGGTCTAAACCAATGCGCTGGCCAGTACCGGGATCGGTCGCAAGAGGCAGTTGCTTTGGCTGACCCGCAACAGGACCCGACTGCGGCCGTTGAGCCGCGACAACTTCTGGCTTCGCGATGGGGGCAGCAGGCGGATAGCTCTGCTGTAGTGGCACAGGCTGCTGCTGGGCGGCCAGTTGCTGCACTGGCGGTCGTGCCTGGGCGGATGGTTGGCCAGCATACCCAAGGTAGTCGGCAGGGTTGTATGGTCGCTGTTGAGGGTGTTGGGGTTGATGAGGCTGCGGAGCTGGGCCGCCGTATTGCTGCGTATAGTGGTCCCCTGGCTGTTCTTGGTCATATCCGCCATATCGACCATAGTCGGACTGCCTTTGGTGTTGCGCCTGTGCTGATGTAGCACCACCCAGGGCAGCCTGGGCCGCTTTCGCCGCCTGGGCTGAGGGCAAACGATCGGGTGCTGGCGGTCTTTGCTGCGTCGGCGATGTGGGCTGGGCATACATCAACTTGGCCGCTTCGGTGGCTGCGGTGGATGGAGCGGTGTAAGGCTTGGACGCATCCGTGGCGTGGGCGGGCGGAGGGGACGCAGTTGAGCCGGGTTTGCTCGAACTGGGACGCAGCGTCCTCTCTGACATGGACGACGCCTTTGTCTGTCGTTTCTGGGTGCGAATGCCTTCCAAGATTTGGTTGGCCAACGCCATGGACATGCCGCAGAAATCGGGAACCAAGTGAGCGCAGTGAGCGTGACAAGTAAGACCACATTCTAAGAGGCGTACCGTTAGTATGTTCCACTGGTGTAAATGGCATGCAAGACAGATGAATACGGAATCTTACCTGAACACTTTCTGCAATTCTTCTTGCCAAAGGGCAAGATGTAGCCGCAGTGACAGCACCAATTGGCCGTCATGTTGGAGAAGGGCTGGAATCTGTGAGGGATGCGATGATTGATCTTTTCTTCATCCGGGTCGGTCTCCGCGTTGCTCTTGCTGATACACTTGGTGACCACCTTGTCATAGCACTTGGTGTGGCACGTGTATTTGCAATCCTCGCATTGCATACCGGCTGAGTACTTGAGGAAATCGCCGCAAAGCGCGCAACGCATGATGTTGTAAAACTGATGCTGCACAAACTTGTGGCCGTACATTTCGTGTACCTCCTCTTTGCGCTGTCGAACGGCGCCTTTTCTGCCCAAACCGAGATCCACGGGCCGTCGGTCCTTATTCTGCTTGACAAAGCTCATTTGAAGCTGTATTTGCCCAGTCGGCTCCAGGTTAAACCAAGCATCGATGGGGCCCGTGTTTATCTGCGGCTGCTGGGGAACATGAGGCGGAGGTCCGCCGCTGAAGCCACTGCTGTGGTCACCACCATGGCCCTGGATGCCAAACCCAGGCTGCGTCGGGCTCACGGCAAGTTGGCCGGGGGGGGATGAAGGGGTGGCCATTTGATCGGCAGACACCCAGCCGGAGCTGTTCATCTCTGCCTCGATCCTTTTTCTGCGCATCTCCTCAACAATGTCGGAAATGCGAACCCAGAGCAAGCCAATGGGCATTGGGTGCTCGCCTGGTTTGTCGTAAACCGTCAACTCGATTTCGTTGGCCTTGTCGACGTCAATGGTGTGGTACTCGGCATCCCATCGGTCGGTTCGGGAGGTTTTTGTTCTGGCGACGACGGCGTCCTCGACTTTAACTGCAACGAAGGTTTCGGGTCCACGGGAGAGACGGCCAGTAGCCGCATGGTCCACGTCTTTGACAGCCTTGACTCGGATGGAAAGCTGTCCGCTGAGAGGTTTTCTTAAATTTGGCGTGTTGATGGAGTCATCTGTAGGTCTTGTGTGAGCCACTTACTTTGCTTGACCAGAGACCACGAGGAAGACGGAAGGGATAACAAGGTAGTGGGAGTAGGGACATACCATCTTGAGAGTCGGCAGAGTCCATATCTATGTGCAGCTCCTCATACCTTTTAAGGGCCTGTTTCAAAAGTACAATCTTTTGCTTGCTTTCGACTTTACGACCTGCAGCAACGGCTTTGCTCCTTCTGTCGCCTTCCATGCCGTAGAGCTGAACCATTTTCTCAACTCCCTTGAGGTATTGCTCCTCCACGTTCAGCTTGAACTGAATCTGAGACAGCATAAGCTGGATGCGAGGACCGAGGTAAGGCGTATCATATTTGATCAAATCTGTTTGGCAACGCGTCAGCGGGAACACAATATCAAGACAATCCAGGGCTGGGACGGGCGCCCCCTCCGGGAGTCGCGGTCGTGGTTGTGTCGACTTGCCCCGTCAGCGACAAGAGAGAATGTACGCACCTAGTTTGGTAAAATTCGGTCTAGACTTGGGCATGGCAGCTCCGGGCCCGGCAGGAGCGTAGGGATGACGAGGAGGCATCAAATCGCCATGCTGGCCAAGTTGGCTGTACTGAGCAGTACCGTAACCGCCTTGGTCTCCTCCCCAAGCAGCTGAGGGGTCCTTGGGCGGGGGAGGCGGAGGGCCATGGCCGGCGCCAGCGCCAGCGCCGAGAGAGACATTGCCCATGTCCTGATTAACCTGTCGCATTTGGATATCCCTCAGCTTCTCCTCGAAGAACTGCAGGTTCCGCCGGCCATCTCTCAGCTGGGTGTCGAGTCGAGAACGGACGGCCTCGTTGGTTGTCTGAGAGCGCATGGCCTGGGCGGCATTGATGATGTTTTTCTCGCGCTCAATCTTCTTGTGGATGTCTTGAATTTTCTTTTCATCTTCACCCATGGCGGGCAGCAGGAGCGGCGCGATACGCCGGCGCTGGACGAGGAGTGGGAATGAAGCTTGTTGGTGAAGGTCGAGGTCAAGGTCGAGGTCGAGGTCGAGGTCGAGGTCGAGGCCGATGAACAATGAACAATGAGCCGCAGTCACCAGCGCGAGCACGAGCAACAGCACAAGCACAAGCACAAGCACCCAAAGAAAAAAAAAGTGAAAAAAAAAAAAAAAAAAAAAGAGCACCTGAGATATGGCCGAGAAGTGATTGATAGGAAACGATGGAACGACTTTCTCGTGAAGTCGGCGGCGGCGGGCAGAAATGGGAGACGGGAGCCCAGCCGGTATAACGCACGACTCGGCTCGAAATGAAGGCCAGCAGAAACGGACGCGGGGGGGTAAAAGCTGATGAGTGCACACCACACAAGTGGGTTGTTTTTGTGGTGGGAAAGGATGTCGTCAGTGACGACGTGAGACGGGAGGGGCCTCGAGCGCAAGGTGGAACTACGTACAGCAGTGAGGGGACTGACTAATGAGGAGTCTCGGGGGCTGGGGTGCCTGGTTACTGGTCCGCGGTCAGTGGTCGGTGGTCGGTGGTCGGTGGTCGGTGGTCGGTCGCTCTGGCAGGAGGACGGCAGCTGAGCTGGCCTGACAACTGCGGCACCACCAGACAACTTGGAAGACAGCAGCCGGGATCAGCGGGTCAGTCGATGGCTGTCTCACCGGACTGGTCCAAGGTGCTTGCTCATCTGTCTCCAGGCGCGCCCGTCTGTCGCCGTCAACCCGTCAACCCGTCAACCCGTCACTCATTCAATTGATTCATCGGTGGATCCCAGGTGCTCCCCTGCTGGGTTGCCCGCGACCAAAGTACCGTACCGAGTACCCCGTACAGGCCAGACAGAGGTCCTCATCCTGGGCTTATGTTGCTGTTCGTGTCCCGTTTACATCGCTCGACTTGGCCGCCGCTGTTGCCAACATCCAACGTCCAACGTCCAACGTCCAACATCCCAAAATCTCCCCACGTGGCTTGGCTGGCCCAAGTGTCAGATATCGCGTTATTGACAGGGTAATATAGGACGGCTGTAGCCCGTGACGGGGCGGAAAAGTGGTGCCTCTTCAATGCCAGCTACGTACGGAGTACTACCACAACAGCTTCCGTCCAGGGATTGAAGAGTCGCAACATCGGCGTCACGACCAAGATATTTCCAGCTTGATACACTCAATGTCAACAACCGCCCGGTTCTGTGCTCCGTACGAGGATGCAACCACAGCCCAGGCGCCCTCCCGCGACCAAGGGTTAACAAAGGCGCCTTGATGCGTACCGTTCGTCCGTGTCATCAATCGACGCAACATGCCGCCCGGCAAATAAAATCAAGAGCCAGATTGCTCAGCGAGCCGGCCTTTACCGCGCCTCCGCGTCACGACCCTTCGTGCATACAATCATTCCAGCGAGCTCTGAAGTGACGACATCTGTGAGGTGAGCTTTCGGCAGTTCCTGGGCGCAATGAATGGAATGACGAATGCAGCTGCATTTCTCATGTCGGCGGAGGTCAGGGGAGAAAGCCAGGGGACGCCGGGGGGCAGCCGACAGCCGGAGCCCTTCGGGGGGCGGGGCTGTGCAGAGCTGTGCGGGGCTGTCATGGCGGGCAAGTTGCGCCACAACGCCCCCCAATCGCTGCCCGCCCTCCCTCCCGTCACCAAGACACGCTGAACGACAGCACTGAGCATTCTGGCTGTGCTTGTTACCGATCAATGTTCGGAGACGGGAGGGCAGCGCTTGTCCCTCTGGGACCGAGGAGACCCGGAGACCTTTTTTGGGGCCCTGACGTTACAAAATGAAGTCTGGAGGCTCCGTACAGACACCCCGGTCTGGTCAAGCGCGGACAATGCTGCCTAACAGCACCTCATCCTGGAGGCCTATTTTCGTAGAAAAAGGGGCTACCGAGACGTCATTCACGCAACTTGCGTCATGTCACATCACAGCTCACAGGGCGATCCAATGCATTATGCCACACGCAGCCGGCTTCGAGTGCTGGCGAGTTTAATGTTCAAAGCTCCTTCACATCTCCCCTTCTCTGATGTCTCCGATGCAGTGCATTTTCCAGATTGGCAAAGTAGAACAAAACATGCACGAGGGGCTAGATATGCACGCTCTTTAAAATACATCATGTCCGTTTCACGAGCAGCATCACCACACTACCGGCAACTGCTGCTCCAGCCACCGCCCCTTGCAGTGCCAACGCAGAAGCATCCTTCATCCGCAGGCCAGCCCGTCTCTCGCTGACCAAGTCGGCTGCAACAGCCTGCCAACGAGCCGGGCTCATCATCAAGTCCCTCCAAGTACCCTCCGTCCAGGGGGTAGTCGGACTCTCTTGTTCCACGGGCGCCACTGCCAACGACTCTTGCACCCGCGGCGCCGGGGCCGCGATGGCCTCCTCCTTCTTGGCCAGGGACAACTTGACCGCTTCCAGCTCGCCCCGGACTGCTTCCAACACGTGCTTCTCTTCTTCGACCACGCCCTTGACGAGTCGTCTTCTCCGCCAGGGCTCGGCAAAGAACTGCAGCACAACAAAGAGGATAAAGTTCATGCCCATGAGGCCCCACGTGCCCCATGTACTTGCCCGTCGAATTCTGTCGCTCCAAATTTGCTCCTCGTGGTAACGCTTCAATATCCCGGCGCTGAGACGCTGGCTCAGGCTTTGCTCCTCTGCCTCGGCTTCTGTCATGGCTTCGTGGGCGCTCGATACCTCTCCTTCGAGAACGTGGTCTATCCTGTATAGTTCCGTGAATCGCTCGAGGTCAACCGGAGACCACGTGTCTTTTCGAGCGAGCAGAGTCGTGACTTCCCGCTGCGTAGTGGCTCGTTTTGTGTTTGACGTCTTGTATGCCTGACGCGCGTTTCGGACCCTGACGTGCGCCTCGGCCAGTTGCACCTCCAACCTCTCGTTCTCTCTCTTGATTCCTTCGATGGACGAGTACCCGGTTATGTCGTTGAGAGTTTGCGAAGCCGTCAGGACTCGTGCTTGAAGATTGTCCATGGCCTGGCTAAATCGTTGATTCAGGTCGCTCCGACGGCTGTCTGTTACTGACGGCAGCTCTGTCGCTGATGAGACGTGGCTATCGGTGGACGTCGCCGAATCACGATGGTCCGTTTCGGGGCCATCCTTGGGGCTCGGCAATGGCTCGCTCTGTTTCGGTGGGTTGTGCGAGGAGAAGGACCGTGATTGCGAGAATGTACCTCGTGCACCGCGCCGCAAGCCGGTGGCTGTCCTCGTGCTCAACATGGTCGGCCGCCGGTGAGCTGTTTTCCCGGCCAAGACCACGGCGTCGTGTCTAAACACCCGCCTGCCACCAACCCGGGCCAATAGACCCATTGGGCCGCTGAACGGCTGCATCATGCACGGCTCTGTCGAAACGTGGCCCCAGAAGGCGTTGCCCGTCCGTCGATGATGCCGAGAGCAACATTCGCCGACGTGAAATCGCTGTTTACCATGACACGATGCCCAGATCGTTTTCTGCCATGCACGAACACCCCACCATCTGAGGTATCGGTTCCCCACCGCCTTCGGAGAGACACGGCTCAGGGGCCGAGGTTCGGCCCACGTCAATTGGCCGCGGGTACCGTGAGCGGTGTGGGCGGCACCTGGGCCCTGCAGGGGACCGGGCTCCAGTGACCCGTGGGGCCCGAACCCCCCCGCCAGCGACTCTCGGCCAGCGCCCAGCGCCCAGCGCCAACGCCGCCCCTCCATGACGACACTCCGGGGCGGCGCTCGGCGCTCTTCAGAGGCACCGACTGACTGGGCACGGCCAAGACGGGGACCAGTCACAAAAGCCGCAAGGTTTCTCAGGGGACTTTTCTCTGAATTCAGGGGCGCTGGGTCTCTGGCTCGTCTCTATCAAATGATGTCCGTATCTGTGCTGCGAAGTCCTCATCTCGATACTTCGCCCCGATTCCTGCATCTCAACTTGACGCCCTCCCCGACAGTCTGCCTGCTCCCCGCCTGGCGCTCCGTCAACAATTTGGCGAGACTCTGATTTTCGGTAAGAGACACGTCGTGCCGACGATATTTGCAAATTTCTGACTCCACAATCAGGAGAAAGCCCTTGATTCTCCTCACGAGCATCCCGTTCCCCCCCCCGTCTTCGCCCGTCAACCACCAACACAATGGGCTCCGTCAACAGCGAAACCCCAGCGCTCGCCACCAATCCCAAGTTCATCTTCTTTACCGACTTCGACGGAACCGTGACCACCGCCGACTCCAATGACTACATGACGGACAACCTGGGCTACGGCGTGGAAAAGCGCCGCCAGGGCAACAAGGATGTGCTGGAAGGCAAGATGAACTTCCGCGACTCGTTCCAGGAGATGCTCGACAGCGTCACCACCCCTTACAACGAATGCATCGACACCCTGCTGGAGAACATCAAGCTCGACCCGGGCTTCAAGGAGTTCTACGACTGGTCGCGGGAGAACAACGTTCCCATTGTCATTCTCAGTGGCGGCATGACGCCCATCATTCGCGCCCTGCTGGACAAGCTACTAGGACCCGGGTGGGACATTCAGATTGTCAGCAACGACGTGCGGCCCAGAGAGGGCAAGACGATCAACGACAAGGGAGGGTGGCGGATCCAATTCCACGATGACAGGTAAGCTTGCCGCGGGCAGCTCTTTGACGACGAGTCCATGACATGACCTGACTTCTTCAACCAGCATTCACGGCCACGACAAGTCTATCGAGATTCGGAAGTACTCGTCTTTGCCTGACCGCCCCACCATGTTTTATGCCGGTGACGGCGTCTCGGATTTGTCTGCTGCCAAGGAGACTGATTTGCTGTTTGCAAAGGCTGGCAAGGGTACGTGGTTTCGTTTCGATTTTTCAATTCTGCTGCATCCTGTCCGGAATAGTTGCTGACGAAGTGACACAGATCTTGTCACTTGGTGCGAGAACGAAAAGGTGCCTTTTGTCACTTTCAAAGACTGGACTAGCATTACCCAGACTGTGAAGGATATAGCGGCTGGAAAGACTACCGTTCAAGACGCCGCCAAGGGCCGTCTGTGAGCATTTCGTCCCTTTCTGGACGAGTTTCGAGGTTTTGCCAAGGCAAGGGGGGTGGAGGATAGAATCTCCTCGATATTCCGTGATTTGAGATGGGAGCGATAAACACGACGGAGAGAATTATTCGTGTTTCAGTGGATGATTTTTGGACCCGGCAGAAGCATTTGGTTGTTGGACCAACACTAGACATGGAAGACCTAGAATTGTTCCCGCTTGTATTTGAGAACGATAGAACGATAGACGCCCATTTTATGATGCAGAGGGTCCAGAGTACAGTCACAACGTGCTTGTGTCCCGTCGCCGTTTATCCCGACCACAATAACCTATCCCCCACGGCAGTCGAGGGGAGTCCCCGACCCTCTCTCATCCAGACCTCTTCTCGTCAGCCGGCGTCGCATACCAGCACAGCAACATGACCGCAAACAAGCCAACGACAATATGATGAAGCACGTAGGTCCCAACCGCCTGGGCCAACATGCCGGTGAAGAAGGGGGCAACAGCGCCCCCCAGGCTCCCGCAGGCACTGATGGTTCCCATGCCACTCAGCGCATGTCTACATGGCATGGGCGCGCACAAGGACCGCCGCACACGTGTACACGGGCCCGGGGAGGAGGCCGACGACGGAAACCGCCACGGCTTCCGCCACGACGTTGGGGACGAGGAAGCTCTTCTCGCCGATGCGCTGAGCTGGTCCGGCGAGGAGGAAGCGTCCCACGGTGATGCCCTAAGCAGCGGAGGAGCTAGGTCTCGGTGGTGCGCGGGACGTTGCAATGGAATGAGCATGTAAAGCACTAGTGAGTAACCACAACTATCGAAATTCGCATCTTGGGTTACAAATGGCGCCGCCGGCTGCCGGTGTGGCTGCGGGCCGGTTGAACGGCCGGATACCAGGGTAAGGGTTGTGACGGTAACTGCTGGGGTACGGAAGAGGACATGAGTCTCCAGCTCGATCCACCAAATGGGTCGGGCGCCTTAGTAATGTATTTTTTCTAATCCTTCTCGACATTTCAGCACCAGACCTCTTCAAATAGAAAAAGTCGAGGGAAAAAAAAACCCCCCACAAAGCAAACACCACAGCTATGGGCAAACCAAAGCGCAACGTCCTCGCCGCCGCCGAAGAGACTCTAACACCTCCCACCACCCTCAACCCCAACCAATCCCTTGTCCGCGTCGTCAATGCCGAAGGAAACAATCTGTACACCTGCGAGTTGCCCAACCGCAAGACCGTGCTGCTGGAGCTTGCGCAGCGCTTCCGCAACACAATCTGGATAAAGCGTGGCGGCTATGTGCTGGGCGAGCGATATGAAGAAGGCTCAGGCGATACCCGTGCCCGTGGCGAGATTGTGAACGTAGTTCGGGACGAGAGGCTCTGGCGAAAGCAGGCCTATTGGTATGAAGACATGAGCCAGCCATAGAGCCCTGGGAACCCGTATGGTGTGGTCACTGACGTCGTCTTCCACATCCTAGGCCCAAGGAATTCTCCAAAATCACAAGTCATCCTGGCGACCACGAAGACGACTCTACGGTCGGAAAGATGCCGCCGAGCGATTCTGAAGAAGAATGAAGCCACATTCGCACATGTTGATCCCAACATACATCTCTGCAGACCCCGCAAACAACCCCATCTGAATCACCTATCCTTTTTGGAAGCCTTTGCTTTTTTTCGCTCCCCCGACCGGACGGGCTTCGAGGTGCCGCAATAGACCAGCACCACAGTTATCAAAAGCACGTTCACTACAGCTGTTGAGCTGAGGTCTGTGCTGGGAAAGGTATTCCATGCCGCTTCTTGAACTGCCCACAGCAGGTAAACCACGGGGGTATATGGCCAAGCCCTCCACAACAAATACGGAGTAGCCCAAGCCAGATAAGCATAGAACTGGTAGTGCAACGACCTTGCAAACAGCAGCCCAATGATGTTGGCTGAGAGGATCGTGGTCATGACATAGTCAGGGGTGACTCTGCTCGACACTTCAAGTTCTTCCGCTGGAGTAAGGGCGGACCCGCCGCGGAGCATAGGGGAAATCAACGATAGCAGTGGTCGGTCAGCCGGTTGCAGCCACCGAGAAGTGACAAAGATCAAGAGTACCAAGACGTGTAGGACAAGTAGAACCACGGCAAACGGTTTGCTGAGAAACAATTCCTCGCCCATCATGCGCCAATTGACGGTCCACTCAAACTTGAACTGCCTCGAGAGCTCAAACGCCCTGCCCAAATAGCCCTGCCAGTTCTTGGCCAAGAATGGAAGCGCAATGACAACCTGCACCTGGCCCATGAGCCACGCCAGTCGAAGACTTCCCGCAAAGCCCCGTCCCAGGAACAGAACTATGCCTACAGCCGGCAGTGAGAGCAGCAGTGACATCTTGATCCCCAGCCCGCAACTGTACGCTATGCTGCCCATGGTCCACTGCCGCCTCTGGAAGGAGTATACAGCCAGCCACATGAAGAATGCGGCGAAGCAATCGTTAAAGCACCGGAGCAGGAAAACGCTATGCAAGCGCTTGGAGAGAATCAACAATGGGAAGACGTATGGCGGGACCTTGACGATTGGGCCGATTAGTCCCATGACGAATCTTTTCTACTTCCATTGGAAGCACCGCCTGTCATGGACGGAAAAACTCACCTTGGCCTGCCAGTAGCACAGCATAACCACAGCCAATGTAGCCATGTACAGCACTGCGAAAATCTGCTGCGCCAAAAGAATATTCTTGCCACGATCCGTCAAGTGATATAGCCCCGTGTACACGTAGACATGCGCAGCCGGATACACCAGCGGTCCCGTCCCTCCCTCCATCCTGGTGTAATCTCGTTCTCCGGCGACGAATTGTGCAACTTGCTCCATGTAGGCCACCCAGTCGATTTCGGTATCTGGTGCGCAAGCAAGAAGCGAAGAAGAGAAAGGCTACATTAGCTTGGGTCCCCCCTCCCGCGACTGCGAGGGTGCTCCGAGTGCAATGTGCACTTGAAGAACTTACATGGTACTTTCCAGATAATGAGGCCACAGAGCACGGCGTCTGCGAGCCACAGCACGACGGGGATGAGCTTGGACAATGCATGGCGGCCGGCAGCAACGTCAAGCGCAAAGCAAAGAGCTTTTTTGCGTGGAGGAGGATCCCAGGACGCCATTGCGCCGCTGTCGAGAAATGCGGAATGCGAGTCTGGGCGTTGAAGCAAGTAACAATGATTTTCGTGCAGTTGCTTCATGGTCGAGGACGGCGGATGCTTTGGGCGGCTATTTTTCGGAAACGGCGGGCGCTGATTAGTGGCCAAGCCATTGAGTTGACTGCCACCCGTTGCACAACCCACACACACATTACATTGTTCCTCATGAAGTGGAAATGGACTGACTGACTGAATGGCTAATCGTCCCAGGAGAAGAGCTTCGGCTCCATAGCTAGACTCTCTCCGTTCTCCTCCCTGATGGCGTTGACCAGCTCAACAACGCCCTCGGCACATCCGTACGAACCCTGGTAACCCCAGCCCGCATGTCCGTAGTTGTGAACAATGTGAGTCCCGTCGTCCAGTTGTTCTCTCTCTATCCTGACGCCAGCCTTCCTGTACGGCCTTAACCCGGCACCGTGCCTGACGACACTCAGGCCATCGATGCCCTTGCCGTCGGCTATTTCAGGACACATTTCCACTACGCGACGCATTATGCGCAGCGCGACGTCGGGATCCGGCACAGATTCCCAGTTGCCAATGTCATAGGTCCCTCCCAGGATGGTGCCACCGCCCGCGGGACGCTGCATCGTGTACAGGATTTCGGGGATGCCTTCTTCCGTGCCGGACGTGGTGATCATGGGGTGCAGCTCGTTGCGGACGAGCACGATCTGGCCTCGCGACGGAGCCATGGTTTGGTCCTCGACGCCGCCAAGCTTGAGAGAGCCCAGACCCGTCGCGTTTACGATGATGTCTGCGGGGTTTCCAGCGTGGCTGTGGTTCTTGGCCTCGCGGATGTGCGATATGACGACACGTTTCAGGACGACGCCGTTTTTCAGGCACTGTCCCACCAGCCATTGGAGGTACATGGCCGTGTTGACGCACACGCTGGTGAATTCACAACCGCTGTCGTGCCCGGCCGGGATGCCTACGGCATCCAGTTCTTTGTACTCCGGAAGGACGGACTTGAACCATGGATCAAGGTCGAACATGGGGTCTGTTGGACAGGACGGGCCTTCCATGTCTTTGTTTCGTCTGAAGATGCGCGATTCTACAAGCCAAGAGTCAGCTAGCGGGTTGGGATCAAGGGCCTCGCTCGTGTGGAAGCATGTACTTTGGAAATGAATGCCGGCTTCAGGGACCTCTTCTGTAATGCGTTTCATTTCAGGCCAAGTCCTTCTTTCCCATCGGCTATTTTCTTCGGTTGACATGCTGGGACAAGGGTGAGCATATAAGCGGTGCCATTGTACGCTTTCAGCGGATAGATAACCATGGCATACTCACGGCAAAAAGTTTGCTCCAGCCCACGGAGAAGCATACTCGATATCGTAGTCCCCTGGCATGTGCTTCGCAATAATCGTCACCACGTTCGCGTTGCTCTTGGACAGCAACAGCGCCGTGGTGAGGCCACTCACACCGGCACTTGTTTCTTGATCAGCATTGCTCCCACGATGACACAGACAGGCATTTGGTTGAGAGCCTGGCTTACCCTACAACAACAATTTTGTTCGTCATCGTTGTCCTCGTTGAGCCGAAATATGTTGCGACGTGTCTGCCCGCACACACAGGCGGTTTCTTGTTAAGTAGATTGCATTTGGATCTGAACTGGTTGGTAAATGAGCAGATTTGGGCATGAGGCCGAGTCGTCGGGGTAATGTATGGGGAAGCCGTGTCTCCGCGGGAATCCATCTGCATCCCCGCACGTTCACTTTGATAGACGGCGGGTCAAACAGCCTGTACTCCGGCTCGACATGTTTTAGTCCTGGCCATAGATGTTGCATATCTCAGATTGATTCTCCCCAAAAAAAAAGCCATGAAATTACAATAAAAAAGGAGAGAGAGAGGGAGTCAGAGAGATCGAGAGCGACAGAGAGACAGAAAATGTTGGTATGGTGGTGTGCTTGGCGCAAGTTGCCGTGTTCAGCGATGCGGTTACATCTCGTTGAGTTCGTTAACATTTAATCCACTCCTACAACTGCCATGCACATGGCGTATCCAGCTTTGTCTTGGTCCTCACTCGTCTTTTAAGACTGCGGCTAAGTCTCGGGTACAGTCTCGGGTACCGGTAAATACAATCTAAGACAGTGGAAACAAGACACAATGGAGAATATCAAGTGAGCATACTCCGTACCACGTCGTGAGTTCCTGCCATGTTGTAGACACCCGTGACTAATCAGTGACGACGTGAGAGCGGCGGCTAAAGTTTCAGGTGAGCCACAAATTTGCGTCCACGATACAGAACTCACTCGAAAGCGATTGAGCGTAAGCCGTGGAAAGTCTGTGCGTCCGAGAACCCGCGGAACTGCTTGTACATGGATCACGCACAGTGGGTGTAGAGTTCGCTAGTGCTGAGAAACATGGGCTACTCCGTACAGGCAGGCGAGAGACTGGGCTGTATATCAGACTTTGACACATGACGATACCATCTCAATCTTACTTACGACTATTTTGCCTGAGCACCAATCATGCGCCGAGCCAGACCCTGAGTTAACGCACACATTCCGAAGGAGTTTTAGAGTGTTCGCACCTCGACGTTGACGACTATGTATGGGCTTCCCATATACGATTCGTCGCAGCTAGATCGATGCCATCCTCTGTTTGCATCTTGTGAAAGATTCCTGGCCGCAAAATATTTGTCGACTTGAGTTTTGGGCGAATAGCTTTCTAGAGTACGGAGTACGCGTCATGATTCGGACACAGCTGCATCAACTTTTCCTCCCTGAACAGGGTGCTCCGGATGTTGGTTTCGGTTCCATCGGTGCAGCGTGCAAGGTTGATGCGATCCAGCGGAAGTGGAACCACGTCTCGATCAAACAAACGGCAGGATCCGGCGCTCCAAGCCAATTATAGACCGCAGCCCCTCGCTTTTGCCTTGGATTTTTTCGCTGCAGGACAGACATCAGGAGCACCCGAGCTTGACCGGATGATGCGACGCACAATAGTACTAGGGAGAAGGGGATTTCGCACACAAGGTTTGCAACATCCGTCGTGACGTCTGGCCCCGTACTCCGTAGCTTGCCCAGCTTGCCCAGCCAGCCACCCCTGACAACATCTGATGAATGCCAGGATCCTATGCTTGGGACGGCCAGCCCCTCCCCCCTGAGTGGAGAATGCAGATGACCTAACTATTGCTTGCCTACCTAAGCTAACCTAACTATTGTAGTTAACCTAACCTAACTATTGTAGTTAACCTAACCTAACTATTGTAGTTAACCTAACCTAACTATTGTAGTTAACCTAACCTAACTATTGTAGTTAACCTAACCTAACTATTGTAGTTAACCTAACCTAACTATTGTAGTTAACCTAACCTAACTATTGTAGTTAACCTAACCTAACTATTGTAGTTAACCTAACCTAACTATTGTAGTTAACCTAACCTAACTATTGTAGTTAACCTAACCTAACTATTGTAGTTAACCTAACCTAACTATTGTAGTTAACCTAACCTAACTATTGTAGTTAACTTAACCTAACTATTACTATAAAGCGCTTACTACTTTCTAATTAGCTAGAAGTTAAATTATATTTATAAAGACTATTATTAGTAATTAAGAAATATATATAAAGAGTAGAGTTTTTTTCTTTATTAATACTTAATTAAATTCTCTTTTAAATATATTATAAATTTAATTATAATTAAATCTTAATTTAATTTAATTTAGTTCTTTAACTTTATTATACTTTTCTTTCTTTATTAATTATTATAATAAATATTTTAGTTAGCTTACTTAAAATTAAAAATATTAATAATAATTATAAACTTTTAAATTTACTTACTATTTATAATAAATTTATTTTTAATTGTAAAGATAATAATTTTATTTTTTTATAAAATATTTTAGTACTAAAAAATATTCTAGCTTTTAAATATATATATTAAATACTCTAGATAGCTATAGAGCTATATAACTAGTACTTCTTCTTTTTATATTAAACCTAGAAAACTCTTTAATAGAAAGAAAAACTCTACTTACTTTTGTTTTTGCTTTCTAGGCTAGCTCTAGCTTTATACTAGCTAGAATCTATTTATCTTCTATATATATATAAGTATTACTAGCTTTACTAGCTGTATTCTAGAGAGATATATAGTTCTTATAAATCTAGCTTACTTCTAGCTTTATACTAAAGTTATTTTACTTCTTTTTATATACTTACTTTATCTTCTAACTTTTAATTACTTTTTCTTCTTAGAGATATAGTTTATTTTAGTATAGTATATTACTTATTACTTTCTTAAAGGTAAGTTAAGCTAGCTTTATACTATTATATAACTATTAGTATAAATATTTAGTATTTAGTTATAATAGCTTATATATTTAGATTTACCTTACTTTTATTTTATATATAAATTACCTCTTAGC